AAAAAAACTCTCGCGCGACAGGAGCGGAAAAGCTCTTCCACGTGCGCGCCAGATATCCCTCCGTCGGGGATTCGTCCTCTTTGCATCCTGCGCCGCGTGCCGAGGAAGCGTTTTGGCATCGGGAGGGGTTTCTTTTTCGACTTCATTGTCCTAGCGCCTCCGGTTACATTTTATTGCAGGGACGCGATGGCGACGCGTGCTCCGAAAAGGACTGTCCTTCGACACCCTCTTCTTTCTCTCTCGCGTAGATGTTACACACCCGGATCGTTCGGGAAGATTGAAGATTGGCGCCAAGTCGCCGAACTGTTCCGTGTTTCGTCCTGAACGACGATCCGGGGATTCCGTTTCGCAGAAGTTCCGACGGAACAGTCTCGTGTAGTTTTGTCGAAATTGGAGAACACACGACGGAAGTGAGTCGCGACGCCGTCCGCTTTCAAATTCCTTCGAACTTGCAGTTTCTCGGAGTAGAACACTCGAATCGATCCAATTATTTTATTAGTAAACAAGTTAATTATATTAATTTTATATTATTTTAATATAATTTAATTTTATATTTTGAATATAATTAAATTTTATATTTTATTGCGGTAGATATTACTATTTTTAAACTTATCAGGATGTCTAGTGGTCAGGGAAATCTGGAAAACCGGTCAGGGAAATGTCAGGGAAAAGTCAGGAAATTTTACTATTTATCTGGATTTTTTCACATTATTTTACGTTTGTCTCAATAATTTGAAATTTTTTATTAAGTAAATAAAAACTTTTCCTTGACTCCCAGCACGCTAATTTTCTATGTTGTTAAAAATCGATTCGTTCATTCATATTTTCATCGTCGTATTATTTTATTTCAATGTGTTTGATAGAGACAAAACTAAAAAAATTGATATAATATAAATAAAAATTGTAATTATTTAAATAGTTTATAGTGACATGTTTGTTTTGATTATCGTATACATAATGCTGATTGTATAATTGATTTAAATTTTTGTTTTAACTTATGCAAATGATATATTTGGAAAAAAATAATACTAAAACGTCAGGGAAAAAATTAATTTCTGGTCTTGGAAAATCTGAAAAAGTCAGGGAATTTGTTTCATTAAGTCTGTTGGACGTTGCTTATTATATGTTTGATTTAATTTATGCATTTAATATTTCTGTAATATTTTAATATATAATTTAAGGCAAATAATCAATTAATTTAAATATCATTAAAGCTTATCCTTTCTATGATTCTGAACTTTATTAATTACGAAATATATATGATAATACAAACGTGAATACACGGAAAAAAGAATTAGCTATTATATATAGCTAAATTTTAACTGTCCTTATATTACACATGAAATTTAGTTATCATCATGCCTAAATTTTTAGCTATGATAACTAATATTTTTTAGTTATAGAATTCTCCGTTTAACTATAGCTAAAAAAATATTAGTCTAAATTTAGCTATGGTGGCTAATTTTTTTGCGTGCGTACATAAATAAAAAATTAATAAATATATAAAAAAAACTACAAAAAATTACATATAAAAATTTATAAATATAAAAATTGTGCAAAAACAAAAAACAGATGTAGAAAAGAAAAGTAAAAGTCGGATTGAATTGAAATTCAGATTTCACCCCATTTTGGCTTAATTATAATAAATCAATCGACACAGTCGCCTATAATATTATAAATATAACCACTCTATTTGTGGGGTGAATATAATACTCACTCATTTACGCATCTCATTGTGCATGCTAATAGCGCGTGGAAAAAAAAGGGAAAGAGAGCAAGAGGGAGAAAGAATAGACAAATGTTTCGTTCGTTTTCATTGCGGAAAACGATGGCCACGCAGATGTCCACCACTTGCTACTCGAGGATGACGATCCGGGTGAAATCTATTCCCTCTGTTCGTCGCCACAGGGTGCCATCGTGCCCCGGGTTTGGCACACGCTTTTCCCTTGCTTCCCTTAAATTCACGTGACAACGCAACACGCCGCCGGTTCTTCCGCAATTACGAGATGCATTTAGACATCGCGCCCCCGCCAAATGTCAAATGTGCAATCGGCCAATTATTTTATGACAGTTGCTGCGTTCACCCTTTGAGATGTGACGCGAAAAAATATTCTTTGATATAAATTTAATTACATTAATTAGATATTAGAATTGATGAGCGAAAAATTTGCACGTGACTTTTTTTGTTGATGTACCATACACTGAAAAAAAAAATTATTAACTTGACTGAATTGAATAAATTGATTAAATTTAATGTACGTTGATTTAACAAAATAGTAATTTAGTTGAAAGGTTTAGTCAAGTTAACAAATTTTGTTTGTAGTGTACGAGTGAATTGTTAATTGAATTATAATAATAGGAAATTTCTTAGATAAATTCACGGTTAACTGATTGGATTAGAAATGACATTTTTATGGAATTTTTAAAATTCTTGTTGAAATATTTAGTAAATTTGCATATTTAAATAATGAAAAAAAAAAAAATAATTAGATCTTAATTTTGACAAAATACATTTTTTAACACGTTCTCTTCCGGTTTTCTTCCTCTTTCATAATGATTAAATTTAAATTTAAATTAGATTCTTTTTTAGATACAAAATAGAATAGAGAATATTTTAAATTTATTTCTCGTGCTTGACATGAAAAATAGATTAGCGGGCAAATTTTGTTGACCAACGAATTTAATTTAATAGAATGTTTCCTGAAAATTCGCATTTCTTTTTCCCACGACAGCAAATGTGTCCCCGGGGTGTTTTTCACCCACGTGTTACGATTGCATCAATCCCTTTTGCCCGCTAATGATGTCATCAAATTCCCACATAACAATTTCTCTTCTCTTCACTTGACACACTTGATCGATATATTTCGACCATCGACTTCTGAAGCATCTCTTTCTTGGAATAGCATGATCTTTCCCGAGAAAAGGGAATAAAAGACAAATTTTCAGGTCGGTCGTCACAGTATCGAGTAGGGATATCGATTACATCTCCATAGACTCCGCATTGTTGTTTTTTCTCGGCTTACTTGTAGACCGTTCAGCGTTCGGAGCTCAAATCTGTTCGAAAAGAGAGACTAGCCGCTTCTCTCTTAAAGGGTACAATACATGTATTCGTGTGAAAGAAGGGAAATGTGAGAGGTAAAGTGATGCCCTTTTGGAATTATGCCGGCTTGATTCCCCGAGTTAATTCGAAACATCATGAACAAGCTTCATCAAGACACTCAAATTTTTTAAATCTTGAATTGATATCTTTAATTTAAACAATATTAAAAAAAGGAAAAGCAATTACAGAGATTATTACACGTTAAAAAGCAGGATTGGGTGATAACTAGTTAATTAGTTAAAAGTTAAACAAAATTTTTAAAGTTAAGAACTTTTAACTTAGCTTAGTTACTAATTATTTTTGACCTTAAGCTTATTAACTTTTTTCTCAGTTAAATTTTTTTTACCTCTGAATACCATTATTGTTTTTTTTATAAATTATAAATGTATTATTTTTAAATTAAAGTATTATTAATTTTTGTATTCATTTGTCAATTGTAATTACTAAAAAATATATTTCTATATTAATTAAAATTTCTTTGTTATTTGTTATTATAAATTTTAAAAGAATTGACAAACAAAATTCGAATTTAATATAAATGATATTTCTAAAAATCAACTTTTGATTTAACTTCAGTTAATTTAATCTTAACTTAACTTTAACTGAATTAATTATTAATTTTATAAGCAATTAACTTTAACTTAACTTAGTTTAAAAAAAGCATTAACCCAACCCTGTTCAAAAGTAATTATGATATTTTGTAAAAATAATTCAATGATAGAAATAAGAAACTGAGAGAATCTAAGAAAAGATAAAAGTGTATTATATATTTTTCATACATTTTGTAAAAAAGATTTCTTTAAATAACATTTTTTATTTTTTTTCTAATATAAATCAAAATACATTTTTTGTTTACAACTCTTTCAACTTAATACTGCAAGTAAAATATTTATAAATCACTGTCACTTTTGTTGCATCGAAGGATTATATTTACATTCTTTGTGCAAAAATCTTACAATATACGATGTTGCATTTTCTTATTAATTAATAACCACGTCATAACGTCCGCTTTATCACAATAAATCATCAATATTATTATTAAAATCATATTATCAATATTGCAAATAAAATAAAAAATAGTTTATCTACATAATTATCAATTAGGAATATAGTTACATATAACTTTACTTCCTTAATCTATTGAACATTTTCATAGCTAATGCTATGTACCTATCAATACTATATATTTTGATCGTGAACTATAAACCAAGTCTAGTTCTCTCTCTTTATAGTTTACTTTCTTTTCAAATAAAATCCTACTTATTATATATCACGTATTCTTATTTTATATACATATATACATACATATGTATACATTATATGTGTATATACATGCACATTTCTCTTGTTATAAAATTAGACTTTTATCACATTATTACAATCTCTGTTATATACACTGAAAAAAAAAGTTGTTAACTAACTTTTCAAATAAATTACTATTTTGTTAATTGAACATATATTTAAATCAAACGTTTTATTAGATTTAATATGTTATATTTAATTTAAATATTTTTATATTTTTAATTAACAAAATAAAATTTATTTAAAAGGTTTAGTCAAGTTAACAATTTTTTTTCAGTGTACTAATTTTTTTTACATATGTTTCAAAGCCGACTTGGTTCTATGTCATCAGCAAGTTTGAGAGGATGCTGTCATTGTTCTGAAAAATCCTATACAGGCTTTTAATCTCATTTCTATTACTTCTATATTATTCTTTCATGTCATCTCTATTAGGAGCGCCGTATTTTGTGTACAAATAAACTGCAGAACTTTTGTATTAAATAAGTATTGTTATGAGCTGATGCAAGAGGCCGATAAAAAAACTATAATTTTTTAACTTTTATTTTTTTATACGAAATTACAGCACTTCCCGTTCATGAGTACTTTAATTGTGGAAAAGGATTTTTTAATTTGTATAGCCAATAAAAAAAGCTCTTGAACTCAAAGTCGGAAGCGGAATAAAAATCGCAGTAATTCAATTTTTTCTTATCAGTATTCACGTCCGTACATGTTGTTGTACAGGTCGTCGCATTCAGTCGAGCTTATAAAATAAATGTTACTGAAACTTTTCTTTATCTTCTCGTGTTCTACGTCATTCTCGCGAGTTTTACCAGCGATTATCGTAGGTTTGCAGTAGCCGTTTTCCCAATTATCACATACAGTTATAAAATCAACCGAAGTCGTAGTCGAAGGATCCTCCTTCGATTGAGAACTCTCGTTGTCGAATGTCGATTTGCCATTCTTATTTTTCGACGATTTTTGTTTGCCAGAAAGGAAGATACGGTCGATATTCATAAAGGGTATCTCGAAACAAAGGCTCCATAGGGCTGAGCAAACCATCGTAAACACCAAATTGGCGGAAAACGCGCGCAACTGACAAAATAAATAAGAAAACTTATCACTCTCTGTTTCTTTCTTATAATTTAATTTTTAAAAAATATGATAGAAATATCATAAATATAAAAGAATTTGACTAAAGGTAGTTTAAAGTATTTTTAGAAGATTTTTAATTTTAAATTTTTATTATTATTACATTATTATTATTATTAAATTATTATTATTATTATTACATTTGATTTAATTATTTGCGCTGATAATATCGTATCATGTGAGATAAGCACAGGATATAATTAATATCTGTCTCGTATGTGATTTAAAAAAATTCAAATTAAATCAAATGCAACAATATAAAAATTTTGGAAAAAAGAATTATTAATTATGTTCGTACATAAGGATCAAATAATAATATATTTCAAAATTTAAAATTGAAAATCTTATAAAAATACTTCAAACTATCTTCAGTCAAATCCTTTTATATTTATGATATTTCTATCATATTTTTTTTAATTAAATTATAATTAAATCACTATTGATCACTAATTAATATTACTATTAGGTATTATATTTCTGTATAAAGAAAAATGAAGATAATATGAATAATTATAAAATTCTTATCTTAATTTAACCGACCGTGTATCGACGTATAAACGTATACCTTTGTTACAGCTGATATTCAGATATTTAAAAAAAATCTTTTGACCTCTCTTACTCACCATATTTATTTGCGTTAAATTGCCGGTGGTACGAGCGGCTCCGTTCTCGGCCAGTAAGAAAATATAGTGACACAAATAAGCGCAGTAACACAATTTGCTGAGCGGTATCCATCCGCTCCAAGAAAGGAAGTGATTCACGGGACCTTGAAAGAATAAACAGCAGGATGAATAAAGAGCAGCTCTGATGTTGGCATAGTCCGTTTAGCAATTATCTCGCGAGCGCACGCGTTTTAATTACCTGCATAGCCGTTCACGCAGCAAAAGATGATCCAAGAGACTGATAACGCGAAAATCTGTCGATGGAAGCCCGCATAGAAGCTCGCTTCTAAGACGTTGTACACGTGATCTTCAAAGTACATTCCACGTGGTCCGAAAACGGATGACAGACCGATTAGAATCGCAATCAGCCAACCGCAAATCACCTGCCACTGTGCAGAAAAAACGTATAATATATTAGCATGTCGATTTTTTTACAATCTATTTTTTAAGTATATATGTATGTCTATTAAAATATTATATATAAATTATTATATATAAAATATTATATATAAATATTATATATAAAATATTATTAAATATTATATATAAAATATTATATATCAAATAGAAAAAAAATGAATATACTTACGACTCTTAGCTTGACTGGGTTAGATCGCGTCTTATATAAGATGTATCCAAGGCCTAATCCAATGATGTAAGGCCCAAATCTACTGTACACTTTTATATAAATCTCCAAGTATACTTGAGCGACATCCATCTGACTAAAAAAAACATAATACCCTCTTGAGATTATTAAATTAAATTGATATATTCCGGCAAAAAATTTCGCGCGATTTTCGCACACAAAATATAATTCAAAATAACGATTACATAAGATAGTATAACTTTTATAGTTACTTGATAATTAATTCATAAGAATTGTTACACAACATAGATCTAAATTATAAATCATGATAATACACATAAAATATTTAAATTAAATTAAAAAAAAATAATTTGGAGGATTTTGAAAAACACACTCTAAAAATTTTAATAAAATAATTTCTAAGCAAAAGTTGAATGAAAATTTTCTGCACTCACTCCTTGTAGTATAGCATTGTGCCCGTTAGCCCATGTAAATATGTTATAACAAATGGCACTATGATAGAGGAAATAAAATAAATAATCAAAATAAGGATGAAGAAGCAGCTCCTGAACTTCAGCATAGGATAGAGTACAAGCGGTGACAGCCAGACAAGCTGCATATCGGTCGCAAGGTACCACGATTGAGACATGCACTAGAAGCAGACGTAAGAAAAAATATCTTCATAATGTGGATGTTAAAATCGGAGAAATTTGGAAAGCACCGGAGATTGCAAAGTAGCGTAAGACTTAATAAATTCGGATTAAAAAGAAATAATTAAAAATAAGAAAAATCATTTATACAGATTGTGCAATATCAATAATTTTTATATAGAAAATAATCGTTAATTACGGTTCAACAAGTTACGCAATCGATACATTGTTGTATTTAGTACATACAATAATTAATAGCGAAAAATATATAGTAAAGAACATGCAGAAAAAAATCTTAATTAAATTAAAGAGATAATTTACCATGTTTGGCACGTTGACCAAGTTGTTAATGTAGAGGAGATTTGTCCACCAATTTTCACGACAGAAATTCACATTAGAACCAACCCATGTGTCCCAATTTAGTCCCGAGCCTAATTTATAAAACAACGTGGCATAGAAACCGATCATCATCGCGTAGGCTGGTGTCAGTCTGGAAATATAATGAAGAAAGATAGGATGCATACAAAAGAAAACAAATTTGAAAGATGTACTAAAGATAAAATGTCTAATAATATAATAATAAAAATATGAAATTAAAAAATTAAATAAATTATATCATTTAAAATGAAATTATATAATTTATAAAGCCACAAACTCCACTTGAAAATTAAAAGAGCTGACTAAATAAGTATTCGCATTATTATATAATTTACCTGTTTAAATTTTATAATCTATGAGTATTTTAGATAGTCAATATTTTTATATTTATATATAAATATAAATATATATATATATATATGTATTATAATTGTGAAAAAAGTTAATTTACTTCTACATATAAATAACATATGTACCTTATATAACGATGACTATAAAGTCCTACTAAATCGAAATGCCACTTAGTTTCTTTCTGAATCGAAACGTTTCGTTTCTTTTTCAACAATTCGGTGTAAGAAAGCAAAGTGCTGCTTAGAAGAAAGAAAGTGTCCGTAACGATGTTCCCATTGAGTACCAGCATGTTGTTCCACTCGTAATGCATCTTTTTTGTGATAAGAAAAATAATGTCAAAAATTAACGTGCAAATTTTTATGATTATATGTGAAAGAATATAAGACGATTTTTTAAAAATTATATATATACATATTTAACATAAAGAAGAAATTCTTTGTTGGTGATAGAAATTGGAGAGAAACTAGGCGCACAATTTTTTTCACCACTATTTATGAAAAACTGTATAAAATTAAATACTCACTCGTGGAATCTGCGCAAGGTTTATTTTAACACCAACTGCCTCCATGAAATATGTATGCCCATATATTATCCAACAGAGAGAAATAAAGCGTATCCCATCTATACAGCCAATAGAATCTTTACGTCTATCAGTCTTCAATAAATTCTTCCCGTTGGTGTACAAAGAGAAGACCGTAAAGATAACTGCGAGCAATCATTAATTCTGTTAGTTTCGGAAATGGCTCGTAATTTTTTTTATTTACGACGTCTTTATTATATGTTTTTGCATCTACCTTTTGGTTTCGACTTAATAAATCCCCATTGTCCCGCCATCTCGTACATCGTATTGCTTACAATTAATAATGCGAAGAGTGCAAGAATCAGTCTGAAATTTTCCAAAAATTTCTTACTTAAACTGTACATACTTAACAAAAAAATCGATACTTGGATAAATAATTGGAGTTGCATTTACATGTAACAGTAATCTGCATAATCCCAGGATAAGTTAATACTCTCTATGGTGTGACAAGATTCCTTAGGTACTTTAATGATCATGTCTACACGTCCTTCAACTCTCAATGAATCAAATGCGATCTCCAGAGCCTCTTCAATTTCCATATGATTACATGTAGATGGAATGCACCACATCCCTGTGTATTCAACCGTTTTGCCGGATGTCCATTTTATCGCATTCTATATCACAAAATGTGTCAAAATATTAGCTAGGTCATTATTGTAATTACAATATTCATCTTATATACTTATTTTATTTTTCTAATTTTTTTCTTTGCTTTTGTAAATTTTCAAACAAAATTAAAATATTGCATTTCATATTTGGAAATTTAGCTCTAATTAACACTTAAAATTTATAATTTTAAATAATTATAAAATTTGGTATTTTCAAATGTAGATTTTTTAAAATAATTTTTCTTCGTGGATTAAAATTTATATATACATATTTGTTATATTCTTAAATTATTTTGTATTGTCATTTTAGGATTTAAACTGTTAAAATATTTATTGTAAAATGAAGAATATTATTCGGTATTATTCAAATCATTTATATCAGTTGATATACCTATATATATCTTATAAATTGACGGAAACTTGTAAATTGGCGTAGGCTTTTATACAAGGTCTGCAGTGATATTGCATTAATATGAACTCACCGACGCGTTCGCGACATTCACGAATAAATCCCCTAAGTCCAATTCGCGGTCCAGTGTACCATTGTCTGCTGCAATGTCAAATTCCACCGCCACGTTGCAAGCTTGCCCGATAAAGCCATGTTCGTTCTTCACGTGTAAGCATTCGTCGAAATTGCCCAGCTGTTTATAATTGCCCGTGATTACGCCGTATGGTATTTTAATCGAAGCATCGTACACTGTAACAAAGGAAAAGCATATCGAATTCACACAAATCGAATTTTTCCTTTATTAATTATCCGATAAGGATTTTTAACGAACGAGCTTTTTCAACTTTGTAATGAAGATCGGAGCTGTCATTACAATTTTCAGGAATTTTTTAATATTATATAATATATATATATATATATATACACACATATGTATACTTATATAATATGTATAATATATATAATATGATATATAATATATATAATAATATATAATATAATATATATAATAATATTATATATATATATATATATTATAGGTATATATTAACATATTATTATATTTAAAACATGCATATAGGTGTAGTCGATGCGTCAAGGTGTTCTTCTGTCCTCAATCCATGCAACAATCGGCTAGCATTATTTTTTTCTCGCGTTTGAATATCCGGAATCATTATTACAAACTTAATTAAAAAAAAATAATGACTGCTAAAGATGTTGATCTAATATAGATTGAATCAGACAAAGTCTAAATAAAGTTAGTCGCTTGTTAAGTTTTCTATTATCGTTGCTATATATAACATATGATAATGCATTATCCAGAATATCTATATTTTTAAACAAAAATGAAACTGAAGTCGTTGAAGAGTGTTTCGTCACTATAACCCGGTAAAACAATTTTTATATATAACAATATAAAATTATGTATATAGAAATATATAAAATTATACATATAATCACAAAATTATATATGAAATATATAATTAGATAAAAGTGCTTTTTATATATAATAATATAATATATATAATGAATATTTCTTCATATATAATTTGACATGATATATGAACCCTTATAATTTATATATAAATTTATATAATTATGTATAAAAATGTACACACATATAATTTTACAATTATAAGTATAATTATACAATTATTTATATATAATTATATATAAAATTTTTTACCGGCAATCTCGAGTTTCCATCAATTATCCTATACGATTATCTACGATTTTATAATTAATACGTGATCAAAATTTACCCGATCTCAAATCTTCTATTTATTCTATTCCATTTATATATTTTCTTCTCATTTTCCTCGTGATAAGCAAATTAGTTTTAGGAGGAAAAAATTGCTCAATACGCGATCGATTGAATTTAATCGCGGCAGGAGATATAACTGAAACAAACATTCGCGTTGATCGAAGTCGCGTTCAGTTCTACGAGAATAGCGATAAATTATTAAACTTTACTTGGGAGAGAACTACGTCATGCTCTATGATTTATATTATTACTCATCTTCTGCAAACAGAGACGTACGTGATTTCAAGGCGATCCCGCGGTATCCCGCCTCTATAGGTCGCAAAGCTGTGACGCAAAGCAGCGTCAATGTCGCGAGTGCATTAGCTGCGGAAGTGCATCGCGCGATTCGCTGATACGTCGATACGATCCATTGCGAAACTAAATTGATTAGAAAGAGGAAAAACTTGGAAAAATTATAGCGCGATTTAAAAAAATTTTTTTTCTAATTCCCGCGCATGATAGAGCGAACGTTTTTCACATAGAATGCATTTTATATAGATAATTGCAATAATGTATATAGATAATTGCATCAATGCCCCCGGCAACTCTGATAAGAAATTCAACGAATAGAGCAGGATTGGGTATATTTATAATTTTTTTAAACTAAGTTAAGTTAAAGTTAATTGCTTATAACATTAATTTAGTTAAGAATAAATTAACTGAAGTTAAATCAAAAGTTAATTTTTTAAAACATATTAAATTAGAATTTTGTTTGTTAATTGTTTTTAAAAAAAATTTATAATAACAAACAACAAAGAAATTTTGATTTTTATATAGAAATATATTTTTTGGTAATTACATTTGATGACAAATGAACATAAAAATTAATATAATACTTTATTTTAAAAATAATAATAATAATAACGTTTATAACTTATAAAAAACAATAATGGTATTCAAAGATAAAAGAAATTTAACTTAGGAAAAAAGTTAATAAGTTTAAGGTGAAAAATAACTAGTTAAAGTTCAAAATTAATACATTTTAAATTAACTAAGCTAAGTAAAAGTTATTTTTTAACTAATTAACTAGTTATTACCCAACCCTGGAATAAAGGATATGGCTGAAAAATTAAAATATAAATTGCATTTTTATTTCTCAAATTTGAACGATCGGGGCTGTTGACAGAAAGAAGGAAGAGGATTCCCTGAACAGACTTATTTTTCGTATACGAAAAATAGTTGAAGAAACGCGCGAACTGGTCGGGGACCAGCAATTAAAATGGCCTACAGACCAGAGAAAGATCGATCGGTGGATCGCAGATGATCCCTGATACACAAGGACGGTCATCGGCCTCTTGGCTGCATCTCGCTGACCTAGTTTATCTCTCGTTACGACGCACATGCCAACATTGGTCAATATTATTGTTTCTACGCGGCTAATTGCATTTTTTTGCTTAACGAAGCGCTGCTTTAACGCTGATAATTACTGGCCATCGCGAGAGATCAACTATATAGAACGGAACCGCGCGATGACAGATGGGGATGGAGAGAAGTCCTTCTTCGAAAGGGGCTCCTTTCCGTGGATGACTATATAACACCCGTGAGGGTTTTAGGGTGGTACACCTCTCCTCGGGAAGAAAGTGAGAGAAGCGAAGAAGAAAATAGATTGGTTAATGATTATTAAAAAACTACTTCAGAAATTAGGTAACTATTCAGAGTAAAAAATAAAATTAATTATCATAATTTCAGAGAATTCCTCCTATTTCTCATTTATAAATTGACTAATTAAAATATCCATAAATCACATTTCCTTTACGTAAAAAAAGGACATCGCTCGCGATCGCCTTGGAGAATTCAGTTTTTTTAGTACATTTTCCTTCAATTTTTCCTATCTTAAATTCAAGGTTGGGGAAGTTAATGATTTTTTAAAATTAAGTTAAGTTAAAGTTAGTTGCTTATAAAATTGATTTAGTTAAGTTAAAAGTTGCATGAACAAAAGATTAACTCCGTTAAAGTTAAGATTAAATTAACTGAAGTTAAATCAAAAGTTAATTTTTAAAAACATTTATATTAAATTAGAATTTTGTTTGTTAATGCTTTTAAAATTTATAATAACAAACAACAAAGAACTTTTAATTTTTATATAGAAATATATTTTTTGGTAATTATTGATGATAAATAAACATAAAAATTAATAATATTTTAATTTAAAAATAACACGTTTATAACATATAAAAAAACAATAATGGTATTCAAAGATAAAATAAATTTAATTTATTGTTAGAAAAAAAGGTAATAAGTTTAAGGTAAAAAATAACTAGTTAAAGTTAAAAATTAATACATTTTACATTATTTAAGCTAAGTTAAAAGTTATTAACTTTTTGACTGTTTTTTAACTTTTAACTAATTAACTAGTTATTATCCAACTCTGTTTAAATTACATAAAAATTAGCTACCATAGCTGTTCCTACATTGCAACATGAAATTCATATCATGCCTAAATTTTATACAATGAGAAAAAAAAATTGTTAACTTGATTAAATTGTTCAACTAATTACTATTTTGTTTGTTGAACATATATAAGTATTTAAGTTAAGACACACGTTATGTTAAATTTAATATGTTGTATTTAATTAAATACTTTTATATGTTTAATTGGGTTCTATGGTAATTAATATTTTTAACTGTAGTTTAACTGAGAATTCTATAGCTAAAAACGATTAGTTATAGTTAAAATTTAAGCATGATAATTAAATTTCATGTGTGTAATATATAGGGACAGCTAAAATTTAGTTATAGTAACTAATTTTTTTCGTGTAGATGTTACAGAAATAATAATAATGCAATTATAGAATAGCTGCTAATTTCACAATTAATTAGTCAATTTATAAATGAGAAATAGGAGGAATTCTCTGAAATTATGATAATTAATTTTATTTTTCACTCTGAATAGTTGCCTAATTTCTGAAGTAGTGTTTTAACCAATCTATCTATAATCATTAACCAATCTATTTTCTTCTTTCTATTAGGAAATCTTTCGAAATATAAATATTTTATTAACTAATTCACTATCAAATTAATTGCTAATTAATCAACAATTTTCACTAATGTTTTCAAACAATCTATTTTCCCTCTTTTTATCATAAATTTCTACATATTAAAATATATATTTAATATCACTCTATCGATATATAAAAACTATTCGAAAAAATAGATTTAAAAAGATACTATATTGCGAATACACATATATATATCAATGAAAAAAATGTGTTTGTACTGGTATCAAAAGGAATAAAAATACACCGATGGATATTCTTGAAATGCTGTGTTCGCGCGAGATTGACGTAAGAACGTGTGGTAAACAATCCGCTAAATAATTATATCGCCGCGCCGGCGAGATAAAAGCTGTCCTGGAGAATGCAAAACGGCAATGATCTATTCAGCGATGATCCATAATACGCGGGATCCACGTTTATGCGCCAACGACGACGCGTGGGTTAAACGCCTTATAACGAGCCGGTTGCTGTCACCGATTGACATTACGCTATTAATATCAATCAGATCAATGTCATTCGTTAATCTGTGCTAGTGTCTAAGTGTCACGGAGACGATAATTCGCGTCCGCAAAAATGGATACAAGGTTCTTTCGATCGATCATATACACACAAATTCGACTCTCTGCGATATATCATCCCCCTCGATATATCGCGTCTGCGTGCAAATAATCTCGTATATGCGATCTAGACATATACTGAAAAAAATGACTATATTAATACATATTTAGTTCAATACTGTCAAATGAATCATTTATTTGAAACGAATAAATATTTATTTGCAAGGTTTCTTATGAACGACCCAACTGTCAAAAACACAGTTGACAGTTGGGTCGTTCATAAGAAACCTTGCAATTTTATTTCACTCTCGACACGGGAATTATTCTATTATTTCAAATATTTATTTGCTTTGAAAAGGATTTTCTTATATCAAAGAAATATTTTTCATATCAAATTAATATTAGTTTCAAATAAATGATTTTTTTGACAGTATTGAAATAAATACTTATAAGAATTAACTAATTTTTTTTTCAGTGTATGTACATATATCGAAATCCACGCAGTTAAATTTATCCCGAAATTTATTCTCTTACAAAAGTTAAACAAAATAGACGGCGCAAAATTTTGCGACATTTCATCTTTGCACACTTTGTCTTCATTTATGGAGTACATTGAACTAATACAGTTTCTATAATTATCGCTCGATCTAATCTCGTTTTTTTTTTATCCGAATAGATCGATCTGTTAATTGGCGATTTATATTCCACGTGTATCCGCGATATCATGCGTAATACATTAAATGCCCGATAACCTTTCATGATAATTGTGCGCAGCGTGCAATGTCCGATAATTGTATTGAATGATGGCACAATCGCAATCATTTTGTGATCTTACACAGCGCATAATAATACGTAAAGATTATATAATGTTTTTCTTTTCCATTGTCCTTCCTTCGCTCGAGAGAACTACTCGAGTCATCTTCATACAGAGAGATACTTGAAGAAAAAAATCGCGTAGAAAAATATTGCTAGAAAGATAATTATTAAATTGCGATTTTTAGATAGGGAGCTCTTTAGAAGATTAAATATAATATTATGTCGTTTATATAATTAAGTTTTGAAATAAAATTTTATTTTTATATAACGCGTTGAAGAAATCACAATTATTATGAATTATGCATAGAATGACATTATTAGAATTAATTACTGACGCATGATTTTTGTTAAATTAATGGCTTTTTAAAGAATTATATCATATATTCTTTATTTTTGAAATTCAATGAATTATTTTCGCTTTGTCTTCTCTCTTTTTTTTAATTCAAAAGAATGCCAATACTATTTGTCGCAATCAATTCAGCAATTAATAATAATAAAATATATTTTATACAATAATTATCAGTATATAATAAGAAATATTGTACATGGAATATAATAGTATATAACAATATATATGAATTCTCTAATATATTTACACATGCAAAATTTATATAAGTATGTGATGTTTCTTGTAAGACAAGAAAATCGGGAGATCTGTTAAATCATAATATGCATTTAAAAGTTGAGTCTGAAATATCAGCCAAGTATACACTGAAAAAAGTTTATTAACTTAACTAAACCTTTTAACTAAATATTATTTTGGTAATTAAACATGTAAAAACATTTAAATTAAATATAACATATAAAATCTAACAAAACATATATTTGACTTAAATACCAATACATGTTCAATTAACAAAATAATAATTTAGTTCAACGATTTAATTTTTTTAGTGTGTGTATAAATTATAATAAAAAGAAAATTACGTCTTATCTCTAAATTAATTGATTATCAATCGATAAAAATTGTTTATTGGTCGATAAAAATTATCAAATGTAGAGACAAAATGTAGTTCAAATTAAAAGATGGACATGATGAAGTGAAGAGGCTGTATTTAAAATTAAAACCTAATTTAATTCGATTGTTAATTTTACTCACTTTGAAGCGCCCAGGGTGTATATTTCTCGAGTGCCTCGAGATAATATTTGCTGTCACGAATGCATTCCGGTGAGGCGAATTCATGGGGTGCGAAGGGTTTTGCTAGAACCTCCGCGAGAATCGTTTCTGGCCTCTTCCCGCAAACCTTGGTCGTCATCATCAAACTCACCAAAATAATTGCGCACATTCCCCATCTCGAGTACATTAATTTCATCTTCTTTTCTTCTTTCTTTAGTGTTCGATATTAACACTGAAGCTTCTTTATTCGTCCTTCTCTTTATATACCTCTATTGATGAATGAGAGAAATTGGTCAGAGGTGGGCACACACTTAGAATCAGCCAACGTGGCATATAAGGACACGTCTCATGTCTTTCTTATATTTCATCAAATTCGACGATATTTATTAATTCAACTAATTCTCTCGTATACCTCTTTTAATTTAGGGGAAGAGAGTGATGTCGCGCAATGAACTTGGACTGCTTCACAAAGGGTGAAGAGTGACTCGCTCGAGTGGGACTCTCGAAGGGGCGCAGTCACGTGATTTGCATCACGGTTTACCTCCTGTGGCACGTGAGGACACCGTCGTGGATCCGCGTGAAAAGAAGAAAATGCGAGAAACACGACTGTGACTGTGTGTGGATTACGTTCTGTCAACCGGCGCGCCGGTTCACTTATATATTGGACGAACGTACGGTTGGGGGGATAATGAGGGAGGCATTCCGAACTCCTCCGGCCATCTCCCGGGACTCCTCTTATCGATATAAGCGAGGATTACGCATACACGGAGAGAAACGGTCGTCGCCGGAGAGTGGGAAGAAGCTTGGATACACGAAGTCACGACGACCATGAATTCGGTGAATAATAGGGAGCAAAACGGAATCTCTTTTCTTCAAAGAGAACCCGCAGAAAGTCCGGACGATAGCTGATAGTTGGAAATAATGACAGGTATACGCAACAAATTTTTATTACTTTTTGATAAATTCATATTGAAATCCCAGATAGCACCATACCCAAAATTGGTGGATAAAATATTTGTAAGGTCTTTTTAAGACGTCTTTGGGATATCATATTATAAGATTTCTTAAAGATATCTGAAATATATCTTGATGATGTACACTAATTTGGAACATAGTGCTATCTGTGACATATCACCTAGGTAAAATATAAATCTTATAATAACATTATTATAACGTACAGTTAAGAGTTCTTTTGGAAAAATCTCATTTGATACATTTTTAGCTATGTTTTGATGACTTATTTATATTGACTTTAATATGACTTCAAAGAGAAGAATATTATGTAAAATTAATTGATACACGAAATATATTTGCATTATATATATTATTATATAAATAACTTTTTTGAAAGTTATATAATGCGATCAATGGACTTAAAATCTATGATTCTTTTTGTCATCTTTAAATCATTTTTTAATCATTTTTGTTTGGGTAACTTGTAAGTGATGAATAAAATCATGATGACATCATTATGATGTCATTATGAGTTTTATGTTCTACCTGGGTATATACACATATAACAAGAATATACTTTTCTAAAGAAGAAAGTATCAATATTTTTTTATTAGTGGAAAATATCCATCAAGTTTCATTTTTTAAATTTGTTTGAGAAAAACTTCTTACAGAGGGATAGAAAAATATATTTTTATATATAAGGAACCCCCTCAGTTTTCAACTATGAATAATCTCCAAAAATTTTCCCATTTATTAAATACATGAATATCCTGTATATACATATGTGCAGGGTGAGTCATCTAACAATAAGACAAGTCACCGAAATAACTCGTTTTTTAAATACAAATAAATACTTCAGGTAAAAATTGTATGATATCGAGAGAGACATCTTGCGTAGGTGAACATTTTTTGCTAACTAACAATAAATAAAAATTCTTAGGAGATTTGAAGATCGTTTTTATCTTTTAAAGTGCAAAACTTTTGTCATAAAAAGTTATAAGGATAAAATGGCCAAAAAGTAAATAATTGACGAGATATTTGTTACTTTAATTTGACGTAATTTTGCATAAACTCTGAAATATAAAATATTCATTTTCGATAATTATGTCTTAATACGTATGCACAAAATAATGAGAAGAGTTCACTGGAGTAAAGAAAACACATAATTGTCTTTAAGAAAAAAATATGTTGCTAATTGTAAATGACATACTTTTTTTAAAAACAATTAATTAATAATTATTCTTTACACCAAATTGATTCTTATTATTTTGTGCATAAAAATATTAAGACATGATTATCAAAAATGAATATTCTCTGAGATATTTTACAGTTTATAAAAATTAAAATAAAAATATTTTGTAAACTATTCACTTTGTGACCTTCCTATCCTTATAACTTTTTATATAGAATATTACTATAGGAATTAATTCTATTTAGAAAAATGAAAGTAATCTTCAAATCTCTAGCACTTCCATCCAGGAAAAAAATGTTCAAGCAAGATGTTTCCTTCAATACTATATGATTTTTATTTTAAGCATTTCTTTTTATCTGAAAAACTACGAGAGTTATTCAGGTGGTCTGTCTTAGGTAATTCATCCTATATATAATTAATAAAAGATATATAGGTATGTGAAAAAATATAATTTGATCGAATTTAATTTTTTTTATTTACTATTTTCAATTTGTTAACTCGATAAAATTATATTTTTCTTGACATCGTATATTATATTTTTTATTAATTTATATTAATTTTAATTTTTAATTGTATTATACAAAATATTTCTCAGCATAAATGTACATTTATACTTATCCCTTTTGAATTTTTAAATTGAAAAGGCTAGAATATTGCCTATCAAAAGAATAAAAAGATTATTTCAATAATTTAAACTGAACTCTTCAGCGTGAAAGTTGTGAAACTTGTTTGAAAAATAGAGAGATAAGCAAATTTATTCTTTTATCATTAATATGATGTTTTAATTAAAATTCTAACACTTTTCGGGGACTAAAGATTTAAGAACTGATTTCACAGGATCTATATATTTTATTTATTATAAGAAGGGCCAATGACTGCATGCAGTGACCTTGTAAAATACTTTTCCCGACTGAAAGTGACTTATTTTTCATATTCTAACACGAATATCATCACGTGGAATATAAAATTGATATTGAAATTACCCAACCAGTTCATTAGACTTTAATCGTTTTGGATTGCATACGTTTTGAATCTCGTGTATCTTCGATAATGTCAATCACCTACTTAATTATCATTAAATTATCAATGATTAATTATCATTAAAAGACCAAAAAAATTTCGTCACCCGCGTAAAAAATATCATGTCGCAATGTCTGAAATTGAATAAGAAGCTAAACTTCAAAAGCTGAACAATGCTCTTAAAAAGAGTTAAGATTTAAAATTCAAATTCTTGAGAAACAATTAAAAATTTGTTTAGAAAATTTGACTATAAGGATTGTTTGAGGGTCTCGAAAAATGTAAAAAGCTACCAAGAACAATCTTGGAGGTCTCGGATGAAGAAATCCGCTACTCTTTACATTTCTATGTTGTTTTTCGCAGGAACCATAATGCGAGATTATCGCAGCTTTGAATCGACTATGTCTCATTCATTTCATTCAATCACTGTTAGATCATGGATCTGAAACGAGCCCCGTCGAAGATATACAGAGAAGGCAACTGTTGTATGTTCAGCTCTAAGCAACTAATAAGGATTCTTTAATCTCATTCGTTTATAATAAATGTACACATGTTTAGGTCAAGGCCAGTGTATTGGATATGATAATCTATAGAAATAAAGAGACCGGTGCATATCGCTGACAGTTGCACAAGTAACATTTTGAAGGTCATCTAGTATAAGTCATGCGTCGTTTCTTTTCGATTCGCTTCTCGTCGTCGCTGCGCGATTCGTAATGATATCTTATTAAAAATCATATAATGTATATATCTGTTGCAATAAATCTCACCGTATAATTTTCATCGGAATTTTATTTAAATTTTTCATGAAGGTATAAATTAGTTATTATAATAATTCATACATCTGCTATAGGATTTATATGATACATTAAAACGAATAAAGAAATAATAAATTAATTATTTTTTTAATTTGTCATAAAATAGTGTAATCTTAATAATTCATATGTCCGCCAAGATATGATATATTGAAGTGAATAAACAAATAATTAATAATTTTTTTTTTACTTAAAATAAGAATTTTTTCCAAGGGTCTGAAAAATAAAATAAATCTCGATGATTATATATATATATATATATATATATATATATATATATATATATAATTCTTATTATATATTATTATTTATTATATCCTCAAGAAATTTTACTTTTTTAATTAATTTTCAATTTTATCAACTTGAAATTGGCACTTTACTACTATAATTAGATAAGTGCGATTGAAACAAGCTCGATTTAAAATCACGCACACAAATTACGGATATCTTATCGCCCAAAAGAATATGAAATCTTGAAGTCGTGTTCGGTTCGGTTATTATAGGCTCTGGAATTTCTCATGAAATCGACATACAAAATTTCTACCAGCATCGTTTCTCGAAGAAATTTCCTCTCTCATCCTTGGCTGCTGTAAATGTAATGACCCCTCTACGTAATATTACGATTGCTTGACAGGACATTGACCAGTACATTCGACTTTCTCGACGCCTGTAATCGAAAAAAAAATATATATATATAACGTGAACGAACTTTCGTGAGTCGTCCCACATCAAATTTTGAAACTCGGCGTCGCCTTTTAAAAACATGCATATGCATTAGATATACATGCATATTTATATACTATTAGCTTATATTGTATATTCATACGAAAACGATAATGCAGATACACTAATGTTACGTTATGTTTGTCGAATTCGCTGTAATCTTTCGTTTACACTGGCTGATTTTCTTTCATTTCCTTCATTTACAATTGATCTGCTATCTACCGCATCAAATAAACGTTATATCACACGGAAATCTCTCTGATAACATCGTACGTTATCTGTTCGTCACCTTCACGCAATCAGTATATATTTCTCGTTCGATCATTGTTTTTGCCAACTTTGAATTTTTCCCAGATAATAAAGGTGAAGAGATCGAGTTCATTCACCTCGAGTATTCCGGATAAGAGAGGAAATGCGAATATCCTGTCGACGCAAATTCTAGAAAATTATTTTTTTACACATTATTTTTATTGTCAGTTCTAAATAGATCGAATTCTACGATTTTTGCGTATTTAATGATATTTAATTAAAAAGATGAAATTAGTTCTCTTTATTTTTGTTGATTCAAAATGCATACATATATCTCCATTGAATATAATTATGAAGATATATATGACATCTTTCGTACAAAATTATCTTTCTCAAATCCTTGTGAAAATACTTCTATTTTCTCCCAAAATATAATCGATTATACATCTTCCTTTCATTATCCAAATAACGTACTGATAAATGTACTGAAAATGTTTGGAAAATACTTTGAAGGACGGCAAAAGCAGAAAATCTGAAATAAAATACCTCGTGTCGTTTTAATTATGAATATATTTTTATATATGTAAAGTAAAAATACGTAAAACATGTCTCTCTTCCATATATCGTCTCTTCCGTCTCTTCTCGTATCAATATACGATTTTTCCTAACGATCGTTAAATTCTCATTCAAGTACAATCCAATAATGATAATATGTCGCTTGAACACTTGTTCTATAAATATATAAGCCAACGCTATGTATATAATATCGTATCAAAGGATTTACAATACGGGTCGTACGTTAATACTGGGTACACTTTTGACAAAATATTTACAATGTTTTTCAATTATTATACCGTTATCACCCGTATTTACATTGTATTATTGTACATTTGTGAAGGAATGTTTAGCCGATAAAATTGCTATGTCTATTATAAAGATTGAATAGATATCAAGTAAAGTAAAATTAAATAAACCTGTTCTGCCTATAAATAAAGTGCGATACTTTCTATAAAATACAAATACTATGTGTATAAAAAAGTGTCATGATACATCATGATATACATAATATTCCTCAGCACCAAAAAGTACAATAATATATATATTTGTTAGAATTGCTTTAGAGAGAAACACGTTTAGAAACCGTTACTATTACCATCCTAGCTTAGGGAAGAACGCTACAACATCCTGAAACACCTCTTCGGGTGTATTCATAGAATTAACTTTATAAACTAAGCCCTGTTGCTCGTACATTTTTATTATTGGTAATGTGTTTTTCAGGTAAGTCTGATGACGAAGAATCAAGGATTGCTCGTTATCGTCACTACGACCGCTCCCACTGGCTCCACGATGCAGACAACGTTGAGTGCAGACTTCCTCACTGCATTCGCAGAATATTACGCCTTTTAATAACACCTTGTCAGCCATCACCTGTAAGTACATAAAAACTTGTAAGTACATCAAATTTATCATAATATAATAGATAAATAAAACGTCGAATGTGCAAGATCAAAATTTTCCCAAATTTAGCTTTAGCTAAATTTAATTTTGATATGATAATTTAATTTATTGATTCTTAGTTGCCCAGAATTATTTATAAATTTTAATTTTGATATGGTTATTTAAAAAATTCTAAATGCTAAGAATACAATGAATACATGAAGTCGAAATAATAGAGTGAAGTTGAATTAATGAATTGGAATTATAAACTGTTCCACATGCACAGCACATATACATATGTGTGTGTGTGTGTGTGTGTGTGTTGTGTGCGTGCGTGCGTGCGTGCGTGCGTGCGTGCGTGTGTGTGTGTGTGTGTAAATAAATTGTCTGCATGAATGAATCATCTTAACCTTTTATCATCATTTATATTTCCATCAATTAAACTATCATAGAGTAAAAATATAATGTTGATTCTACCTGTCAATTTATATAGTTGTTATATAACTATACAGAAACTACAAGAAATGAATATTTCCAAGTATATAAATTTGGAAATAATGATATCGTATAACTAATACTTACAGAAAATCTTTGATTCTTTTTTTAAATAGCATTTCTATATATTTTTATATGATGATACATAAAATATATCTTTATATTTTTCAAATTTGATGTAGAAATGTTATTTAAATAAAAAAATTAATGTTTCTTTAAATATTATAGCATGGTATCACCAAATGTTGTCAACATAATCCAAAATATTTTTTTAAACATTTTATAGAAAAGTCAGTGTTATCTACAAATATATTTCTCGACAAAACGTTATCGACATGTCGCGCGCGTGGAATTAATTAGATATGCAAGACAGAAAGAGTGAGAAAATAGCTCTCTCTCTAGAGTACCTTATTCCAACCGTCGAGGTTATCTTGATTCCTAGGGAAGCCGTCAATGAGAAACCGATTGTGAGGATTCTCGGAGGTTTGCATGGCGCGGTCGATGAGGCTGCAGGTGATCTCCACGGGGACGATGGTGCCGTTCCTGATGTGGGTCTCGATGAACTCGCCGTACTGCGAGCCCGGTTTGACGCGTTCCTCGCGCAGCAGGTCGCCGGCCGACAGGTGGACATAACCGTAATGCTCGACGATGTAGCGGCACAGGGTGCCTTTGCCGGCGCCCGGGCTGCCCAGGATGAACATCACCTCCGGCTTCCGGTTCATCGTGGCGGCGGACATCGCGCGGATAAAACGTCGCGCACCGGTCGCGAGGAATCGCAACGTATACATGAACGTCACGACGATCAATCGGACTCCCTCTCCTCCACGCCTGCTGCACCACGTGACACATGTCACGTGATACGTGACATATGTCATGTGACACGTGACATATGTCATGTGACACGTGGCCGCGCTGGCGCCATTCTTAAAAGGCAGCCGCGTCGTCCCGCCTTTTTTTATGTCAAAAACGACACGAGATTGTCTCCTTTTAATTTTAGAAATTTTTGATAAGAAATATCTGATCTGTAACTTTATAAGAAATATCTAAATCTGTAGATAATACTGATTTTTTTCTACAAGTTAAAATGTTTCAAAAAAGAAAAGCGATATCTTCGCGCGAATATATATTGTTCAAATATATCGATGTGTATAAAATCGATTAATCGAGATAATCGGTAAAATTGATTAATCGATATGAAAGCAAGCAGACGAAATAATCGTTATGCAATCGTGTGCGAACCGCGAAATTATAGGATGGCGTAAAGACCGAAGTACAAAACGCCGAAGTGATTGAAATATACAGCAACATGACTGTGATGTAATCTACTTTACGATAGTAAGGACGGATCTATTTTTAAAATGATTGTTATTCGTTATCGTAAGTTTATCTTTGAGTTTGCAATTTGCTAAATACACAATCAAACTTTCCACCATGTGACAATTCTCGTTCACAAACATCGTAATAAATTAAATATTTTACATTTTGTGGTAAATTTATTCTCGTATCAAGAATTTTGATAATAAAGTGTTAAATTAGCTGCTAAATCGATTTGATTAAAGGTAAATTGGTCTACGATCTTGAGGTTATATTCTAACCATACTTTACGATGGATGTGATTATTCTTACTTAAAATGTACAGAATATTCAACCAACAAATATTTAGAGATTGTTGGAAGCATGCTAAGACTCATTGTTTTAAATTAGGGTGCTCTTGACAATTTTTAAACATTATAGGTTGAATATCCGAATACCCTGTATATATTACATATTTATGAAAAATTTACAATTTAAAAATAAGTCAAATGTTTTAATAAACATGAAGAAAAGATAATGATAAAAAGTCACAATAATGTAGCTAACTTAACGACAAAATTTTTATATTAATATAAATAATAATTTATTATTTCTATTTATAATTTTATTATACATATAGGATATACTATATCTTTTTAAAATATATTGTTATAGGAGTGAAACAATGTTAATTATAAAAAGATGCCACCATTTTACTGGAATTATTAGTATGCTGTCGCATAATGCATTTTCTAGCTTTACATTAAACTGTACAGCTAGGAATCTTTCTAGGCTATGCGCAGAGGTTCGTACTTTATCCATAGCACATGACAAGTATACGCATAAAGTGAATCCCAATGCGCAAAAGATTGCCCATTCTTTGTTAAGGACAAACGATGCACTGACTCATGTTAAGTTAGCACTTTTGCAACAGAAAAGATGCTTGAGTATCGCTGCTACGCTAGTCAATAATGCCTCGCCTAAAGTTCAACCATATATGAAACTTATGAGAATAGATAAACCAATAGGTAAAGAATTCAATTATTTTGTTGATTAGGAAGAGTTAACACACACTATATATTTCAATCTGTTGATTTTTTTTAATTTGCCATTAGGAAGCTGGTTATTATTTTGGCCTTGTGGCTGGAGCATTTCAATGGCAGCTCCTGTTGGTGCTCTACCAGATTTTCAAATGTTAGCACTTTTTGGTATAGGAGCTTTCATAATGCGTGGCGCAGGATGTACTATCAACGATATGTGGGATCAAGATATCGATAAGCTGGTAAAGCTCTTTTATAGCAATATATTTTACAAAATTCTCACAGAATATTACAGAGAGAACTTATATTACTAGGTAGCTAGAACAAGGGATAGACCTTTGGTAAGCGGTCAAATAACGCAGATGCAGTCATTAATATTTCTAGCTGGGCAATTGAGTCTAGGGTTACTTGTATTGTTGCAATTAAATTGGTATAGTATATTTCTTGGTGCCAGCTCACTAGGTACTAAATAATATGCTAAAGTCTATAAAAGGAATAAAATTAAAATATTTATAATTTATCTTATGTTTTTCTTTTTTGTAGGTTTAGTAATAATTTATCCTCTCATGAAAAGAGTGACGTATTGGCCGCAATTAATTTTGGGTATGACTTTTAATTGGGGCGCGTTATTAGGATGGTCTGCTATACATGGATCATGCGATTGGTCCATCTGTTTACCATTGTACATAGCTGGTATTTGTTGGACCATTTTGTATGATACGATATATGCTCATCAAGTGAGTATAGAAATGTAACTTTTTCTCATGCTATCTCTTCTTACATCACTCTCTTTAATCTTTTTATATGCTAGGACAAGGTAGATGACATTTTGATAGGTATGAAGTCAACAGCCATAAAATTCGGTGATGATACGAAATTCTATCTGTCTGGATTTGGAATAGTTATGATTGCAAGTTTAATTGCCTCTGGTCTGTTAACTACTCAAACTTGGCCTTATTATACTTCTGTTGGATTAATTGCAACACATATTAGCAATCAAGTAAATGTTCTGAATTACTTTGAATGAATAAAATTTCAAAAAATCAAAGGAGATATATACTAAAATATATATAAAATAATTTCTTCCAGATACATTCTTTGAATATTAACAATCCTACGGATTGTGCTAAGAAATTCATATCGAATCACAGAGTGGGTATGATACTATTTGCTGGTATTGTATTAGGAAATTTAATGAAGAAATCTATAAAAAAAGAGAGCAAAGTTGAAGAAGAAACAGAGCACCAAACTATTACTGTACTACACGAAACCAAAAATAGCCATAACTGTAATTAGTCAGAATTTTAAGATATTATTTGTAAATTATATGAAATTAGATGAAACAAAAAATTGATATTATTACATCATAAACTACATCCTTTTATAGATTTCATTAATCATAATATTAATATTATGATTTAACAGTATTAATAATTTAACTCATGAATTTATGATTTCAGGAGACAAGTTAATAATTCATATTAGAAAATAATGTGTGATTGTTGTTAAATATAATTTTAAATAGTCTTCATTATACAAAATAGAATCTCTTTTTATGGATAATGTGCTAACATTAATAAAATTCTTCAAAAATAATTGTTGATCGCCAGTGACAATTTGAACCAAATAATGAGATGCAAATTAATTCGACCAAAAACTGGCTATTCATTTATTAAAAATAAGTAAACACACACTGTGCCAGTTTTTGGTCGAATTAATTTGCATCTCATTATTAATAAAATTATTAAACTATTAATATTTTGTAAAATGTAAAACAAGGAAAAGAAAGAATTTGATTAAAAAAGCAAGGTAAATAAAAATTAAATGCAAAATTTATTTGTTATGTTTTTATTATTACTAATTTTTTTAGAATTTGTCTTTTTCTTATAAAATACTGTATTAAATTTGTTTTGACCAAATAATTTTTCATCCAATGTAAACTAAATATTTCCACATATTGTACTTTATGTATCTGCTACTGTTTTTTCTCTTTCTTTAATTAGTTCAATATATTGTTCATGAGTCAGTAAAGATTGTTTCAAATTGTCTAGAAACTTTAGATTTTGTAAAATTATAGCCAAATAGCCACCTTTATGTGGTGGATTTTTGAGAAGCCTTGGATTTTCCATCAATAACTCGTTAACTTCCACTAATTTTCCAATCATGCAGCACTTAATCATATAGGTCTGTCCATCAGAACATGATATACTACAGATATTCGAATTAGTTTGCAATGGTTGCGCACCATGTTTACCCTTTCCTGAGACTTTATTCTGAGACCTGTCTAATTTATCGCTGACCTTAAAGTTGACTTTTGTTATGTCTTTATCATTTTGCAGAATGACATGACTAGGTGCCAGGGACAGCATACAAATACGATTGCTGTGTATTCGTATACATATATCATCTCCAGGCGATTGGACGTTTATTTTGTAATAGGGAGTAAAATAGCGATCGGTAACAGTAGGAAGATAGCCATTGTATTCCACCTCGTTCAACATGTCAGAAGCATCATCATCAGGAGGAAATTGAAACTCGTCATCATCGTCAACAATTTCTGCGTTTTTATCATCGCCTTCCATTCTTTCCTTATCTTCCTCTCTCTTTACAGGAAAGATTTCCTTATCTTCCTCTCTCTTTACAGGAAAGATTTCCTTATCTTCCTCTCTTTACAGGAAAGATTTCCTCATCTTCCTCTCTCTTTACAGGAAAGATTTCCTCATCTTCCTCTCTCTTTACAGGAAAGATTTCCTTATCTTCCTCTCTCTTTACAGGAAAGATTTCCTTATCTTCCTCTCTCTTTACAGGAAAGATTTCCTTCGCATCGGAAGTATCAGTCACATTTTCTTGAATGTCGCTATTTTGCTCCCTTTTACATGACCTCTCGTTACACTCATTCTCAGACTTTATACGTTTGATCTCCGGCTCATGAACATCTGTTATCAAATCCATATTAAATTCCAAGTATTTAAGTATTTAAACAAAAATGACAAATGTGATCCGTAGTTGTCAAGTAACATATATGTACCCAGACAATATAAGATTACAAAAATAAATTCTAATCTAATGACTTTTAATAATCATTAATTATTAAATTATTAATAACAAAACCAATCATGTGCTAATTAATTGCTACTTTCTTGTTGCACGATTCCTCTCGCCTCTAACCTCTTGTGTCTAAATTCTGCGCTTTCTGTCCTACGAATTTCTCTCTGTAACAAACGAAGAGATCGATCGCGCGTTAATTTTTTAACTCTTTAATTTTTTTACTTTTTAATTTTTTATGCTCTTTATCAAATATCAGAAAATATCAACATGTATTATTTTAAACTTGAACATAGTGACTATAACATTTTTTTTTTTACATTAAGCATTTTTCGTTTTTCAAAAATCAAGGAGGACCTACTTGTTCCTTTATGCATTCCTTCATCTGCTTCTGAATCTGCTCGCAGTATCCCAGGAATCTTCGATAAGGATGCTGCAAGTGCGAAATGTTTGTTGACAGTTGACAGGTTAGATTTATGGTGAAAATTTAACAACCAGCTGTCATTCATTACCTCATTCTCGCAGTCCTGAAACTTGTAAAATATCCAGTTACAGGCGGAATTGTGCGCGGCCAGGGATTTGTAATTCATTTCCCTAAGCTAAGTCGTCCTTCCTTAATTATCCGCATGTGTTTCTCGTTATGCAATCGCGAGAACTGACTTGCCAGTATGTACCACGTTACATTTAAAAATTTATTAATTAATATTAATATATTATTAATTAATAATATAATTATATTATATTATTTTATTATATTATTAATTATATTATTTTATTAATTTATACATTATTAATAATCTTAATTTCGTCCTGCAAGCACGAATTTATATTTGCGAACAAAAAACATGGAAAAATTTGTTTTTAATTTTAATATGAACATTTATTATAGGTTAAATTATTTTATGAATTTATTATTGGACACTGAATAGTTTTATGTTAGGAAATAATAAAATATTAAATTTAAAATTTTTTTAATGAAATAATATTTAAAAATACATGACATTTTTAAAATTTATTTAACATTATCTTAGAAAAAATTCGCTAAAATATAATAGATGAATAAAATTTTGAGACGTATCAATAAATCATGAATATAAATTCTTTAAATTTGTGAAAAACATTTTAACATTAATATATCAAAAACTTAAAACTTATTCAGATAGATTCTATATATAAATCATGGTGGAAGAATAATATGATATAAATATTAAATCAATAAATTATGCATCAAATGTAGAAAACATAATTTGTGTGTAATGATGCTCTTTTTTTCAATATCAACTTGTAACATGTATTATTTTAAACATTGTGGCGGTAACATTTTTTTACATTAAGCATATAGCTTGTCGATATCTTTGTGCATATATACATTATACAAGTTGCTCCGAATAGGCTTTCACAATCCTATAAAAGTTAACTTACAAGAGATAATTCTAAAAATGCATACTATGGTAAATACTATAAAAACTACAATACGACTACAATAAAAATCAATAAGCTAAATGAATGCTGATAATTACAGAAATTATAATTTGACAGAAAATGTATAATTTGCATAAACATTATATATAAAACATATATTTTTTGTAGTAGGTTTGTTTTAGATACAACTGAATAAAGTCGATTGAAAAGATTAAAAAATTAACTGCAATTAAAATTAATTCAAAGATTTTTGCATTTCCTATGTCTCACACTATGTTATCCAGAAGTAAACAAAATGAAAGTTTCTATTATGACTAGATATGTATATAAAAACAAAGATATTTAACGATTTAATTCTGAATTCTTAATTAAACATTGTTTAAATAAACGTTTTCTTAAGAGTTGTCAAACTGTAAATTTCTGTAATTACCAGCATATTCATTTAGCTTATTACTTTTTATTGTAATTGTATTGTAATTTTTATAGTATTTGTAAGCACTTGTAAGCTAACTTTTATAAGATTATAAAAATCTATTTAGACTAACTTGTATATTGTATGCACAAAGAAATCAACAAAACATCTAGGCAGAATAGAAAACTTTCATTTTGTTTACTTCTGGATAACATAGTTTTGAGATACAGAAACGAAAAAATCTCTGCATCAATTTTAATCAGTTAATTTTTCAATCTTTTTATTGGCTTTATTCAGTTGTACTGAAAACAAAACTATTACAGAAATTTTAATGAAATCGTCTTACGTTTTAAAAGCCTTAGCCATAGCCATTTTATTTATCAAATAGAGTTGTGTATTATCATCCAATCTGTTAAAAAATTTGCTTAATATAGTTGTTGTATCCTTCAATATGAACTGGAAGCAATATTCCTCCAAATCCTAAAAATCATATGGCATTTAAGATATATATTTAACAATTAAAGTTCGACATTAACAAAAAATTATAAACTGTAATAATTACTTTCATATTACATTGAAGTGCTAAATTATAGATAAAAATGACATTCAATGTGGTGATTCCTGATTCTATTATCATCTCACTACATTGATATTTTAGTATAATCTCGTTGTTTGTATTAGCTAAAGTCAACAACTCTGTAAAACAAAGTAGCTTTCTGTACACATATAAACAATAATAAATCAATATGTAACTGCTTAACTTACCTAAAACGTCTTCGATAGTAGATAATTTGATTGTTGCAGTATATAAATATTCCAGATAAGCTTTATACACAACATAAGAAAATTGATTATCCTCGATTACACTGTCGAAAGAAAATATTGACACGCGATTAAATAAATATAAATAACTTTTAATAAGAATAGTATACTGATTCTTTCTTAAATACATATTTTATGTACATTATACCTTAGATTTTTTTCTGCCACTTTAGTGAACATGATTTCATAAAATTTACTGCGCAACATCAGGATCGTTTTATGTACATAAATAGATTTTTCATTTACTTTTATTACGAGATCACTCGTCTTCTGTTTCAAAGAGAATATGGAAATTGTTAAAAACGGATCTATTGACACAATACTAATTATATAATCTAAATTTAAATTTTACACACACATACACATAAAATTAATAAACTTGGTAATTAAATCTCGAACTAGAATTGAAGTAAATTATTAATTTAACTGATTTGTAAAAGAAAATTAAAATATAACACACACATAGACAAAATTATATTTTATAATTTGAAAATGTAAAACATGCAGAAATAACAAAAGTTGGATGAGACATACGGAATCATTGAACGCAGCTTGTATGCATTGCAATATCCTGTTCGACGTTTTATTTACACGTATGGGCATATTTACGTGGTCGAAATCACAATCATTAGTTATGAACGGCACATTGTATGTGAATACATCGTATATATTAGAAAATGATGTGATAATCGGAGTTGCAATTTTCTCACCAAAACAGCAACCCCATACATAGACATGGTTATCACAACCGAGAGCGACACTTATGTCACTTGTATATACTGCTGCGACGTCCAATATCTTCTCTTTCATTGACAACTGTTGAACAAAAAATCGTATTTTATTTTTCGTGGGTTTTTTTTTATCATAGCTATTACATATTAAAATAAATCACCAAATTAGGACAAGGGGAATCCTTTTCGTTGCCTATACCCAATTGTCCATAATTATTTCTACCCCAGGTGTAAAGTTTTCCTTCATTCGAAAGCGCCAATGTATGCTCTTTACCGCAGACTACTCGAGCTAAAACATTAAAATTGGTCATTATATTTGTAAATAATCGCCCTTTTTTAAACAAACAAAAGAATTTTACTTATTATTTTATCTGAGAATGTAGTAATTTCCACTGGAGAATAACAGACTTTATTGCATTGTTTATTTATTTTGTGTAGAGGATTTTCAACAGTATGTCCCAATTGTCCATATTCATTGTTGCCCCAACTATATACCTTACTTGCATAAGTGATAACAATACTAAAATTTGAACCACAAGCAATATGTGAAATTCTCTTTTCACTCAAAGCGTCTAATATTATTTCAAACTTATTCGTGATGTGTATGTGATCTTCTGTTAAATGATGTTCATTTACATTTACATTGTAAGAGTGCTTTCCCCAAATACACAGCTAAATCATATATATATTTTAGTTATCTAACTAGTGTTATAAAAATGATAATTATATTGATATTATCATATTTCAATGATTGCTTACATTTTTATCTGCAGTGAGAAAAAGAAAATATGTAGCACTACATGCAACATCTATAATTTCTTTGTCACGCAACTCATCAAGTTCAAAAGGTGTTTTATGTACAGATTGAAATGTACTTGTACCCCAGAAATATACCTTTTAAAAGCAATAATGTTATAGATTTTAATATCATATTCAGTCTTACTGCTTTCATATATAAAATATCAAAATTTAATTAAAAAAAATCCTGCAGCATAAGTTTGCAAAAACAATGTTAAATGTTTTTATATATATAAGCTAATTGTTTTTTTTTCCATAATTTGATATATTTTTACTTCTATTTTACTTTTTCATTATATATATAATTTTTAGTATACCTTTCCATTTAGAAGTGCAGCATTACATACTTCCAAACAACAACAAAATTTCTTTATAGGATATCCACTCAACATTTTTATTTTTTCAGGATATAGTATTTTATTTGTGACATTTTCCACATTCTCAAATCCTAATCGCTCATTGTCATTAGTGCCCAAAGCATATACCATGTTGTTTCTCATCGCGATTATAAATGCCTCACCGTGTTCACCTGTTTTAAAATGCCAAATATAAATAATGATATCATCAATGAAAATAATGTAAATAAAAGCGATAATTACCAAATATCATAATTTTATATATATCCATTATAAAGTTCGAATCCAATAAATTAAGCATTGGCCATCTCTTCAATTCAAAAGGATGTTGTCTCGTGAAATTATATTGCGCTTGTTCCTCTCTGTCAATAATTTTTTTTAGTAAAATTGATCGCTAAACTAAAATTAATCCTTATCGACATTTGACTTAATTCTATTTTACTTTTCTTTTTATTTTTATTATATATAAAGAATTCTGTGATTTATTAAACTAATAGTTTCTGTGATTAAACTTTACAATTATACGATAAAGACATATCTCTTAAAAAAAAAATTTAACTTACGGAAATTTATTTGAATATGATTTAATTACAGTCCACTCTCCGATATTTCTGCTCGGGCGACCCATTTTGCGAATATAAGTTAAATGTTTAAAATTTGACCTGTTTTGCTTAAATTTCGGTTTTGTTTTTCTTTTGCGTAAACATATATTTGAAAAGTAAACATTGTCGGTCAACAGTAGCAAGAAAGTTTCGAGTCGTTAAAAATAACATTTTTGAAAGTTAGGAAAACTAACAGATCTGGTACAACTTACATAGAATCAAGCAATAATAACAGAACAATAAAAATAGAAATATATGCACTAGTAGGAACAGAGAATAATATCTATTCTCTGTTCCTATTGGTGCATATTTCTATTTAATGTTTCTCTTACTTTATATTATATTACTTTTATATTGTGTGATAAGAAAACAATAAGCTAAATGAATATAAATGCTAACAGAAATTGAAGTTTGACAGAGCATATGATACATCGTATCATATAGATAATACACAAATGTAACTATTATGCACTAAAAAAATTTATTTTATTATACAAGCACATACAAAAATTATATTAAAAAATTAATTAGAATTTATGTTCAAAATCAATTCAGATATTTACTCGCTTCTATACGTAAGATTATATTTACTACCATACTAGAAATAAATAAAATACAAAAATTTTCTCTTAAGATTAGATATATCTGGAAATAAAAGTATTTGATGGTTATTCTACTTTCGACTAAAGCATAAGAAAACAAATTATGTTTTCAAAGCACCCTCTTTGACTAATTTAAATATTAAATCAACTCTTATTTCACGATTCAAATTTTTGAAATATGCACTTGATATTGCATCTGTTGTATTCCTTAATATGAACTTAAAACTGTATTCTTCCAAATCCTGAAAATTATATGGCACTTGATGTAAATATTTACATTTAGCATTTTGCACTTACATTTAGTTAATAAAGTTTAACATTAGTTAATTATGAACCATAATAGTTACCTTTAACTTGCGTTGAATCGCAGACTCATAGACAAAAAGTACATTTAATGCATGGACTCCTGACTTTATATATTGACGACAAAGATGCTCAAGTCTAGGCTCGCAATATGCATTAGCTAAGACCAACATCTCTGTAAGAAAAGGCGTTATTTTAATTGTACACATCTAAGCAAATATATAAATAAATCATGGCATTTATATTTAATCACTTAATTTACCTAACATCTCTTCCACTCTAAGAACAAATCTATTCGTATATAAATATTCCAGATAAGCTTTATACACACAGTAAGAGAATTGTTTATGCTTAATCACACTGTTAAAAATTGATATATGATTAAATAATTAAAATTAAGGAATTTTTAATAAGAGAATAGTACAATATATTAATTCTTTTTAAATACCTGATATTCTTATCTGCCCAATCATGTTGGAACATATATCTGAAATATGTACTGCGGATAACCAGAATAGCTTTATGTACATAAATAGATTGCTTTTCTACTTGTATTATGAGATCAGTCTTCTCCTGTAAGAGAGAATATATGGATAATATTAACAAAATATAAAATATATATGTAATCTATAAATCTGAATTTTTTATATTATATATATAATTTTATATTTTTTTAAACTTTAAAAGTAAATTATATAATATACACTATTTTTTCAACTATATTAATTAATTTTTTTAAAGAATATTAAAATATGGACATGCATATAAATACAGACAAGATTTAAAAGAATATATATGCAAAACTAACAAGAGTATCGAAAAGTCAGATGGTACATACATCAGAATTGAACGCATCTTGAATGCATCCCAATATTTTGAATGCATCACATTTGCGTTCATATTTATTCACAGGCATGATATTGTAAATCATGTATGGTACTTTATGTAGGAATATATCGTACATGTTCAAGAACTGGGTGATAGTCGGAGTATTTATCTCCTCATTATTCCAATAGCCCCATATATAGATACGTTCATCACTACCGAGAGCGACGCTTGTATGATGTAAGTAATTTGCCGCGATGTCCAATATCTTTACTTCCATTTCCAACTATTAAAGAAAAGATATATGTGAATATATATATATATATATATATATATATATATGTATGTATACATGTACACATATTATTGTTTTTCATTTTTTGTTTTGCACATTAAAATGGATTACCATAACAGGGCAGCACAATAGTTTAACATCATATTTGATTGTACCCGATTGTTTGTAATGATTTCCACCCCAAACATAGAGTTGTCCTTTCTTCGTAAGTGCCAATGAATGCGCGCTTCCGCAGACTATCTTAACTGAAATGTTAAAGTTGTCCGTTTAACAACGTTGTTTGCATTTTCGAATGCTCAATATTGTCATCTTTTTTTATTATTATAGAAACAAGAAATGAAAGAAAAAACCTATATTTTTTTTGGAGAGCGTAGTGATTTCATGCGGAGTCGATTTGTAAATGCTGTTTAATGTTTTTAATCTGCTTACATGAGGTACTTCATCAATGCCCAATTGGCCATATATATTACTGCCCCAGCTATATACCTGATCCTCATCAGTGATTGCAACATTAAAATGTGCACCACAAGCAATAAATACAACTTTATTTCCATTAAAATTTATCTTGTAAAACAAATCCGTGTTGCTTGTGTCATCTTTTGTTGAATCATGTTCATTATTATGTACATCTCTTTCAATATCTTTAAGGTTTATTTTCCAAGTCTCTACTCCCCAGAAATATACCTAAATCATATATTCAAAGTTAAGAACAACATATATTTTAACTTATGTAATAACAATAATTATATAGATATTATCATATTTCATATATAATTGCTTACCTTTCCACTTATAGTGAGAAAAAGAAAATATTTCATACCACACACTAGATCTTTAATATAGTTGTTTTTCAAGTCAGTGATTTGATAAAATGTGTACAATGTATCAGATGACAGGACTTCATTGGTACCCCAGAAATATACCTTTTAAAAATAATAATATTAACTTATAGAAATATCATATTTAACCTTAATTATTTTATATACAGAATATAAAAATTTAATTTTACAAGAATACTACAGCAGAAAAGTTTGTAAAAGAAATATTTTGTATTACTCTGTACTGAATATTTAATGAATTTATGAAATCTCTCAGCGATTGTGTAAAATTGTGGCTACACTAATTAATAGTAAAAAAAAATCACTTTTATACACAACTTCTTTATAAAATTATCAAAATTTATTAATTCAAGTTAATTATTCTACTTTTGTATACAAAACAAAACATTAAAAAAAACACAAAATTTATCTTAATTTTATATTTCAAAGATATTTTTTCTATTCCCATGCATTCTCATTCATCAATAATTATTTTTTCCATTAATTTCCTTTTCAATTTTAAATGTTAAATAAAACAAAACTTATTTAAAAGATGTATAAAACGAATTGTCAGTGTTATATATATATATATATATATATATATATATATATATATATATATATATATATATGTGTGTATATATACTGCACACACACACACACACATACAATATGTATATATGCCAATAATTTTTTCTATAACTTGATATATTTTTACTTTTATTTTACTTTTCATTATATATACCTATGTAAATTTTTAATATACCTTTCCATTTGCCAGAAGTGCAGTACGACCTCGTTCCAAGCAACAGACAAACTTGTCTATAGTTTCTTTATAGAATATATCTATTTGTATTGGCTGCAGAATATTACGTATATTAACTATTCCTAATTTTCCATTGTTATTATTACCCAAGGCATGTACCAATCCATCTCTGGTCGCAATAATAGCTCCATTTTCATCTATTTAAAAAACTATCAAAATATAAATTGTATCAATAAAAATGATAAAGATAAAATGCAACTTACCAATTATTAGAACCATATAAATTTGCTTAATAAAGTCCAAACTTAATAAATTAAAGATTGGCCATTTCTTCAACTCCAAATAATGTATGTTCGTGAAATTGTACACCAACTCTTTCTCTTTCTGTAATTCTCTAATAATTGGTTTTTCAATTTAGTGAAAGTAGTCAATGACGAATTAATTTTTATTTTATTTCGCGAATGCCCGATAAGAAGAAAAGAACTTACTCTATTTCGAATTCATTTAATAATACATCTTTTAAAGCAGGTTGATAAATATCTTCGATCACCACTTTGTCATCCATTTTGCAAATAATTTAAATGTTAACACTTGTTTTATTTAAATTTTGATCAAAATATTTTTCTTCTTTTTTTCCGTAAAAACACAAATGTTTGAGGAATAAACATTTTCGGTCGATGGTATAAAAAGTGAGACGTCAAAAGTGACATTTTTGAAGGTTAGAAAAACACGTGGAATCATACAGTAGATTTTCTAACCTCCATAAATATCATTATTTATATCCCTTTATATTATCAAGAGATGATTTATTGTTACAAAAAAAACGCCGTAGTGTATATTTTTATCATAAAAAATGGATGCAAATAAATATTCATTACTCTCCCTGACAGATGTCAATTCGAGCAATCGAAATTAAACGCAACCAATCAGCGCAATCGTTGCCTAGGGAAACTATCCCTCTCGACCAATCAGAGCTCTTCGCCGATATGCAAGTTTGTCCAAAAAATCAGCCAATGACATTTGCCCTGTAGAAACCAAGTTTTCCGATTGGAACAAACACATTTCCATCGCGCGAAATAGAAAAGTATAGGGAAACAAAAAAATCTACCAATAGAAAGGGAGAATGAAATCCATTCTCCGCTCCCATTGGCGGACGCTCGACCACGTGACCGGGAGGAGACGAATCGATCGCGTGGCGAAAGCGGAACCTCGCGAGCGCGACCCCACCACCCCAGTGACGTCACGTCCGGCTAATCGCGGGGGCCTACGGCGTAATCGACCGCGCGTCGCGCTCACGTCGCGTTTATTGTATATCCTCGAGAAGCAGCCCGGTTCCTCTGGCGTATCTCGATGCAGTGAGCGTCGGTGTACGGAAAATGGCGGACGGTGACATAGATTTGTACGCCGACGATCTCGAGCAAGATTTCGCGCAGGTAATTCTCGCAACTTCTCCTTGAAATAAGCGACGAAAAGAGACCGGCGGGGCATGCGCGCTCTCTCTCTCTCTCTCTCACTCTCATTTTCGAGGCGTTCGTCGGGAAGGTATCTACGATCGCGTAAAATCGCGACGCGCCAATAGGTTGGTTCACGGGTGGGGGCGGAAAGGGGGGAGGGAACGGGAAGGACTCTGTCGTCTCTTCGCGATTTCGCTCCGGCGAATTAATTGTTTCGCGCGGCCCCGAGAGCCGAAGCTGTCAAATCGGGTCCTCGCGAAACGTCATTGATGCGTTCATTATTGCGCGTCCTCGCGAGCCGGCGAAAATAAGCGCGCGCGAGAGGGAGAGAAACGAGACGCTTCGCCCCGAAGTTGTTGCCTTGTCCTCCTCTGCGGCCGCGTCTCTCTGAGCTAGTGCCCTCGTGTCTCTCGTCTGCTGCCGCCGATTGTGCGCTCGCGCGCGTTTCCGTCCGGAGCTTTAGGCGCGAAAGCGCACTAATACGGGCTCGCAGCAGGAATTTTGACCGCAAAATGGTGCTAGCGGTAAGACGAATGTCGAGTAGTTTATACTCTTCTCTCTTTCTCTCTCTGTCTGTCTCTCCCACTCTTCCTGCCCCCTCCCGCGTCTTTTAGTCTGTCTATGACTCTTGTAATTTCAACCCTCCACGCAAAACACATAAAAAAATATACACACTTGCATGCGAGATATATATAATATTACACACTCTCTGTGGTTTTTTGGAGGCGGGGATCTTCTTCCTTGCGAAGAATTTAGTAATTTTTACTTCTGTAAGGATTGAAATCCATGTAATTTCGTTTCAGTCAATTTTTAATATATTAACTCTATTTTCTTCTCTTATTGATTTTTGCCATACTATTCTTTCTCAAAATTTAGAATTAAATAGCGATTTTATTCTGTTACATGTATTAATTATATTATATAAATATAGAATGTGAATTTGGAAGAGCTTTTGTTCTTCTTTTCTTGATACTTTAACAATATCTTTTAGAAGAATGCTATTTGTACTTTAAATATATATATATATATACAATTATGTCTTGGAAAGAAAGGAGTAAATATGTAAAATATAATCCAGAAATAAAATACATTGAGATTATGTTTAGGTACATATAGTTTAAACTTGTCGAAATTACATTGACTTCAATCTGCGCTTTATTGTCTCTTCACGATGCAAAAAAAGTCTGTATATCTGCATATCTGTTACAGTCGAAGTGTACGATTGGTTGATCAGTTGAACCACAAGGTGCAGGAAGTTGCGTGTAATAAGAAAATGGTACATCTAAAGATTATTTACATTTTGATAATTAATTTCCATAAATTATGTAATTTATTTACATTGAAGCATCTTGAGATCATATTGTCATATTGAGCATTATTTTAAATATACATTGCGAGTATCTACTTTTGTTTACAAGTTTAATCATTTTAGTTTAGTTCAATAATTTTTACTATAGACTGTTTTACTAAATTGATGCTTCGTAGCTTTTATTTGTATTCATACTCAATGCTCAAATAACAACATGAACTCAATACATTCTTATAAATTTGGTGTTCTTTCTTTTTTTAAAAGAAGATTTATCAAAATTCTTTTTGTGTGATGAATACAATATATATAACTTTTGATAATGATCGTAATTAAGAATTAGATTAGACAAGTAAAGTATAGAATATTTGTTCAGTGTTGTGTTATTTTATCTAATTATATTCTGTAGAATTATTTTGCACTTTGACTGTAACATATTCAGCACATACGTATGTGTGTGTGTGCGTGTGTGTGTGTGTATGTGTGCGTGTTACATACTAAAATAAAATTCTACCATTGCATATTTATATTTGTTGTGATTAGTCTGTCTGCTTCTCATCTGAGATACAAAATAAAAAAAATACTGTTTAATATTATTGCTCAACAATGACACACATTTTCCCAGAAATAAAAGAAATGAATTTAATGTCTCCATCGTACTTCTCCAGCATACTTCATCGCTTGCTTGCACATCTGTTTCAGGATGAATTCGCCGGTGATGGCGTTGATCTATATGATGACGTGATTGCCGCCCAGCAGGTGGTAATGGAGGCGTCTCCTCCGGGAATACCGGGGACGGTGGTGGTGATACCACGTCTCCCAATGAGGAAACTAATGGAAATGCCCCTTATCATCAACTCGGCAACAATATACAACCAAATCAAATTGGTCGACGTCATCAGCTTTACGTTGGAAATTTGACATGGGTATATATGCACAGAAAGATTTAATTTTAATATTTTTTAGATATTTTTTTCTTATTACTCTTCTAACACTTTGTATCATAATATAAAACAAGATAAAACATTTATGACAAAGCTAATACATCTATGAATTCATGTTTTTCTAATGTAATATATTTTTCTGCTCTGTCTTTCTGCATATATACAGTATTTTTTCTCTTTTATTATCTTTCTTTTGGAACTCTTTTAGTATTAAAGATTTATCTGAAAAAAAATATTTTAATAAAATGTTTTAAAAAAAAAAGAGTCAAGATAAAAAGAGTAGCTGACAATGAGAGTCGACTTAAAAAATCATAACGAATATTCTTACTTTCAGTGGACAAGTGATCAAGATATAACAGATGCAGTACAAAGCATCGGTGTGACTGACTTTGCAGAAGTGAAATTCTTCGAGAATCGCGCCAACGGACAGTCCAAAGGTTTTTGTGTAATATCTTTGGGCTCTGAGCAGAGTATGAGAATATGTATGGAAAGATTGCCGAAGAAGGAATTACATGGTCAGAATCCTGTAGTGACTTTTCCAACAAAACAGGCGTTGAATCAAGTATGTGTACATTCTTATACAAATAAAAAGAAAAAGGCAATTACAGCGTACGCAGATACGCTACGATATATCGCGAGTAGTGGGTACATGTGGGATTTATACACATTTCTTTATGTGTTCTCAGTTTGAATCGCAGTGTAAGACACGACCCGCTCCGGCTCCGCAACAGAGTCAGAGCCAACGTCCTCATAATCCACATCAACATCAGCCACCAATGCCACCTCATCAACAGCATCCCCAACATCCTCAACATCCTCAACATTCACAACAAAATCACGGTCCTAGAATGATGATGGGTCCTCCACAGGGTGTTAGACCTCAGAGAATGCCACCACCCGGAATGGGTCCGCCTGGTCCAGGTGGACCGGGTCAGCAGGGACCGCCACGAATGCATGGTCCGCCATTAGGGCCGGGTCCGGGTCCACATCATCCTTTGCCTGGTCACCCTAATCAAGGTCCTCCGCCTGGTTATCAGCAAGGACCATGGAACGGACCGCGTCCTAATGGTCCTCCAGGACCGCCTAGAGGACCCAGTGGACCGGGTGGCCCACCTCAGCAAGGTCCACCAGGACCAGGTCCTGGTCAGCATAGACCACCTGGAATGGTACGTGTCACTGACAGATTTTTTTTTATATTACTCATAAATGGACAATATTCGTAATACACATCTAACCGTATTCTCGTATCTATATAATATTACATTCTCGTATTCTCGTATTTATTTAATATTGCATTCTGCATTATAATTAAAAATAAGTTTTTGAAGTTTATTTGTAGCAAAATTTATGCGATCTGAATGTAATTCTTTGGAAATGTTGCAAAGTATATACCTTAAAAAAGCTATACAGCAAAAATATATTCTAAATTAACAAAATAATATAAATTTTTACTCGTAGAGTATTGAATGGCTATAATGAGAATAACAAAGTATTATATTCAAAACATAAAGACAAAAAATATAAAAAAAACATATAAAAGATATAAAAAAAACATATTAAACACAAATTTATTAAAATATATTTAATAGAGATAAATTATACATAGAAACTTGTGTTTTTGCATAGAACTCTTAATATCAGTATTATTTTAAAAGTATTATTCTGAAAATTCCTATGATGGCTCTATGATATATAGAAAATATATGGAAATCTCCTTAAACTGTGCAGAGAATCTGATTATTGGTATATTATGAAATATTTTTAATGGTTATTTTGATGGGCATAATCGTGATACTTGTGTAAAAAATGCATTTATACAGAAATCTGCACAGTTTCGAAAAGATTGGTTAATGCATGTCTGTTTATTGTAAGTAATCATAGTACAGGCTTAAATATGTTTTGCACTTACATGTCTTACGTGTAAACAGAGTTGCACTAGAGATCTTTCAGAAGCCAGTTATCATATGCCACAGGTAATCGATAATGAGGTCTTTTTTTCAATTTCTATTTTTTTCGTCTTGTAAAAAAATAGATTATTCCGTGTTAATCTAGTCAATTATTTTCATTACTTGTTTTTAGAGTGCTTTAATTCCAAGGATTAAATCTTTAGATAAACTGGCCATATTTAAAAAAATTATTGAAAAATAATTGAATTAAATGAAACTTGCAGCATATATATGACTAATAGAAATTAATTAATTAAATGTTCTAAATAATCTGTCCCCAAATTATTAAAGTAGGTTAGTAGTCGAGTTTGGATTGTGTTTTATTGATACATTGGATGTTATCACAATATATTTGTGTATACATAATACTTGTGATTTGCAACAGATGTTATGCATATTACTAATACATGCATAGAAGTTTATGGAAATTAATAATAAAATGTTTAATAATTGCTCTTCTAACAATAATACATATAATATTATATTATTATAATTTATATGTATAATATTCAATATATAATACTTTAAACAATATTAAATTTTTAAGAGAATATTGAAATGTTTTGTTTTTATAATTTTTAGTATTAATAATCTCTTTAGACAAAGATTTCAGAGACTGTTTATGTAAATAATATTAATTTTTATTAATTTTATAGAGTATGCTAATGTCAATTTGTCTTCTTGTACACACACACACACACAAATGTTTTTTAATTATAAAATTATTTATTAATTTTTTGTTTTTTCTCACTAAGCTCATAAAATTAGTGATTGTGTAATTATGATGGAGTGAAATAGAATCTTTATCTGCCTTTATCCAGCAATTTCACGGTGGTCCCCCTGGACCACCGGCCAGGGACCTCCTCGTGGCCCACCCGGACATCCTGGTGGACCTGCAGGGGATCCAAGAGGAGCTCAACCGCGTCCTGAATGGAATAGACCGCCAGGTTCGGCTTTTGTTTCATACTTCCATGAAAAACGTGATTTTTATCTTCGTGAAATCTCGTTTTCATCCCAAAACCTTTAAGATATATCGCTCCTTTGAAACATCTTGAACTTGAATGTATTTGTAGTACTTTCTCAATTTGCATGATCGAATAAACGATGAATGAAAAACCAACGAAGAACATGTGGTGGGAATTCGTGAAACCGAAATCGCACATTCAAAGTAGTGATAGTATGTTACTATGTCAATTTGCCGAAAGAGCATATTAGTATTACTGATAAGATTATTCGATATGTGCATAGGAATGCATCATGGGCCTCAGGGACCACCAGGTTTCCCTCAACATCAACATATGCAAGGGCCGCAGCCTGGCCAAGGCCCACCACAGAGAGGACCTCCTCCAGGTTCTATGGGTGGTGAGAGATTTAGAATGCTCGTTCGGTGTTACAAATTTTATTAGTCAATTGTTTAACTATACACAAGATGCATGATATTGAGGGAAATTGATCTGGCAGAAGCATTCAGGTGCAAGATGTTTCAAAGGATCATTTCAATACGTAAATTTAAATACGCAAAAGACACCATTTATTGAATTCCTAAAGTATCATTAATATTCATTGCAGTAATTATATGTTTTATTGCACCATATCTACAAATCATATATGCTTATCTACATGAATGAATTTCTGACTACACAATTGCTATGTTATATGTTACATATATATAAATATAAAATGATAATATACTTATACATAATGGAAAAGGAGAAAAATATGATTTGAAGGGGAAGAATATAATTCGAGATTATAAAGTAGGAATGTGATTTTTTTGCAACGCATTTATAAATTACGTTTAATAACATTTAAGGGAAATGCCCGTGAATAAAAACGAGATTGAAGTAAACTTGAAAATATTTTCAGCTGAAATTGATATTAATTATGCACATTATTAGGCCCAGGAGGCCCGCCTCCAGGACATGGTGGACCACCGCAAGGACCTCCACAAGGACCGCCAGGTGGCCCAGCACCTCATGTCAATCCAGCTTTCTTTCCGCAAGGACCACCTCATCAGCATCCCGGTCAACATCCACCAGGACCTCCCGGTCCGCCTCATGGACCGCCTCATGGACCACCTCATGGTCCTCCTCACGGTCCTCCTCATGGTCCCCCTCATGGACAACCACATGGACCGCCGCATGTGCCGCCACATGGTTACGGGCCACCAAGTGCACAAGTATTATCTCGTTACATCTCGTTTAAATATTTAAAGAGCGATAGTCGATAATTTTCTCTTCTACTATGTGTACATTAAATTTTAACACATGCTATTATTTTAAATAAGTTCTCTGCAGAATAGTTTATCCATACCACAGATAGTAAGTAATTTATCCATACTATAGATACTTTATCTATAAAGGATAGGTCTAATTAATCACACTTGTTACAATGTATTAAGAGAATACGAGCGTGAGTGCTCGTTTCAAATTGTTTAAAGGAATATTGTATTTTAATTCGCATTATCATATTGCATACGTTATCATTGATCCATACAAATTTAATACCTTACGAGAACGAAATATTGTGGATTTTATGTTTATAACAAAATTTCTATTGACAAAATATTTCAATACAATTCTCTATATTATATCTATATCTTCAGGCACCTTACGGAGCACCCGGTCCTGATCATCGTCCGGAAGGTCCACCCCCGTTAACCGAACAAGAATTCGAAGAGATAATGAGCCGCAATCGCACAGTGTCCTCGTCTGCGATCGCTCGGGCGGTGTCTGATGCCGCGGCGGGCGAATACGCAAGTGCCATAGAGACTCTGGTTACTGCTATATCGCTGATAAAACAATCCAAGGTAGCAGCAGATGACAGATGCAAGATCCTGATCAGTTCTCTCCAGGATACTTTGCGCGGCGTCGAAACTAAGAGCTATGGATCCGGACGTAGAGGTGAGTGCTTCATTCTGATCAATTCTGTTAAAAGTACTCAGGATAAGTCTTTCAATTAGCTTTCCTAAAATAGAAATATAAAAATTTTTTTTCCGTCAACACTCAAAACTCTGCGTCATTCAGTCTTATGTATTTGACAAATCTTTTTATAGAACGTTCGCGTTCGCGCGACAGAGAGCGCAGTCATAGAAGACGACGCGAACGGTCCAGGAGCCGGGATCGCGAGTATCGTGAACGTAGCAGAGAACGGGACCGGGAGCGCGATCGGGAGCGTGATCGTGAGAGAGAAAGAGACCGCGATAGAGACAGGGAACGTTATTACAGCGAACCATATCCGAGAGAGCGATCACGCAGCAGAGAAAGAGAGCGCGAACGCGAGAGAGATCGTGAATATAGAGAGAGAAGCAGAGAAGAAAGGTAAGCCAAATGATCTCACCAGATTACTCTCTTAAAATTGCACCTCTCGACCTTTAGTGCGCGTCCAGTTGTGCGAAAGGACGAGTCTTGTTGAGGGAAAAATTCTTGATTTTTTTGGGAACTTTAATGGTTTAAAGAGCTATAAGCCATTTACGCAGAGACGCGAATCAAGTATTATGTATATTCCGTGAGAGATGTCGTTCGCAGAAATATAAGAGTATACGCTATACTATATTATACTATACTAGATTAGATTGGATTGTGTAAAAGGATTAACTAAATTTTTCCGTCCCGATATATTTTTTCCTCGCATAGTATATTGGAATTTATTTATGTCGAATCAATAAATTTCCTTTACGCTGTCTATCGAAGACAGATCGTCAATGCGGAACTTCTACATTGTGCGTTTGTCCGCGAGCGAGAATTAAAAAGCACGAAAGAATCTATGATTTTGTCGAACGCAGATATAGAGTACATAATACTCTAAAAAAATAGCAGAAAAGAGAAAAGATCAGTATAAGCCAGAAATACATAGGTTTAACGACAATTTTATATAATAGCGCAAATTTTTATTACCTTAATCATAAAATTGTTCATTTGTTTTAAATCTTATTCAAATTATTGCACTGTAGATACGAAAGGAAAAGAAAGTTAATGCTGCGTTTATCTTATGCATCGTAATATAATGCAACGCGATATTTTATTATGAACAAAATTGCTAATATTGCAAAGTCATATTTGAAGTTTATCGTAATTTTTCTCTGGGGGCAGCATATTCTGCCGACTGATCTTTTTCGTGTATAATTACGCAATCGAGCATTTTTTTAATCATATCCATCAGTGTATAAGTGCTTTTCAATCATCCATTGTGTATAAGTTTGCAATGTATATATATTCCATGTTTTTCTTATATAATAGTTCCTACATCGACACGACATTAGATTAGATAGTGTATTAGGTGACAAAAGTTTCGAACTCTAATTATGTGTGTATCCGTGTAAACAATAGATAATGCGGTATTTCATCATTGTCCGTCTACAAAATATGCTACGAAATATACGAAGACAAAGAATACACAAATTGTATTCGTTATGTTAACGAAAAAGTAAATTGACTAATTATTAAAACTAAAATCTATTTTTTTATATTTATTTTAATATAAAATTTATTTTATTGGGTATTATTTTTTTTTATTATATTATTATATGCAGAGTATCTTTATACGATAATATATATATATATATATATATATTTTCAAGTATACTCGCGCACAAGTTTAACACATTAAAATTGGTATAACGATTTAAAAGATATTGCAATGTAACAGGATATTATATTAATATAAATGTAAAAGATTTATGTATTTATTCGCGCCGCGTTTTCGCACAGATTCACGTTGTGCAAAAAGTATTGTATTAGCTTTTCGGTTTTCTCGCGTACACAAATTAAATTGTGACTTTTCGTGATTACGCATAGGAAAAACCAGGCACACACAAGTCGCAATGTGAGATTTGGTTGCACACACATATACCTACATACACAATTGTTTATAATATTTTAGTTATTTATCACTATTTTTAATTTTAAGATTTACAAATGTGTTGCGTATATCTACATCATTTTTTACGCGGATCTCGATATATTTTATAAGTATAATCCAGTGAATAGAGCGACGAAAAATCTCTCGACTATTGAGTAAAATATAATTTGCAAGCATAAAAGTATAATGGATAGTAAAGACAATATTTGCCATAATATTTGTCATATATATATATATATATATATATATATATATATATATATATATATATATATACATACATACTTATATATGTGACAAATATTTCTAATTCACGGTCTCATTCTGTACTGAAACTTTTAGTATCATAGTGAACATGAAACCCTGTAATCATGTACGCCAATCACTGATCAAAATTATGACTTTATATATATATATATATATATATATATAGAGAGAGAGAGATATAAAAAAATTAAAAGTACATAAAAATATGTATTACTTAATGTCAATTGTGTTAATCAATTTGCTCAATTTACTCTTTATTGCATGCTATTCTATTTATCTCTCTTTCTTTGGTATATGGTACCAGGGTTGATGTTAAATATCATATGTCGCCTTAAATCATCAGTCTTCTAAGTCATTGATAGTTAATATATCTATATTAGTATTTACTAAAATTTAAAAACTTGTACTTAAATCTTAATTTTATAAATTGATCGCAATTACGATACATTTATGTTATATTTCTACGAATGATTAATGATGTAATTGTAAAATAGCCTTGTCTCTCGCGAAATGTAACTCTCGTTGATATCGAAATAGCGATAATTTGAACTATAATCTCTCTTATATAGTATAATCTATTTGCTTTTATGAGATGTAATAAGCCTGGTTACTTAATGGTACCGTCATAACAAAATATATCCATTTTTCATTAGTACAACACGTCAATCAGCCAGGCCAAGAGTAAAAGAAGAACCGCCAGAGACGGCACCCGTCTCATCTTCCAAGGCGTCTAGGTAATTAACTTTTTTTTCATTACAGTGAATGCATGTAGATTTAAATAAACGCTAAGTTTAACACTGAAATAATGCAGAAATAGGAAATGTCACGCGTCCACTGCGTAGACAAATCCACTTCCCTTCCTTTCATCTTTCATTTCGTTCATCAAGATAAGAACAAAGTGCGCATAGAATAGCGAAGTAAGAGAAAAGCTGAAATAACGATTAAATTAAGATTAAAATAAACGAAAAGATCAAAACTTGTTCTTTTGATCAATAATATTACTCTTTTATTGCTACTAACTTGTATAGAAGATCAGGAAAACATATACATCTTTGTAGAAACATTTGTGTATATCTCTGTTGTAAAAATTATGTAGCTACATATATCTGTGATCGCGTATTTTTTAGTATCATCTTTCTAAATTTGTTTGTGCTTATGCGCTTTTGTACACGAGAGATATATCGATTATAGAGCAGAATCCATTAGAGCAGACAAGGTGAGAGAAACAAAGAGATGCGATATTTATATATCCGGTGTTTCTTTGTACTAAATTAAGCATTAACATGAAAGATTAACGTTCATGTTAAAATGGATTCGTTAGATATAACAAAAAAGAAAGCAGCACTAAAGTAAGATAATTGGCTGACGTGACTTGTGTAGGTATTATGACGATCGCTACAGAGAGCGTGAGCGAGAGCGAGATCGAGAACGTGAATCAAGCCGAAGACCATCCGAGCGGGAACGGGAACCGGAACGTGAACGTGAACGGGAACGAGAACGGGATCGTCGGGATGAACGAGGAGACTCTTCGCATCGCTCAAGACATTAAAAAAAAAGAAAAGAACAACAGAACAAAAGATACAAACATCGAAGAGAGACGATAGGAAGTGTGCTAAAACCACAGACTTGCAGAATTTATTTAACGAAACATCAGATGGATGTACAACATATACACATTCATACACACATTGCGATCCTCGTCTCTTAAGGCTCCTAGATCCTCGCTGCGATCATGTTAAATTGTGACGTCAGAAACGAAAAAAACTCTCAGATGCCATTTTTCAATGAAAAAATATTTCACGATAAAATTATTTCAAATGACTGTGGCACACTTTGAAAATACCTTGACAGTCAATCAACAACCGTAAAATAAGCGTGATGTTAAATTTTGTACTGCGCAATGTTTGCGCATGTGCAAAGATCAGACCGACTGAGCGTCATTACAGCTGTTGATTGATTATAAAGGGAAAAAGGATAGTTTTCGAGATCACAATTCCAATATAGTCGGCGAGAAGCCAGGAGCTTTAATTCTTGAAGTAAAAGTAATATTATGTCGCTTGTAATGCTGGTATGAATATATGTGACAGCTAAAAGAATTGTTAACTAAACGCGACAATATCGAGAGATATTAGGATAATCTCATTAAAGGGGGTACTTTTTGCGAATTAACGAATTGCTCTTTAGATTAGTCCGAGGATTTAGTATAACTTCACATATAGAATTCTGTATGTTCTTGTCTTCTTTTCAAAGTAGCCAAACTCGTGCTCACCGTGAAACTTCTTCATTGATCGCAGAGTTACTTTTATCTTGCATACATATATCTTAATACGATATAATGCACTTATCTCTATATGTATACATATATCTATGTAATTGTATTAAGAAAATATTTACATTTAGTCCGAGGATAGATTTGTAAAATGAATGGCTATCGCGTATAAGATTAGGTAAAGGGGAAAGAAACATATTTTGATGCATCTCTCGTACGAGATTAAGATACATTTACAGTGAGAAGAGGAAAATAACAGGAAAAAAGGAGCAAGCTGTACGACGAAAGCAAGAATATTCTTGGAGAAACGGAATGAAGAACGAAGACATCTTACGCGAGAAACCTTCTTCAGCACGGACGAGATTCAAGATTGTATCTTAACATATATATATATACATATATATATAATACATATATACGCTTTCAAAAAAATATAAATGCCAAACATGTCTTTACTTTATTCATCTTGTACACACAAAATCCTGACGATATGAAAAAAGATAGACAACTATATTTTTGTTTCTGCGATTTTATGAAGCTCCCGAATTTTCAGTTTTTCGAAAAGCTAGATCAATTATATATAAATATGTATTGTAATCCTCTGATGTGATCGGCCTATGTAACTTGCAAAATCTTTTATTCAGTATTATGAATAAGCTGTACTCTCATCCGAGGATTTATAATAGAAAAGAGAAAACGTTCTCCGCTATAAATGAAATAAATTTTTAATAATTGTATATGATCTGCTTTTCGAAGAAAAATACAAATTGGAGTATGCTTTATAATAAGAAATTAGAAATAAATGCGCTATAATATTGTGCTTATGAGAATGGGCTGTACAGATTGTTAGATATTTTGTAAAAAATTATAACATGTAACTCACAGTATTAATATTATAATAATATATGTAATATGTATGATTATACTAAAAATTCGTACAAATTTCATAGAGAATATTTTGAAAATCAATCTCACGAAGCATTATATATAACGCAATTATTTCTATGTAAAACCAATAAACTCTCCTGACTTTTTGTGTTGTGAGCTGTAAGACTAAGTTAAAAAATGCATGAAGCTTTGGTTACAATCGCATATATTTTCATGCGCTATTCAAAGTATATATATCAATGATTATTATATCATTGATGTTAAAGACTATGCAAATAGCATTAAGAAAATCAAAATAATTTGGTACATGAGATAGTCAAATTGTTTACTTAAAATTATGTAAAGCGGTGGCGATGTGTGTATCGCATAAGATATTGACATATCGAACGTGATGCATTATACATTATATATTTCACTCTGTTATAAATAAGTGAAATAACAATTTGACTATAAACATAAGTTTATTGAGTTAAGTCTATTTAACAGTTAATACATTTTGCATAACAGAGTCATCAATCTTTTGAAAGATAAAAACCTAAGGTTCTTTGCAAAATGACTTTGAAATGCAAATTGTTAGTATTCTTCCTATGTTCAAACGCTGTACGCATTCCACTTATAAAAATGAAATATTAAATACTTCATTTTTTTGCGAATTTACAGATAAACTTTAAGCTTCAAATAAAATTTTGTTGGATTAATAAATAATTTCAAAGTGCTTGTAAATTCTACGAAACGAGGAAGAAACAAACATTTTTTACAAAGTTTATCTTTTATGCGTAATTGAATCTGGAGTATTTATATAAAGGGATACACATATGATTTTTTTATATATATAAATTAAGATTAACGTTTCTTGAACAATAAGTTTTTAGTTTTTATGCTCAACTAGTCTTTATATTAATTTTTCAGAAGGATAGAATTTTATTTGTCTTTTTTTTAAGATATAAAAATTTTAAGAGATATATATGTTAAATAAGAACATGTCTCCAATATTAGAAAGTCACATATATATATAATGTATTCCTGACTTCTATGTTACAAATTACAAAATTGTAAATCATTGTATTATGTAATCTTGATATAATCAGAACTCTGCTGTTCTTTATTAATTGATATGTGGCTAAAGATGATATAATACGATTTTAACGTTATAATTTACCACTCACTAGCGCTTGAAAAAGGTTCTTTCCTTTATTAAGATTATTTCTGCATGAATTACATACACATTCAATATTTTAATTTTTATTTATGTCAAAGAATCCGATGCACACACATGAGGAATGAATCTTTTGATTGTTATACAATTAATGTATTTTTAAGTTTTATAATGCATTAGATGCATTTTTAAGCTCAAGATTTTTTTTAACTATCTACTCGTATCAAAATTCAAAATTTAAGAAACTGCTCGAGACAAATTGCACATTCAATATCATTTGAATGTTGCGAAATTCCATTGTAAACTCTTCCTCGAATTTATGAAAACAATTTGTGATTATTTGCGCATCATCAGATTTTTAACACGTATTTAATAAGAACCGTATAAATTTTTTAACTGAAAAGTGATTGCTACACAAAGCGCGATCATATATAATTTTATTCATACGTGTGATATATATATGTGCGATAATATTTAGCATCCTATTTAAATGCCATTAAAGTAGAACACGCTTGCTATTTTTCTAGCTGAATCATCCAAGAACAGCAGCTAGTTATTTCAGTCTGATATTGAATTTTGAAGTGCGATGATTTCTTAATAGAATTTCCGTTTATTTAAATTTACGAGAAAGAAACACGTAGCGTTTATTAATATGAATACAAAAAGTCGTTTTTACGTATGCAGTATTATTGCAAATTTTGACGATTCTTCAATGATACATTATTGTCCCGCAAAAAGGGGCATTATATAATTATAAAATGTGATATAAATGTTCTACAAATATTTTACAAATATTTTTCGAGAAACCATGCACAATATTTATCAATATTAGAATCGTACATTTGTATGTATCATCATATAAATCGTTCTATAATACTGTTTTATATATATATATATATATATATATATATATATATATATATATATATATATATATATATATATATATATATATATATATATATATTATATTATATAATTAGAGAACTTTATTATTAAAATTCTATTATTGATGATTTGTGCGTGGTTTTCTACGATCGCACGAGTACAATCGTCCGCATAATTTATTATCTTACGCATATTTATCAATTTTTACTCTCTAGAGAATAACTTGTTTGCTAAGTGCACATTTATACGATACGACGCCTCAAGAAAGGTGTTCAACCAAATTGCAAACTAGAAACCGCAATTATTACGACGATTCGTGTACTATAAGTCATGAATGCGATTATTTGTCATATCTTATTTGATTTCACGTAGCATTTTATTTGCGTAATAGTATAGTTGAGAGAGAAAGAGAGAGAGAGAATAAAGTTGCCTGGGGAGAGATATGTAAATGGACGTAATAATGGGTAAGTGCAACACAAAGAAAGCAGCTCTCTACATTTAGTTTATATTTAATTTTAAGCGTGTTATTTTGTGCGTACACAAAATATGATACACGGATATGTGCACCTTTTTCGTGAAAAAAAGTAGACGCTTTCATTTAATGTCTCTTTCGTGATATTCTTTAAAACGAAAGGGATAAACGACATTTATATATTTATTTGTAAACGATTTACTGTACAATCGTAACTCTCGATTATTTTGCAAATTATATTAACACGTTGTCCACTGTGTATGTGTAATTGCTAGAATTTTAAAATAATCGTTCATATTCTTGTCATCTTCTTCATGGTATACGCAACAAATTGTGAAAGTAATATTTGGCATAATTATCCATTTTTTGAAATTATTTAAACAACTGCACAGCAGAGAGAGCAACGTGTTAAGATCATCTCACAAAGTGCTTCCTCTTTTTATAAATCGCGATCTCGTTAAAATTGTTTATCAACAAAATGATTATATCGAGAGAAAATGTGTCGATGATATACTATTTATCAACGTCTACATTTTGTCATATCTTTGATCATTTTCTCTTTTCGTCATTATTCATTCAAAGCAAAATGCTTTATTTACGAAGAATCTAATTGGTGTAATTAGTAGGCTATTTAATGGCAATTAATGATATTTATGAAATACTAAAAATGTTAAAATATTACGCGATGTCGATTCTCAAGAAATATGGAAGCATAAAACTTAATACATATATAGCCATATATTCCGAAAAGAATCTTTCTGCTTCCACACAAATTGTATTGTAAAATATTTTTTAAAAACCGTGGATATATCTTAATATCTTGCGAGATTTATTGTAATCAATTATATCTCTTATTTCTCTCCATGAGATTTTATTATGCAATGATAGACACGCATATATATATATATATATTTTGCATAAGCAAGTCGCGCAAGTTATGATATCCATTTTGAAGAAAGATGAAATATTTATTTGTGTCAACGATTCAGCGTATTCAATCGATGTTTTGCTCAAGAATTCGTAAAGTTGAGATACATTGTGCTTCAACTCAAATTTATATGAATTAGTAGAGGACGTATATATATAAATACGCCAAAAATATTTTATCAATATTTATATCTGTGCTACATAATGTTTTACTGCTTTTTTACAAGTATATACAAGATAATTTTATAGACAAAGTATGTATTTAAAGTTAGAGTATATAAAAGAGAAATATTTTCTAGTCCTACTGTGATAAAAAGTCACAGCAAAAATTCATGCATACTATTGCAATTTGAACTGTGATATCGATATACAAAAAATAATCTTGTTAGTAAATTTTCTTTTAAAATTGATAATTTTATATATATTTAAAATATTAATGTGTCCGGTGCTATTGCATTAGGATACACGACATGTTTATAGAAATAGTAATGAAAATCGACCAGATTTGTAATTTTTATACGAAATTTATTTCATGTAAGGATACATATGTCGATGTTTAATTGTCTATCTTGAAATCTAATTTAGAAATTTTGCTATAAGTTTATAAGAGGAACTATCTATCGTTATGAAATCTCTCTATTTCTATATAAAATATATTGCAACAATAACATGTAATATTACATTAAAAATCAATTTAATTAATTACGAACGATTAAGATTTTAAGCTTTTGCTTGGCTAAAGAACGCAACACACTTTGCAAAAGCAAAAAAATTGAGAAAGCCAAAGATCAGTTGCACATTTTTCATATGTATGATAGCTCAATATATGAAATTTACACGTTATACGCGTGTAATTATAATATATATTTCAATAACGTCGCGAATAAGGTAAGTGATAAGACAAATAATGTAATATTAATGTAAATGTATATATAGATGTACATCTGTCCTTTCCCTAATTTCTCGCAAAAGCTTAATAAGCGGCGTCAGGAATCACGCGAGAAAATTTTATTTTGTATACTGTACACATACACATATCTGACAATTCTCTGTACACTAGAAGCTATACTTAATCATTGCAATTATGATTAATGCCATTATCTTATTGCAATTTGAAAGAAAACAAATTTTAATAACGATTAAGATCCAGTAATTTTGAAAGATATGCGAAGAGTACAATAACAGTATTTGTATCATAGCGAATTTGTTCTTACAATTAATTTAAGAAATTTGATTGTGAAAACTCGTTCGTTCAATTTAATAACTGTGATAACTGAATGTACTGAGGTAATAAATCCAAGTATATATATAATATATCTTTGCGAGAGAGAGAAAACTTTATATAAGCGATAAATATATAATAAATTCGAGAATATATATATATGAAGAGAGATTTAATTTATATATAAGAGAGACATGTACAATGCGTGTGTAACTCTTTTTTATTTGACTTTTATTTACAAGATTGCTAATGATTTGCTAATGAAGATTACATCTAGTGAGCTTTCTCTCTATCATACAGTTTACATGATAGGCGTGACCGCAACGGAAGATCGCGATTCCACTATCACCTAATAAAATCGGCGTCTGTAAAGATAATGTGCAACACGGGCACGTCGATGATTTAGCCTGATGACGCATACCCCAATGATGAGCGCCGCTCCCGAACACATTTTCGTTTATCGGTCGCCTTAAATCTTTCTCCAGCGATTTCGCCAGCTGTTCGCGCACCTGTGGCATTGAAAAATTCATTATTATTTCTCGATCGCATTCTCCCGTGAGTTCCTTAAGCTGCTTAAGAATACAAGGTGCATCGCATAACTTTCACTGTTATAATTTCTTCATTGTTGCAGAATAATTAAATTCTTTATTTTAGAATCTTATTTAAACAGAATTATTTGTTGAAGATACATAGAATTTTAGCCACATTTTCAGAAAATGCTCCTAATTCTTTTAAAAACTTTAAAGACACTATTAATAAGTTCTTTAAAATTTTTACAGAGGTGTACTTAATTAGAAATGGTGACTTGAATTATGCGATTCACTTTGTATATTCAGATAATATAAGATTACATGTTTAAATTTCAAGATAATTCTTGATGTTTTTTAGATTTTCATCTTTTGTCTAGATTGTTTTTATAATAGAAATAGAGCAATGAGATTTACCTGTGACGAGCATATTGTACCGAATTCCGATAATTGATTAGTTTTACTGAAATCGATAGACTTCTTCAGACCACGACGATGCAGCATTTTTGTAAATACGATAGATTGGAATATACTGTAATAAAAAGTCAGATGATAATATCAGTATCTAGCTGTTACATTTAGCTAAAATCAATTATAATTTTGTACACGTGCAGAGTGTTTTGATCACAAAGGCATTTCATTCCAATTACATAATTAAAGCAATATTATAAATGACTTGAATTTATTTTATTCACTTTATACATGTAAAATCTATTTCTAAAGTTCTTTAATCTTTTTATTTATCTATATTGTATAATATTCAACTGTTTAGAAAAACTAAAACAATCAAAAATAAAAATACAAAAAAATTTGAGATCAAAAGCACTCTGTGAAATTGTATATATTATTACATTCTATATTCTTTTACAGGCAAACAAAAACTCATATAGTCACTATCAAACATTATTACCAAGAGTTTTATTAATAAAAAAAATGTTTATCTGGAAATCATGAAATATGGCACACAAATTAACATTCATCGGTAACAATATAGAATCTCAAAATTATTTTTCACATATATGATACGCAAAATATGTTTGTTATTCCTTTATTATTAATAAAACTCTTGTTGATATAAATACACTAATGTTATGCTCTATCATTTTAACATCACTTCTTTCAGATAATCTAGACTAATGGTGTTTCTCAATATTTGAAGATTTCTCAATACCTTCTGTCGAAATTAACATTCGGAATCATGTTCTCCAGCTTAATTAGAAACGCTGTGGCCTGGTCTGGTCCCTCTCTTTTCATAATCTCTCCGGCGATAGCGCTCCAATCTACTAATACGTTGTAATCGGGTTTCTCGGTGAGAGGCATCGCGCAAAACAGGCAAGTTCCTTCCTCGATCTCGCTCAGGCACGTGTCAACGCAACTCCACTGTTGCTCGTTCAATGCCGGCAAAAGGAAGGATAATACGACCTTATCCCTTGTCTGAAGGCACTGTCTCAACAAGTCGTCTAGCGTATTCCGTCTCTCGATACAGATAGCCAGGTAGACGCGCCACATGTAGGGCACCTGGTCGCAGACGTTGCTACATTCCTTCGGCAGATCTGCATCCGCGTATCTCCTGATCAAGGACTCGCCGATCGCCAGGAACTTCGGCTCCACCGACTTCTCTATCGGATAGGGATAGCCGCAGCTGCATCTGGCGTAAGCTGGCGAGTTGATCTGAATAAAGGCCCGGGCGAATTGTCGCACGATCAAGTCGTTGCTGATGGAGTGGAGTAGTTCCACCGAAGCGTTTTCCAAAAATGTATTATAACAGTGCAATTCGGCGGCGCGAGTGACTTCGTAAATGAAACTCTGAAGTCCAGACGAGCTTTTGTAGAATTCTTTAATAGTTTTCATCAGCTTTTCCGTCTCTAAAATGATCTCCTCGATTTCCTTCTCCGATATGTTAGGCCTGACGCTGTTTGCCAAATCGTAGACCAGCTGCAAGTCGGACTGCACTCTGTGCATTACATTTTGTTGCGAGTCGTCGAGCTTCTCGCAATTATCTTCGTCCAAATCGAGTAGGTCCGTTGAAGTCGTTTCTTCTCGTGCGAGATTTTCGTCTTCATTGGAAGTTTCGGGAGACTGCAACGCGGATATCCTTTCGCAGTCGTACGTTCTCTTCGTGAATCCGCCGTTCTCCGAATGCACGATTACGATTCCGGAGTCTAGTTTAGCCGGTCTATTATTACTACCAGCTTGCAAAAGCGTTATCAACGGCCGCAGCATCGCTTTCGCGTCTTGCGAAACTCGCGGCAGATCTTCCTCCATTTCAAACATCTCGACGGTCTCCTTAATATCGGTAAGTCTGGACAATTGCGACCTATATACATAGCACGCGTTTATACATTCACTATACCGTTCGTGACGATACAATCGCAGTATCAGACTGTCGAGGGACGATAACGCTAGACAATGAAATTCGCTATCACAGGTCATCAGGTAGATATGATCGTCCACGACCGCGGCCATGACGATATTTGTGTACTCGTTGCTCCACATTAACACGCTCTCGTTGATGGGATCAATAATGTACATGCCGCTATTCGTGTAGGAAAACAGATATCTGCGCGCGATCACGAACAAATGCGAGAAGTTGATGGACTGTGACGGCCATTCGCGCTCTATTTCCTCCTTGTGACTAAAGTCTAAGAGACTCGATCGAAGTATCGTTGTCGGAGGAATGGCCAGAGCCTCCTTGAACTGATGAGTGTTCACGACGGTTCCGTCAGCTGATACTTCCCACAATCTCGAGCCGGGTCGAGCGCAAAAGATCTTCGTATGATTCTTCTCGCCCAGGATGTTGCTGTCGTTATCCGAGATCAAGTTAAACGCGTTATGCGTCACATCATTTATGTTTCTCTCCTCTTTCTGCAGATTCAACGCGGTGTTCTCGTGCACTTTATAAAAGCACGCACCAAATTCGCCACTCCGTGGCTTGTTGCCTATATGTTTATACTGTTCTTGCACCGTTTCGCAAATGTAACAGCGCGATAATGTAGAGACTAGGAGTAGAGGTGAGAAGAAGTCCAACTGTACGATGCTAGAATCCAAGTTCATCAGTATGCAGATCGGAGTTTGAAACATTCCCTTGACCTGGCAATTATAAAAGAAAAAAATGAATAATGTATTAATTGATATTAATGTATAAATGCATATATATATATATATATATATATGTGTGTGTGTGTGTGTGTGTGTGTAAAATTAAATATGCTACAACAATAATATAAGTTACATCATATTGTAAATATATATCATTACATGCATATAAGTTAACATTATATTAAATTATATATTTATACTGTAAAATGTTAATGATTTTTTCAGTAATATTTTTGATAAACTTGATCTATTATGAAAACTTACCGCAAATATAGATAATACTATGACAGAAACTTTGCCAGCTGCATCTCCTACATATATATCGGTGCTATTATTATTCCAACAGAGACAAGTGATCTGTTCATATAAATGTCCCATAGATATAGCTATCAGTTGAGGTGTAGATTTCAGAGAGACTATACTGACTGTGCCACGAGCTGTTGCTAATGCTACATTCTTTTCGTCAGGTGATATCGCTATTCGTGAAATCACACCCTCCTGGTAAATGAACAAGAATTAATTATTGATACAATATTTAATTAATATTACAGAGAGCAATGAGAAATACATTTACAATAAAAAAAATTGTATTATTTTAATAATCGACATTTAGTTATAATTATCATATGCATATATTGAGGAAAAAATATATCTTGTTTAATAAATAAGTAAAATCAAACTGTTTCTTACCGATAAGGGTATTATATACAAAATGAACATGGTTTTCTGGAGAACACGTAAATACTGCCACTGGTCGAGCCCAGTAAAATGTAATTTGATGAAGCGTTGAAGCATGTGTACTGCAATTAATTTATATTATATATAAATATTAAATATTTATTTATATTAATTTATATTACAGTATACTTGTAATATTAAACAAATATAACATGTAATAGTGATAAAATAAACCAAAATTTGAAAAAAACATGGATTTTGTTAATTTTATTTTATTGATATTACTGAAGAAGAAGAATTTTTTTTCCCAATCATAATTATAAATATTAGTATACTGTGTGTATATAATAGTGTAAAAAGACAAATGCATTAATTTTTGTTCGTATATATAGAAAAAAATATAAAAAGTCGAAAGAATCGGTTTATTTAAGAAAACAATGCTGAACAATCTAATATTATACAGCTATTTTTATCGTCCTTTCTTGGAGGAAAAAAGTTCTTATCGTAAATCGAGCATCAATTTGACAGATGCACTACGCCTACTCACAATCACACTTAACCTTGCACTAGACTTGTACATTACACGCAAAAAAAACGCGTATGTCCTGTCGTAGCACCGTACCTTTATTCGTTGAGTCGAGTTGATCGGTCTATATAAAATTGAATTAATATCCTCACGTTCCCATAAGACGTAAGGAAGGTCCAATGCAGCGGGATACATCGTCCAGCATCTTCTATCTCCTACTGCTTCACGTAAAGACGCGCGCAACGCTACTGACAATACTGACCATATGATGTATGTACATACAATTATATTTATATATCATGCCTCCACTATACCCAAAATACTCCGAATTATCCTCGCACGCATGTGCAATAGCGCTGAAAAATTACATTTATGTATAAATTATGTATACACATGAATGTATGAGAACAATTATCTGTTGTCGATTTATTTTATTAATTATAATTTACTGCTTTGAATTTGCGCAATCTCTACTGCATAAACTGAACGAAATTTACGAGAAAACAATTTATTCATTAATATACTAATAAATATGGCCAGTAAGTAATTAAATTAAAGTGCAATGATACGCGGTTCCTAATGCTTTAGAAAATTTATTTTTAAATTATTAGGAGAATATATTTTGCGAGGAAGTCGATAATTCAGTTCGCGATAATGCCTAGGAAAATGTGTTCAAATTTATTTCTGACTGACTAGGAGAATATGTTTCGCAAAGAGGTATGCGAAAATCCGGCGGGAGCATCTTTAAATAATCCATCCTGATTGGTTGAATCGCGGACCAATCACAAGCATGATCGTTTTCTATTGGTCCGCGCTTTAACCAATCAGGATGGATTATTTAAAGATTCTCCCGCCGGATTTTCGCATACCTCTTTGCGAAACATATTCTCCTAGTCAGTCAGAAATAAATTTGAACACATTTTCCTAGGCATTATCGTTCGCGAACTGAATGATCGACTTCCTCGCAAAATATATTCTCCTAGTAATTCAGAAAAAAATTTTTCGAGAGTATTAGAAATCGCGTATCATTGCACTTTAACCCTATTATTGGCCATAATTATCGGTGTATTAATGAATAGATTTGTTTTCTCGCAAATTTCATCATTAATTTTATATCTATCAGATGAATTCTTTCGATGAATTTCACATTCAAAATTCAAAGCAAAAATTATTCAGCGCTACTGCGCATGCGAGGATCTCATGATTTGAAACATTTGACATTTGGGTTATGGGAGAAGTGGAGGCATGGCGTAAACATAATTATATTATACATCATATGGCCGGCTAGACAAGATCTTCTAAGGTCAGCAAAGGTCAATAAATCATAGATGAAGAAGAAGATACATCATGATCAGTACTGCCAGTCATTGCCAGTTGCATTGCGCGCGTCTTCACGTCAACCAGAAGTAAATAAAAGATACTGGACGATGTATCCTGCTATATCAGTTCTTCCTTACAATCTATGGGAGAACCTGAGGATATTAATTTAATATTATATAGACTGATTACTCGACGAATATAAAGGTACGGTGCTACGATAGGACATATGCGTTTTTTTATGTGTAATATGTGAGTAATATGAGGTTAATTTACGATAAGAACTTATCCTTTCTCCAAGAGAGGACGATAAACATAACTGGACAATATATTAAATTGTTCGGCAATTTTTTCTTGAATATACCGGTTTTTTCGAGATTTTATGTACGATCAAAAATAAATGCATTTGGCATAGTCTACAATATTATATATACAGTACTACTGTATATAATAATGATAGGAAAAACTATATTCTCTTTCAATATCAATGACATAAAAGTGAAAAAAATACATGTTCTTTTTTTATTTTTGTTTATTTTATATTTTTTAATTCAATAATTTGTGCAATTTTTTATATAACAGCTTGGCATAGTGCTTAAACAAGAAAATGTATAAATTACATATATAATACATTAACAATACATATAAAGTAAATATTTATTGCATTGTCAATATATACTTTATATATACTTATATAGATTTATTTATTTTTAGGTATATTAAAATAGATATATTAAGTATATATATATATATATTATGTATGTTAGGTATATTGTGGTATATTATTTATTTTTAACTTTTTTGTTTTAGTTTTAACTTGATTATTTTTCTTATTTTAATTTATACTAGATAAATATGTGAGTAATATTATACAAAGAGTGATAATATATATTTACATTATGATACTGACAATATAGGACTCAGGATTGTATTCCCTTGCATCGTCACCAGTGCTACCATGGATAGATGATCTCTGTGATCATTTTTCATTCTTATCTTAATCCCATAACTCCTCGATGTCAATTCTACATTAATTTATGGAGTGTACGAGCCCAAATATGGTATGTAACAAAATAAAAGTATATAATGTCCTATTCATTACATATACATATACATATACACACAATACATATATATATGGTTGCTTTTTAATGAAAAGCTTATGTTTGCCTGCACTCAGAATAAATTCGAGAATTAATATTAATTTATAAGAAAAAAATATGGTAGTTAATATAATAAAAAATTAAATTGTATATAATATTAAAATTTATTATAGTTTATAAAGAATTAAAATTTTACTTTAGAGGAGTACTTTAGAGAAAGATGAAAAATTAAAGAAACAAGAATTATTAAAAATTTAATTTTCAAAAATTTTGATTAAAAAGAATGATACATTATTTAAAAAGTAAGATATTTTAATTATATAATAAGATCTCTGAAAAAAAATATAAGAATAATATTGATAAGGTACTTTTATTTTCTTATAACGATATTATAATTTTCTTTTTTTCTTGACAAAAGATTGATTGGAGATATATCTGTTTAATTTTAGGCAGTAATTATAAAATTTTGAAAACCAATCTTAATTGGAAAAATATAAATTGATTAGATTAAATGCGATACATATACATATATCTCTGAATTACAGATAATAGTACATCACATTTAATTGTAATTAAATTTTAATTAATTAAATTAATCGGCGTAAAATTTAATTGTTTCCGCAGTGAAATTTCTAATTATATAATTCTTCACTTCTTGCTCTAATGTTTCTTACCATTCAAACAATAGGCAGCTTAATATAATTAACTACTATTCTAATTAACAAAATAATATTAATAGAAGTACAAAAAGTGTATCTGCAAATTGATTGATATCTTTATATTTCTCATAAGAGATACTTTCAATTTTATATTTTCATTTTAATCAAGCTTACATGAAAGTATACGTATTGTATTAAATAATATGTATTATATTAAATATGCAAGTATACATAACATCATATTATAATATGATGCAAATTGATCGAAGATGAACACAATATAACACAAAAGGAGATGATAAGACTTTTTCTCCTTTTATTTGTAGTGAAGAAAGGTATAAAAGAAAATAGAAGTAAAGAAAAGGGACTAAAAGATCGCGTGTTAAACGAGTTTTATTCAAGATTTGGGTCAGTTTATGGAAGAAGGAGGCAATTTCATCAATGGGAGGGGGCATTCGCATCGCAGATCGCGTCTGGCGACCTTCTTCGTGTCTTCAAGCGCGCATAGTTTTCAGTAACGGTGTATCCATAAGGCGTGCGTTAACATTGATAATCCCTCTTTGTTTGTTATCACCCTGGAAATGTGTATGTCAGTGTAAAAACATATTGTGTGTGAAAGAACGAAATTGTCACTTCAAATTACATTTCGGTCTTTGGTGAAGAAGTGCATTTCGACGATGCTGTCCTTCCGCGTTATCAGGTGCGCTTATATCAAATAAAATTATTACGAATACGGGGGTTGACTGCGCTCATAATTGCGATAGACATTTTTTAATAATTAAAACGTAATATAGGATTCCACATAAATTGCTGATATTGAAATTAATTTGCGAAAAAAGAGATTTTCTTTTCTTAAGCAAAGTAATTTTAATGCGCGGGAGAGAAATGCCTTTCGCGGAAGAGCGACTTTCCACAGCAATTTTCTAACATTAATTATGTTTTACGCCGTACAATAGTTGCACGCGCTTGACATTGCAGTACGTCTGATAAATAATTCTAAATTTATTTTGACGTTTTTAATTTTTTCTTTATTAAATTATTAAGAAATCATTCATAAAAACCGGTGGAGTAAGATTTTGTTTGATGAAATAACAAAGAGATCCTTTTTTGCTTTCTTTATTTCTCATTATGTATATTTATTTATATTTCTGATACGTATTTTTCTTTAATCTTTGCATATTGGTTGATTTTAAATCCAGTCAAATTTTATTTCTGTCAATATATTTTAGATAAATCTCTTCTAAGGTGACAGTCGGATTAGGGAGTCTAATTAGATAGACGGTCTCTTCTCATAGAAAGAATTGAGCATTATAATTAATAAAAATGCAAAAGTAACAATTAACAAAAAGATAAGAAAAGTGAGAAAGAAGAAAAAGTGATAAAGAAATCTTTTAATTACGGAAGGACTATAAAAAAGAGAAAAGAATTAAATAAAAAAGAAAAGATGAAAGAATTGAAGATAATAGTCTTCGCATAAAACATCTAAACTATCAAAAAATATATTTAAAAAAACGTGAAATAAAATAAAAAATAATTTGTAGACTGTATGCAAAACTAGTATATTTGGTTTTATGAAAAAAAATTTCAAAATTTGTATATTAGTATATTTAATCAAGAGAAAGTATATTTCATCGGGACAAGTTTATACTAACATGAATTATGTAAAGTATACAATCAATTTAATTGCTAATATAAATTTGTTTTTCGATTTTTTCTCATTTTATACGACATATTCAAATGTATCTCTTAAAAATACACGTATAAATTAAAATAAATATTAAATTTTTTTTCAATATATTTCAGTAGTTACAGTAGTATTTTTTTTATTTACAATGCCAATCATTACGCGATTAAATTATAATAAAAATCATACTTTTTGTAAAGAATATTGACGAATGATCGATTTTTCAGAATAAAGTCGTCCTTACGAATTTCGGGGTCGCAACCTCGAGAATCGTTCTGTCAGAAGAGTGTTCTTCGGCGAGATTTATGCAGTGGCACCATCGCATCCGAGTGTCCTCATGTGTCGTCCCCGGCGACGATCACTTCGTCGCATGTCAAATCGTACGACGAGGTGCCAGGTCCCCGGCCGATCCCTATCCTGGGCAACGCTTGGCGAATGCTGCCGCTCATCGGCCAATACCAGATCTCAGACGTCGCGAAGATCTCGCAGATGTTCTACGACGAGTATGGCAAGATTGTACGATTGAGCGGCTTGATTGGTCGTCCCGATTTGCTTTTCGTTTACGATGCCGATGAAATAGAGAAAGTGTACCGACAAGAGGGCCCGACGCCCTTCAGACCTTCTATGCCCTGTCTGGTGCGCTACAAAAGTATCGTGCGCAAAGACTTCTTCGGCGAGCTACCTGGCGTCGTTGGAGTGTGAGTTGAATAACAATGACGAGCGAATAATTTCTCGAGTCTTTATTCTCGGAACTAAAAATAAAAATAAAACAGAATCATTTAAGACGCGATGAGAATCAGCTGTCAAATTGTTTGAAAGGAGAAGCCAGTTTTTTATTTATTTATTAAGACATTTTAGATAATAAATATAATAAATTTTATAATATATATAGATAAAAAATAGTATTACCTATATTATTATATAGTATTACCTATATTAATAATAGTATTACCTATATTATTTATTAATATATTTATTTGGATAAAAGCAAAAATTATTTTTCTTTTGTTTGAAAAGTTTAATATCAAACACAAAGATATGACGAATTTGTTAAATAACGAAAAGCATGAAGAGGTATATATACATATACTTAAAGGTGTATGCAAAGATGACCTTCCAAACAATCTGTCAAAGTTTTTCTGAATCATCTGTTATACCATATATGTATGTGTTATGCCGAATTTGAATAGTCACTTTCGACTTTTGAAATAGACCTTGTCCTCATTTTTTTTTAAGTGTTAAATGATCGGTGATGTATCGATGGAATGTCTACTTGTCTTTTCTCTGTCTATTTATTTTGACTTCATCTCACGTTAATTTATTTTTCTTATTAGACACGGTGAACAATGGAAGGAATTTCGTACGCGAGTCCAAAAACCCGTTCTCCAACCGCAGACCATAAGAAAATATATAACACCGATCGAAATAGTCACGGGAGATTTCATAAAGAGGTGAGAGAGAGAGAGAACGGGAAGTGAAATTGATATATTTATTAGCGACTCTATAAATGATGACTTTTTATATGCAACCTTTCTGATGTGTTGTAGAATAGAGAAGATTCAAGGGGACAACGGAGAAGTGCCCGGTGACTTCGACAACGAGATACATAAATGGGCCCTTGAATGTTAGTCCCTATTTTATATCAGTTGGTTACAATATTTTTTCCCAAATCTTGCATAAGAGATCACATCAATTATATATATAAAATTAGAATGACATTTTTTATTCACGCGTTGCATTTTTTTATCTATGCAATTTCTATTTACGCGCGATATATTAAGACTGTGTATTTTCACTTTTCCAGTTGTCTCTAAGATATGTATATGTACATTGTCAGTCAGAAAAGGATTAGATCTCTAACGGTTTGCGAGCGAGCGAGTGCATCCAATCTATCACCGACAAAAATAATCTCTCTTTCGCTCTTACTGGGGAAAGCCTAAGTTTCTCGAGAGCGCATTCTTGGCCATGCAATGATGTTCGTGATAGCATTCCTTGCTACGTACTATGAATTATACATTTGTTGAACAGGTATAGGTCGAGTGGCACTCGACGTCAGACTCGGATGTTTAGGTGACGCATTGTCTCCGAATTCTGAACCGCAAAAGATCATCGATGCTGCCAAATTCGCGCTGAGGAATGTGGCCGCCCTCGAACTCAAGGCTCCATACTGGAGATACTTCCCGACGCCCTTGTGGACTCGTTATGTGCGCAATATGAATTACTTTGTCGAGTAAGTTTACAAGAAGATTCCTATATAAGAAATAAAATATAATTAAAGCATAATTAAATAATTTAAAAAAATAAAGAAAATATATAATTAAAAAATAATATAGTTTTGAAATACTATTTTTTAATATTTAAAAATTCTTTATATAATTAAAAAAACATAAGACAATTAAAAATGAAATAATTTAAAATAATGATATAAATAATTTAAATAATTAAATAAATAAAATAAACTATTTAAAAATAATTAAATAAATGAAATAAATAATTTAAAAAGAAAGTTAATCATATAGAAAAGAGAAAAATCATCCAAATCGTTTTCTTTTTTTTCCACGAGACAAATTCCTTTATTTAGAATTTAAATATGTGAAAGCGAATTCTTTTCTACCCCTTTTCGGCACTTCGTCAAGTCACTAACGGTATGAGTCTTGAAAATAGAAAGTTATATAAGATAATAGAAATTAAATAAGAATCCAACTGCCATAAAAAAATTTCTAGCAATTTAATTTAATTAGCAGATACTTTTACGATTATTAACGCTGAAATAGACGACAAATGATGGTAATTATTGTGACAACGATAACGTTGTGTGTTTTCTGTTTCAGAATTTGCATGAAGTATATCGACGCCGCGATTGTCAGGCTTAAAGATAAGAAAGCCATGGATGAGAGCGATTTGTCGCTGGTGGAACGAATTTTAGCGAAGGAGACAGATCCTAAGTTGGCTTACATCTTCGCTCTCGATCTGATATTAGTCGGCATTGACACGGTATATAATACAATATTATAATTAAATATGATAAAATTATATACATATTATAAAATCATACGGGGATTACGATTATATCAATTATTATAACTTAACTGCAGCATAAGAGATGTTTAAAGCAATGTTTCTTTTCAATGTTAATTTATAATATATAGAGATATTATATAAAGATTTAAATAAAATGTATTACACTCATGTACAATAAATTACAGATATCAATGGCAGTGTGTTCAATATTATATCAATTAGCGACTAGACCGGAAGAGCAGGAGAAGATACATCAGGAGCTGCTGCAAATTCTTCCGGACCCTTCCGTTCCTCTCACAACGAGCCATTTGGATCAAGCGGTCTATATGAAAGCTTTTATCCGCGAGGTGTTTAGGTAATATTAAATAACGTTAATAAACACTTTGATAATAATTCAATTGCTAAATGACTGTCGCAATTTTTGTTCGCATATCTACAATAATGATTCAGTTACGTTTTGAAAAAATAAAGGAACGAAAAATAGAAAGATATTTCTCTAGTAAAAACGCGAACGTTGCAGGGTTTACTCCACTGTTATTGGAAATGGCAGAACGTTGCAGAACGATACCGTCATTTGCGGCTATAAAATTCCAAAAGGAGTACGTAACATTTAAATTTGCCTTAAAATAAAACGTCCTTCCATTATTGTTGTCCTCATATATCTTTATAAAATAAAATTTCGAGAAACACATTGTTCAATAAAATTATTCAAGTTCTATAATATTAAATAATTTTGTGTTTGCGCGCATATGCATGAAACTGAATGCTTTTTATATATATACATATGTATATAGTAATACGGAAATATCTTGTGATACATAAATATACATATATAAGGTATAATTATAGATTCAAGTTGTGTTTCCCACACTTGTAACCGGTAACATGGAAGATTATATCGCGGATTCGAAAACATTCAAACCTGCGAGATGGCTCAAGGACGACAACGAAAAATTACACCCGTTTGCCTCGCTGCCGTACGGTTACGGAGCACGAATGTGTTTGGGCAGACGATTCGCGGATCTCGAGATGCAAGTGCTGCTAACAAAGGTATAAAGCGTGTATTTTATGTGACTTTCTTATTTTATAAATAGGCGTTATTTAACTGGTTGCATCCTTAGACAAACAACTTGTTTTGCTCGAACGTATTTTCATTATAGAGAATCAATCATCTGATATAAATTTAATGTGTTAATTTTTATTTTATTTTACAAAAAAATTTTTTTTAAATTAAATTTGTTTAAGTAATTGACTTTTTAAGATTTTATTTATATATTGAATTATTAATTATGTTCTAAAAATTTAATTTTACACACACTTAATTAAAAATGATTTTATTATTTAATAATTTTATCAAATATTAACAATTTAAAATAGCAATTGATTATAACGATATTATTTTTACAGCTCCTCCGATCATACAAGTTAGAGTATCATCACAAGCCACTAAAATACAAGGTCACTTTTATGTATGCGCCCGATGGAGAACTCAAATTTAAAGTAATAAAAAGATAGTTTTTATATTCTGTAAGTAAAATCTTGTAATATGATATTCTAAAATAGATTTGAAACAAAAAAATGCTAGAACAAAGGAAATGAAAATTTGGAAATTTTAATATATTGATAAAAATCTATAAATGCTACGCCATATTACATTAATAAAATTCGATTATGCATGTTACACATTACAGAGGTATTTAATCTAAATTATAAGAGTTGTATTTATTGTTCAAAAATGCATAATAATGTCGGATTATATTGATATACAAAACTTGTATGGGCTCATTCATATTTATATATTCTTTTGTTAAAATGCATTTTAGATATTAAACACTGATGATAAAAAATGTATGCATTTATTAAAGAAATTTTGTAAATATGAATATTTTTAATTATCTCTCGATAAATCTTAGCTTTAATGGTCCTTTTGGCGTGTACATCGGATTTACGTAATAGTCCATTTTTTCATAATGATATTCTATTTTATAAAATTGCAGAATCTGAAACAAAGGAGAAAAATATTTTTCTTTTTAATAATATAACAATAAAAATTAACGATTGAGGTCCTCGAAACAAAATGTTTCATTATTGCTGTGAAAATAAATGCGGTAATAAAAAATTACTTCATCAACTATATCATAAAATTATAGATTCGTACGCTGTACATGTTCATTTCTAAGACGAAGTATAAAATGTATAATAATTAGCAAAATTACATTGTACTATAAGCAGTTCTTGCGACATGTCAAATAATTATTATATAATTATTCTCGCTTTATGTAACACTTTCATGATAACTGTACAATAAAATCATTATGTGTAGTATACAATTAAAGAATTAAAAAAATATTTATACAGGATAAGATAAAATTAATTTCCGTCGTTTAAAATTGATAGGTGAAAATAATATTAACTCGATGCAATTTTCTATCATTAATTATGTGAGAAGTACTCAATATATCAAATTTATCAGGAAGAGTTTATTGATGAAAATTAAAATTTCATTGCTACAAGTTATAGCATACTTTATGTTCCCAAATAGTAGATATTATGTACTAGGAGTAATCCGTCGACCTAAGTTAGTGAAAGTGCATATAGAATATTCCCACAAAACCTTTTTTTCTATACTTTGTGGCGACTTAGCGTACCTCCGACAATTAGAGGTCTTATTTCTCACCTTGCTAATGACGATAATCATTTCGAGCTCAGCAAATCGTCGCCCAAGACACATTCGTCTACCGTAACCGAAAGGAAGTGACGCGAATCCGTGACGGACTTCGTCTTCGCGTAACCATCGTTCCGGAAGAAATTCGTGACACCGCGGAAAGTACTTCTCCAAGTTACTAATGACATAGTGTTGAAATACCACATGCACCTGAGAACAATTAACATTCGCATAAACTTTGTATCTGTTTTCTCCTATTATATGTGATTGCAAAAATTCCTCTAATTGTAATTATAGTATGTTCAAAATGCAATAACTTGATTATAAATCTATATATTATAAATATAATTATTATAATTATTTATAAGAAATATATAAAATATTATATATAATTTGATTTATTAATAAATTTGTTGTATATATAATATAAAATTGTTTCGCTCACTCCTTTCGGCACGTGATAGTCACCGATTATAGTGTCCGAAGTTGTACTTCGCCCATTGCCTATGACAACTGGATACATTCTAATTAAAAATTTAAAAAACAAATTATGATATGTATATAATGATAATTATAGTTGAGGCAACATATACCATATATGCAAGAGTTGCAGCTACCAGGTTTATTGCGAAACGATGGATTTAAATATGAAAATCCACTTGATCTCAACGAACCTTAGAGTTTCTTTAATACACGCTCTTAAGTATTTTAAATTGTCGACGTTTATCGCTTCGAGAGGTGTGTTTATTTGCGGAAAGACATTGCAGATTTCTTCATATGCCAACGACTGTTTTTCCGGATGTAGCGCTAACTGATAGAGCACCGAGGCCACTGCAGTCGAGGTCTGCAAATATTTTCTTTCAAAACTCACATGTATGTGAATTGGAACGCAGAAAGTTAAGAAGTACAGTAAAATATTTACCGTATCAACGCCAACCAAGAATAAATCTAGAGCAAGAATAGAAGCCACTTTTGTATCGCCCTCGAGAGCTAAAACTCTTTCCAAAAGGGACAGTTCTTTGTCCGAATCGACGTTATTCTTGGCTCTCGACAGAGCGGCAGCTGTATACTTCGATATTGTACTAAAATGTAACAAATTAAACAAATGATCAAAAAAGATTAATATATCTTATTATTTTTACAGTATTTTTTATATTATTTATATTACATTAATTACATATTTTATTTTTAAAAATAATCAATGTAATATAAAAAAAACTTTCTTTTAAGAAAGGAAAAAGATTTTATTAATTTTTCTTTAAAGAAAAAAGATTTACGTATATCGCGATTATGATTTTTTACCTGACAATAGTATCCAAAGCATTTACATATTGTTGCCACGTGGGTGTATTGAAGATTTTCCAAAAAGGTATCTTTAATTCGAGGACGGGCACGTTTTTGAAAAACGTGATCAATGAATCTATGAGCTTCTGCGTTTCCGCATCCGCGTTATCGTCCAAACAACCTAAACGCACATCTAACGCGACCCGTGCGATTGCTATTTAACAAAATTATTTATTACATTTATTTATTTTCTCACCTATTTATACTTATATTAAATTACTTATATATATAAGCTAATCTTTAATTATAAAAATTATTTCAAAGACCAGACTATATTTTTAAAGACATACAAATTGATTCATGTCAATTTTAATTTGAATGATCACAATTATTATCTTATTATATACAATTTAAAGATTTTAACTTTCTGAAATTCTTCTTTCCAAATTCTTTAACGAAAAAAGAAACTTTCCAGACTTTTTTCTTCGGTGAAGGAAAAACTCTCTAGCTTGTCACGTATATATAAGAGAAGCTTTTCATATACAAATTCCTCGAACAATTTAATATCTCTAGCAGAGAGCCAGAGAAACATTCTTTAAATCTTATCTACCTCATATCGTATGCTTACATTCTAAGGACCACTTGTGCATCTCATTGAGAAAGTCGTTAGGTACCTCGTGCTTGCCATCTCGTATTCTGGCTATTCTACAAAAAGGAGGAGAGAATAAATAACTTTTTGATGACCTGAGAATGATTAAGCAGGTGTGTCCGCAAATATTAAGCGGCGAGAGTCAAGCATGACTCGAAAAAGTAAAGTACCATTGTATAGTGTCTAGAATAGCATTTGTACGAAGAGCAAAAAAAAAGATTAACGAACCTGCGAAGTAATGCCTCACTCGCTTCCTCGATCGCGCCGATATACATCCTTGCGGTCCGGGGCTGCAGCATCACTTGCTGTACCTTGCTCCGAAAGTTGTACCAGCTCTCACCGTGACTGTATAAATATAAAAAAGGTGAATCATATATATATATATATATATATATATATATATATATCTATATCTATTGATCAATAATCAAATATAGAAATCAGTATGAAATCAAAATAGTATGAAATCAAATAGCATAATGAGATGACTTTTATTCCACTTCGTCCGTCAGATAAAAAATTTAATCGAGTATATTGATCATTGAAATAATGATGTCAAGGATACAGAATTAAATTCTATATGTCTTACACGGCAATGACCCCGGGATTATCCTGAAAGAAGTCTTTCCGCAATACATGCTTGTAGTAATCGAGAGACGGCATGGAAGGTCGATGAGGCATTTTTTCTTCTCGCCGGAATATGCGCTCGATTTCATTTGCATCGTATACAAATACCATGTCCGGTCTGCCCAGGAGTCCTTCTACCTTCACAATGTCGCCATACTGGTCGTGCAATCTTTTTGACAATTTGTCTACCGCTTGTATATCGAAATCTCCTAAAATCATTTTTTATAAGATTAAATTTTGTAACAATAAGAGTCTTATTTTTTTACTTTCTATTTCTTATTTTAATAACATATATTAATTATAATCTATAGCTATAGCTGTTTTGCCGTATATACATCAGCTTGCACAAGTTTAATTATATTTTAATTATATATGTGAATATTCTATATATCAGAGTCTTCATTATTTCAAATATAGAAAAATTACTTTTTCTTCTGAAAAATCTTTTCTCAAAATTATATAATAAATATACAAATAACAAATGTATACTTGTCTATATGAAATACGCATGAGAACTTTTGAATATTTGACTTTTATGCTGTTTGTGCACTTGAAATTTCAAATTGAAATGTTTGCTAATTAAATATATTAATTCTCCTTATACGGATCGAATCAATCATATTTACAAAGAGATTCGTTAGTACTATCGATTATCTGCTAATGCTCTACGCAAATAAGCCAATATTTACATATCTCTCCAACCGGATTTGCTAAAAAGCAGAGCAAATCAGTTAATTAAAATGTAAATTAAAAAATGATTTTGCCTCTTCGTTAACTCAACATGTCTATATAGTTATATAATAAAGAAAAAAAAGAAAAAACTCATACAGTCGAAATAAGAGAGATTAAGAACCGTAAGGTCAAGGAGGTCCATGTATAAGTTTCTAAGAAGAATAGTCGGAAATGTACGACTTATTTGCTTTAGAGAAATTACTCAATTGTACCTAAGTAAGGCAGAAATCTCCAGGTGTTACCCAACAAAGGAATAGGCTTAGGTCCTGGAATCTCCGAGTACGGACGATGTTGCAATAAATCTTTTTCCCCGACGTCCACAGTCAAAGTGTCTAATGTCGTTTTGTTGCTCTTCGTTTCAAACCTGATGAATCGTCGTAATAATTCCCTCGTGTATTGTCTCAACGTAGCCATTTGTTAACTATACAATAAAAATGATTTAATTCAATTACAAAAAGGAGCAAAGAGCCGCAGCAAGACATACATCTTATATCTGTTACACAATTGAAACTCTAATTAATGTACTAATTATTGTACTAATGTACTAATTATTGTACTAATTATTGTACTAATTATATTGTACTATATATACAAGATCGAAAATAATCTTTAAGAGTAAATTTTAATTTATAACATGTAAAATTTTAATTAAATGTTTTTTATAAAATATTTCTGCAAACATAAGAAATATATGTTCACATTTTATCCTTTATACGGTAATTTATAAAAATAATCACATTTTTTATAGAATTCTATGATGATTGATTTGAAAAATGCATGCAATACCGATTTCATTCGGGAAAGCTGCATATTAGATCGGAATGCAGTTTTTACGTGAACAAAATACGCATTCCGAACCGCCTGCATGTGATTTTTTGCATGCAAATTATTAATGCCACAGAGTAGGAAAGTGATTTCTGTGCATGGTGAATGTAATACGTGACACAACCGTATGATATAATGCACTCTTTATGCGAAAATGTCTTTGAATCGTTGTTAGAATGTTCAAGTGATAGAGAGCGCTAATTTTATGTCATTTCGTAAAGATGGACGAATTAATTAAGCATTCGATTCAAACTAGTCTGATAAAAAAAGAGAAAAAAATTATAATTTAGACAGAAAGTGACACTTTTTAGATCTATGAATTCGCTAACAAATAAACACTATACTTTCTAAAACCTCTGCATATATTATTACTGTAATATCTTAATATATCTGCATATATTAATTTTAATATCCCCTTAAGTATCAAAAGATGAGCATTCGACTAAGCACTTGTATCATATAATAATATGCATGACACATGACTATCATTTATGTACATTGTAAAATATAAATGACTGTAAAATATTTTTAGAGAGAGGAATATTTATCTTATTTATATTACTTTGCAATCTAGAAATAATTTTATAAAGTTCATAAAAGTAAATTAAAAAGAATATTAATAAGTTTTAAATATAAATTTTGATGCAAAAAAATGAAATTGATTTACATACACATTTAAAGATATCGGATTATAATTATTAACTAATAATTTATATCAATTAGTGATATTAATATCAATGATGAAGAAAAAGAGACTTGAAAAGATAGAGTTGCATTTTTATAAATACGTACGAAATATCAATAGAAGAGATATATCGAATAAATCCTTAATCTCTTCAGAAAATAAAACATGTGCGAATATTTCGATACATTGAGTAGACAGCAGAAGTAGAAATACGAAAATAATTGTGACAATTGTCTTAGAGAGAAATCGCGATGTAGGAAAATCATTAACTGTGAAATTCGCAATTCATACTTGCGATGCACTCGTTGTCAATTGTCGCAACTTTCTCATAGATCGTCGCAATTACAATTTAGGCGTCGTTTAACGATGCGTATCACGAACACGCATTCGCATTAGTGTTCAATCAAAGTGCAACACAATGTAACATTTGCACGATTGTAATATAATCAAATATATATATATCATTTTGATCAAACAGAAAATTCATTATTTAGAAAAATAGAAAATATTTTCAATTATATGTAACTTGTTTTTCTTTATTGTATATATTAATTTCTTTGTTATATATTAATAATATTTATTTTTTAATGTGTGCGTCATTATTTTTAATTGAAATTTTTGAGAGCAATGTTTTATAAATTTTATTCATTTTTCATTAATTTTATAATTTTAATATATGTTAATTGTTCGCAAATTATAGTAATAAGTTGATTCGAATGTTATTTCATAAAAAATTAAAACTTTTATCATATATGTTATTTCATCACATTATCTTATTTATATAGATATATATTTATATATATATATATATATATATATATATTAAATATATATATCTATATAAATAAGATGTGATGAAATAACATAATATATGATAAAAGTTTTAATTTTTTATGAAATAACATTCTAATCAACTTATTACTATAATTTGCAAACAATTAACATATATTGAAATTATAAAATTAATGAGAAACAAATAAAATTTATAAAACATTGCACTCAAAAATTTCAATTAAAAATAATGACGCACACATTAAAAAATAAATATCATTAATATATAACAAAAAAATTAATATATACAACAAAGAAAAATAAGTTACATATAATTGAAAATATTTTCTATTTTTCTAAATAATGAATTTTCGCTCTTTGATCAAAATGTCCTTTCTACCAACCAATAAAGAGCTTTAATAATTTTATTCTAATTAGCAAAAACAGTAATAATAAAATACAAATTTTACACTTGATGGTTTAATTATATATTTGATTAAAAATTAAGTAATCAGACAATGAAATGATTAATTATTACGGACAATTTTGAAATTTTATTTGAACAGATTCAACTTTTAAAAATCTTACCTCCTAGAATATGTTGTACGCGTGAAAAAACCACAATCTGACTGAAGTCAAGTTGCTTTGCTTAGTGGTAAAGTATACTTTATTGGAGGAAGTTTGAAAGAAAACCGTTCGCGAGTGGGAGAACGAATATAATTTCGAGAAGGGGAATTTATGCATGGGAAGTCTCTATGGAAAATAGAGACATAAAAGATATGACTTCAAAAAGAGAAAGAATAGAATACAAATGTTTCACACACATAGTTGTGTTTCACTTTGTATAAAATAATTTAATATAATATAAGGTAATAGGAATTAAGATGTACAATTTTAATAAAAAGAATTTTTTTAATTTTTAAAATTTTTAATTGTTGAATTCTTTCAATTCTATTAATTGAAATAGAACAATACTTACATTAAATAGTGATAATTATGTATAGTTAAATACATATTGTTCTTTCCAAATCCATTAAGATTCATACCATTTCGATTTTTTAAGATCAATATCTTTCAATTTGTTTCTATAATTATTTACAAGTACATTAAAGTCATCGTTTCTGTCTCTGTTAAACTTTTTTACTTGCTTCAGTGCCTGCAAAAAATGACGAGAAGTATTTTACATAAAATATTGCTGTGTAAAAAAAACATTTAAAATATGTAAAGTTAAAAAAATCAATTTTTAGTTACTTTTCTGGCTTTAATTCGTTTAGCTGGTCTTTCTTCTTCAGCATCTTTGCTTTTTCTCTTATTTTGATTTGCAGGCCACAAAGGATTGCGATCGCGACTTTTCTGAATTCTTCTTTCCTTCGCGTTTACTAAAATGCGATTTTTAATTCGTTTAGCTGGTATTTCTTCTTCAGCATCTTTGCTTTTTCTCTTATTTTGATTTGCAGGCCACAAAGGATTGCGATTGCGACTTTTCTGAATTCTTCTTTCCTTCGCGTTTACCAAAATGCGATTTTCTATCGAAAACCCAACTATAGGTCTCTACAAACAATTTATAAAAATTTCGATAAAAAAATAACACAAAATAAACATAATTAATAATCGAAATAAATTGTTAACTACTTACTCTGTGTTTGGAAAATATATTTGGGTTGTTATTTAAACTCCTCAAAGCTTTAAGTGCATCGTCATGAGAGGTAAATGTAACAAAACCATATTCTTTTGATTTCCCTTTTCCAGTTGCATCAACATTTTTCAAATCACACATAACTCGCGCCTTAAAAATATTCTCATTAAATTAAAATTACTGTTTATATAATTTAATTATTAAAACAACAAATTATATATATTTCTAATCTAATTACCTCCGTAATAATAGCTTTAGGTCCACTATAATTTTTACACAATTGTCTAAGTTGTGCATTGTCAAGATTGGGTGGCAAATTGTAAACAACGAGTCGCACTCTCGATACAAACATGTTCAAGTTACGCAATATCTGCGATTTCCATCGATCTAACTTCAAACGTTTTTGCATATCGGATACTGATACTTCCACTGCAGCTGGACTTCCAACTAACACAACTAGAAATTGACAACAGACATGTTAAAATTCTTTCTTATAATATAATATTTTTGTCTTATATAATATTATATAATACAATATAAATGTCATTACCTCCTTCTTTGATAAGATACAAATTTCTGGAATCCTTAATTCTTTGTTCTTTCAAGCTTTTTTTTGTTCCTATTTCGTTCTTGTGCAGTGCTCTATGCGCCTCCATTATTTGATCACGTAAACGTAACTCAGTTCCAGCCGACAAACACTTTTCAGCATCTTCAATGTTCTACAATAAAATGTTTCATATACTTGTTATTAAAAATAAAACAAAAATATATAAAAATTTAGCATCTGCAAATAAAGAGATAAATTAGCAAATTTTACCCTAAATTTAACAAATGCAGTGCCTTTGGAGTATTCGGTCAAAGAATCAATGCATACAAGAGCATAATAAATGGGTCCAAATTGCTCCATAAAACTTTTAAGTTCATCATTCTTAACAGAAAATGGTACATTTTTTAGGAAAACTGTTCTTCCTTCATTAACGTCATTAGATACTCGTCGCGGATGTTTTGCATCGGAATCCTCCTTTTCATTTTCCTCCTCTGTTTTAACATCAGATTGATCAATAGTAATATTGATATCATCATCATCATCATCATCATCATCATCATCATCATCATCATCATTATCGTTACTGTCACTATCATTTTCATCTTCATTATCTTCAACACTTTCTGTATCATATTTAATTTCTGTTTCTTCTTCCTCACATTCAATCTCCTCTTTTATATCTTCTTCCATGGTAACATCTTTGCTACAAAATTATAAAAATATTAGATTTTATGCTAAAAAATAGAAAGAAAGAGATAAAAATTAAAAGAAAGATAAAAAGAGAGAAATACAACAAAGTATTTAGATTAAAAATTATGAAAATCTAGTTATATAAATTGGATTCATATATTGATACACAATTTGAATTTTCGAATACCTATCTGATTTGTTATCCTCATTCTCACTGTTATCAATTATTTTAACTTCTGAAGTATCATGTACTTCATCTTTGTCAATAATTTCATTCTTGATTTCAGGTTTTACATCAATATCGTTTAGAGAAAATTTATTCTTAGGAACAGCCCAATCAACTATCATAGGTCTATTCAAAAGAGATTGCATGTTTGCATAATGTATAGCTTTAGCAGCACTTTGCACAAGATTAAATTGTACAAACGCAACTCCAATTTGTTTTAATTGACCAGTTTTGCCATCAGATTTGTTTAAAATTTTTATTTCACTTATTTCACCGTATTGAGAAAAATATTCCTTTAAATTGTCCTCTGTAGCCTAAGAAAGTATGTTTGTTATTCAAAAATATTACATATAATTAACAATATTTAAAACATGTTCTTCTTATATATATTAAATATATAGTACCTCGAAAGATAAATTTCGTATTACAATTCTGGCTCGTTTTTTCTGTTTTTTCATCTTTTGAAGCTTTCTCTGTTTCTGCTTGTTCAAATTATCCTTCTCTTTTGTCAATTTCTTCTTAGATGTATTGTTAGCTTCATTGTTCTTTTCCTCAACATCTTGAGTTTGCTTCTCATTTTTATCAATTTCTTGATTTTTATTAAGGCCTTGCTCAAGTTTCTCACAAAATTTGGATTTTGATATAGCCCAATTACAACTTATAGTTCTTCCTATAAACATATAAAAAAAAATGCTGAAATAAAAATTATATTTCAGAAAGAAATTAAAGATCAACTCTACAAATATACGTACCAAGAAATTCCTTTTTATTGGTATTAAATATTGCTTTTGAAGCATCTTCTACATGTTTAAATCGTATAAAACCACATCCAACCAAGCTTCCGTCCGGGCGCTTTAAAAGATTTATTTCTGTAATTTCACCAAATGGCTCAAAAAACCTTTTTACATCCTTTTCGGTTACCTAATAAAACAATTATATCATAACTTTAAAATTAAGTATCATATATATATAAAATCAAATTAGCAGATATAAGTTGTATACATATATATGTATATATATGCTAATTTAAAACTTAAATAAATTAAAATATTATATTTTCTATTATATATTAAAAAAGTTGATATGTATACCTTAAATGATAAATTTCTCGCAATTATTCGAGAATTCTGACCATTTTCATCTGCATTGTTTGTATTGCTCGTTTTGTTAATCTTTCCTGATTTTATCTTTTGTCGATATATCCAAGATTTACCGTTTCTTTGTCCTAAACATATATAATACAAATGTCAACTATACAATTAATTAAACTAAATTACTATTTTCATAACATGACTGAAATTCTTACCATAACTTGGTTTGCCCATTTTTCACAAAAATTCACAAATATTAATTTCAGTCCTTTGTAATAAATATATATCTTATGTCTATTACTGTCTGAAAATAAAATCAAATTCTGTCAAATTGAATTATGAAATAAAATCGATCATTTATATAATTTGATTAATTTTTACAATTATAAACCACGCGAGCAAGAAACGCAACAAACGTTTATTTTGTAGGTTGTAATGGCACATGCTCAAGTTGCTGGAGTGTTCTAAAATCAAATCGTAAGATAAGTATTTTAACTGACCAATCAGGATAAAATCAATTAGGTTATTTTTCTGATTGGTTAATTCATTATATATATATATATATATATATATATATATTTTTTTTTTTTTATAATATTGTGTTATATTATTTCCTAGATTTTTATTTTTATTTCATAAATTTTATTTAATAAAATATACATTTAATAAATATATATTATTTTATTTTATTTTAAACATAGAAGGCGCTTTCTTCGTTCCGAAGACTCGCGACGTCCCTTGATTATTATTATTCTATGGCTGAAGACAGCTTCGCGCGCTGAAGTTCCTGAATAAGCGAAATCGATACCGCGCGCTTCGATAGTACCGAAATATGGCCGTAAGCGGACTCTCATGTCTGCTAAAGACAAAATAGCGAAAGCAACAGCAACAGTCGACGTAACAGCAGTGCAGCAGCATCGGCCGCGTAGGTGTTTATTATGCCCGAGTTAAAGGTGTTCTACTGTCTGTTCCTGCTGACGCTACTGGACACGACGTCGCAAATCCAATCGTCGCTGCACGGCCACAACAATGGTGAACATCTCTGTCTCTTTCTCTCCCTCTCTCTCTCTTCCATCGCCCTCTCTTTCCCGCATAACTATTTCGGTGTCGATAATCGCGAGTGATTCGCTCGTCAGGCCGATGACAGCTCGAGCGAGGAAGCCCGCGCGTCGTCCTCGACGCCTGACACTTGTCCGGAGGAGAGGACGGCGAGCGACAGCGAGATCCTCCGCGAGGCAAGGGAGAGCCTCGCGGACACGAAGGTCACGTTGTCGCGCGCCAAGCGCTGTCACGCGTCCTCGGCGAAGCGCGGGAGTCTGGTTCTTACGAATTTTAAATCATTATCTCGGCGATAAAGGGTGATAAGGGCAATGTATAACCTCGCGTCCCTGTCACCTGATAGTCGTCTGACTGACGTGTTTACGTTACGCAAGGCGCGATGACATAGCACGTGTCATGTGGCTTTTTGCGCCTCGCGACAATTGGAGGAATCTGATGGTTCCAAGATTTGATTTTAGTGATGAAAAAAAAGTGGGATATTAATTGTTAATTATAATCTTTAGTAGGATATTAATTGTTCATTATAAATTTCTGGGTTTTTTTTTTTTTTTTTTTTTTTACGTAATATGGATATTTTTCTATTACATCTCTATGTACTTTGAAACTCTCTTTGAATTGAGCGAAGAAATTTTATTTCTGCATATTTTTTAACTCTAGACTATTCGTTTCTCGCGTGTTCATCGTTATCTATTTGTATAATCTATGCATAGCATAGATGTTTGATATACATGTTTGTTGAGGCTTTGAAACACGGTAAATCTGTAAACACAAGTCTTATTTTCAGCAACATGCTCTTGAGCCATCTAAATTGCAATTTGTTTTGAATTTTTGTAGCCTTCGTTCAAGATAACAACGATGTTCAATCTTTTCATCTTTTGGATAATGTGCAAATATCTAATCTGCATAAGGTTAGTAATCTTGCCTCATATATAATTGCATTTTACAGTTATGCATTAAGGAAAAGATACTTGTAAATTCAATATCAAAATCATAAAAGACTTATCCATTTGTGAAGAATAAGAAAATAATTGCTAAATAATTAGTTTATTAAAATAATGTGGCATATATATAATGCAAAAGGTATATTGAAATTCTTTTATTTATAGGATTTTGCTAATACAGTACATGAGACTGGGTAAGCATAATACTCATTTCGATAATGATGAATGGAAGTAGGAAAGGTATTCATTATAATTTTTTTTTTTATATATTAATTACATGAGATGCCCTGTGTATGTATCGTAAAAAACTTTGCGAGCTTTTTGCCAGTTCTTTTTAGAATTCATAGTTTTGCAAATGTTCGTCTTTTATTTTAAACTATGTTCTATTTGAAACCATTGAAGTTATCTTATTGTCATACATTTGCTTAATTTATGGATAATAGCAACATTTATTAAGCTTGGACAATTTTTAAAATCATTAGCACACTAAAGATAAGATAAATTAAAGTTAACATACTATATTGAAAATAGAAAAAAATAGAAATATGGTTCTTTTTTTTTTAAATATGTGTTATAAAAATTTTAACATTTTTATTATTATGCATATAACGTTTCTCTATTGATTAAAAAGAATTTGTCTCGAATTAAAACTATGTCTTCTTATATCTTTCATATTTTTATTTTCCACTATTAGAAGTATTGTACTCAATGATTAATTGCTTAACAACATTATTATATTTTTAAGGGATACCACATTGGACGAGGATAAAGATGTGCTCTCTCACATTTCTTTCGAACCGAGCATCTTGGACTTTAAAGAAAGGTGAATGCTGCTTAATTTAGCATTTTGATTCAATATCAAGAAAGTTATGCAATATTTTTTCTCTTAGACAACTCGGTATTCCTCACCAAGAAACTGTGATCATGTTTAACAAAGATCACAATAAAACCATACATCTTGAATCGATATCTGGTAATACACGTCATTTCCATTCATCATTTTTTCAAAGCAAAGTAAGTTATAGGATGTAATATCTTACAATTAGAGCATGAAAGATAAGTTAGAAGGAAAACATTAAAGCACATTTTAACATTTACACCATATATGATAATTAAGCTGATAATTTTCTGAAATATCTAAAAAATCAAATTTATTTTTTAAGTAATTAAAAATAATATAAATAAAAATATATTATTGAATTATCTTGTATTAATGATTGTCATGCTTATTCCAGGTAATTCCACCATTGGGGAACACAACATTTAATGTTGTCTTCCTTGGTCGAGACGAAGGTGATATCGATACACACCTTTTTATACATACTTCAGATGGGACACTAAAGTATCAGGTAAGGGAGATCTATCTCAATGATAGTTTCAATTATTATGCATATGTATACGATGCGTTGCGCAATAAGATGCTTCTGTATGTGCAGGTCAAAGGAATAAGTGTCAGTAGTCCTTATAGACTCCGACCTGTAGTTGATGTCAAGTTACCATTAAATGCATCTTTTACACCTCTTATATATATGCACAATCCACATCCGGAAGCTTTACAAGTATGCGAAAATTTCTATAAATATTGATTAATAAACACACAAAAATATTTGCATGTGTTAACCACTTTAATAAATAATTTATAATGTCTGCTGTGTAAATAAAGGTGGTGGAAGTATATAGTAGCGGTGGAGAATTTCAATTAGAATTACCATCGGGCGAGTCGGAGGGTACTCGAGAATTATGGGAAATTCTACCTTATCAAACGAAGCCTATCATCAGACTAACTTTTAATGCTTACGCGGAAAAAAATCACACGGCATATGTTAGGTTCGTTAAATATAATACATTATATTTATATCATGCATATATTAATTTATATAATATATACATGTATGGAATGTGTTACAGATTTAAAGTAAATAATACTGCTGAGATTCTTGTGGTAGCAGTCGAAGTAGAGGTCAAAAGTGGAGCTGGTCTTCATTGGGGTGGGAGTTCTGGAGTAATTAACTTAGGTATGGGTGGCTCATTACAGCCACCTATTCGCCACCCTATTGCTTTAAAAAATTCCGCAAAGAAAGCAATCAAAGTTGTGGTAAGTTGTACCAGCGAATTATTCAAATTTTTTAAAGATTGTTGATGTAATTTCTAAAGAGAAAATTTTGACGTTTAAAGCATTAAATTAAACAAATCGAAATGTTTTTAGAATATTATAAATACACCTGTATCAAAAGCATTAAAACTGCATTTTGAGCCAGCAATAATTCCAGGAGAGACAGATATACCAATAGCCATTGGAATGCTGGTTTATGATTGTAAGACACAACATTTGTCATTTATATATGATAGAAAAATTTGGATACAATCATTGATCTAATTAAAATAATGGTATATTAATCTTCCCAGGGAAAACTGGTTTGGATTTGCAACACTTTAAAGGCAAATTGATAATAAAAGCAATAGGTCCGGGTGGTTCTAGTCAAAAATTAGCAATCCCATGGGTAGCTCAAGTGCTACAAGGTGGATTAGAAGTAAACACATCGATTACCCATTATTGTTCTCCGCAATCCAATCAAGCTCGAAATTTTAGCGTGGTGAACAAATTTAAATTACCATTAGCAATTACGAATGTCACGATGTGTTCGAATGCAAAATCGCTTTTTACGGTACACACTATTAATTTTTATCATTTTTAATCAATGAAGCTTCTAATATTTCTTTTCAGTTATTTCTTATTTAATAAAAAGAAATAAAAAGAAAGTTTGAATTTTTCAGATTAAAGATTTTACTCCTAGAGTAATAAAACCCGAGCAAAAGGTCAATATATTTTCTTTACAACTTGCCAAAGAACGGAAGGGTGACAGCGTAAAGATGGAGTCGTCGATATTGATACACTCGAACGTATCCGTAACCGAAGTTCCGGTGTTGAGTTACGACGGGAAACTGAGAAAAGTCATGCCGAGCGAGAAGGAGAACGACATGGGGACGATGAATTTCGGAACTGTAGGAAGCGGCACCGAAAACGAGGCGATTTTCGCGCTGGAGAATCAGAACCCCGTCAACGTGGAGCTACATAGCTGGGGTGTGAACATGCCCGGCGCAGTTTTGGAATTAATGGGATGTCAAAACGGTCCCGCGGATTCATTGGACAAGGAATTTCGAAATATAACTGTGTGCAGTCATTCGGGAAACGTGAGTTTGCTCTGCAAATAATTTTACTCGAGTTATAAGTGATATTTTTTAATATATTTTTTTTTTACTTTTCTCAGCAATACATAAAGCCGGAGTTCCTGGCGATTTTTAAGATCAAGGTGAAGACTCCTATGGTCGAGGAAGACACGATTGTCGGCGATGTTTTCGTACGAACGACATACGAACGGTTCACGTTGCCGGTGTACATGAGGGTTGCGCACGGCAAGATTTCCTTGAAGAAGCTTATTTTTACCGATTGCTTCCCTGTAAGTTACAATCTACAGTCAAATTTTGTATCGGAGTCCAAAAAATCTTTTTTCTTAAACAAGAAACATCTATTTATATATATAATCTCTATAATGTCGAACAGGGATCGATCTGTGTGCAACAAGTGAAGGTGCACTCCACGTTTTCAAGACCGATGGAGGTGACGCACGTCGCGCCTATAAACAAAGACGACAGGATAAAGTACATCCCACTGGAGGAAGCTACCATGCCAGTCATATCTAAGGGCGAAAATAATGTCGGCTCGATACAAATTGATCCCTCGGTGATCTGCAAGCAACATTGTTATTTAGGTTTATTCGTAGACACCAACAGTAAGTAACAATACATTATAGTAATTTTTTAACTTAAAATGTTGCATTTTAATTTTTATAATTATTGCACTATGAAATTAGTTGGTCGTTCAGTCGTTTTACAACTGTTTAGTGGTAACATTTCATTTTACAGCGGGAAGCCAGTGGTTGAATACGATGAGCCTTCCCTCGCACACTCGTGACTCCGACTTGAATTTGCTGAACACGCGACACGCACGTTTTGTCAACTCCACCGCGGATGGCTCGTGGGAGAACGTCACGATGCGCTTGGACACGACTGAGGTGCGCGATCACAGGTTTTACGTGAACATCAAGCCGTACTGGCCGAGTTTGTTGGTCAATATAAAGAACAAGAGCGTTCTGATGTTCCCGTTGACGCAAGTCGGAAACACATCATATAGAACGATCAAGTTGCACAATCCGAGCGCGAGTCCGCTGTTAGTTCAGCTGGTTATGGACTGGAGTTATCCTCAAGGAGCACGTCTTTATCATTCTTTGCCAATGAAGTATGTAATTGATTATTTGGGACTGATTTTTCCAATTTCTTGGTAAGTTTTACCCAACAGGTAACATATTTTCATCTCTTTTCAGATAAGTTCTGTAAAAAGAGACGAAAATGTGCTATTTGTCGAATAAAACTTACCAAAAAGTTAGAACAATCAACCTTTGGCTGCTTGATATACGATCGTTGTTTTAATTAAAATGGAAATTATTGATATAAACTTTTATATTCGCGCAGATTTAAACCCACGTGTGCGGAATGTTCGTCCACAGTCCCGGAGGAATTCAAGCTAGAAGAGAATGCGGATGAACGAGAGCTGTTCGAGAAACAGTGGGATGTACCGGTAGCGTCTCAGTCGCTTCCTTTATATTTGAACCCTTTGGAAACAAGGACGATTCGCGTGGCATATACACCCTTCTCTGCTTCGGCATCCTCTGGTTTTTTATATATTAGGCAAGTATTTCCACAAAAAAAAGATAAATATTTAGCAAAAGGGATAACAGTAATAGTTCTGTATTTCACGTATTGACGTACGTCTTATGTTGCCTTTCCAGAAATAATATGACTATTTTAGAAGTCCTACGTATGAGCGGTCGAGGCGCGAGCGCGCAATTTAGGTTCGGCAATCGCAAGCCAGGTTCGACTACGCCTCTGCTGTTTGAACTCGTGGATAAGCATTTTAAAGATTGCGAACGTATGTACGTTTCCTCATCTTTGCCTTACGATCTAAAGAAAAGTCCTCTTTATGATATATTTGTGTAATTTTATCCTATTATTGCACACACACTTTTGCAGAATACCCTGCACCAAATACATAGGATTTTAGCTTTCGATTGAATTATCTGGTTTTCTCTCCATATGTTCTAGCTTATATCCTGCTGAACAAAATAGGTAATAGTTTTAAAACTAAATATTGAATAGTTCATTGTGAGTTACAGCCATTCAAATAACTTGTCTATAAATAAATAGTTTATTACATTTTTTGTTCAGCAATTCAAAAGCTACAATATATTAGAAAACTAGTTGATCTTGCTAAGATTTAATTTTATATGATTAGTACAGGATTTTTGAACTTAATTAAATAAAAATAAAATCCTAGAAATTGAATCCCGGTGAAATCAGCTGATTTTCTCACATGCTGCAACTTATGATTGACTAGCTATACCTGAAAAAAATGTGTATTTGGTGTAGGATCCTTTTGAAAAATCGAACTTCTTTTATCATTTAAACAAAACTTTCAGGAGACCGTAATAAACACGTTACGACTCCCGTTCTCACTGTAAAACGCTCCTTCACGGCTCGGAACACGGGGGAATTGCCGATCGAGATTTACGGCTTCTACATCAACGACTGGCGTTGCGAGGGCTACGGCTTCAAGGTACTCGATTGCGCGCCCTTCAAACTGAATCCGAACGCCACCAAGAGAATCGAGATCGCGTTCACGCCGGACTTTACGCTGTCGCGGGTAGAACGGAAGCTGTTGGTGTTGACGAGCGTAGGACCGGACGAGGACGAGGACGTCGAGAACGGTGTGGTGATACTTAATCTACTGGCGATTTTGCCAGTACACTCGTTGGACTTGTGCGCGCCGGTGCTTGCCAGACCATCGTGGGAGCGCGCGGTGCAGTGGACCGCGATCAGCATCTCGTCCGTCGTGTTGCTGGGAGTTCTCGCGGTCTCGTTCTTCGAGGCGGATCGAATTCTACGGGGAGCCCTGGCCAATTACTCGAAGGAGAGTCCGGTGCAACCGCCCCTGGATCTGAGGCTGCTCTCGCACATCTCGATGCACAACTCGACGCAGATCAGTCCTGCTAACAAGAACGAGAGGACACCGTCGAACGATGATAAAGGCAAGACGAAGAAGGATGAAACTTGCTTTCCAGACTGGTCGTTGATGAACGTGAAGAAGTATAAGGACAAGGATGCGCAGAAGGGATTGAAGATCCCGGACTGGTCCACCGAGGAGGAACGCAGATTCAGGTTGGACACCGAGTCTAAAGATCTGTTGTCTTTCAAGCGATGCGAAGAACCGTCTAATGTAGAAGGCACCACTAATGCCGTGAATACATCGTATGGGTCGAAGAAGAAGAACGGCAGTAAAAAGCAAAGCAACGCTCCAGAGGCTCAATCGGAAAATTGCGCGGCGAATGATGCGGATACTCAGTTAATTCAAGAGAAAAAGTATACTACCGTTAATATGGTTACGAAGTCGAGCCCGACGTCGAATAGGAAAGGAAAGGTAGTACCATCTACGCAATTGAATGTCAAGGAAGAGCCAAAGCTGTTTGATCACGAGGTTCAAGTGGATGCAGGAATGATCGGAAATAACAATCGGATTAACAAATCACAGGACAACAAGCGCAATAAACAAGCAAATAGCACCACAAATCACAGTAATCACAATAATCATGTTTCTTTGAAAAAGCTCGAATCAACGAGCGTTCAAAAAATTATTCACCTTTCAGAGGAAGAGACGTCGTCCACGACAACAGAGAGTTCGACTCACGATGAAACAACGTCTTGTAAAGTAAGTTATGTCGAATTATTAAATATATGATCTTAAGAAATTTTTAAGGAGTTAAATGCAATATTTACTATATTTTAAAATTAAATTTGACTGTAAAAAAAACATAATTTTTTATTTTAGAAATAATCAGATATACTTAATATTTGGAAATTAGATATTAATAACTTTTAGGAAACAATTTTATATATTCTTTTATAATTAATATTAAATATTTATTTTATATAACTAAATATATTCATCATTTTCTGTTTAAAAAATGAAACATTGATTAAGAGTTTTGAGGTAAATAAGTTAAAGATTTTTCATAATTTTAATTCAGAATTTTGATCAACCGTGCGGGAAGCAAGAAAAACTCCAAAGAAAGCCAATATCTAAGAAAAGCAAACCTCAGTCTATTCCACCTGTGCCATGCATAGATTATAAGGATAATTACGAAGGCGACTGTGATGATGATGAATACGATAAGGAGAGACAGAATAATCCAAACAGATGGAAGATGAGCTCTGGTAGATCTAGCACGAAGCACCATATCCATACCTCATGCACTGTTGAATCATCCTTCAAGTTACCACGTCAGAATAAGAATCCACCACGGAAGGAGAAGACGGTGCAGAAACGTCGTGCAGCTGATAAAACTCACATCAAATGTATGTTATAATCTGTAAATCTATTCTAGAAATCTTTTCAATTGTTCGATTCTTGAATTTAAAATCAATATAATAGCATATAAAGGAGCTTTTATGTTAAATTTATTACTTTATAAAGTCTATAAATCACTCAATCTTTTCCTTTAATCTATAAAAATTACATTTATAATATCAATCTATAATATTTAGTTATATAAATGCATAAAAATACTAATCAGAAAAACACTAGTATCTTTATATACAAATACATACATATATAAAATATTAAATTAAATTATATAATAAGTTTAATTATTTATATATATATATATATATATATATATATATATATAGTTAGTTTATTAACTTCAACATACATATGTTAAGAAGTGAAACTTGGTTTACAAATAAAATATTGATCTTAATAATGTTAATAGTGATATAGGTAAGAATATGTATTATTGGCAAGATCAATTGTAATTTTGTAATTTAGTACTTTATAAAGTCTATAAATTACTCAATCTTTTTCTTTAATCTATAAAAATTACATTTATAATATTAATCTATAATATTTAGTTATATAAATGCATAAAAATACTAATCAGAAAAACACTAGTATCTTTATATACAAATACATACATATATAAAATATTAAATTAAATTATATAATAAGTTTAATTATTATATATATATATATATATATATATATATATATATATAATGTATTAAATTTTATATATATCTTGCATTAATAAATTAAAACATTCTCATTCTTTATTGTTGTAGCTCCTGTAAACGGAAACATAAACCAAAAAGAAGACGTAACACGCAGCATAGGATCAGTTTCCACTCCATTACCACCTCCGCCTTCCTGTTGGGGCGAGAACAGGGCTAAATTCAGTGATGTGGTGGCTCGAAGTCAAGAGATCGTCCCGCCATTCTCCAATTTAAATCACGTAAATCACAAGAGTCAAACAAATACGTCAAATCTGTCTACGGTATTCGGCACCGATGTCAAAGACGTTCAATATATTAAACCACAGTCGACGCAAGAGATGTTGCAAGCATCGAAGGAATACAATTTGATGACAAAACCGACCACTCTCGCATCCCCGGCTAAAGATAAAGCACTGAACTCGGAGCCTCTGATCTTACAACCGGATTTACAACAGTCGAACAGTTACTTCATTAACACCTTCACGGAACATCCTGTAAATATATCACACAATTGGAATTAACTTTATTTTCGAATATTAGATACTTATTTATCGAATTGTGTCGAATCTTGTGTGCAGTTTGAGCGCGAGCTGGTACCGTACGACGATCTTCCAGAAACTGACGAGCCTTTAGTAGAGTTGGAGACTCCTGAAGAAGACACGCGATGTCAATTGTGGGAAGATACTAGTTCTATGATAAATTTGCTGTCGGATAATACAAACGGATTTCAATTGGAGTCGTCAAAAACAACGGAGAAACCTGTTTTGCCTGACTTGAAAGGTATTTTGAGAAAATCTTTCAAAAATAATTTTACACGTAATGACATTGTAACAAATTGAACTAATGAAATGCATGATTGCAGATAATTGGACAGTCGATACAAATTGGGAACCATTGTACACTAGAGCGGCGGTTGGAGAGGAACGTAGTGGCGTTTGGGGAATCAACACGGGAGGTGTCTGGGCTGCAGCACCCTGGGGTGCAGCTGCGCCGCCGATGATGTCGCAAACATTACAGTCCGAGTCGGATACACAAGTAAATAATGAATATTAAAAAGTGTCTAATGGCCCAAGTAACAAACTGATGTCATTTTGACGTATAATCACATCATTCGATATCAAAATGATGTACGCTTGTTACCTGGAGGAATAATTCATAAAGTAATGTTTCTTTTTATGATTGTTGCGCAGGAACGATCAGGATTTGATCCGTTTCGTTCGCTTAACACAATATGGACGCCCTCATCGACCGAATCGTGGAGAACGAAACGCGAGGATTGAATAAGCAATGAAAAGGAACGAAGGAATATTTTATCTTGTGATATCGTACATTTTTGTTTCAAGATTTTTTTGTTTTTTGGCGAAAATCGAAAGTTAAACGAGACGGTTCAACGCGACCGTAATAATTTGAATTTGAAAGCCACATTTGAAAATTGTTATAATTTGATGCAACTACGCTGAGCGTACTTTGTGATATAATTGTTACTATTACGTTGTACGATAGTAATACCAGATATGAATAGTTTCTCGACGAGTTATTTTTCATATTGTTTCTTAAACCAAAATCTAGATGTTACATCTCATTTTTTTTTATTTCTCTTTATTTAAAGCATAGAATGCGTTTAAATTATTTGCGAGTGAGGTGTGCAGGATATTAATTGAATATTCTTCTTTTTTCTTTTGTTTGATTTGTTATAAGAAAGAATAATATATTTGATTGATCGATTATACAAAAATGAAATGGAAATAGCACATATGGAATTAACAGAATTTGCATACAAAAAAAAGTGAAAAAAAAGGAAATACAGTTTCTCATGTAATCACAGCACATATTAATTTAAAGGAACTATACATGGCTTATACGGAAATTCATAATTTGCTCCTTGATTTACGGCACACTCTTTCTCTTCTCTCGTGGCATTGTCCGCGTATGCATAATGTAAAAAAAAATGAACTATCGCAATACTCGAGTCCCAATCTTGGTATATTAACAAGTGATAAGATTAAATTATTTGAGACGAGTGAGAACTGTGATTTTTTATAGTCTTGACTTGTAGAGATACCTTCAAGACAAGTTTTACAAGGTTGCGCTGTATACAAAGTATAAAATGAAAGAAATGTGTACCTATTCTTCAAGACTGGTAATCGTTGTGTTTTAATAAAGAAGTCACAAAAAAAGTACATAGTGATCTTTTAGGAAGTAGCTCCTTTTCCTCACAGAAATTGCAAAGAACCTTTTTCCACTGTTATAATATCAATTTATAAAATTTATCTTAATCAGCAAATACGAATAATTTAATTTCTATAAATAACGTAATATAAAATTCTTTCTATATTATATAATAAAAAAAAAAAGACTACAAAAACGTCAGTCTGCAACCCGTCCTCGATGAATTTGCAAAAACGCACGACTTGGCCTGTTGTATCCTCCTAAGGAGCAGCTGCAAGCAAAGTTTTCGATACTTTATATTTTTTCCTTCATCTGTGATATCTATTCTTTCATCTGTATAATCTATATACCATATTGTCATCTTCTATTCTTTTCTGCAATTTCTTCCTGTTTATCGCAGAGCTGCTGGTTCTAGGCTGAACACTTGGCTCGCTGAGGATCTTGTGCCTGGGTTTCTGTTGCGCCATAATTTTCCTCAGCAGCAGTTCGTTCTCCCGCTCGATCCTGCGCATCTCCTCATCGGTGAAGCTCATGTTCCATCGTCTGCACCTTCTTGGCTTGACCTGCCTATCCGGATAGCAAGACGTCGGTTCGTCGCTGAGCGAGCAAGATTCATCCTTCCATCTGGATTCGCCAATATCTGCATCCTTCGAACTCTGGCTACGTTGAGGATCAACGACGGGAATCCTAGAGGGGAGATTCTGTGATCCTGACGCGACGTTGGTGACCTCGGACTCGTCGCAGGATTCATCGGAGCAAAAGGACTCGCCTGCATACGCGGATTCGTCGTCCGAGGAATCCTTGGTCTCCTGCGCATCGCCTTCTTCGTCCTTCAGAGCAGAAGGTAATGCGTCTTCCTCGGGTTCGCTCTCCTCCTCGTCGATCTCGTGAATATTAGGAACGTTTTCGAGACTGTCTTTCGAAGCACTTTCGTCCTCGCGAGGGTGTCGACATCCGCAGATAGTATCTGCCTCAGCCGAATTTGCCATCGCGAGACCAAGATCATCAGCTCATCGAAGGCCGCTGACGAGGAACGCGAAGTTTCCGCTGATGATCTTCATGCGAGCAAAGTGAAATAACCCGCGTCTCAAGTGGAGATTCGTGATCATGTTGTAAACAAAGGTGTACCAGTCCCAATAAACAAAAGCGTTAAAAATAAATATACCTATATATGTATAGTAATTTTTATATGTATAGTAATGACATCTCGCGCGGGTCCGGCAGGAGACTTGGTGGAGACGCCCGGGAATTACGAATTCGTTCATTTCAGATTGTAGCCAAAGTACTTGAATGAATCTTTGATATTCGTAATCAGTAAGCTCGTCTCTAATCCGTCAGAGTTATTTTTTTAATTGTCTCTACAGGACTTTGTACCAAAATCTTCAAGCAATGTTAGGTAGTAACTAATTAATTAGTTAAAGTTAAAAGTTAAAAACTTTTATAATAGTATTATATTCCCTCTATACTGTCTTTTATAAAAATGCACATACAGGTACATTATATGCATTATCGATTTATATATAGCTTTATTAAATCGAGCTGATATTATCTTATAGTCTGAGGAGTATGATGAGGAACTGACCTGTCTTAGTTTATTTAAATCTGAAAGTAAATTATTAGCAGCTAGTAGTAAAGGAAAAATGTATGTATACAATTGGGGTGAATTTGGACTACATTCGGATGAATTTCCAAACGCTACGAAGATTGCCATAAATTGTATGATCCCTGTTACGAAAAATGTTGTTATAACTGGAGGAGAGAACGGGATAGTTAGGTAAGAGGGAATTCTTACGATTTAATATATTTTTATATATGTATATGTCATTCCTATATATATTAAACAGGGCGACTAGTTTGTTTCCTCATCGTCAACTCGGCATAGTAGGACAACATGACTTTTCTGTCGAGACACTTGATATAAGTAAGGATGGAACTTTAATAGCGTCCTCGTCTCACAATAATGATATCAAATTCTCGAATGTACAATATTTCGAAACATTAAATGTTACTGAGCCTGTAAAAGGTGGAAAGCAAAAGAGGATGAAACACAATCTGCCAAGCAGTCAAATCAATAATCGATCTGATTTCTTTGCCGAATTATAATTTTAACAGTTTGATGTAACAAAGTAACAAAATTTGTACTATCAAGAAATAAAAACGAATAATATTATGAAACATGTAAATTTTATACATAGTTACCAATATACATAAGAAGTACTACACAAATTTACACGTATGATATGAATAATATTTATGTATAATACTTTGTTTCGATTAAACGTAGAATATATTACAAAAAATATTACATATTCCACCATACATCGATCATGTGGATCAAGATATATTTATATAGTTCGTACATTACCAGTCCTATGAATGATTAAAGTAAAGCAGTGCAATTATATAAATCTACCTATCTAAACGTACATTGTATGAGAAATGGATCAAGAAAAATCATGCCTGTAGATTAAATATTCAACTTTGTCGTTCGCAATCTTTAGGTATAATATATTATTATTAATAAGTAAAATAATTGACGTTTAGAATAAAAAGTAATTAAAAAAAAAAAAAAAAAAAAAAAAAAAAAAAAAAGGACAGTTGGCTTCGCAAACGATTGAGCGATCATTCTTCGTACTTGACTCATGTATGTGTACGCATTGTGCACTCAATAGATTATCTTATTTTATATAGAATGATCGCTCAATCGTTTGCGAAGCCAAACACTTTTAAGCTTCCTGCGTCGCGCTTCCGATCGTAAGTGTCCTTGTCGTCGCACGCGTAAGCTAGAAGATATTGTTTAGGATGCCAGGCGACAGTGAATGTCGCCGCCTCCACCGGGACGTCGGCGATCTTTTCACCAGTCTCCACCTCGCCGATGTCTATAACTAAGTCTTCGGACGCCGCCGCCAACAATTGTCCATCAAATGAGAAAGAAATAGTACGCACTGGCCATTCCAGCCGCGAAAATGTCCTCAAACAACAGAGTTCATCGGCGTCCCACAGAGAGACCAGGGCGTCTGCGGATCCGGTGGCAAAATACCGGCCAGTCGGGTCGAACTCAATGCAGATACACGTACCAGGATGCGCTTTGATTACGTGCAACAATTCCAGCTCGGGATAACTAAGAATGTGCACGCAACCTTGACCATTCGTCAGGTAGAATGTGTCCGAGTCCTTGTTCCACGAAATCTCGTTCACTTCAAAGTTAAACTGCTCCTCTGCGCGTATCTTCATCACCCGGGCATCAATAAAGGTTACTAAATCTTCTTTATTTCCAACAGCAATTGTGTTACCATCTGGCGACCACGATATGTTGATATTCTCCCCTCTTGTACTAATGTTCGCTGTACATTTTTGGGTCCTTGTATCCCAGATACGAACTGTCTTATCTCCACTCGCTGTGGACAATAATTCTGGATAGAAGGCGTGCCAGCATAACTGATCCACACTACCACCATGTCCTCTAAAAGTTGTTTCCTGTTTCTGTAAGAAATATTTACATCAAAAGCTTTTGTAACTATATCTCGAATTTAAAAATTGTGTTAAAAAATGTAAAAATTTGTTTAAACTTGAAGAGATAAAAAATGGAGTTTTATCAATTCTCTGTATTTAAAAAAACTTAAAAATATATATCACATATATTATTAAAAAAATATATATATATATTATTATTAATATATAAATATATATATTAATATTAATAAAAATATATATATTAAAAATTTTTAAATAACTCATTTTACCTCAGATATCTCATTGCATGACCGGCTACCGGCTACTTGCACATACTAGTTTCTGACGCATAATTATTGATTTATAAATAAACGAGCGAATAAAAGTAATAAGAAACCGTCACGTTAAGTCTCGCGGAAAATTTTATAAAAACAAAAATTATCGCTTAAAAAAAAATAAACAAAAATCATATTAAAAATCTCGTGTTTACTAACCAAACGATCAGGACACAAAGAAAATATGCAGACGGACTTGTCGAAGGAGCCCGAGGCCAGGTATTTGCCGTCACAGCTCCATCCCACGCTGTGTACCTTCGCCGAGTGACTCTGCTGCTCCCGAATCTTATTATGGGATTTAAAATATTTAATTAACTCTTCCACGCGTGCGATGCCGGCCGCCATCGTTGTTTACACTTTGCACCACTCGCTTCGTCCGCGAACCATAAACATACATGATTAGAGTCCATTCCTTTGAAAGTATAAAAGTATAAACTGTCACCTAACTTCAGCTTGTAGCAAAGAGTCGTGTCGTCGTCGACCAATCAGAACGAAGTAGCTGTCAACCTGATCAGCTGATTCGATTGGTCAATTCATTCGCGGTTCCTGTCACGTGACTGATTTTAATTTCGCAGCTGTTGTCACGTGACTGTATTTGATTCACACATAACCTCAATATAGCAACACATAACCTCAATTTTAATCGGGTAATCAGGTAATGTGAAATAATTGTATTATTAGTTGTATAATATATATAATATTATTGGAGATTTTATATAAAAAGAAGAAAACATTTTAAAAACACCAATAAATTCGTCTTTGTTAAAATGCACTGGAAAATGGGAAAATTATTAGGTTTGTAATATTTTACAATTTGTTTTTTGTAATACAATCACGCGTTTATAAACACAATTTAATTTGACAGATAATGTGATATCTGATGATATCGATATAAGCGATGAAGATATAAGCAGTGATGAGGTTTCGATTGAATCCTCTTCATTATCATCAGATAGTGATAACGATAGGGTTTCTGATGTCGAAGAATCGAAAGCTGGAACATCTGCTTTAGCTGGTTATTCCTTTTAATTTTTTCAATTTTCTTTATTTGTATATCAATTATCACGAACTTGGGGGTCTGGGTCGGATTCGAACCTGCGTTATACTTACTCTTCGCCTCAGGCGAGTTTCGGTGACGCAGCGTGCACGGCCACCCGTTGCCCTCTTTTTCATTTGTATATAAAACCCTTGTTTAGAGTCCCTAGCTTTACGCCATGGAAACTAAATATATATACCTTTATTTTTCTCCAAGATGGGTTATCTTCTCATCGAGGCAACACTAATGAAATGGGTAACTTGGATAACTCGGATGAAGAGAATGAAGTTGTCAAGGCTATATTAGATGCAAAGCAATTGTGCAGAAATCATCCACCGTCAATTATATTAGAAGATATGATAACAGACATATGTTTCCATCCTGCGGCAGATTATATAGGTGTAGCTAGTATTACGGGAGATATATTTATGTAAGTTTGATGGAAACATGTACATATTCTATTTCTGATAAAATTTTACATGTTCTTTTTTCATATTAGGTATAAGTATAATAATGAAGAGACTAATCTTGTATCAACCATAGAGCTGCATCTTAAAGCTTGCCGGGACATTGAGTTCAGTGAGGATGGACGATCATTATTCTCAGCTGGAAAAGATTTATGTATAGGAATAACTGATGTAGAAACTGAAATGTTAACTAGAATATATGAGAAAGCTCATGAGTATGTATAAAATCAATATTAATATATAGCTTTTATTGATGCTGTCAAAGATACTAATGTATCATTTATTATTATATTTTAGGCAACCTATATATAAAATGACTATAATCAATCAGCACGTGTTTGCAACAGGCGACGACGATGGTGTAATAAAATGTAAGATATCTTGTGATATTTTTAAAGTTTTTAACCAAATCAAATGAGTTATTTTTTAATTTTTATTATATTATTTTATTATTTATTTTTAGTGTGGGATCTTAGACGAAAGGAAAATGAACCGATATTTTCCATAAAGGAGGTGGAAGATTATATTAGTGCGATGATAACCAACAGAGATGCCAAGTATTTGGTTTGTGCTAGCGGAGACGGCTGTCTAACGACTCTAAATATACCAGAAAGAAAAATGCACATACAGGTACATTATATACATTATCGATTTATATATAGCTTTATTAAATCGAGCTGATATTATCTTATAGTCTGAGGAGTATGATGAGGAACTGACCTGTCTTGGTTTATTTAAATCTGAAAGTAAATTATTAGCAGCTAGTAGTAAAGGAAAAATGTATGTATACAATTGGGGTGAATTTGGACTACATTCGGATGAATTTCCAAACGCTACAAAGATACCCATAAATTGTATGATCCCTGTTACGGAAAATGTTGTTATAACTGGAGGAGAGAACGGGATAGTTAGGTAAGAGGGAATTCTTACGATTTAATATATTTTTATATATGTATATGTCATTCCTATATATATTAAACAGGGCGACTAGTTTGTTTCCTCATCGTCAACTCGGCATAGTAGGACAACATGACTTTTCTGTCGAGACACTTGATATAAATAAAGATGGAACTTTAATAGCGTCCTCGTCCCACAATAATGATATAAAATTCTGGAATGTACAATATTTCGAAACATTAAATGTTACTGAGCCTGTAAAAGGTGGAAAGCAAAAGAGGATGAAACACAATCTGCCAAGCAGTCAAATCAATAATCGATCTGATTTCTTTGCCGAATTATAATTTTAACAGTTTAATGTAACAAAGTAACAAAATTTGTACTATCAAGAAATAAAAACGAATAATATTATGAAACATGTGCATTTTATACATAGTTACCAATACATAAGAAGTACTACACAAATTTACACGTATGATATGAATAATATTTATGTATAATACTTTGTTTCGATTAAACGTAGAACATATTACAAAAAATATTACATATTCCACCATACATCGATGTGGATCAAGATATATTTATATAGTTCGTACATTACCAGTCCTATGAATGATTAAAGTAAAGCAGTGCAATTATATAAATCTACCTATCTAAACGTACATTGTATGAGAAATGGATCAAGAAAAATCATGCCTGTAGATTAAATATTCAACTTTGTCGTTCGCAATCTTTTTTAAAGCTTTTTCTCTTTCTCTCTAAATCTCGTTTGTCGTAAAAAATGTCTGTTCTGATAACATTCATAGCAGTCGCATTAAATAGTATAAACGATAGTTCGACATTGATATAAAAGATGAATAGTTTTTATAGATACTTCAGAAATATCTTTAAAAAGGAATGATTTTTTTCTTTGAGTCTTCTCGTTCGAGTTTGTCGTTACGACGTAAAATACAGTCTTCTTTTTATGATTTATTCTTTTATTGATGATTTATTTGACGCAAATATTCCGGCGCGTGATAATGCTGTTGCGCATGTGCCAATGAGGGATGAATCGGTGGCTGGAAGCATCGCACGTGTTCCACGCTTGCCGCATCACTATCTCCGCTCTTCAAATATTTATTCAACACGGCGAATATTTGTGAATTTAGAACTTGAAATCGTCTTATCCGATCCACCATTCTCTTCAGATGCTTTAAAGACAAACAGTACAAGTTAACATAACGAGGATTGTTAATTTTTATACATACATATGTGTGTATACTTACTATTCCTTTAACATTTTCGTCTTTGCCATCTACACGTTGCACTCTAAGAATATGGTAGCAAAAGTCGAGCGCTTCAAACCTGCGTTGTTGACCCAGAAGAACGACCATGGCACATCCAGCCCAGTGTAAGCCTTCACCGAACAATTCTCTACAATTGAAAAGCGACCATTATTACAATTATTCATTACAGAGATAAATTAATAAATATATATATATATATATATATATATATATATATATATGTGTATTATATATATATTTATTACTAACTCGACAGTAAATTCCGTTTCTCCAACGGGAATGCAGTATACAAATTGAAGAGCGCTCCAAAGTCTATGAAATTCCGTGCATTCGTCCACGTTCATTACGCCATTCGCTGGCGGTGGTCCGACCCAAATAGGATCATCCAAAAAGCTTCGCAATCTACTGAGTACAACTTCAAATATCGATAAACCGCAGCACAGTCGCTCGCGCGTTAATAAATCTCCTTCTCTGGCAATCATCGCTTGCTACAAAATTATAAATCATTGTGTACAGATGATGTCGCAGAAACTGTAACTTGAATTTGAAAGATATATTGCATGTGTTCCTTACTTTAGCGGTGCCTAATTTATCGACATTCGGAACAATTTGCAAAGCCGAATATTTCGCTTCTAGTCGTTTCTGTTTAGTCTCGGGTTTTTCTCCCTCTGAAAAAAATTTCGCATATATGTATATGTGGTTTTTTTATTTCAATTAGTTTATAATATCTGTAATAAAGCAATCTGTCCATACCTTTGCAATAAGGTCTCGGTAAAATGTTTTGAAAGGGCGCCGCGTGTAGCAGATCGCACACCTCCTCTTGCGACAGAGATTGTTCCATCATTAGACAAAATAGAATCGTATTGCCAAATTCGCGAAAATTATGAAACAGTTCAGTTTTAGCATCCGGATATTGTACGATATCATTCAATTGAGCGTGATAGTAGCCTAGAACGCCTGGGGATCCGTAATCGTATCGCGGAAGTTTGCAGACTTTCGGCATAGCTTCCATCAAGGTCTTGGTGAACTGGTGTAAGCTTCCTTGGATCAGAGTTTTGACGATTTTCAAGAGTTCTTCCATGACTACAGCTATTCCTTGATATCCGAGGAGCTTGCATATGGTACGAAAGTGATGCGGACCGACGAATCCCGTGTACTGTCCATACTGAGTGCTATAAGCCAGGTTTAATTGTTTACTACCCCAGAGATAGTGATGAGACATTTGCGGAGGTTTATCTCTGTGAACTGGTTGTACAAATTGTAGACCGCGACATTTAACAAATCTGTAAAAACGCATAGAATAATATATGTAATTAATAATATCGTGAATATACGTGATACATTGAATATGCTAAACGTACCTATTTGTGGCAGCGTTGTAACAATAATTTGGCAAAAAATCATAATTCAATTCCCAGAAGACGTGAAGAGTGATTCGTCCATATGGAGCCAGAACGTTGTGATTCGCTTCCCTAAACATAGCATCGTATTCGTCCAGAGCGAGCCACTTGCATAAAAGTTTGTGAGTAAGACGATTGACTTGCAACAATCCGTCCAGTTCCTGTAGAATATATCAGCGTTTAAAAGGTACTGTTATTTTTTACAGCGAGATTATATTATATTATAGATAATAGTGAGGGAGACTCACGATAACTCCAGTAATATCGCCGGATTCGAACTTGCTAATAGCCAGATCCAAGGATTTTTGCATATCCGCGTTAATACGCTGCGTTATAAGTTTGTTCAGATCGATGCTTCTTCCAAGCAGCTGAACGTGTCTCTGTTTCAGCAACGTCTCGTATCTATTGGCACGTGGATACGGGAGTAGATATGCCCCGAGAGCTACGCACTCTACCCTGAATCGTTTGTCCAACAGGATGCTGGCCGCTAGCTGCTTGTAATGCGCGAAAATCTGCTCGCTAAGTTTGTAAACAAATTGATCGAAGCACAAATTCACTTCAGCTTCTACCTCATCGTATAGAAATTGCTTACGGAATATGGTCAGCGCGTATAACGCGCTGTCGTTATATAAATCCAGAGGGTATAAAACATATCTGCAAAATTAACGATGTTAATAATAATAATAATAATGATAATAAAGGATTAATTGATAAAAGCCACTTTGTCGCGGTATTGATGGCCGTTTTACTCTATATAATAAATAATAAACTTACTCCATCATTGACGGTTCCTTACTTCTTAATATATGATCGGTCAATATCCATGGCATGGACATTTCAATGGGAAACTGAAACATATATTTATCGATTAAGCTGATTTGAATGTGAAATATATACAGACAGTATTTCCATGTGGCACATCTCTTGCAATAAATATATAATAAATATATATATTTCACGGATATATATATATATATATATATATATATATATATATATATATATATATATATCCGTGAAATGGCCGAGAACATGGATAAGTTTTTGAAATTCCGACATGTTTTGTATGGCATCGGTTTTCATACAGCAAATGAAAAAGTACCTGAATACGTTTCTCCATGGTGATCAGATCGCTGCATTCCTCATTATGTTGATGACGTACTTGGCATTTCTAATCATATAAATAAATTATAAAATATGTTATTTTTATATTAACTTCATAGCAAATGTATAAAAGATATTGCAAACCTAATGTCTATTTAATTAACAAATATTAACGTACAATTCTCTTATATATTATTATCAAATATTATATATATTATATAATATTCGAATCAAATAAATTAGATGCATAACATAATTGTTAATTCATCCTATTAATCGTCAAATTATATGAGGCGACAATTTCAAGAGTTGATATTAATCGAGTTCAAATAAATCAGTATTAATATTTACCTGTATCTTTCTACCCATTGTCATTTCTAAATAAAATTCTCTATACCATAGTTGTGACAAGTCGCAACAATTCTGTAGAGACTCTGTAGAGCAAAAAAAAAAGAAGAAAATTGTATTAAGATAAAACGGAAAATAACTGCGAATTTGAAAGAAATCTATTATTTACCGCTGAAATTCAACAAATAACTCCAGTAGAAACTGGTTTTGTGAAATTGATCGATTTGGAAGAGATATTGACCATCGATATCTTTCCTCAGAGTGCGTTTGCCTCCGCTTTTATCAGCGATTAACGATTCCAGCATGGTTCGTACCATATAAAGTTGCGTGGAGGACGGACCTATACACATTCAGTTTTATCAATTAATCGTTCTCGAACTCAGTCGCAATTTAAAATTAAAAATAGAAAGGGAAAACAAAATATAAAGCAGTTTAATGGTAAACTGACCAACGTTTCTTCGCGGGACTTTAATCCCGAATCCGTTATCTGGATCTTTCTTGCCCTTTAATGCGGGATCTCCGAGTGGTTCTACTCCAAAATGCCAATCAGCGCAGGTTTCTCTGACGGAAACGATGATACTGAAACAAAATGAGAAGAAAGGAAATAAGAGAGATCGCTTTTCACTAATCTTGAAAATTATCTTAAATCTCTAAATATAATTTTCGTAAACGACACTCTTACACAAAATAAAGGGAAAAATGTAAAATTTATATAATATAGGTAAAATATAATTTATATTAACCTTCTGATTAAATCCTTTTTATTTTTGATTGCTTTTCTTAAGGGTTCACGTAATGCGAGTTGTACAAAATCTTGCAACTCGGCATATATATTTCTACGTATTGCATCAATAAAAACAGTTTCCATACGTGCCATCAATACCTGCAATCCTTTAATCATTGCTATAACTTCTATAAGAGCGAATTTCTCTTCATCGGTATAATTATAACGTGTAGCCTACATAAGAGAAAGCGAGATTAATACAAAAATTAATTTAATTATATGGTAATAAATTAATAAATTTTATAATATCCCTACTCTTTCATATTCCTCAGCCTCCTGTGGACATTCTTTATTCATATGATGATCAGTGGGATGCAATAGTTTCCAACTGTACAGTTCCGTTACAACACTGGTCCATTGTGAAAGTAACTGCAGTCCACGTAACGCCAACTCCGCAGTATCCCGATTCTCTGTATCGCTTCGGCATTCCTTATATGTTGTAGTAACTTCATTACTATACCTATACAAACAACAATTGTCAAATGTATCACAATTACAAGTAGCAAGTACGAAATCAAATATGAATAAGATGTTGAAAAATACCTTGCCAATTCACTGATATATTTCACATGGTCCTCTCTAATTTGAGGAAGATGTACCATAAGATCTGCTTGTGGACTGATGTTATTCGACGAGGCAGATAACGGCCATTTTGAGGCATCAAAGTGTTTCGAACGTTTGATATAATTGAATGGTGCAATTTGCATATCCCCGAACAATGGAACTACTTCTAAGTTCTTGAAGATTCTGTCAATTCTATCTAACTTCAATTTCTTTTTCTGATCGAGTTTATTGATATTACACAGTTCGCTGTCCATTAAGAATAAACCAAAGCCCATTACTTTCACCAACATGTGCTTCTCGTTAGGTGTAAGATACATTTTGGTTTCAAACATATGAACACAAATATTAACAACGTCCGCGAGTAATTCTTCGTATCCTGTAATCTTTTCTAGATTTTCTTTAACAGTGTCGCGAATTTTATTCTGTGTTGCCAAGAACATTGATAAATTCTGTGACTCTTGCAATGTCTGTGAATCTGACATCACTTTCAAAAACTGTGCAGCTCTAAAAAAAAATAAAATAAAATATATTCAATAACAAATCATACTTAAAGAAAAATTTGATAAAATTCTATTTTCAATAAATTACCTTCTATATGTAGAATAATCATTCTTTACACTAGATTTCATATTCTTCAATTCATCTAATACAGCAAACATATTGATGAATTTTCCCAAAGTTAAGAGATATGCTTCAGACACAAAATCTTTTCTCTTCTCATGATGGCACAAACGCTTAACTTCTCCTGAAAACCGTTCGATCGCTTTTCTCTGAAACACACAAATATATATGTAAATGTATATGCAATATGAAGAAAGACAACTAAACTAAATATATGGTATAATAATAAGCTACAATTTGTGCTTACTTGGAAGTACATGAAATTTAATAATTTATTCACTTCAGGTGCCAATACTTCTACAGTCTTTTCATAAATTTCTACTCTGTTTGGCTGTTCGTTAGACTTTGGTTGTGGTATTGCACGGGAGCAGCATCTCCATGTATACAACATGACAGCATGCTCTAAACCTTCCTCCAATAATTCATTCTGGGAAAAGATATTTCAAATAAAGTATCTGGTTAACATTCAATTATCAACAAACTTAATTCTTAAAGATAGAGATAATAAAAAGGCTAATAAAAGTGTAAATACAAATTTCTAAATAATTTTAGGTATTATTTATTAAAGTTAATAAGTCTTCGGCTCTAGTTAATATTTAATTATCAACAAGTATTTAGTTAATATTTAATTATCAACAGACTTAATTCTTAAAGATGAACATAATAAAAAGGACTAATAAGAGACCAATAAAGGTACGAATAAAAATTTCTAAATAATTTTAGGTATCACACACATTGATTAATTTAATTTACTTTAAATTATTAAGTTAAATTTATTAAGTTAACGAGCCTTTGGCTCTTATATGCTCCTTTTATCATCGTCATCGAACCTTTCTGTCCTCGTTTAACTTAAAGAAAGCTTACCAAACTCGCATGTACGGTTGCTTCCTCGATATATTTGGCGATGCCGGTGACAAAACCGTTCCTGTCTTCGAAATTGGTATCGAAGTTTGCTTGATACACCACGGAACATGGTTGAGCCTCTATACAGGGTTGTTCGTCCGGCAACGTAAATTCGTCCAGGACGTCGACGTTCGACAGAGCGTCGCCTAGGGTGACTTTGTCCGTAGTCATCCTCGTCGTCGAATTACCTCGTGCGAGAGCAAAAAGTACAGCTGATTCTCCGGGAGGCGGAAAAATACGTCCCACGTAGCCGGATGTATCTCTATGTATGAGCAATCACCATGATGACATATCCCCGAGATGAGTGTTGATGATCAATCTGACGTTTGGAGTCGCGAAACGAGACCGTGGGAAAGGAAGCTCCAACTGTCAAAGAACTGTCAACCAGCATTTGGGAGTTTGACAGATGACAGATTGTTGTCTCCACTTGGCACTTTTTCGCAAAAGAGTCTCTCCTCGCTTCCTCGTCTTCCCGTTTCTTTTTCTCGAATACCAAAAATTTTAACACGGGATAAGAATGTAATGATTGATGTCGGAGAAATATGTCTGAACGGAGGAGAGGATCGAACGGATGAATCGATCTTTTTCTTCGATCGATTGATCGATTGTATCGATTACGACGTCCGTGTCGATTGGATGAGGTAAGGGCGGAGTTTTCAAGAGAGAAATTTAAATTCCCTATAATTTAATTACCAAGCTCAATTAATTGGAATCCACTTATTTCGTAAATAATCGGCGATAAATTCTTGGATTGTAATTGTTTATATAAGAAAAAAATATACTTGAACTGGAACAAATATATTTTTTATTTTTAAATTAAAGGCTATATTAATTGAAAAAAATAAGAACTATATATATACACATATATTTCTCTCTTATATATATATATATATATATATATATATATATATATATATATATATATATTTTCGAGACATTTTTTTATATATATATTAAATATATATATATATATATATATATATATTTAATTATTATTTTCGAGACATTTAATTTTATATATATATTTTATATATTTCTTATTTTTTCTTATATATATATATACACGTATGTAAATGTATACATACACATGCGTACAGATTACAGATAAGGACTTGTCAAACAGTATCCGGACGAAAGGATGATAAGAAAAGATAGTGCCGCTATTTTTCCTTGTAATTATATAATTTTATCCGCTATTGGATGTTAAAAATAAGGCATGAAATTGTGGGAGAAAGCGATAAATTATTCTAAAATTAAGTGGATATATCATTGTTATATTCTCTCGTAATAAAGAAGGATACGGCTGCTTCAAAACAAAGGAACAATGGCAAACGAAATGTCAACGAGTATTTTGACACTGAACTGTTGGTAAGTAAACTGTTTTAATGAAGTTTTAATGAAATTTTCAGAGCCTTATACTTTATACGAAATACTATCTCCAGCTGCAATAATTTTATTTAATTATTCTTATTTGTGGATATTTCACAGGAGCATACCATATGTTTCAAAGAACAGAGTGACACGTATGTCTGCTATTGCGGATAAGTGTGCGAGCAGAGAATATGACATTATTTGCCTGCAGGAGGTTTGGTCTATCCATGATTTTAAAATGGTAAAGGCAAAAGTGCAGGAGATTCTTCCTTATTCGCATTATTTCCATAGGTATGGTATTATTGTGTATGTTATGCATTAAGAGTATAATTTTTCAACATTTTTTATTCATCTTAATTTTTGACAGCGGCGTCGTTGGATCAGGATTATGTATCCTATCACGATACCCTATTTACGACGTTATGTTTCACAAATGGCCCTTGAACGGTTACGTTCACAAGATACATCATGGGGATTGGTTTGGCGGTAAAGGTGTTGGGCTATGTAAAATTAAGATTCTCAATATGAATATTAATGTTTACATCGCACATGTACGTCCAGCTAACGCACTCTTTCAATATTATTTTCGAAACATTTAATTTGGTACAATTTATGCGACAATATAATATATGATGGAACACAGAATTTGTGCTTGTGTTCTTAAGAAAATGTCTGTTATCTAAATACTGTTCGTTCTTTGCAGCTGCATGCGGAATATAATCGGGAGAACGACGAATACATGGCTCACAGAGTGCTGCAGGCATTCGACACCGCACAATTTGTAAGAATGACCAGTGGTGGTGCAGATGCTGTGATATTGGCTGGCGATCTTAATACCGAGCCGCAAGATTTAGCCTATAGAATTTTGCGTGGAGTTGGTGGTTTAATGGACGCGTGTCCGAGCAGTTCGAGTCATATAGGGACCAACGATTGTGCCAATAACAGTTACACCTGCTCAAAGCTGGCTCGAACCAGACCAGATGGAAAGCGTATAGATTATATTTTATACTTAGGTTCCAAAACCGTGAAGGTAAATTGAATGAAAATATTAGTATCCAGCGATTGTATGAGTCTTGAATCATACAAGATAATTTTTGTTAGGTTGAAGTTACAAATTTCCAACTCCCTCTGCCAAATCGCGTGCCGTATAAAAATTTTAGTTATTCAGACCATGAAGCTGTTATGGCTACGCTCAAGTTCACCAATGGTGAGTTTAAAGGATTCTTCTTATGCATTTCTCTCAATTTCTACTTTCTTGAGCAATACTATAGATGGATAATTTGATCTATACATTTCTTTGCAGGTGAACATGGCATGAACAATTTAAATGCAATAGATTCTTTAAAAGAGGCAATTACAATTTGCGAAACCGCATTGAAGAGTGTACAACGTCAGCGTTTCTGGTATCTTTTATCAGGTTGTATTCTGGTCATTCCATTAATTTGGTCTATCGGTTTAAATTGTATGGACACATCTTTAGGACTCGACATTGGTTTGAATATATTACGTATACTTTTAACCGCGATATTATGTTACACTCTGTTTATGAGTTCAATATGGAATAATGTGGAGAAGAATGCTTTAAAAGCGGGATGTTTAGCTATAGAAATTTACATAAAACAGTTGAGTAATGACCTATATTAAAGCACTGATTGACAAATTTATGCAAACTGGATTTTTTAAAGAAGGATTTGTGCTATACAGAGCACAGAATTAAAAATAGATTGTGCTCAAAACAAAAAGAATTAATTTAAAAGAAGTTTTATTTAATACGCGTTTTGTGAAATTATATTTTTGATTTTCAATCCTTATATAAAAAAATGTTTAAGTTTACATTTGTGTTCTACATTTAGCCATTGTTGAATGGATAATTTATTGTTAGATTTATAATAGATTGATTTGAACGTTAAAAGAGCGAGAGATGCGAATATATTAAGATTATAAGTTATAAAACTTGGCTGATAAACTGTTTCTTTTAAATTATTTTTTGTTTATACACTATTTTTTTTAGACATGCCTTTAGATATATTAGGTATTTACAGCAGTATTATCGATCGACCAACTATAATATGAGCAATGCATATCACGTGAAAATCAACGATATTGTAAAATATATCTATAGTCGTATTCATGCTTATATGCTTCCGTCGAGATATCAAAACTGAAATTTAATTCAGTCTTTGAAAGATAGCTCCTTTATGCATTATCGCATTTTACCTTATATACAAATCGTGTGCTTTGCACACATTTCTAATACAGATATTAAGATACAACACCAAAGATAAGCATTTACTCTGTATGATGAACCTAATAAGTTTGTAAGACATTTTCTATGATATCTACGATATTTTATGCTTGGTATCCAATACATCATATTATATATATTTTATTATATTATAATACAATAGTATAAACGGTTATTGCCTTTAAAATCTCCTATAAGCTCCAGTGGAATTTCCATATATATATATATATATATATATATATATATATATATATATATATGAATCTTTCAATATAAATGTCTATTGAAATACATCAGATATATTAATTCTATATATGGTCCTTATGCACATATATATCACTGACAAGTGATTATATATACAATTTAGATACATAGAGTAAAATGGCTTTTCTAATAAATAACTCTTATATACGAGTATATGTATAATTGACTAAGCAGTGTGTGTGTGTGTGTATAGCCAAAGAAAATTAGAAACGCGAATATTTTGACATATCGCGTTGCATAACTTTCACAAGTTTGCGCTTCCTTCAGCAATACCAAGAGTAATATTTTAAAATAATGTAATGATGGAGAATCTTCAACAAACACTTTGGTTTTCACTTTTTTTTGCATACTCTTTAGGGCAGCTGCTCGACGTAATTCTTGGGTACTAGGCCTGTTTTGCCGTTCAACGTGCCTTCCAGCCAACCTGGCTCTAAAGAGGCCTTGACTGTAATAAAAACATATTTTATTACGAGTACTTCTCAGAAAATAAAGATTACAATTTTTTAATATCTCAATTTTACCATTTGTGATAATTTGATTTGGTTCAAATGATAATTCGCCATCGTTTTCCGCCATACATGCGTAAAGGGTTCGTACTCTCCTGAAAGTACAAGAATAGAAACGTTACAAGTTAAAAAACAATGTGTAAATCGAAATTCTTACGCACACAATATATATATATATATATATAAAACACTTACCAAATTCCTGGCATTTGACCAGGACTCGAACGTCCGCTATTCGGCGAGGTATTAATCCTATAATCAATGCAATATAAAATAAATTAAAGATAATACTTGGAGATCAAAAATATACAATTTTTTCTCATTGTCTCGTTAATGAAAAAAAAGAGATATCTTACGGACATATCGATGAGTTACTGCGCAGAGGATAAGCCGTAGGATAGTGTACGGATATCATGGTGCCACGTTTTTGTTTCACCGGCAACTCGCTTGTAAACGGATGTGGATCGGACGCGATCGATTCGCTAGAACTACTCGTATTTCCACCGCTTAGAACCACTGGAATTTAGAATTTTCATTCAGAAAAGAAATGATAGAACCATAGAATTGTTACAAAATAATAATAGCAGAAGAGATATAAACCTTTGTCGGCCGAATGATACATAAGATTCGCATTGGTCAATTTTATCCGACCAGCACGACTGTCTAGATATGATGGTATACGATGACTTGTACTATCCAAATCCTCGTAATCCCCGTTATTTCGTTCATCGACGCTGGACGGTTTGTTAACGACAGTTAAAGGCTGGCTGTCGTAGTAGGATCTCGTAACAAGCTATATACATACACATATAGAATGTTTGAATACAAAGAGCCAGAAATTAAGTACCTTTCTGTCAATGAATGGATATTCAAAGCAATTTTTAAATATTAAAAAAAAATTGTCGCAGTACAAATGTGTCAAAAATACTCGTGCAGTGATAAAAAAATTACATCGTTTTGACAGAAGAGATTCAATAATAATTGAAACTCACATGCGCGTGCGACGATGTAGCGGGTACAGCTGTGTGTAAAGGATATCTTAAGAAGGCCGTTCCGTTACCAGAGGAAGTCGGAAGTCCCTCCTCTACTTTGATACATTGGGATTTACTCGGGATTACGGTGGCTTGCACCGCCGTTATACGCGATGAAAGGTCTTGAGGTGGTCCGGCTATTATTTTTTCGCAATTCTCGATCAATATCTCCACGACGATATTGTAAAACTTGATGTCCATTATAGAGGCCACGGTTTCTTCTTCCGGTCGTAGCAAGGTCGGACCGAAGCATACCGCCAGGTTTCCCACAGTCATTAAATTTTTATCACTCTTCTTTGCCACACTGAAAATTCGTTTGATAATGTTGAGCAACGTATGATAAATATGTACAATATAATATTTAAAAGAAAAATATGATAAAAATATAAATATTAATAAATTAATGTTCAATATTTAATAAAAACTTTATTTAATAAAAATATAAATACTAATATTAATAAAAATTAATAATTTAATATATTAATCAATTAATAATAATACTTGTAAAAATATAAATATTATATAGATATAAAATTATTTGGATAGATTAACTAATCAATTTCTTTGAGTCAGAGACTAAATTAGACACACATGCACACACATCTATACATACATATATACAATAGAGTATTAAATAAAATATATATAGACGAATAATAATTTCTTACGTGCAAAGATGAGTGATAAGAAGAATCAACATATTGAAGTTGGTCTTAGGCAGTCGATAAACGAGGTTGTGTATATCATTTATCCGAGTTTCCTTCATCTCCTGTTCTGTTAGATGCCATACAATAAAAATCAAGATAAAACTTTAGCTCTTTGACTCGATTTTACTTATGTATACGAGTGTATCGAATATGAGATCTCAGCAAGGAGAGAAAAATGAATAGTGATTTGTGTTCTACAGAAAGAGAGACAAAAGAGAAGCAAATTGTGCAAAAATGAGGCAAAAATAAAACAAGTATGTTATCAAGAATACCTATACGCACTCGCAGCAGTAATGAAGCTGTTGTAATAACGGAAAGTCATTAACGGCTCGGACAACATTCTCAGGTAGGTCTTGAGCGCGCTAGTGATAGTTTTGCTCTCCCATTCGAAACGATCGTTCAAGTTGATCTTGTCTATTTTCCTCTTATCGAGTCCCATCACCAGGAGTTTGTTTACCTTAGAGGCGACTCCGACTACTCTATATAAACCTTGTTCTTCAAGTCCTGTTGAAATTCATGATTATTAAACTATTAGAATACTTTTTTCTGATTATAGATTGTATTTAAAAAAAAATGATATCTACCTCTATCCTCGAGGGCTATGATACATTTGGATATAAACGCAAAACCATTTTCATCCAATGTTGTATCCTCAGATTTTGCAGAGGAACCTAATCGCGGAAAAGTCTGAAAAATATTTTGACAATCAGAAATAATTCTTCATCTAAGAAAGATAGAAAATCTAACGTCAATAAAAAAAACGATCATTTTACTTACAGGTTCCTTTCCATCCATGGCATCCATCCACAATTTTCTATCCTCTTCGGAGAGCGCTTGAAACGTATATGTTACATTAGGCCTGGAAAAACGATGGAAACATTTTTTAATTATTTTTCGTTTTTATACAATCGCGTACAAAATCGTATTCAACTTACCTATCAATGACAGTGATATCGAAGCAGAATCTTTTTTCAATAGTGTCTGATGTACGTCGTATGCAAGAAGCTAATGTAAAGATTTCCTTGCTGCTCTGTCGAGAAAATATTGAAAATTATTTCGAAGACTATTGCGACATATTATTGCACATATTGATACATAATTAACTTTTCTGCTTTTACTTACAAATTTACCCGTAAGTTGATTGTAAGGAATCATAGTGAACTCTTTCTTGTCCTTTTGATATGTGCAGTATTGTTTTGTCCATGTTGTACCAAACGCTTCTGAAAATATCATATATTGCACTTAGTAAGATACACAAATATTTAACTAAGACTTTATAAAAGAGGGAGATTTATATCAAGACTATATGTGAACAATCTATCAAATATGTCTAAACTTACTTTTTTCCATTAAGAATAGATAGCCTTCGCGTGAATGCAGTTTGTTCAGTCCACTCTCTACCGCAGACTAAGGAAAAGAAACAATTACAAGTAAATGAAAAATATGTACTTTTTATTTTATAAAAAAATGTATTAAAAATTATTTTTAATACATTTTTATATGCTCAATTGGTTCCTCTTATGCATTTTCTCTACCTATTAAAGTGATTTAGCAAACTACAAAATAATGTATATTTCTATATTTTATTGAATAATTAAGAATAAAAAAATACAAAAATATCTATAAAACATACCTTTTTCATATCCTTCATCTTATTCATAAGTGATTCGGTTTTATCCCGGGTAGCAAGGAAATTCTCTCTAGTCTTGTGAAACACACGCACACACAAAAAATCGCAATTAGTAAGCAATTTATTAATCATGCTGTTATCAATTCTATTAAATATTTACATCACACACGATATATTGATATTTGATAATTCATAGGCATCATAAAGATCCGCGAACAAAATTTTAATTAAAAAAGAATTATCAAATATTTAATAGTGTACACATTCTGTTATAAATTTCAGTGTAGAACACATTATAAATCATACACAAGTTAAACTTGTCTTATTCACACTATTTGCAAAACTATATCTTTGTTCCTTGAGAAAAAACTAATAAAGCTAACTTCTAATTAATTAACAAATCTATAAATTGTTAACTAATTTCTTGTGACATGTTTATCTACTTTACTAGAAACAAAGAAATTTCAGTGATATTAGAAATACTATAGAGCAAACACGTGTATCTACGTGTTAGTAATGCTTAATAAAATTCTATTGCAATACAAACAAACATATTAATAGCACGTTAAGAAATAATTATTGTCTCTTGCAACAGTATATATTAACTTAAAAATAAATATATCGACCAGACAAAAAAATATTTTCTTCAATATTATTCGACATGTGTTTAAGCAGCTAAATATATCATAGAGATTAATTACTAACCTTTTGAATTTTTAATTGCAGCTCTGTCATATAAGGTTTAAAATCTTTCGCAACTTCGTGACCTTGATGATAGAATGTCAACCATCCAAACATAAATCCCAATAACTGGAACATTTTACATTACATTACTATAATGTACTGATGATTTATTATTCATGTATGTATGTTTTTAATCTAAATGCACATAATAAAATATAATTAAAACTATTCACTATTACCGTTTCGACAAATTCAAATTTTTTCCGCTCTTGAACCTCTTGCAATAAGAATACATATTCTAAGCTAGCTTGAGAGAAGTGTCTTTCAGCCATCTCCAATGTTGCATCAGCCTACGTACGCACATGCACATATACACAATATCAACTATTTAATAATACACAATTCTAATAATATATACAATTCTTTTTGTAGATCATTATATACCTCTTGCAGCACATTGTCCTGTTTTTTAGTGGATAAATTTAGATAACGTTCTTGACTTTGACAAAATTTTATCGTTTGTTTCTCAAATTTCTTTTTCCCATCCTGAAAAATTAAAGTTATGACAGAGATGGAATAATAAAATGGACAATATTTTATCAGCTGTCCTTTTGAAATATATATAAAAACAGGTATCCAAAAATAAATAACTCAATGTATCTAAGAGCTTATTTTTGAGAATGAAAAAAGATTGTAGAAATACAGGTCTGTGAATCTATTTCCAAATTATAAACAAAAAATTTTTAAGTATTGCTAAACTTGTCTTTAAGAAGAAACCAATTTCTCAATATACAGACATTAAGTTTTTTTATAATTTTTATTAGCTTGTTTACACATGTAAATATTTGTCTGCTCCAATTCAGAATAAGCTATCTTCATCTCGATAAATACTATCTCAACTCATACAGATTCAAATATAGGTCAATCATTTACTTTGATGCATACTTTTGATTCATTGCTACGTAATAAAATATTCAATTGACTCATTAGATCAGAATATACGCTGTCATTGTTTACTACCAATACAGAGAAAAAATTGACAAGTCTTTGCATCACTAACTTTTCAAAAATTCTTGTAAAACTCTACTGCAAACAAGATGTGTATGTAATTTAAAGCATCTCTAAAGTAATATCTATATATTTTTCTAACTTCTTTCATTCTCAAAATAAATAAAACAGAAATGCTTATTTCTAAGACACAGCCTGTATATACAGAATATATACATGCAAAAAATAATATTACAAATAAAATCATACAGATGTGTATAAAATAATACAAAAAGTGCTATAAAATATTAATAAGCAGCATTACCTTAACTCCCCCAATGTGCTCTTTCCTAAAATTCTCCAAAGGCAATATAATTTGATCATACGCTCGTTCCAGCTAAAAAAAAAAAGAAAACCTATTTTAAAAATAACAAGATCAATAATAGTTGATAATATCAATATCAATAACAATAATAATTGATAAAAGTATAAAATAGTGTGTAAAGAATCTCAAAAGTGCAATATTACACTTTTATCAGCAAATATTACACACCATGCGATCCCTTTCATCTTCTATAGATGCGATAAGTTTGCCAAACTCTTTTAGACTTTGAGATATGTGAGTTTCGTCCTCAGTTTGGCTCTCCCCAATACATTCAAAGCTGAAGTTTTGTAACGTTTTGGAAAAAGCTCTCTGAGCTCTGGACAAGTCTAAAAAGAGATATTAATCATTAATTTAACATATATAAAAAAAATTAAATATGAAAAATAAATTTATGCACAAAATGTTATTCCTGAATATTTCAAGAACATTATATTATATATGAAGATATTAATTAAGGATATGAAGATTAATACAATACATATATGTATATACAACAGCTGTTCGCAAAATTTACATTCTTGTACAGTTGAAGAAAGAAAAAGAAAGAAGAAACATGGTAACGCGATAGAACTTACTTTTCGCGGCTAACAATAAATCTTTGACCTCTTTAACGAGCCGCTTGATCTGCTGACTGGTCTTTTCCAATTCACGCTCGTGATAATGAAGATTCTCACGGAAGTACGGACTGTCGGTTAAACAATCCGTAAACTCCAATGGTTTAAGGCCAACACCCATTCTCGCTTGTATTAGGAAAATTCAAGTGTCATGAACGCAGTGATGGGAGGTGGCCGGATTCGTTTGCGAGTTCGCTGTCACCCTCGAGCGCCCGTGATAAAATGCACAATCATTATCATCACCGCGACATTATTCGTAGAGATTCGCGCACGAATTCGCCATCATTGCGACGTGCAATGTGTCCAAACACCTCACACAGTCACACTTTAACCCCGACTGTATATGTGACATGTAGCATGATGTAAATATAATCATGGGATCCTCGTGCGCATGCGCAGTAGCGTACAATAATTAGGCTTCCGTATACATGAATGCATTTTATTGAAACGTTTTATTAATTAATTTACTGACAAAATTTGCTTATTAATTAATACACTAATAAATATGGTCATTAATAAACTTAAATTGCAATAATACGAGATTTCTAATACTCTTAAAAATTCATTTCTGAATTATTAGGAGAATATATTTCGCGAAGAAGTCGATAATTTAATTCACGAGCAATATATCTTGGAAAATTTATTTTTCAATGACTAGGAGAATATATTTCGCAAAGAGGTATGCGACAAATCCGGAGGGAGCATCTTTAAATAATCCATTCTGATTGGTTGGATCGCGGACTAATCACAAGCATAATCGTTTTTTATTGGTCCGCGCTTCAACCAATCAAAATGGATTATTTAAAAATACTCCCTCCGGATTTGTCGCATACCTCTTTGCGAAATATATTCTCCTAGTCACTCAGAAATAAATTTCAACACATTTTCCAAGCATTATCGTTTGCGAATTACCAACCTCTTCGCTAAATATATTCTCCTAATACTTCAGAATTGAATTTTCGAGAGTACTAGATGATTTAGAATTTTATTAATTTATTTTATATTAATAAATAAAAAAATTTAATTTATTAATTAATAAATTAAAATAAATAAAAAATTTATTTATTAATAAATCAAAATAAATAAAAATGTATTGATTAATAAATCAAAATAAAATATATTCTTCTAATACTTCAAAATTGAATTTTTGAGTGTATTAGATGATTTAAGTTTATTAATTTATTTTATATTAATAAATAAAAAAAAGTTTAATTTTTAAAAAAGTTAATAAATTTTAAAATAAATAAAAAAAATATTTATTAATAAATTAAAATAAATAAAAAATTTATTGAGATAGATTAAAATAAATAAAAATATTATTTATCAATAAATACAAATTTATCAAAAAATAAAATGATAAATTTATTCCAAAAAATGCACTTGCAAATGATTTTCTCAGGTTGGTCAGCCTGCGACGCGGACAGTTAACCTCGCTCCTCTCGGAGGCAAGAGCCAGCGACGAAACGAGCGCGACGAGCCAATCGTTGCTCGCATTACGACACACCCTTTAAATGCTCGTTTCGTTTATTTTCGACGAGATTCCAGCGAGGTAGTGACTGATAAAAGATACGTATATCACGTTCATCTCATTATTGATACCGTCTTACAAGATTTTGATGTTCGTCGGCCTATAACCAATTGCAGCACGCACTATGGTACGGATATTTTATCCCTTATTTATCACTCACTCTCTGTTTCTTATTTCTACACACCTGTTAAATAAGTAATTCTAGCAATCGGGAGTATTTAATAAAAATTTTATCTTTTCCGTTATCGGCGATCTCTTTCTGTCACGCTCCATAAATTTTTGTTCCATTTGTTTTATATCATCATTATGGATGTTCAAGTCATATTTTAAGAGAGAAGGGAGGATACATTCAACGGGGTCATAAATATATATAAATCATATATTTTCTGTCTTTATTTTCCTCGATTATATAATATATTCTAGACGGAACAGCAAATGGATTGTGCACTGGATTTGATGCGAAGACTGCCACCGCAGCAAATCGAGAAGAACCTTAGTGACCTAATCGATTTGGTTCCTTCATTATGCGAGGATCTATTGTCTTCGGTGGATCAACCGTTGAAGATCGCCAAGGACAAGGAATCTGGCAAGGACTATCTTCTGTGTGACTACAATAGAGATGGAGATTCATACAGGTTTGATTCTAAATGAACATTTCGATCTTGTGACGATAGAGTAGAACGGGATCAACTGTACATTCTCTATATTTCTATGCAGATCTCCCTGGAGCAACACTTACGATCCACCACTGGAGGATGGTTCAATGCCTTCTGAACGACTGAGAAAACTGGAAATAGATGCCAATCATGCTTTTGATCAATATCGAGAGCTTTACTTTGAAGGTGGAGTCTCCTCGGTATACTTGTGGGATTTGGATCATGGATTCGCAGCGGTGATTCTTATCAAGAAGGCCGGCGACGGTTCCAAGAAGATTAAAGGCTGCTGGGACTCGATACATGTGGTGGAAGTACAGGAAAAGTCAACTGGCCGCACTGCTCATTATAAACTCACATCGACAGCCATGCTGTGGTTGCAGACCAACAAACATGGCTCTGGTACAATGAATCTGGGTGGCAGTCTGACGCGTCAGGTGAGTCTCTGGAGCCTGGAAAATTAGAATTTTTGATCATTGTAAATAAACAATTGTGGGAAAAAATGTGCTTATATAATGTTGCAGGTAGAACAAGACGCTCAGATCAGTGAAACATCCCCTCACATCGCGAATATCGGCAGAATGGTGGAAGATATGGAGAACAAGATCCGCAACACACTGAACGAGATCTACTTTGGTAAAACAAAAGATATTGTGAACGGGCTGCGATCGGTGCAATCCTTGGCTGATCAGAGACAGCAGGCTGCGCTCAGGCAGGATCTCGCGGCAGCCCTACAGAGGCGAAATGCTAACAATTGATCTTCTGACCGCCAAGAGAGCTTCGATTATGATTGCGAATAAATTTCATGGTATTTTATGGATCCTTGTAACTTTGCTTGGGATCTTTCGATTTTTCACAGATATTTTTTATATATTTTTGGAATCCACGGAATTTTCTGGATTCTTAAGAGATGCTAAAGTTTTTCTTACGACAGTCTTCTATCCGTTTCCCAGACGAATCTTAAAATCTTTTTGGACGTATGGGAATCTTTAAACGCTGCGCGATCTAGACTTTTTCACGTCACGTATCCACAGAACTCGTAGAATTCCTGGAATCAAGTTTAGTTCACGTTATATCAAAATGTGACATGTATTACAGTATTTTGTTGCCCAGGCACACGGATCAATCACACAAACGCGTTGATTAAACCTAAACAGTATGAAATAATTTGTTTAATATGGAATGAAATAGAATTTATTGTAAATATGCGGGAAAGGTGCAACGCGTTTTAGAATGGTAAATTAGATAAAAAAAATGTAAAATGCAAAAGAAAGAGTGAGTTATAATATTATAGTATAACATTTATTATATAAAAGGAGACCTCAAAAGAAGTAAATTAATTTTTTAGCAATTTAACAATTCTCTTTCAGTTTAAGTTTGATAAATACACAGAAAGATGGTAATAACTCTATAACATTTTTCAAATGTTTGAAAAGTATTAATATTTAAAAGTGCTGGAATCGATATATTTGAAGTTGGAAAAGAAAAATATCGCATCGCAATTATAAGAAACAATCTATCTTTGCAAATAAGAACCTTGTTGAAAGCTACACATAAAAATTATAAATTTCTCTTTATTTGTATTAATATTGTTTAAATACGAGCGAGATAAACTTAAAATTTTTGTAACACTTGGATATATTAAAGGATATATATATACATATATCCCGTATATATATATATATATATATATATATTATTTAGAATTAATTTTTTAACATAATTCACTCATCATATCCTCCGAGGGATAGTATATAAAACGATTTATTTACGTAAAAATCCAAAAGGAGCGATTGCATTTTGCATTTGTTATAATAATAATGAATCCATATATAGTGCGCAAATAAAAGTTTTCAAATTAAATTTTATTTGTATTAAATTTTACGGGTACAAAAATCTGTCAGTACCATAGATCCTCGAAGTCACAGATCCTTGATATCACGGCGAGGAGGAGGGGGAAAAGAGGGATACACACATGATATTTATATATATTCTGGAATTCCATGGATCTTTGATACTACAAATCCTTGAACTGATGAGTTGTTAGCATCTCAAGGATTGCTAGTACCACGAATCCTTGCATCTATGAATTAATATAATTGTTAACTATTGCCATTATATATATATTATATCCCTATCCTTTGAAACTTTTAAATTCTATGGTACGCACTAGATGATGTTGACATATTAAAGATTCTTGGTACTATGAATCCTTGAAATCTTGCGTAAACGATTGCGCAATCATACATTTTGAGAATCTCGCATATTTTATGATCCATGGGGGTGCGCTTTTGGATTATTCCTTGTAATAAGGAGACATAAAAATAACTAATAGAATTTGTAAGTACGTAAACACAAAAGGAAAAGAAAAGCAATTTTTTTTACGTTAGTGCCTTTTTTTTACACTGTTGATAATTACACATCACCCCCGATTACCCATATAAATTATTCTACTATTACATGTATTAATTTGATGAGATATAATTTAACATTTTCTTTTTTTTTTCAAATTTTGAATAATGGCAGTGTGCGGGCGAGTCAGTCTAAGAAACAACTGAAAAAGAAAAAGACATCACCACACATCATTCCTTTTTTTGTGTGAATATTTTTTACTATTTCTATATTATTTTTTTGTTATTTCTTTTAATTGATTCCTCTTTCGGTTATAGAGTTAACAATCGAAAGAATTATGAACCTGGTCCAACATAGCACACATAGATTACAGACGCTGATTTATTTCTCATATCAATTAATTATTCGATATTTTGTTTATTTCGATTATAATAGATGAGTTTTCGATTTTTAATGTTGTCGCAAAGAAATCAAAGTCATCAAGGAAGGCGCGTTTTTTCGGATCCCTTTTTATAATAAATTGAAAAAATTATACAATATATAATATATAGTTTTAATAAATAAAAGAGAAGATAATTGTTGATATCGGAATTTATAAACATTTGACGATTTGGGGTCTTCGTATCTATTTATTAAATAAAGAAACTTTATTAAATGTTTGATTTATAATCGCTAGGAACATTTGAAACTATAATCCTAATGCAAAGCTCGAAGATGCAGGATTCTTGTAGTAAATTATAAGCAATCTGAATGTCATAGAAAAAAAATTCAAAAAGATTCAGAATTTTGCTTTATTAAATAGTAAAGATTTTACTAAAAAAAAATAAATAAATAAATAAAATGTGAATGTTGCGAAGACCCCAAATCGAACAAATTACAAGTGATAAAATTATCTTCTATAGAAGGGAGAAAAAAACGTATACCTTCCAGTGATAACAGTGATTATACACTCTTGTAGTTAATTATCTGCTTATAATTATTTCTAATCATTCAGACTGCACCTTCGGAACAATTTTCTCTTTATACAAACGATGACACGAGATGGAAAGGATCTAAGGGAAAGATTCTTTACGCACATTTGCAAGTTCACACAAGGATCTTCCACTCAGTTTTCTTTTCTTCTTTTTTTCTTACTAATTGTAATATCCGTTTTTTAGTATTACGCCGTTTAATTAAAAGATTAGATAATTATCTCGTCGAGTAAAAGCGGCTCGTGTAACCTGTTCTGAAAAATGTTTATTAAAACGAGATATTACAACAAAATGTAATAAAGTTTTCTGAGCAGTCATAAGCCAATTACAGTCTCCTGAACATGACGATATCGCATTGCGTCGCACCGGCCATATCAAAGCACGCGAAATGTTAATTTGCGTGATCTCAGCGTTCTTGGATTTAGAGGTCTACATATATCGTATTTTAATATCCTTGGATATCATAATTTTGAGTTTGTTTAATTCATAATGAATTTTTTTTCAACTCTTGGAAGATGAAATACGAAATTTGTAAACCTTTCAGATTTCTTAGACAAGATCAAGCATCAGAAATTTTCAAATTTTGTGCTTAGTTAAATTTCATTAGACCTAAAAATCTCGAGTTCTTTCAACGGAAAAAAAAAGAAAAAAGAAATCTTGAGAAATCTTACATAAGTATACAAATTCTGTATAGCGAAACGCCAGTCTTTGTCTATAATCATTATAAATCGATCATCAGGAAAGATGCTTGAAGTGAGCTGCTTTGTGTCGGACATCGCTAGCATTCCATGAAAAATTGTTCCGCGCGCGCGCGTTAAAGACTTTAAAGTCCTTTTTTCCCACGACCTCTTCGTATTGGTCTCCAACAATTTCTCTCTCTCTCTCTCTCTCTCTCTTGCTCTCTCTCATTTTCTCATATATTCTCTCTCACTCACACATATAAGTGTAATAAGTTACAAAGCTGTTGTAAATAATTTCTTTCTCTCTATTCTTAAAAAAAAAGGTCCAGGATGTGTCAAGGCTTCTCAGTTTTTATTTTTCAATCAATCGTTTGCTGAAGTTGTGTATCGCCACTTTCTTGTTATTTATAACAAACAACGCGTGTGTGGATGTGTAAGTATAAGTGTAAATATTTTGTGTGTATATATGCGCACATATTACTGCGCTGTTGATCTGTATCGTCTGTGTATGGTATTACATGTAATATAGAACTGAGCGTACGTATACACAGTTCTCGCTTTTTTCCCGGATTTGTTCATTTAAATATTGTTGAATAATAATTAAGTAAGCAGATGTTACTTCGATAAAAGTCGTTTTTCGCATTGGCGCGTTGTTGTTGTTAGGAATTGCTAGCCCGTTTTATTTGCTTTTGTTTTGCTTTTTTATTTCTCTCTCTCTTTCTCTCGCTCTTTTCTTTTATCTTTCGCGCTCTTCTACTCTCTTCATCATCTTCCTATAGATTTATTATTTTTGTTTATCCTGTTTGACCAATGGTAAAGGTATCAATTGATTGGCTAAGCGGGTGGTTTTTGCTCGAATGTATATTGGGCTTTTTGTCGTCGTAGTTGTCGGGCTGAACACAATTATTTGTCGAGGGAGGTGTTGTTTTTGACGGCGATTACTACCTCCTCGCCGCATGCCTTGAGTACGGTGCACTGAAAAATGAAATATAATTTTACACATCCAACAAAGACACACTTAGTGTGGTTCTAAAGTTTTAGAGAAAAAATAATTTTTCTTTGATAGCATTTTTTACATAAAACATCAATAAGCAGAAAACATTAGATTGATTTTAATTTCTTAAGCACAATAACAATGATTGTACATCAGAACAAAAAAATATATATGTTAAGGGGATGCTGAAGTGACTTGAAAAGTCAGTTGTTTTTTTCTTTTTTTATCAACAACATATGAGGTTAAATAAATTATAAATCTATTTCTTGGCTATATGAACTGTTTTTTACTTAAAATTAGAACGCTTTGCCCTTTGTTAATATTAATACTTTAATTTGTACAGGAGAAAGATTTATCAATCTGTATAGTCTCATATTTCTTGATTACAGAATAAGAATTCATAATTCTGTAATCAATAAATATGAGACTATACAGATTGATAAATCTTTCTCCTGTACAAATTAAAGTATAATATTAATATTAACAAAGGGCAAAGCATTCTAATTTTAAGTAAAAAACAGTTCATATAGCCAAGAAATAGATTTATAATTTATTTAACCTCATATTTTGTTGATAAAAAAAGAAAAAAACAACTGACTTCTCAAGTCACTCCAGCATCCCTTTAAGACTAAAAGAACATTTAGAAATTGCATAAACTTTTGTAAATAGCTGTAACGCTGTATTAATTGGTATAGTTACTATAATAGAAATTGATAGATCAGATTTTACTTTCTAATACTATAAAAATGTCTCATAAACACAATCTGAAAATTATCTATTCTTAGCAGACATTGTTAATAATATTACATAAATTATATTAGATTTTGGATAAATTAATATATTTTTTCTGACAATTAAAAATGCATAATGTTTTTCAAGTATTTTAAAGATAAATTACTCATCTATAGATCTTTTATAAAATCTTATACATGTCCTAATACAATTCAACAATGTTCAAAACACTTTAAATAATATTGCAATATTAATGAATATTGATTATTGCTGAATGTGCAATATGTAAATAATATGTTAATGACAAGCATAATTCATACATATATCACACATAAAAATGTACTTACAAGTAGTTCTTTCCCAGACTCAAAATCAGCACGTAGCTGCGTTCCCAAATCACCATCAGGTATCTTGAGATCTTCGCGCAGTTCTCCATTATCAGCCATCAGACAAAGATAGCCATCGTCAGATATATCTGTAAGCTGTCGCAAAACAATTGTAATGTTTTTACATTGTCTATGTTATAAAAATAACTCAATTTTAAAATAGTCTATTTGATTTAAACTGAAATTTTATGTACTGTCAGCAAAATTGTCAAGATACCAGAGAAATAAAGAAAAAGAATACAATAATATTAATATACATTTATATAAACATGAAAAAATAATGTACAATTATTTATAGTCTCAAGACTAGATGAAGATTTTGAAATATATATAAAAAATAAACTCGAATTTAAGCTAAATAATTTTCTATAGTCTAGCTTAATACAGAAGAGATCGAAAGGGGTAATTTTACCTGATAGTCTTCCCGTTTGACAAACGGCACATCCATATTGTGTGTAGAGGGACAGATATCCTCATATTTTTTGGAGGTAAATATATCGATACCTACTAAATGAACCTTGGCATGACCATGCTTGCCGGTTTTAGAAGTCGACATTTCTACAATTTTGCAGGGACGAGACTTTAACATGACAAAACCATTTTTGCGCAGTGCTGAGCACTGCATAGGGTATGTCACTGAGGCTCCTGAGTCTCCAGTCTCGAAGTGGGTATCCTCAATGTCAGCCATAGTTATTTTATAGATATCTGCGTGCAAAACAGAAAAAGTTTCAATAAGTTTCTCATCAGTTTCTCCCAAAGATTCATAATTTCTTCCATTTTATCCTCCCCAAAAATAATACTCTAAAAAAAGCTAGCAGCAGCTCATCGCTGATGAGATATAGACAACAATTTAAATAGTTCTACAGCTATATTATTAATCCGAGCAACCTTAGCCGAATATTCCGAACTTTCTAGGAAGAGCAATATTTTGACGTAACAATGAATCTCCTCCAGGAGGAAATCTTGTATTCAAAACGTAACAAATCTAATTTCGTATGCACGAAAATCCATTAAGATCGACGCGGTTACACCCGGGGGGCGAGCAGCGGGTGACCACGTGGCGCGTCGTCGCGGAAGGTTTCCGCGAGAGAGAGGAGGTGGATCGGAGGAGGTGGCCGATTGGAGCGCGCGGCTAACCAAAGACGTCTTCGCGCGATGAGATATTCGCGGAATTCGCGAAATGTTTGCGTCGAGCTCGCGTTAACTGACAGCTCTCGTGGCCCTCGAGCCGTCATTTGACAGATGCCCGATGCGGAACGCGAGATGTTTCGCGCACGTGCGAACGGGGAAGAAATCGCGCGGTGAACACGGAAAGGGCGATCGAAGGCGAGCGAGCCACATTGCACCTTCGGCGCCGATAATCGCGTTTGGTGGGTTTAAACCCCGGCCCGGGCGCCTCGTTGCTCGATGAAATACGAACCGGCACGGCGATCACCCGCGTATTTTCAATGTTCTGCCGGCCGATCGTGAAATTAGCACCATTAGTCGAAGCCGAAAGCGAGAACAAGATCGGGAATACTCACATGTGATCAAAATGGATACTTAACCAGAAGGTCGTGTTGCGCCTGCGCACCACGGGATCCGTATTAGGGGTTCACAACGTTGACCGCACGGACGGTCTCTCGCCGGTCGCCGCGAGGCGGCGTCGACGCTGGAGACATCTGGCGCGATGACGTCGCGTCCAATGTCAGGCAGGGCTCGCGATTGGCTGTCATTCATCCGTAAATTTTTAATAAAATCGTATATATATGAATTATACACAAATAAAATGAATGAGAAAATTAATATTGTAAATAATATATAAATAAAATAATTATAGAAATTATATATAAAATAATGATAAATAAAATTATGTATAAGTTATATAAATAAAATAATTATAGAAATTATATAATATATAAAATAATTTTAAATAAAATTATAATAAAATCATATATAAAGAAATAAATAAAATATAAATCTATGGATTTTTAGAAAACTCGTAGAGATTCTTATTTCGAATCAGATATCTAGATGTTCGTGAATCATGCTCAATGGTTCTAAAAAGAATTTATGAATGTTATGTTCGAACAAAAGGTGAAATAAATTGCGTTATATTCTGTTAATTTTATGTTTCTTTCTTATGAACCAGATGGTTGTCAACCAGCTGTTGTAAACTATTGATTATAAAATTGCTGTATCATCTCAAAACCATAGACACAAAATATATAGATATGTAAAAACAGGATGCAATGTATTCGGTTCTTTTCGGGTAGACTCGGTTCTGTTCGAGTTTAAATACTTGTGATTGGTGGATAGTATTCTGAATATATTTAATGTCCTAATCTGTTGATATAATATTACTGCAAATCATAATTCTTTAAAAAGAAAAATCCGTTTATATATTTTATATGCCGGTAATATCGATCCATAATTATATTACATCATATTATTATATACATAATTATAGATAATAATTTAAAAACTATGAGAATGTCCAATTTCTCATAATAGAAAAATAAAATAATAAATATATAAATAATTATATGTATGCACATAGATACATGTCTTAAATTTATAAGCAACTTTTTGTATCAAGTTTTTTGCTTGCCAAATATTGTTAAACTCTTATAATTTCAGTAATGTGTGATTTAATTTATAGCTACCTTTTAAATAAGTTTGATTATATATATTATATATGTATGTTGCGAGAGACAAATGAATAAGTTATTAATAACAAATTATGACTCTAACTCCATGTCAAAATAGTATGTTTATGCTTTATGGTCCATAAATATATAATGTACAAAAATGTAATAAAATATACATTTACGTAGGTGAAGAATCTTCTGCAGTCTTATCAGTTTTTTTCTCTGCATCCTCTGTTTTTTTTTGCTTTAACTCCCACAAACTGTTTTTCACAAATCTCTTAGCAGCATCCTTGTTGATGCGAGGCATAAGTGTGTGTCTATCATGTATTTGCTTTGCTCGCATCATTGCTTTTTTCAATCTCTCGTTCTCTGATCTGATTCGATGCTTTGACGGATCAATCCCTGCAAAATTTAATGGTATTAAATTAAATGTAAATTCTTACTTTTCTTTTAAATACAAATTGATACTTTTCTCATGCTTTAGAAATCACAATCTTTGAGTACCTTTAGCTCGTAAGTACATCCAAAATAGACTGTTGAGACTGTAAGATAATAACAAATTGTATTTAATCTTATTGACATTGGACAGTTTTTCGTACAGTGAAGGATCGCTGAAAGAATCCACTACATCCTTGACTTTGAAGGCTGCTTCGCTGAACTGTTGCAACCTAGCGATTATAGCTGTGTCGTGTGAAAGTTCCTCAAAATCAACATCCATGTTTTCTCAGCAGATTTGTCAACGTAAAATATTCGAATTTTCCTCCTGAATAATATTATTTATCAAAAGTTTTTTTCTCTTTATAACACGTTTACGACAAAACCTCGAATTTTATACCTCGATAATACAAATTTCTTTCTTTCTCCTAGCCTTCTTTTTATTATTATATAATATTATAATAAATAATATTATTAATCAAAAGATATGCTTTCTCTTTTACATCAGATTACATATAACCTCAAATTTTATATTTTAATCTCCTGTCTCGGCTGTAGAGAATATAAATATTCCTTTCTTTTTTCTTTTTTTATGTAAATATCAGTCTTTCATAGAACACAAAAACACTACTATTTTTTAAAAATGCTTATTTAAAATAAAATAAGATCTTTTACAAACATGTATGTACTCTCGTGTATCCTGCTCAATCTTCCTTTTGTCTTTTGCGCATGCGCAACATAATGACGAAACAGTGACGTATTAATGGCGCCATTATTTAAAATTATATCAAATTTTATTTCGTTTTTATGTATTTCATACATACAAATTAAATTATATTATTCATTTGATTACTACTTCTTCATTTAAATATTCATATTTTAAGCTTAAGAGAATTGCAATCTAACAATTTAATAATATTAACAAAATAACAATGATTTGACAGAAATACTCATGCAATACACAATATAGATGCTTTTAAAAATTTATGTTACACAATTTCAAATTGCAAAGTATAAAAAATAAATAATTTTGAATTCTCTTTCAAATCCTTAACATAACTAGGGAAAGAGAAAAAAATTATTGATATTTTATACAATTATTTTATAAAAAGAAAAATATATATATATTTTTTATAAAATATCTATACTATATTACATATTGGACGATCAATCGAATAATTTTGTCATTATCACATCATATCGTTCGTTTCTATTTTTTAATATTTTTTCTCATGTAATATGATAAAAATCTAATGTTTTCAGAACAAAGATCTGGCATATGAATATAATGAAATAAACTCTATACATGGAATAGAATTTAATTTTCTAACAACGGATTAAAGGTTGAACCGTGGTCGAAAATTATACATCACAGAATCAAGATGCGATCGATCTTCATATGAGATTTATGCGCGATGTTTTATATACATATGCATTTACACAATGACGGTGTGTTGCACGTGCGGGAACCGAAAGGGATGCATTCTTCCCCTCCGACTATTCTTCGAGGTTTAAATTTAGCATCCTCCACTGTTCTCTCATTTCTCTCCACGAGTGTTTCAGCAAAGAAATTCAATGGCGTATCTAAACGCGTAAAGAGATGCATCATTTATGGTATAATTTAGTAATGTAACTTGAATTTTCCAATAAATCCGTAAAAATTTATCTCTTCTTTGTTACACAATTTTATCGTAATTAGAGGAAGAGAAACGTCAAAGTAAATTTGTCACGTTATTAAATGTGGAGCAAATAGAATGAATTTAATGAAAGACTATGAAATGAATAATGCGTAATAGAAATAACTTAAATTAGAATAAATGACTTTTTTTACGCATACACAGTGAGAAATTGGCAGGCAAAAATTATTACATTATCACTTCTACGTATTATATATAGGCTAAATACATGTTTAACCCTTCTGTCAATGCATAACTATTCACCTTTATAAGTCCATATATAAGTTCATGTACTTTTCCATTAATGTATGAGTATCTGGATACATCAACTTCGTTTAATACATTGCAAAATTTCTTTAAATTTCTTGAACCTTTTTTCATTATATTTTAAGAGGTTTCTGAATACAAAGACCTCTTATATTTCCTTTTGAAGAAAAAAATTCCAACACTTTTTTAACATGTAAAAGTTGCTTTGAGTATCCAGATACCTGTTCATCAACAGAAGGGATAAGGCACTTTGTGACGACTAATAATGAGAACAATTGCAATTTTCGTTCAAACTTGTGTCTCGCTGCCGGAATGATGTTTCCGATGCTTTCGATACTTCTTATAGTTTCTATGCGGATTCATTTGCGAATTCGCTATGGCATGTTGATGCAACAGGGGATGCTGCGGTGGTGTCAGATGACTGAGGTGATGAATCTGACGAGGTACGGAATTAGTGTTGGGGTTGTAACAATGCACGACAGACACCGGATAACACTTGTACGGCGGCTGTTTGCAGCGCGACAGTCTGCGACACACGCTCGCCACTTCCGGCCACCAGATCCACGCGGAGGCCAGGATACCGGCGCCGAGGGTCACCACCAGTCGCAGGATAAAGAACTGCAAGACGGGTCGAGCGGGCACCCGCGGGGCCGCGGATGGTTCCGGTGCTCGGAGCCAGGTCTCCCTGCCCCACCATTCGTAGAAGGTCGTGCTGACGAGGCAAATGATTAAGACGCCATAAAGACAGGCGAATATGCCGACGCGGATCAACAGCGCTTTCTGTCGCCGGTGTATCTCGGCCGGGGACGACTTCCCGGACATCTCGCGCTGCTGACGCATCAGTGGATTCGCAGCATGGGATCCCGTTAACGCTGTCAAGACTGCTGTCGTCGTCGTGGATGTTGCCGCCGCTGTCGCCGACGAGGATGACGCCGACGTCGATGTTACCGGCATCACCGATGGACGTCGTGGTAGAGTCAACGACGCTAAACCCACCAGTAGAAACGTCATGCCGAATGATAGATAAGCGAATTGCGGAGCCAGCACCAGGGCGAGTAGAGACTGCGTGTTCTGCTGACCAACGAAGCAACTTGCTGTAACAGAAAAAGAATATAATAAATCAAAAGGCTCTAATATACAAATACAAATTTAAAATGAATACAGGCTAAGGGAAGAGCCAACCGCATAAATTAAGCGCAACGCTTTCTATTTAAATGTTTCGATCCTTTCTTTAAACTATATCTTCAATAGGTTGACTAGTAAAAAAATTTGAATAACTTGTATGTCAATAATATACAAAACAGTAGAAAAAAATATCAAAAAAAATATCTTATGACGCCATTTTTGTGCATAGTATTGTCTAGTTTTAAAAGACTGTTTTTTTTCGTTGATGAAAGCGGAATTGTTTATCTTCCAAAAAAGAAATATCTCGTAAATTTTCTCGGCGAGTGAGAACACTTACAAAAAGTTTTGGGTTTTGTCAGAAAAAACGATCACAATACATTTACACTTGAATATAAGTAAGCTTTTTAACAGTTTTTAGCGTCTAACTATTCGAGTTTTTTTTCATTTCCTTGACAAAATAATTCTCAGAAATTTAATTTACAAAATGAAGATTCAGGGAGAGGGGTAAAGAGTCTACTGATTAGAATCTTTTGTGAAGGTTCAAGTCTTAAAGTAGCCTCTTGGTCCTATCGGCAGACAGTGACAAGTTGCAGGGCAAGTCTGAAGATATTTGCATTGAATGTCGTCTAGAAAAAGGAAACGGATACGAAGAAAGAATCTCGACTAACTGAGAGTTTGCTCCTTTACGTCCATGGTTTAACTTTCTTAAAATTTGCTGCCAGCAAATTGACTCAATTTGACAGATTCAACGGCGAATATTACACTGACATGTTTCGGATGACACCTCTGAATATTCATATAGATATCATGTATTATCATTATGTCTAAATGTGTCTTTCAGACACCTCACGATAGACATTTAAATATTTGTAAAATAAAAAAATTATTCGAGAACATGTGAAAAGAATCTTGGGCCTGTGTGCTTCTCACGTGCCGAAAAAAGTTTTATTTCGCATCAGAGAATCATCATCAGACACACTGACGAGTGAAGAGAAGACATCGCTGACATTCCTTCCGCGATCCACAGATTCGACCCAATTTTCTTTATCCTTACGATTGAAAGATATAGTAAGAGCTAAGATAAAAACAATTGTGAGTGAAAAGTAAATGTAGAATACATATAATAATATTTAAAAAAAGTTACTATGCTATTCTAATATAAGTAATTATCTTATTAATTCAATTAATAATAAATATTCTAAAAATAATTAATATTCTCTCTCTCTCTCTAATATGACTAACTACATTAATTCATTATATATTTACTTATGTGAGGACTCATTTCTATATTCAAGAATAACGATTATAAAAAAAATAATCGAAAATTGCGTGCGTAAATAGGTTGCTGCAGACTGGACGTTTAATTCAAAGATGCTAATCTTGTTGATCGCCTTCGAGCACAACTTATCGAGAACATAAACACGAGAAGAACGGCGCGTATTAGCATAAAATAGCTTCAGCTGAGGCTGAAGCTCGAATTAAGATAAATGGAGAGAAGATGACGGGGATATATAAAGACAGATGCAGATATAGAGATAAACAGGGAGATGAGTAAAGATTAAAAAAAAATAAATAATTGTCAGAGACGCTGACCAGATTTTGTGCGGGTGAATCGAGTTGGATCTCCTGCGAGGATCCAACCAGATTCAACTACGCCAATGGGCAACCTCATAAAACAAACGGTATAACGAGGCGTGGCCGTAAAATCCTTCAGGCACTCTTCTTAGAGACTGACCAACGCGCTATCGACGAATAACGCCGGGGTTCTATATACGAGCTCGATAATTTAAGAAATAATTCTTGCTACATTATAAGAGGTCGGCTGAGAAAGCTCGAAAAAATATTCTTTACAGATAATCTAGAATCTAGAATTAATACCTTCTGTCAACGCATAATTTTCACCTGTCTATCGATATCTGGGTACCAACCGCGTGTTTTTAACACATTGCACCGCGACAATTTTTTTATAGCAGCTGCTGAATATCGCACATACTTTCCCGTTATATTTTAGAAGGTTTCCGAGAACTATACAAGATCCCTTGCATCTTGTTTTGAGCGGAGAAAAATTCCGATGCACGTTTTTAACAATTAAAGTTGCTTTTTGTTGGTCGTTCGTTGACGGAGGAGTTGAAGGATGCGATAATTATAATTTACCGGTTAACTCGTCGGCGTCGACGTCTCTTGTAACCAGTACAGCGATAGTGTGTGCGGCTGGGAGACCCCAAGCTAGGACGGCGGCGATGGTTGAGAATCCTTGTCCTAAATCATCCTCCTTGCAGTTGCCGGTCATCTTCGTCCACTTTCTGGCCATTATGCACCACCAAGCGCATATCACGACCCACCTGCGATCAGAATCGTATCGAATAACATGGAGAAATTTATTCGCAGGGAAGAAAGAGAACACAGATTCGTTAAATTATCCTACAATTTCGAAAGTTAAACTACAAAGAGTACATCAGGAGGCTAGATTAAGGGATAAAAGAAAAAGAAAATGCGAAAGAGACGCGAAAAAAAATTCGTCGACGAATGCAAACTTCTTCGAAGGCCTCTTCGAGTCGATTATACGGTCCTGCGAGAGAGAATTTACCACGGGATAAAAGAAGAAAAAAGAAAGACACGCAAGAGAGAGAGGGATGAGAAAGGGATGCGGTGGAATGAGCACGAGAGCGAGATGGAATGTTTGCGAGTGTTTGCGCCTCGTTTGACCTGTTCGCGCTGCTTTTCGATCTTGTCGAAGACTCGCGTGATTAATTAGTCGGCTTTTCACCGCAACTGCTCCCTCTCTCTCTCTTTCTCTTCATCTTCTTCTTCTCTCTCTTTTTCTCGACAGACTGGTTATTGGAAGAAACGGATTATAGCCGACACATCGCAGTTGCACGTGCACGCATACAACATTATACATGAAGAGAAAGGCAGAGCATGCATCTTCGAATCACGGTTCATTCCAGCAAAAGGATTCTCCATCATGCTCTTCGGCATATCCGAGATCTCCATCAATCATTCTCGGCGAACAAGATTCTCGGCGAACGTTGCTGCCTGTTTTATCTATTTCATCTAAAATAAAAGAAAAATTATTATATATATATTATTAATAATGTAATTCATAATAGCTAAATACTTAGTTGATGCTAACAATTTAAGTTTAATAAAAATCTAAGTTAAATATTTATTTGTCGGAAATGTCATCTTGATTTTTTGGATTCTTTTTTTCTCGTGCGGGATCCTATGTATACACCGAAAACCAGTATCTCGTAAGGCGAGTCAACCTTCTCGAGTGTTTGCGACCGCCTAGTATTTACCAAGTGGACAAACGGTAGCCGTGTCTCTTCACGCGGATCTACGCAGACCCACCGGGACAGGTAGTTGGATCTCACACCTTTGCCATGACATACCGGAGAAAGTTGTGCTGGTTGGTCTTCTCTTGGTCTTAAATATATTTTTCAAATGATGCTAAAATATTGTAGATAATATAATAAATATTTTTTATCTCAAGACAAGCAATTTTTTCTTGTAAGAAGAAGAAACAAACGTCAATTTTAATATATTTATCAGGAGGAGAGATTTTTTATTTCTCGTAAATGGGAGGAATAAAGAGAAGCCATGAAACTGTGAGATTAGCGCGAAGAGAGATTCGGCAGAGATTCGGTAATTCCCTTTTAACTTATCGCGTTGGAAAAGCAAAAACTCGCCCGACGAATTCCGGTCGTGATGAATGGATGTGATGTAGTGCACACGCGCGGACTTTTTGCATTTGCGGAACGCCGATAAAAAAGAAAAGGAAGAGAAGGAATGATCGACACTTTGCCAGGTGCAATCGCTTTGCTACTGATGAATACCGAATCTAATAGAAGTTTAGGGACTTTGAGAAGTTTAGTTGTAGAAGACAAACTGAAATATACATAAAAAAGAAACGACTTGCTTTGCATTTTCACATCAATCTTGCACGATTAAACCCTTCTGTCTTCAATGAATATGAGCACCCAGGTACCCACAGCAATTTTGAATATTAAAAATGTATATTGGAACTTGTCCAAAACAAAATACAAAGGACCTTTAAATATCTCCTAAAATATAACGAAAAACGTTCGATACTCAGCAGCTGCTAAAAAAAGGTCGCAGTACAATATGCATTAGATTTGTTCTTTTTAGCTGAACTGACTGCACTTGTAGAAGTTTATCTTTTTCCTCTTCCAACAAGTGGAGTAACAAAAAAACTCTGAACTAGTGGAGCCAGTTCAGCTAAGAAGAACAGACCTATTGACGAAAGGAAAGGTGAAAAATTATGCATTGACAGAAGGGGTTAATGCGTTTGCGAGGAATAACGAGCTTAATCTCATCAGAGTACGCGTAATAAGAGCGATTAGTCGTGGCACGAGATACCTCACTCCCTCCTTTCTGGTAATCATTGGTACGCATGGTTGGGTGGTCGACCACTCGTACAATTTCCGTGCAACTCCGAGTCGAGAAGTGGAAGAGAAGGAGGGGAGAGACTACCTAACGACTCGCTAACTAACAAAACAAACAAGAGGTAGCTAGTACCCCTCTCATCTCATCTCGCTGATTATATACCCCGCAGGGCCCTCTATGCACGACGAGGTACCTCATCCTCTCGCATTCTTCCTCCGTTCTCACCCTTTCTCTCCCTCGTCGATTCGCTTCGTCCTTTTTTCCTGAATAATGAAATTCGGAAAAATTAAACGTCGCAGTGTCGATGCATCCACACGGAAGGGGCTGCTTATGCACGCGAACTCATATATGGCCCTTTTGCGAGAGATGTCCATGTGACGGGGCTGACAATCGCGTGAGCGATTACGAGAAGCGATTCTTGAATCCTTTCGATGATAATAAACCAGAGAAAGAGAGAGAGAGCTCTCTTTGTATAAACATAACAATAGAATGCAAATAAGTTTGCGACGAAGTCGTTAAAATTGCAAAGTACTGCTTACAATACGTCTTCCTCGAACTATATTGTCATTCTGATCGGAGCAAAAAATCGTGTCTCATCAATACTTCTCGCAACTGGTATCACGTTTATACGTTATTAATGTTTCTGCATCGTATTTATATTATAAATGAGGAACAAAAGAACAAAAAGGTCTCTCCCTCGCAGGATAATACCCAACTGCGGGATAATAATGCCAGAGACTTGTTATCGGAGCCTTCGACGGGTCTCGACCATTCCCGGGCAGAGCTCTTATCTCGGATAAATTATCGAGAAATTCTCGGATCCGGATCCTTAAGCTTTAAGGCCCAGGCCAGAGCATTGAGAGAGAGATGATGGATCAGCTCTTTCCTCGAGCCTCTCTTTCGACTTGTCCTTTTTCCCCTCGTTCCTGAGACGGCCGTCAAACTGTTGGGGCATCGGGGGAAGGAAGAAGGAAGGCGAAGGGGAGAACGAAAAGGGAGAGAAAAGAGAGAAACGGAAACGAAACTGCTGGACTACCTACTACCACGAGAGCCCGTACGATCTCCTCTTTGTCAATGGCGTAGCAACGTCAATTACCGGTTCGATTCTTCGAAGATGAAAGTCCTTTATGTATTAACAATTTTTCATTTCAAAAGCCATAAATCTGTGCGCAATTTTGTAGGAAAAAAAAATATAAATATAAATTAATACACACACAGAAATAATTGACTAATGCATAAATTATTATAAAATAAAAGACTCTAATAAAAGCGAAGTTTACAAATTCAACATTGAATTACGTTTCTATTCTCTTCAGCGATTGGCTATAATTTTATTAACTTGGGAATCGACGCTTTTATATGTGTGTAACTTGGTGACATACGTTACGGAGAATTAATGCGGATAGGGGGTGATAGAGAAAAGGGAGAGACAGGACAATGGCGGGGGTTGTACAAGGGGTCCTACGGGTCCATGGCTTCGTGGCTTCATGTCCGTAGGGTGCGATGTTTATCGGCTCTTTCGATGTAAATTATGGCCGTACGCTATATATGACCAGTTTGCTACGGCTGCACAAAAGTATTCGGGTCCAGGGTCGGATTCTCTCTGCGATAGTTCTTTTAAGTAACTTTATCTCTATCGCACTGATTCCTCTTCATCATTTTTAATCTACAAATGTATAATTGTAAAGTGAAAAACGGTTTTAAAAAGTTGAAAAAAATTGACAAATGCTAATCTATAATTATCGATTCGAAAACGATGAAATTTGCGAAAGAAAGGAAATCTCCAAAAGATTTATATATAATTGAATTTTTTACATATGCTTAAGTATTCACATAAATTCGAAGATTCATATGACGAGACGATCGAATTTCGCGAAACTCATTTGCATACACAATCTCAACCACGCAAATTGCATCCACGCATTGTGAATCATCTTGCTCTTTGCTTGGTCCGAGAAGCATCGCTTTGTTCACCTTCCCTCCCGCCTTCATTTCTCTCTCTTTCTCTTTCTCTCTCCCTCTTCCTCTCTCGTTCTGCTTTTCTCGCGCTTTCTTTATCCGCCTCGAAGCAGCTTGCTTTCTCTAAGATGGAATGCCATTGACTCCATGCATATCTGGCAACAAGGTTCCTTTCGACCCACCTTATATATCGGGTGATTCATTTCAAAAATCAAAAGGTACACGAAGGTAAAAAATTTAAAACTAGATTCAGACAAGAGATTATAGACAAATATTCTATAGAAAGATATAGAAAGGGAAGAATTGAACAAAACCCCAAGTGCCAATAACACATAGATAGATGAAAAATCCTCGAATCGAATTTACAAAATTACCAATGATTCGATGTAAACGTAAATAATTGAGGAATAATCATTTGCACACACACACACACAAAACTGTTTTCTTACAGCACAAATACTCCAATTTAAAGATCTCATAAGATATCATCTTCAAGTAAAAAATACATGTTCGTGTCGCGTTAGAGAGATACTTTCCATAAGATTTATCGAGATCTTTATCGACATGTAAATCTAACGAGGCATAAATCTATTTTGTACAAACACGATGGATTTAAAACGCGGGTGGACGTACGATTTTTTTACTTCCTGCCACCCGTTAGACGAGTTAAGATGAGCCTCTCAGCATAAACGGGATGAGATGGGATGGGACGAGATGGGAGTCAGAGGCTCGTTAGCGGCACGAGGGGAGTCAACACTGTTGCCAGATTGTTATCCCTACCTCGGATGAGGATGCAGCCTTGCCGAGAGTGCAACAAGGCGCTCCGAAACAACCGACAACTTTGAAACATGTTATACGAGTCTCACATCTGTACGTAATTAAAATCGAGGCAATGGGGGAAAGCCTGCCGCAAAATTCCTACCTTCGCCAATTGAAGCAACGCCAAAAAGAAAAAATAAAAACAAAAACACCTTGCGTTTATTTATAGATGCGGCGAATTCAAAGATCTCAAGATAAGATTTGTCATCTCAAACAGTAGCCTACGTATGGTTAATCAAAAAAATATATATATATAAGGCGAAGATGTAAAGACTCACCAAACAATCGCAGTGTTTCCAAAATAATAGAGCAATAGAAAGACGACGGCGCAGTAAGGATTGGCTAAACCGTCCTGCGTGAGATACTGTTGCTGCTGTTGCTGTTGGGTCAGGACGATTTGTTCCTGCGGATGCAGTGGAATCGCGGGGGTGCATGCGACGTTCAACCGGCCAGCGGCCAATCGAATCACGTAACCGATCGCAATCACCGTATGGCAGACCGTCAAGAAGATTATAGCACGTTCTGCAAGCAAACACATTTCTTTTATTATGTTAAAGATAATACATTGTTGTATTCGAAGTTTAGATTTAGTATCTGCAATATTCGAAACAGGATGCTTACAAGAGTTTAAATCTATCTTATGCAGGTGCGAGTCTACTTGAAATACTGTTTTTTTTCTAAATCATAAGGTCTGTTCTTTTCAGCCGCACTAGTTCAGATTTTATCGTAGTCCTTCCAATGTGGAGTGAAAAAGATAAATTCTGAGCTGAAAAAACAGACCTATAGAGAGCTAGGAACCATGTAAAAACAAATTTAAATCTTCTTGTAAGCCACTCGAACCCATCATTAATCTCTAAGGTGAAATTCAAGTGTTCAAAGCAAAGGACCACAATCTGTCACTTAATGTGAAAATGTTTCTATTTCAGAAAGAAAATTCTTACCTGCTACAGTGGTCAGTATAGGTTGTTTTCGCGGCTTTAGAAGTGTTAAGATGGCTATCACGACGGAGACGAGGCATACCGTCGAGAATACAGCCATCCAAGCTTCTGTGAGTCCCTTGTCCTTTTGGGACCAGAGAATGTCGGCGTCGCAAGCGGCGGCACATCTCCCGGAACGATTTAGGAAGATGTATAATCCAGATTTGGCGTACCAAGAACAGCCCCAGGGTCCATTGCCGGCGCTCACCGCCTTAAATAGACAAACAAGAAATTATTTATTTATATCTAGACGTAACTCAAGACGACGATTGCCAGGATAATTTTTTTATACGTATATAATTGATCAAATCGTTAAATACCTGGATAGGATTAGCTGGGCCTGGTTCACCCGGTCCTTCCATACACATGTGTTGATGATTATTTTCCGGTGGAAATTTGGAGCAATTTAACGCAGCAGGCCAAGGGAAGCCGAAACCCTGAAGCACCGGAAAACAACGGGCTCGCACTTGCTCGCATAGACCTCGGCAAGGTCCGATGGGTGCGGGAACCTTTTCGGTACACATTGGTGCATATACCGAACACAGAAATAGATGCAATTGCGCGCTGCAACAAATTGCATACATTAATGCCGTTGTATAGGTAGCTGAGATACAATAAAGATAAAAAGTAATATAAAGAAATATTGCTTCATAACATATCCCTCGCTCCAAATTTATTTATATTTTTTACATTTCTTTTTGATGTTTAGTTTTTGCACGTGAAAAATTTATGTATAGCGTTTTGGTTATGCAATAGTTTTTTTCATGCGATTGGAAAATCATTAGTTTAGCAAGAGTGCAGTTTTTATAGCATTTAATATTGATTTATTAATTATAAAATTAATTTGAACGATAATAAAGTGGGATATATTTAAACGCTAAAAATATATGCAAGAATATAAAGTAAAAATAAAAAATAATTTATTATAAACATCTTAAGGAATATTAATTTATTTAAATTATTTATTAAATTATTAAATTGTTTATTAAATTATTAATTAAATAAATAAGAAGTACTAATAAATATTATCTATTAAAAAATTGAACATTGAATTTTTTATGAAACTTGTAGATTTTGATGCTGAAATAGACCGTTCAATTAAAAAATCACATAAAATTCCCTGAATCACAATTAAATTTCATGAGAATTCTCTGCTTTTTCAAGGTTTCAAAACAAAATTCTCTGAGAATACCAGGTTTTCAAGGTTTTACCCGGGAGTAGATACTCTGTAAAAACGCAATTTACCTGCATCCGTACTGAATGAGCGGGCTAAATGTCTGTAAAGTGAAATCGGCGTCGCCTTGGATCTCGTGACCGACTAGATTCGGCATGACGGTGACGTTGTAGCCGAGACCGCGGCACATCTCGATCCTGATCGGCTCGCAGGCGCCGTGCGCGCACCATATTGCACGCACTAATGTCAACAACAGGATCCAACGCATTTTTCTGTCCTCGAGAAACCACAATCGCGTAAATGCTACTTCGAACTTGCCCTCGTGTCGTATGTCATCCACCGCCTGTCGATCGACATGCCGAGATACCGGTTGTACATCATGCGGTGATTTACATCAACTCGAGGCTTCCTGAAAAAGCATAAGGCACACAAGATAAGAAAGATGAAATTTACATATGAATATATACACAGTGCACGTTTTGATGCAATATCTTTCAACAAGCGGCTTCATTTTAACTTAATCATTCTGTCTGTGAATAACATCTTTATCCAAAACAACTTTAAGTGTCAAAACTTTTTTCCGCCCGAAACAAAATACAAAGGGCCTTTATATTCGAAAACCTTCGAAAATATAAAGGAAAAGCAAATTTGACACCCCATTGTTGCCATAAAGAAACTGTCACTCGTAAAAAGGTGAAAGAAATATGTATTGACAGAATGATAAATTTAAATTTGAATAAGAAAGAATTCGATATGGGTAAAAATTTAGTGGAAAAGTGTATTGGGAAACAGAAACTATACTTTTGAAAAGATATGCGTGACAACTGAATTGAAAAGTTGAAATTTAATTAAAGGGCATATATAAGGAGAGAGGGAGACGTACTTTTAAATTAATGAAGATATAACTCTACCCTCTCTCTTCTCTCATTGAACGCACAGGGAACTTCTTCCTTTTCTTAATTACGGTCCTGTCACAGCTCCATTTAAAGAGCTGTCAAATCTCGAGCTCGACTTAACGAGTAGTTTAATTAACTTGTTTGTGCACATTAAACGAGATTAATTGGCTTCTTTCTCCAGTGCAGATTCGACCTTGCTTTCAACTGATCAAGATTCAACGACCGGACAATCAGATCTCTCGACACGATAATTTAATTTTTCACTCCATCCTCCACAATTTATAAATTGCACTCGACACGTTACATATGTATAATTTCTTTTATATCAATTTATATATAGTTCTCTATTATAAAAAACACGTACAGATACAGACGCAGATGATCAAAGTAACAAAATTCGACGTGACAAGAAAATAGAGTTCATATATTACACGAGATCACCTAAGTTAAGACAAATCACAAAAAATTGAAAAATAAGCTATCGATTGACGGCAAACATTACTCTCGATTAAAAAAATGCACGTGATGCGTTCAAAAACGAGCGCGACTGCCTTCTTCTTCGGCTCCAGCGCCGAATGAATCACAAAGGCAGTCGCTGCATAATCGAAGATACGCGTTTTTCTCTGGTAAAAACGTCGCGTGTCGTCTCATTCAAAAATCGTCGCACCATCGCCGATCACGTGGCGTACTACGATAATCTCGCGGGCGAATCTCGCATCGCAAAATGATAATTAATCGGACCGAGTTTTGCGCGCGCGATCCTGCCTCGTCGAAAGTTTCTGTACGACTGAAACGCTTGGCTTGCTCACGGACGGAGTGCGCCCGTCTGCTTATCGCTCTCTCTCGTCTCTCCTCACTCTCTCTTTAGGGTCTTCTGGTTTCTCCCGCTCACCAGGATTTTTATCCCGCTTGTATACACGCCTGGCGATTGATTCGATCTATTCGATTACGCCGTTTCATATGCACAACATAGATTTAATCATACATATAATTATTACATATGCAATATTTAATTATAATTATCATATTATATATACATATTTAATTATATAACATTATGTAATTATAATTATAAATATACATACGTAATTATATATAATTATAATTATGCATACATTATTTATAATAATTATATAATATTATATAAATATAATTATATATAACTATATATATATATAGTTACAAGTATAATTATTTATATATACATAAAATGATAATATGTATATAATTACTTATGTATACATATACTTATATAATACTTATGTATACATATTAATTTTTGACAAGTTACATTGAAGAAAACTTGACTAATAAATTCAAATAAATGCACATGGCAAAAATAGTAAAGAAACTTGTTCTCAAAGCCAAAAATTAATATTAATCAAGATATTTTGATTTTAACGTAAAATGCCAAGCTGCAAAATGTTTCATGGAACAGTATTCTGAAATTTTCGGAAAAAGTTTGTTCAACTAGAGAGATTAGGAGAGACGTAGAGAGAAAAGCAATAGAGTCACGTTCTCATTATCATATCCCGATGTTTGGCAGCAGTTAGGCTGCTTTTATGGGCTGTATTTTCTTGGCATAATTGGGCGCACAAGCTCGCTCAGATCCCCCTTTCGATTTTCGTTTCCCATCTTGTTCTGTCATCGAGTCTTCGTGCGGTTCTTTCTCCTCGGTTGTCTGGCGCGTTTATTACAGGGGGTGGCCGTATCCCTTCTCCTTCTTTTCCTCGCTCCAAGAATAGGGTAAGAAATTTATTAGAGCGCGGACAATGTAAACAATAACGCGTGCAACCGGATTCCTCTTTAGCTAAAAAAGAAAAATTCCAACGTACCTCGTGACAGAATCATCTCGTTTTTGTTAGCGTTAAAAAAGAAGATCCTCGTCGAATGTGTCTGCATCTTCCTGAGCTGGATTGCAAGGGAATCTCCCGTTATATCGCTTCATCTTCCACTCTTGTATCTTCTTAATGCGATAGAATTCTTCTCGCTCGTATTCGTCGAGCTCGGTGACGATGTAAGCGAGGGTCCGTTCCAATCGCGGGATAATGACGTGCTGAAGAGCGTTCACGCGACGACTGGTGGCTTTGATTGCTCGATCAAGCATCTGGAAGTTGTGCTGCAACGACGCCAATTCAATCAGCAGGTCGATCGCCTTTCCATAATTTTTCTTCAATTTGGCAACCTGTTGACGTATCAAGTAGTATAGCTAGTAAACTATAACAAAATCCTATTTTAAAAGATATGCTAAACTGCATATGATAATGTGTATTGCAATATAATATGTTAAATATATTTAAAAAACATCACATTTTTTAAAAACAATGTTTCGAACAAAACTTGCTTAAAGCAAGTAATCTATTTTAGGTCATTTTTCAAGATAATGTGATGGTAAATCTAGTTTTTTAAAAATAGATCTTAATTAACCATCAGATGACCTAAAAAAATATATATTTCTTATTTTTATATAAGACATCCTGTGGTATAGGCATCCGCAGGATATTTTAATTAGGCATGATACAATTTTTTTGTTTCTTAATTTTTGTTCATTCACAATTTTTTCAAGTTTAATTTTTTTGATATTTTCACCTTTTATATTGAATATACAAATAAATTCCAGTGTTTATTCAAAAGGAAAGCAAATGCTTAATTTTTTAATAAATCCAAGGAATCATCCTCCCCTGCAGATGTCTATGTCCTGTAGTAGTAAAAAACACTTTATACAAAGTTAGTCATTAGTAAAATTACAAAATTATATCGTAGTCTTTCTCTTTTTGTTTGTTAATTTTTGTTCAGTCTCAATTTTTTCAAGTTTAATTTTTTTTATCATCTTTTATATTAAATGTATACATAAATTCCAGTGTTTATTCAAAAGAAAAGCAAATGCTTAATCTTTTAATGAATCCAAGGAATCATCCTCCCCTGTAGATGCTCATGTCCTGTAGTAGTAAAGGACGCTTTATACAAACTTAGTCATTAATAAAATTACAAAATTATATCGTAGTCTTTGTCTTACCATATATAACGCAAAATTACTTGTTGCCCGCCTCTGGCTAATCCGGTGAACTCGAAGGGATCGTCACCGCTGCGGTAGGGCTCGTAGATCCTCAATCGAACCCCGCCGAAGATCTCCTGCCTGCACTGAATCCTGGTGCTGGCCCTGTCGACCGTTTCCAGGACCAAGCCGTTCACGCCGCCTGTTGCGTAATTTACCTCGGCTAACGAGAAGGCCGCGTTCCTCATAACTTCGCCCAGCTGTGATTTGTTCTTCAGCAGTCCCAGCAAAATCGCGCGAAACCGGATTAGGAGACCGTCGACCTTCTTCGCGAGCAAATCCTGACTCCTGCGCGCGCAGATCAAGCGACACTTGACGTTCGTCCGCGAGCTGGACGTCGGGAAGACCATCAGTCTGTCTCTTCCCGCAATTTCCATCATTTTTTATGCGCGATTCTTCTTCTCATTTGGCTCCAACGATTAATTTGAAAGGACCATAAACAAAGTTGTGAAGGTAGACTCGAATTGCCAATGAATATAGCGATCTAGGATTAATGACAATATGTAGGAGAGAAACTGTATAGCATCGGTGGTTCAGTGGTAGAATGCTCGCCTGCCACGCGGGCGGCCCGGGTTCGATTCCCGGCCGATGCAAGTTTTTTTTATAGAAATTTTATTTTTTAATCTAATATATATTTGGAAAATTATATTTCTATATATATTCAAATAAAATATTAATATTATATTATCTTTTATTTTAAATATTTATATTTTTATATTATAATATTTATATATTATATATATATATATATATATATATATATCTATATAATATATTCTTTTATTTATATTTATATTATATTATATTAATATTTTATAAATAAATATAATAGAAAATTATATTTAAAATTTTTTTATTAATATTTTTGAAAATTATATAATATATCTGTATTATCAAATAAATTAAAAAAAAAATTGTTTGCATAAACAAAAATATTAAAAAATTGCATCGGCCGGGAATCGAACCCGGGCCGCCCGCGTGGCAGGCGAGCATTCTACCACTGAACCACCGATGCTGGTGATTATTCAGCTTCCTTTTAATCAGTCTCATTGTCCAAAATTATTGGGTCATTTTCAAATTTTTTATATATTAACTTTTATAATTTCTTAATTGTTACATTTTTTTAACACTTATTATTTATAATAATTTTTTTTACTTCTAAAATGTTATTTTATGACGATTATGTTATTAAAATAAGCTAACTAAGAAAACAATATATTGAATAAATAATTATTAAACACATTATCAATGTTTATTTATTAATCTCGCAATTCAAGTTAATGATTCAAGTCCCAATATTGCTCGCCGTAATCTCCATTTTTGTTACCCCATTTTATCTAAAATATAACAAACATAAAGTTGTAAATAAATATTTAATCAAAAACATGTATACAAGAAAATAAATAAATATTAAAATATTGCTCAGATTAATTAATAAAAATATTATCTAAATTATTGTAAACGATGAAATATATGAAGCATTGATACATAAAATATACATAGTATAATAAATACTAATAATTGCATTACACATTACATCTATAGAGAATTTAATTAATTCATATTAAATAATTCTAATATACTTGTTTTTTATATACAATCACAAAACAGAAGAATTACCTTGCCACTATGACGATTGTTATCAAAATCCTTTTGTTCAAATCTCTGTTCCCATTCATTGGGATTCTCACAGACATGACCAAACTCAATTTTAAGAGGTGCAAGATGTTCAGAAAATATATCTCTGCATTATATAGGATTATTGTTATCAAAAAAACGTTACAAATAATTATCATTTTCCATATTTATATTATTACTCACTGAAAGTATTGTCCCATTGATAAAACATCTGCTATTTCTTGTTTTGAAGTCTCTTCTTTATTTACAATTTGTGAATCTGATATTATTATTAAAATATATTAATACATATAACATTGTAAGATGCAATATGCAAATGAATTACCATTAACATTTGACATCTACTTGCCTGCTACAGTCATGTCTGTAAGTTTTTCCAATAAATTGGCTGTGACAGAATTTATTATAAATAATATTGTTATTTGCATCAAAAATAAATTGAAATTATATTTCATATACATTTTATATTTAGTAATTCAACTTGAAATTATTAATAATATGAGATAAAGTCTGTTGATGTTTACTGAATAAACTCTGAATGCTTACTAAATGAGTGAAATTGTAGCTCTTACATAGCTCACAACTTTTTTTGACTGGTATCATGCTCTATTTCATAGAATAGTGAAAGTATATATTAATATAATACACCATATTGATGTAAAATTTACTATAATATATAAATCTAACTCTCCTAATAATACAAGTATAACGATTCTATATTGTAAATGTTATAATTCTATATTTGAGAATAATAATTTTTATATATTTTTATATATATTACATATAAATTAAATAGTATTTAGATTCTGTGGCTTTAATTATTTATCGTATGACAAGAGATTGCTATTCTTTGCACACTTTATCAAAGACTGAATTAACTTGACAAATCCAGTATCTTTCGGTTTCTCCAAACCGCGAAGAACACGGTTTTTCATCACAGAAACGAATTCCCGATTACTAAGTTGTCCATCCACTATAAAAAACAGGATACACAATGATGATTTTAAGATTTACTTAAGGCGTACTTTGCATATCTATATACATACTATGTCATAGATACTGCAATTACGTTTTTAGTAGTTTGTTAATTAGAAATATAATAATACTCTATTGATAAAAATCAACTTACTATTTTCGTCGAAAATCGTATACACCACTTGAATAATATGATCACTCAAATCGACGTGCGCTACAGTTTTTGCTACATGTTTCAATGTTGCTGCAATGTTATACAAAAATATTTATTAATAAATAATTAAATATATTAATAAAGATACACATTGCTCAACATTTTAAATAACACTACCGATTATTCTTTTACAATTAATATATCATAATAATTTCAAATTATATATTATTTAAGTCAAATTTTCAATTAAATATTTGTGTAACTATATATATAATTGTAAGCTCTAAATTATTTATTATTCCATATCGTACCTTGATCAATAGATGCACCAGCTATATGATAGAATGTTAGGGCTGTATCTACATCATTAATATTATTTAAAAAGTGGAAAAATTTGAGATATTCCTCTTTGCTGATTCCTTTTGGATCTTCCTTGAAACTGCAAATAAAAAATATTTAAACATATGTAAAATAATCTAAAATTTAAAAATAAATATAAAGAAAGTGAATATTTTCATATACTTACGTCTTCTTTACTCTTTTCAACATTTTCGCCTTCTTTTTTGTCGAGTATCCGGCATAAGCTAATAATAATTCCGTAAAATCTACCTCAGTGATATTGCCATTCTCATCTGGATTTCGTCGTTCAAACTTATAAGTAGAAAACAATATATAAGCAAACAATCAAATATAAATGAAAACGTTGAACTGGTTGTACATTATGTCGAATTTGATTGATCCTTACTTCGAGACCCAGAATCTCCCGCTGCAATTGTTGCTGAAAGTCCAGGAATTTCTCGATCGTTAGCTTCTGATTCATTTGTGGCCCAAAGAAGTATGTAGTTAGCGCAGAATTCACTCCCTAAAATAAAGATTTCAATTATTTTTAATTTTTAATTAAGTATAGTTTTTAAACATGTAGACACATCATTCAAGAATTAATAAGCATTTATTTTGCATATTTGTTTTGCTTAATACTTCGTGAATTGTCAAAATTCATGTGTCAAAATTCAAGTATTAACAAGTTAATTATGACCTTAAATGTGTTTCCTGTGTTCGAGTGATCACGGTGTCGAGTGCCTATGCTAGTTTGTTGCCGTATTAGTGTAGCCACTTTTCCAAACTCTTCTGAATCGACATCACCATCTCCATTAAAGTCAAACATTCTAAAGGCAATTTCAAAATGACGTCTGGAAGCTATAAAAAAATTTAAATTTTCCGTCTAATATTTATATACATAATTAAAGTTTAACGTAAAATAGTAGACATGCTGCTTACTTGACAATACAGTCAACAAAAAGATGTAATCAGAGAAAGTAATGAGGCCTGCACTGCCCAGCTTGTAGAAGATGCTGTCTTCGTCCAATTCCAATTCTAATTTCGTGTGAATATTCTAAAAAGAAGGAAGTATGAACTTACATATTTCTTCTTTACTGAATCTCATTAATGTACCTTTGGATCATAACGCTTGTACTGGTCCAGTCCAAGGCCTGAAAATTAAAATAAAGCGTTATAATTGTTAAGTCTTCTTTTTCTTACATTTTCTCTTACGTGAGTTAATATAAATCTGATATACAATTCAGGCAAATTGTAATCTGCAAATTATAATTGTAATTTATAAATTTTTTTATCTAAAATATAATATATAAATCTGAAATATTAATTAAAAATTTACACATGCAAGAAAGAGCTGATCAGAATGCATTTTTGCAATCAATTAGGAGAAAATTAAAGAGCATTGAAGAGAATATTAAGTATCAAGCAAAATTTAATGTGAAAAATGCCAAATAAGCAAAGCATAATCGTATAGGATTACCATCGGGCTGTTTCACGCCGGGCGTCATTGATCTTAAAAAGTCATCCGGCGTCATAAACACCTCGTGCACGTCGTTGCTCGTGACCTGGAGGGTCGCGAAGTAACGGAACACTTTGTCCGGTGTAGAGTAATGCCTTATACGATTTTCGTATTCTATTATCTGCACACAGTTAATTGATAATTCGCAACTCTCAAAAAAGTGCAAACTTCTTACGGAAGATTAATAGCGCACACAATATATGTTCCAGTATTGTTATTCATATCTGATTTTGACAATCAGGAATTTTTTTGAAGAATTTTCTTCATGCAAGTCGTATCATATAAAATTGTAAAGCTTTTAGTTAGCAGAGCGAGACAGGTAAGTATAGTGTTTAGTAAGATTTAGTATAAATGATTGTAGAGATAGGAAGACAAGATACCAAGATTATGCACAGCATCAGGGCCAATTACAATGAAAATTTTGAAAAGCCCTACCATTTGGCTGTTGCATGTCTGGTGTAATAGCCCGCATAAAATCATCAGGTGTCATATAGATTTCAACATCCTCTAAGCTAGTCACTTTTACAGTCGCAAAGTAACGAAAGATTTTATCTGGCGTCGAATATGATCTTATTCTGTTCTCGTACTCTATTATCTGCAAAAATACTTTAGCCTGCATCGTTCTGCTGTACGGATACATGCTGATGCATATAAAGCACAAAATTGTTAAATCTACTATTTAATAATTATGCTATTTTAATAATTATAATGCACGAAAAATGATTGCTGCATACTGTATATCCCTTTTCCTTGTTTTACTGCTACAATTTTATTTCATTTCAATATAATTATATATTATATGTAATTAAGAAAAAATTATATACAAATTTGTTTCATCTTTTAATAATAAAAATACAACTTGTATGATATGAAATAATATAAACATAAATAATTTATGTTATGTATGTAAACTTGCTCAATATTCTTGAAATAATTTGGAAAATTTTAAAACACATCTATATATATCTATATATATGAAATCAATATCAATAGGGTAAATATTTAATCAACCTTTCTATCGCGAAATCCAATCTTCTGTTTCTTACTCTTCTTCTTCTTTTGTTCCTGCTCTGTCTGTTCCACACTTCTATCTGTTTCATTAGCCTGAGTCTCTTCTACCAACTGAATGCTGGCTGCATCCACTTTAGGTGGTATCATACCAAATAGCCTGCAAGATAATATTTTATTTTAATATACTAAAAGCTAAATTTAATTTTCAAGAATTATACAAATTATTCCCTTATGCATCTTCAAAATTTTATTAATTTTTCATTTTTGATAATTAATATCATTGACTTACTTTTGCCAGTCAACAGTTATGCACATCAGCATTATAACACCGGGAACTATAACTGGCATAGCAAAGAGAAGTCTAGATTTTTTTCTGGTATGACCAAAGTTTTTATAATTACGAGTCTGCTGGTACTCATACTTGTACCTCTCTTCTCTATAAGTTGTGTAACTGTTGTTACATTCTAGAGTATAGAATGCATTGGTTAACAAAAGTCTGTGTTGTGGATACTGCCGGAGTACACACGCACTTCTACTGAGTAGCATTGTCACAGCCATATTTTCCCTGAAAAGAATTAAAAATACATTAATTGCATATTACGTATAGTTACCTATTATTTAATAATTAACTTGTAAAAGAAAATAACAAAATTTAATCAAAAACAGCTGAGTAAATAGAAAACGATACATATGTATAAGATATATTCTTTATGGACTATCTAGTATTCTATTATATGTAGATATAGATGTAAAAGAATTTAATAAATTAATATAGATAGATTAATTTATTAAACAAATTGGATAAATAAAAAAACTTCAGCTTTATTAACATTGAATAACTATAACAAAATCATCATCGATTGTTATCAGATCTTGTGCCAGGTTGTGTGATAAAAAGTATGAGAATTTTAATAAATTTTTCAATAGCAACAAATGAAAATGTCATTTGTTTTGAATCACTTTTTGAACATCTGTCATATGGTAGGAGATACCAGTCTCAAGATGAGTAAATGTGATTGTAACACTGAGTCTAACTCAATCTCAAGCAAAATTCTGACTAAACGTAAGCATCCAAGGAGGGCAATAATTTTTTTACTAAATAATTGATTAATGATACAATTGATTAAAGATATCTGATAATAGAGCATCTAATCTACTCAAATCAGGGATAAATTATTCAAATTCTCGAATTTTTAGAACAACAAAGGCATGTTGCATCTGACACATCGCAAAACATGCAAGAGCAAGATGCAATTTTATATCTGAAAGAAAAGAGAATCCGTGAAATCATCGATTTTCTGATGTGCAATCTTTTAATCCATCGACCTGACGATCCTTTCGAATATCTTACTCAATTCCTAGATAGATGCATCCTCTCTCGTGATGGCCTCATTGATTCTCCTTCCTTTTCTTTACAGTAAAAAAAAATTATTATATACATATATTAATATCAAATATTATATATATATATATATATATATATATATATATATATATATATATATATAACATTACAAAATAATTATATAAAAATTTATATATATATATATGTACATATTAATTTTTCTTTTCTCTATACTGTATAATTTTAATTCTTTAGAAACATAAGACAAGTTAAACAGTCACATAGATAAATAAACTGATCCATCACTATTTGATGATGAACAAGGAATAACAAGATAGGAAAGAATAAGAATGGATAAGAAAATTTTAAGCAAAAAATTAAGAAAATAATCATTGCCTACAGGAATTCTTGAAATCCAATTATTTCGTTTTTTCGACGCACAATTTTTGATTAATAACAATGTAAGAGATTATATGAAATATACACAAATATGTGACAAATGTGAAAAGATTATATGCATCCAGAATATTACCTACTAATCCTAATCTAGCAGAATCTAAGTCAACCTAACACAAGTCTAGCTCAAACAAGAACAGGTCTTGTTGGCGGCGTAAAAATCTGCAGTGAACTGCATCCACTGACTGCATCAAGCTGCATCTAGTGCATCTCGCCATGTGATCACGTCGGAGTGAGACAGACGATACTTGAATTTATTTTAAGCGCACTTATGTGCTGTTAAATTATAAATTCGAGAGAAAATTAATTTCAGGAGAAAATAAATAAATTACGGATGTACGTACGTCGAAACACTTTTTTTCTGCGACACGTGCTATAAATGGACTCCGTCCGCGCCAGAGAAAACTGCGTAGCACGCTCTCGTAGTGGGCGGTCCTAAACAAGGACGATCTCTCGAGATACTCGCGAGTTCACGCGTACATTCGGGCTCCGCGAGTGCCTGAGCGAGGTATCTCTGTTCTTCCGGGACGTCGAATATATTTTTGCAAGAAAGACTTTTTGACATTTCTCCCCCTCCCCCCCAAGCGCCTCGTAACAGCTGTTCGCTGCCATTAGTATTAGTCGAGCGACCATCTGGAAGATTTTATTAGTGCGTCTGGAAATATTCCACAAGTGTGTTTACTCGACGACAGATTTTTACAGATTTTTTATTTTTTTTTTAACGGCGAATATACGTGTTTTAATTAAGATATTCCACAAATGAGCGAAAAATAATATTATTGTTACTTGTTGGTACTTATTCGAGAGAGAGAGCATTCCGAGTTCCGCGAAAGCGTCATTCTTGCGAAAATCAAACATGTGACGCGTTTGTTATCTGGTTATCGTTTTATGTAGTGTATATATTAAAAATGTTACGCCAGATAATTATTATTGCCCTCAGTCTGCTCCTCGTCAGCTTATCCGCCTACGAACATAACATCGCGGACCAATGCGACTGGTCTGGAAGGTTAGTTCTTCATCATCATGTATACTTTTCACATTTTAACATTTCAACTTTATTGTGTCAAATTTCTGGCTGTAGAATAGGAATCAATTGCAACAAACGTATGTTAATTATACATTTGTTCATCGTTGTTCATATTCTATAGAAAAGATTTTAGTATGTTTTAGTTTTTTATACTAATGTCACGCATATTAATGTATAATTTAGTTTTATTATTTTATAAGTTTGTTTGACAGGTCATTCTGAGCAGAAGATATCAATGAATATATGTATTTTTTATATTTTTAACGTCTACATAGTTACAAAAGCTTTAAAGTTCCGCCATTCTCACAGTGACATTACATGCTCTGTGACTTTTCACAAACATCCCTTGTTTAAGGTTCAATTTTATATTAAATACTCAAATGTTACTTCCTGAGTTGACACACATTGAATACGTGGATGAAACATATAAAGATGCATCACTAAAATATGTAAACTCTTGTTTTCTGTGCAGCGGAGGAGGAGAAAGTGGTGGTGTTCGACCAGTATATCTGCGCTGTGCTCGAGGAACCGTTTTATGGCGTTATCCTCATGGTGCCCTGAGGATAGTCCTCTCTTTCCCAGTTTCATCCACGGGAGACACTCTTGTCAATCATAACAGCTTGAACATTCGTGCATGTGTTAAGATCTCTGGACCTGCCCGAGTATTCTTGGAAGCCGGCCGCAAGCTGAGACAGATTTACTCTCCATCCGATGGCAAACACGAGTATTCACATCGATGCTTCCGCTCGCGGGAGCACGTGGCCGCGCTCTACATAGAAGCCGAGGATGATTACTCCTTTAAAAGCACCAAGGTCAAGCTGCAGTACGATCTGGAAACAAGTTCACCCAAGGGGGGTATGCTACATATTCCGGACGAGGAAGAGGAGTGCAGGCCGTGCTCTATGGAGGAACTTGCCAAGGCTTATTGTCAGAGCGACCTGGTATCCAGAGGCACCGTCACCGCCGTTGAGCAACAATTTGATCTGGACGCTGCCGAATTGGTGCTCAGAGCCACCAAGATTCTGCGCCAAGTCCAGGAAGCCGAGGTAAGCAAACTGAGCTTTGCTTCGCAGGAAACGTCATCTTTTTGATTTTTAGATTCCTTCTATACAATAAAATTAAATTATATGTATGATGTATGTTGACAGAACAACGAGAATAACGTCGACGGAATGGTCTCTTCTTCGAGAAACATACGCGTGAGAGTGCCAGCGGTGTGTGACGCGCGACACGGTCCTGGTGAATTCGTGATAATGGCCAAGCGACGTCTCGGAGACCTCATTTTGGTGTGCGCACCTAGGCTGGAGACATGGGAACAGATTGTACAGGAGATGGACACCGCGCCCTGCGTCCTCAACAGCTAGCCGAATTAAGATTTAATTTTCTTCAGAAAGCTGTAAAGATCTGTAACACTAAATAACAGATACAAGGATTCATAATGTTGTAAAACTGGAAATCTAAAAAAAAACACCGGTAGTAACAGTGTCAATGTCGAAAAATGCTGCCAATCTAGCTATTTACGAGAGTATTGTATACATAGGGAACATCATTCTTGGTGTAAGTAGCGTGCAACTGTCAGACTGTTGATCTCCAAACTGTGATATTATTTGCTGCATTAAGAGAAACGTGGAAGAGTGCACGAAAACATAGAAAGTACATTTGCTCTTATATTTGTTCTAGAGAGCAAAACGATTATTATATATACAGAATAGCTCAGAAATTGTGTACTTTTTCTTCAAACGAAAAAATGTGTTTAGATCTGTTAAGAAATCTTATATTCATGATTTTTATTTTGAATGATATAATATCTGATCTTTGCGTATTACAATTTTTGTTAAAATAACATCTACTTGTGAGATTGCATAAAGATTTTATCTATTTATATTCCTACAAAATTTTTTTTTAATGCTTTAGCTTGCTTGCAAATTAATTATTAATATTATAAAACTAATATGGGAGTAAAATTTAGGATCTATTGCTAAGAGAAAATGCGCAAAGATTAAGATACTGTATGTACATTTTACGTAAACGAGTACGTCGACTCGCTGCAGAATTAATTATATATTATTATAATTGTATTAATTAAATAACTATAACAATTGTACAGATTGAATAAACACGTTTTATAAATTTTTATATTAATCTGAATAATTGTTCTCTTATCAGGATAACAGAAAATATGTGCGATAAATAAAGAAAATATATTTGAAAAATAAAAAAATATTGTATTCTCTTTGTGTACTTTTCAATTTTTTTAAAGTCTATTGTGTATACTGTATATAGTAGAAATAATCGTTTATTAGTTATAATATGAAATAAAAGAAAGAAAGAGAGAAAGATCTTTTGGACGTTACAATTTTATAATAATGAAAGATTTTTTTTTAAACTTGTTTGAGAAAGAAATTTTCTAAAAAAACAACTGATAATGTACAATAATTTATTTTTGCAAAAACTGTTACAATATAACTCTGTGATTTAATTCTGGACCCACAATGTGAGATTAACAATGTAAGTCTTAAACGAAAAATATCGTTTAAAAAATCTTTACAAAATATATTTGCTTTATTGCATTAATTTTATATGTTTAAACGTATGAAATGACTTTTCTAATATATAATTTGTATCTTATATGTTTAATAAAAAGTTTCCTTATTTTTAAGAATATATGGCTTTTATCATAAAATAAAATCACATTGTGATTCCAGGATTTATTCGATATATTATAATCTCCCTGAGACACGCAAATACACAACATTCACACGCATATTTGTATAGTATCAAACAAAATAACACAGCTCATAGATCAAATCATGTGGCTAGTAGATATAAACTTTATATTCACTTAATTCATTCACATATACTTCATATTCATATATACATTTTGTTTTCTCTCAATTGTCGTTGACTCAGTAGTATAACTTACAATTAGTTGATCAATCAGAGACGGAGGAGAGTGAACTTTTTTGCTATATCTGTCGAAAAGCCATTGATTATAAATTTCTCTTGCAACAGAGAAATAAAATTTACATATCTATTTGTTGTAATTCGATGAATTATTTTACATTTTTATGTCAACAATTGTATATATAAAATTAACATTTTTTGAACATCGCATTTAAAATCAACGCGGTCGATTTTGATGAACAGTATTAACACATTATGTACTTTTTTCTTTATCATACTTTATCAATCAACTATATTCGCTCGATTATATTACGAGTCTAATTATCAAGACACAAAAAGTTCTACTGGCATATAAGTGATTGTATTCCATTTCATATATATATTTTTAATAATTTTGCCCATTTTAACAATGATTTTTCAATCAAAAATAATCGATTATTTAATTTCATTATAATCCAGTCATTTTATAATATTTTAACAATGTAACAAAATATTTTGCATCAGCTGCCTGCATCAAAAGACTAAATGTATGATCACATAGACATTGATATTAGTATTCTTTTTTGTTTAAGATAGGCGCCACATCATTTCGTGATATTTATAGTTGTATAATTAAACAATCTGCAGCGAATAATGCACTTCATTAAATATTAATTAAATTGCCTTACTTTTCCGTGCATCTCTCTCTTACTCGCTATATATTTGGTTTGCATACTTTAATCAAATTAATGCTCATAATGATTTTTTTCTCTCCTGCCTCCTTTTTAAATTTTATAAATATAAAGATAATTAATAAAAATAAAATATATATCACAATCATTCTTCTCACTTTCTTGTAAATACTGCATATGCCTAACGAAACATTTTTTTCATTTAGGCGAGAAAAATAATGCAACAACAATATTAAAAAATATTGTAAAAATAGAGCTAAAACTACACATTATTTTGAAAATCTTTTAATTTTTTCACAGACTTATATTTACGAATTTCGATGAATTTACCGTATCGATGAGAAAAAAATCCATTTCTCAATTATACGAGTGAGGATATTTACAAATCATATACAAAAAAAAGAAATGTAAAAGCAGGAAACTGTTTTGGCTGACGTAAAAAAGTTGTCTATGTCACGACAAAGGGATAATTTGGGCAGAGTGACAAGACCAAATCATCCATATTTGGTAGAACCACTAGCTTTTCGAATTCCTTGAGCAGCTTATTTTCAATCCACTTGGTCACATATACAATGTTCACAGTCCTTTCACCAAGGGCTGGCTGCACAGTAAGGGTGATCTTAGGCACGGGCTTGAAACCGTACCAGAGTCGATCAGAAGGTGGTGGAGGAATGTTTACCAGAAGACAACCCTCGATGCCGGAAATGTTAACTATGAAGCGGATCTCTGTATTAGAGACACCCTCCATTGCTCTTCGTATATAAGATAACTCAGTGGCCTAAAAATTAATTAATATAAATTATAATTTGTTTTTGTAATTATTAGTACAATAATAAATTGACTACTTAAACTAAAGTCACTAAAATCATTAAAAATCATTCACTTACATGTCGGAAATATTTGTTGGCTGTTAATTTATCGACCATGCTGAGAAATTTCTTGCCAGAAGATTGAATTGGTCTATAATATACGAAAATCTAATCAATCTCTTATCATTTTTACAAATTATTATAGTCTATAAATAAATTTCTTTATAAAATTTTTTTAGAATACTAATAGAAGCTTATGTTAGAAAAGAATGTTGCATACATTTAATTGCAAAAAATTAAATCTTGTGTTTACATATTCTTAAAAATCTATTCTTATATAAAAAAAAAAAATGCATTTTTTTATTAGAGAAGATTTAAAGATTGCTAGCTACATGACTAAACAGAGAGGGAAAGCGATTCGCAAATTGAAAACACTCATAATTTATTAATTTACTTACGTGGCATCTTTGGATGTGACGCACAATGCGACATTTCCGACATCTTCATCTTCTGTGGACGTCTCCGGACTATCTTCTACATCGCTGTCGAATATTGGCGATCTGGTAGGAATGGTTTTCTCGTCGATGATCTCACCGCAAGCGCTACTTGCACGTGTCAGTTTCATTAGATTCAGCTTTGTCTCTACAGTCATCGTCAAACAACCCTTATAAGTAATATTCATATCAAGCCAAAGTCCACGTTCGTCGAGTACCGGTTTAGTAACTTTATGAATCGTCGGAGCGTTCTGTCCGATTACTATTTCCGTAATGAGAAGGCTTTCCATAAAATACGGAAGTTTTATATTAGACAGTTTGCGTTGTATTTTGTCCTGAATAAGATTAATTGTGTCTGGACAACCATGCATGTCGAACAATAATCGTCCCAGAAGACAGTTTATCCAGAGAACATCATCTTCCTTTGGAGAACCCTCGGGATCCACCTAAATGATAATCGATTAGCTAATCATCAAAAGGATCATGAAGTTAATTAATTTGATTTTGCTTCACTTACGTTCAAGTACTTGTTCATATAGGTGTTATAACTGATTTCGGGAGACGTCTCGAGCAGTTTTGTTTCTGCCACATCCGGGACAGAGACTACATTTGCGCAGGATACGGAATCATTCGTGGAACAAGTTGAATGTCGTTTTTTCGAAAGAGACACTGCTGATGTTAATCTTCGAAACCTGAAAAAAGTCATCGTAAATTAAAATCTGCCGATGATCGGAGAGAGAAATTTTAAGCTATGAATCATATATTTCAAGAATTGTTAAGTTAAATTTAAAGGCTTTCGTAATTATTTTGTACTGATTTAAAATATATGTTGTGCTGCAAAGAAATATTACCAATCTTCCTTCTCTCGGTCGGCACGCGCAAAGACATAAAGTTTACATTTGGTGACTTCTTCGTTGTCGCGACAATCCTCGTAAATACTTCTCAAGGACTTGGATTGCGAAAGATCATCGTCATCTTCGTCTTCATCGATTTTTGACTCATCTTCTTCATTATCTTTAAGAAATTCGAATCTCGAGTCTTCGTCCTCACTTTTTGTCTCATCGCACAAGATATTTTCCTCGACTTCCTGATTAGCTCCTTCCGCTTGAGTAACTTTCTTCTCATCCTCGAATTCTTTTCCAAGATCCATGCAATCATCCAATGTTATGACCTCTAATAAAGCTCCTGGATCCATAGTGATACAAATTGGATACTTCTTGCTCCATCTCCTGTGTATAAAAAATATTTTTTATATGTATATTTCTATATATAAAAAATTTATCCTAAAATATGATGATTACCTTCTCCGAATGAGTCCTTCCGGTACCAGTTCTATCTTTGCACCAATAAGATTATACACGCGTTTCCTAATAAACTTATATTTTCGTTTAGGCTCATCCCACACCGCTCTCTTTGGTACTTTCATCCTAGTCTCCATAATTCGCAGCATTCCGCCTTCCAGGCTGAAGAAAACCGACTTTGTGCGTGCCACATGATAGTTCTGGGAATCATAGAGATATGGCAACTCATTTAACCAGCCCTCATATTTTTCTTGGACTGCGTGCTCTTCTGCCGCTGGTATCTCCAGTACAGGAACCACCACGTGAGCAGGCTCTTTATTTAAAGGCGTTGCTAAAATATCTTGGATCTTCTGTACTAATTTATATATTATCACTGTGGTGAAAACTCCTATAGAAAAACCAACTAGATGTGAAGGCAATGGAATCACAAAGCAGAAAGTAAACACAAGGATAAACAACGCGGCTAACTGCTTTGTCAATTGCTGAAACACATGATCCTTCATATGAGAGAGCAATGTGCTGAATTTTACTTCTTCTTTCTGGACATATCCATCTGATTGGCTGAAAAGATTGCGACGACACATAATATCGTTCCTTTTATCCTCGTCGCGAAAATAATCTTGTTTAAAGAGAAGCGTTTCAGGAGTGGATTCGGAAAATTCAGCTGCTTCCACACCGCTCTCTACACTCTCGTCCTGAGAGTTTTTGGTTTTCAAGCCAGTTTTCACCTGCGAAAATCCCACAAATCTCGAAGCTGTATTTTTATTGGTAGCAGCACCTGGTTCCTTCTCTTGTCTTTCGTTGACATTTTCATCAACTGGTGTGATATCACCTGGATCCTCTGAATCGCTAATACTGGAATTATCTTTATTAAGTTTTCTCTTCTTCTTATCGCTCTTTATCTCAGAAAGTTTCTCCTCAAATGTCTTTGTAATATTTCGCTTGATCTCAGACAAGACCTTCCATGGATCTGAAGATGGATGAGTACCCTCAGACATGTTATTGTCATTGGAACGTCTCTCTGATCCATTCTCCATTCCTTGGCCATTCTCGCTGTCCTTGGAGGGACTTGATGGAAGGGTCCTCGTTTTCTCAGACTCCGGAGTGGCATGTTTCTCCTCATCAGAGGAACTTGGATATAGTTCCTCCAGTTCATCGTCATTAGCTCGATAATGAATCACTGGTACAGATGTGGCAATTGGCTTGCCTTCATAGAAAAAAAGTACAAAGGTCGAATATAATAAAAGATTAAAAATATTACATTATACATGAAAGGTTTAAAAAATTAAATCATATCTTTGTTACAAGCATTAAATTTGGATTATTAATGTATCTATTTTTTTTTTTACAACCCACCTTTTAACATCCCCAGTGTAATTTTTCCTGGACTATGTCTGCTACTCATTTCTACGATTGAAGCTACCAGCTATCGTATCAGGAACTTATCAATGACGACATTGAATTAAGTGTTCTGTAATCTAGAGAAAAATTACAGAATCTCTCGAAAGTTTATTTCACATTTTCCAATAACATTTTCCGCCCGAGCGGGGCGACGATATCATATTTTAAATAATGAAGATTATACTACGATACGTCGAGTATGTGTGACATTGCGTCAAAACATAATTTTCGATCTATAAAAACTGCCCACGACTGTCAAAGTGCTCCGAATCATGGGATCCTCGCACGCATGCGCTGAATAATTAGGCTTACGTGTATAGGGCTGTTCCGATATTCGCTGCCAGTATTGAAATGCTATAGTTTACGTGACGTACACTATAGATTTTCAGTATTGGCATTATTCATTTTAAAGATGCAGAAAAATAGAGATGCAATTTAAAATTTTTCTTTTTAATTAAAAAAATATATAAACCAACAAACGTAATTAGACCAACAATCACCAAGAAACGATCAACAAACGATTTAAAAAAAATTAAAATTTTTAAAATGGGCGCTTGTCAGCCTTGTAACGTTACTGCGTTGGAAGGCCCAAGAAATGCTAGGAAGTATTTTTTGTTGGTGATTCTGAATATCGCATAGCCAATCATTCTTCATAAAAGTTTTGACGTCTATAGCCTAATTGCTCCATGTTCGATAATCCTGATCAAATCGAAAAAAAATTATCACGATTTATAATCGTATCGGTTAAAGTGCGGTTATTCAGCACAATTTTTCGATCGCATTCAAGTATATCTTCACTATAAGTGAGTATTGCAATATTTATTAATTTTGCCCAAATTTTCATTAAAATTATGAACCGCTCTTCCAACTTTTTTATTCCATTCAAGATTAGACGTGTCATTACTTGTTTTTTAAACCCAACCTTCAAAATTAATTTCACAACTAAATTTATAAAACTGATAAATTCTATAATCTTTGAAATTGATTTCAGAACAATATTCTTATTCATGAACAGCATAGGCGAGACGTGCAATGAACTAAAGCAACAGTATGATTCCTGTTTCCACACGTGGTTTTCTGAAAAATTCTTGAAAGGTGACACGAGTGACAGCACATGCTCGCATTTATTCAAAATGTATCAGCAGTGTGTCAAGGTAATTAGAACAAGATTGTATCTTGCTTGTATATCTTTAGGAGGTCTGCAAGAGTGTAACGCATGAAACTGAGAGAGGGAGAGAAAGCAAGAGCGCAACATGGAGCATTGCAGTGAGTTGAAACAGAAATACGACGCCTGTTTCAACAGTTGGTTCTCTGAAAAGTTTTTAAAAGGGGATACCAATGATTCAGTATGTGCCCCCTTGCTTAAAGTCTATAAAGATTGCGTGGCGGTAAGTCTTATCTCCCTTCTCGCAGATCAGATTCTTGTGTGAACTGCTAATTGTTAAAAAAAATCTTTAAATTTTGTCAATACGATATAAAAAGACAGCTAATGTCAACAATTGTGTGCTTCCTGTATGTTTTAGAAGGCCATGAAAGAGCAGCACATTGAGTTCAAAGAGATGGAGACAAATTATTTAGAAACCGAAAAGGAAAAGAAACCACATAGTTGACAAGAAAATGTGTACATGTTATGATTAGAGTCCTACATAGTTTCTTTAAAAGTTGTCAACAATATAAGAGTGCAAATACTTTCAATTGTCATTTCTACTTTTCATTATGAAATAATGATTAATGTTTAAGTAGATCATACATCTTGATATATATTTAATGTTTATAGCATCCACACATAATATATGTATTACTGCCGAATAACCGGGAGAGTTTTGAACCGAATGTTTTATAGATTTTATTTGTAGCATTTAAACATTAAAAAAAAATATATATATCACGAGAAATTATATATTGTAATAATGCATATGTGCTGTGTAATAAATTTAATTATTTGTTTAATTTGTGTAAATATTTTATTAAATTCTTCTTTCTCTCTAGTTTTTAGGTTGCAAAGAAAAAAATTGTGTAAAGAAATTATTTTATAAACGTACAAATAAGTTATTTTATATATTTAATTAATGAATGACATAGAAATAATTTATACAAAATTCTTACACAAGAGAGAAAAGAATATTTCCTGTTTTTATACATTTTTTCATTAATGAAAAAAAAACTTGTTTAAATTGTGTAAAGAAATGGTTTTAATTAAAAGTAAAAATAAATTAGTTTTGTATATTTAATAATGAATGAATGACAGAATAGTTTTTACAAATTGTTGTCATTAGTAAAAAATGAAAAAAACACTTGTTCGAACGAATAGAAATAAAAAAAATTGATAACATAAATTGTTTCAATATTCAAATCTAATTAATGTTTTGTTAAAATTAAATGAATACCACCTATAAATGTATGTACTATTAATCCAGTTAAATCTTCATTTTCTTATAAGAGTAAAAAAGTCATTTACTCTTGCTCGAAGATTCTCTAACAGTGTAAATGGATAAATGAACAAGTGATAAATAGTATTTATATCAATAATAATATACAATATAATAGTACTGAATAATATTTATTAATCGCTATTCTTAGATTCCGAATCGGATGAGGGTGGAGTGCTCTCAATAGGTTCCTCCGCGTCGCTCTCTTCATTGTCCGATGGTTCTCGTTTCTCCTTCTTCACTTCCTTCTTTACAATATCTTCCGCAGGTCGCTTCACACTCTTCTTCTTCTTCTCCTTTTCATCTCCACTCTCATCATCGGAATGCTTCTTTTCGGACTTCTTACTCTCGTCGCTACTACTATCATCGTCGCTGATGTATTCTTTGCTTTTGAAAGACGACCCGGTCATTTTGCTAGGCGAATCCTTCTTCGTCTCTTTCTTCTTCTTCTCCGGTTTCTCTTTCGTCTCTTTCGTCTCTTTCGTCTCTTTAGATTTACCGCCTCCGCTAGCTTCGTATTCCTTCATCGATGCCAGATACTCTTTTTTGGCCTTGGCCGCCTTCGCTTCCCATTCCGATTTATCCTTGAGTTCTCGCCACATTTCGCCACCCTTTTTCGCGATTTCCGTCAGTTTGAATCCCGGATTATCTGCCTTGATGCTCTCGCGCGTGCTGTTAAGCCACAGCATGAACGCAGTCGAAGGTTTCTTCGGTTTATTCGCGTCCCTCTCCTTCTTCCGCTTCCTCTGTTTGCGCGGTTTTTCCGACACCGTCTTCGCTGACTTGGATTTCTTCTCCTTCTTCTCTTTCTTCTCCTTCTTACGACTAGCCCCGGACGCGTCCGAGTCCTCGTCGCTGTCGGAACTATTGGGATTGCTGTCGTATTCCTCGGCGACGTCGCTCACGTCCTGATTCGGATTGAAGTCCTCGTCGGTCGAGCCTTCCTCGGAGTCTTGGTTTTGATCGCCGTCCTCGCGTTCCTGGGCCTCGGCCTTGACTCGCGCCAGATAAGCGTCCGGTTCATCCTCCTGATCGCTGTCGCCGAAGTCTTCGTCGTACTTGGGTTTGTCGCTCTTGCCGCGATTCTTAACGCGCAGTTTCTTCGACGTGATGAAATCGAACAATTTACCGTACTCTTCCTTCTCGATGCTGCTGAAGGTGTGAACCACCCCGCTCGTAAGCTCGATCTCGAAATCGAAGGATCTGGTCGAACCGCCACCGCGTGCAAAATTCACCGAAGCTATCTCCTCAAAGCGAATGTGTATCGGCGGTTTGTGCACGTAGATGAAACCACGCTCGAGCGGATATAGATACCCTGCCGCGGCTTTGAAGGAGCAGCCAATCGCTGGTGTCTTCGTATGACCCAAGAAATGTCCAGGTCCGGTTATCTTTCGATTAATTATCACCTTCATCACCTACAAATAACGTTAGACTTGAAATAGAGATATAAATGTTGAGGAAAAAATTATTATTTTAATTTCTCTCTCTCTCTCTCTCTCTCTCTCTCTTTCGCTTTACCAACCTTGCCAAGTACTTCGTATGTCGGTCCCGTTAATTCCTTAGTGAGTTTGTCTTCGTACTTCTCCTTTAGCTCCTTTTCGGTGAACGGAAGCTCGATGGAAGTCTCTTCTTCCTGGCTGAATAGAAGAACCAGATAATGATATCGCGTTTGACCCTGTTTTATAGGAGGATCCAGGCTCACGACGAAGAATGTTTGCCGACTATCCTTGTGCGGCAGTAGAAAAAGTCTCAGGACAGTTGACATGGGAATTTTGTAGTCAAAAGTTTTGCCGTGCAGTTGAAAGAAGGACTGGAAGATTTTGATGTCATAACGACCGCGCGGGGTCAGACAGTGAATCTCCCTAAATATAGCAATTGCATCGCCGCTCACACTGATTACAGATGCTTTGTCCATCACCTATGAATGATAAAGGAAAGATTTTTTTTTAAATTTCAAGTATGGAAGTATATTCGTTCATTAAATTTAAATATATTCTCTCTCACCTGCTGATGGAATGCTTCTACAGGATCTTGATCAACGCTATCACTAACAGGAATGTGAAACCTCATCTCCATCAAACTGACCGGAGCATCATCATTCTGATGAAATTCTAAGGTTACTTCATTTTTGCCCGTATTACATTGTGACACATCATACAGAGGGATTTCAAAAGCAGTGTGATGGCCCACATCAAAGCTCAAAATAGATCCCATAAACTTTGCAGTACCCCAATTCCATCCTTTTAAACTTAGTTCTTTCTCCAACATATCTTTCTTGTAATTAACAGAAAAGAACTTGGCAATTTTTTCTTGATCAGCTTCTTTGAAGCCTTTGAAACGATGCAGTGTGCCACTTTTTAAAAAGATACGCAGACCCCAGGTTCCAATAAATTTTTGAAAGTTTACCATCTCCATATCAGAAGCAGAAATCTGTTCTACTTTACCAGTCTTCTGATTTTTAAAGATCAGGTGCTGGTCAGTTAACTTTAATCTGCCTGGTGTCTGTAAATAATAGAAAATAATTCATCAATTACCTAATCATTAAATCAATAAAATAATTTAAATTTGTATATTTTAAAAAACCTAATTTTTAATTACAGAATGTAATAATTAAACAATTTGCACATTCTCAACAACCAACTTCAAAAATCAAAATTGTAATCAACACGTTAAATATTAGCGTAACATAGAATAAAAAGTTTTCGCTTTTTAACAAAAAACAAATTAAGAATTTAATGCTTTATATAATAATAATAATAATAAATCAATTATATACGTGAATTTTACTTTAAAACAATAAAGAGCTCTTACCATAGCGCCCTTAACCTCGGCGTAGATGTCTGGGTATTCCAGAAAATCCATCTTTTCTTTCTTGTTTTTTTCTTCAAAAGAAATTAACCAAAAATTGCTGTTTAATAATATATCTACTCAAGATCATGTATAATACAAATCAATCTCCGATTATGATAACATGTACAGAAACAAGGCAGGTATTGTGCGCCATTTACCATTGAACGAAATCAAGATTGCCATCTTAAAAGCTGATGCTGAAGAATGAGAAAATTCTGAACTAGCAATTGAATGTGATTGGTTCCTCTGTTCGAATCCAACTAATCAGCGTCGAATGTTAGATGAATGTGACCAATCACGTTCGATCGCTACCTAGGGATTTTTTGTGCCGTTGCCTTCTCTGTCGACTTAAATTCACAAAAGTAATCATGTCCTCACGCACGTGTAAAAAATTAATCTTATCTGTATAATCTTTTAACATATATATATATATATATATATATATATATATATATATATAAAATAAATCTAATTCCTAAATAATAAATATATTAGAGGATAAGAAAAATGTACATTATTTATTTGATAAGACTAAATGAAGTTCATAGCTTGTACACATATTTATAAAATCAATTTGCAAAAGATTTAATTGTTTATCTTCTAAGTTTCTGTAGCTCTTGCGTATTTTATAATACTGAAAATATTTAACAATTTTTCTATCATTTACTAATAGATTTTATACTACGGCGTTAATAGTAATATAGGATACGAATATAGGAAGAAAATACAGTTTTTCAAAATAGAAAACAATGCTTTATTACAATTTTTGTATTGCACCAAAATGTTCTACTTTTGCAAGTGATCAATTTGCAAAGTAACTCTTATATTAACTAATCTGATATAATAACATTTATAATCCATAGTATATGTTTCAGTCTTTTTTTAATACTTAATTAGTTACTTATTAATAAATAATAAACTAAGCTACATATTAACGAGTGCATATAACCAATCATTATTTGTGTTTTCCGTTCTAGGATTTTCTGTACTCATGATACCTTCTAATATTTTGTCTATATTTGAACTAACATCCGAATTATTCAATGAAGAATTATTTGTTTTATTTTGATTATTTGTATCATTTGCATCAAGCAACAGCGGTATATCAATTTCCGATAGCGTTTGTGAATTAAAATTTGTTTTTTCTGCTCCATTCATAGTATCATCCAATCTTTTACACTGTGTATCTAAATCAACCGTTTTACATAATGTATTATCGAAAAATGTATTTTCAGCAATATCCTTCGAAGTCACATCTATTGGTAGCTTATTATGTTTGTACATTTTCTCTTTATCACAGCACTCGTTATTCTTTGATAAAAATGTAATATCAAGATTAGTCTTTTGGATCTTAGTGACCTTAGGCATTGTTTTGCAAGCACATGCACTTGCATTATCTTCTTTTGTACTATTCCTTTCTTCAATAAAATTATTTTTTAGTTCACTTAGCCTTAATATTGGCAAAGAACCTGTACATTCTTTACTGGAATTAACTTTACTTTTAAGTAATGTATCAAGTTTATTTTCTAACGAAGGATTGCCTGAATATTCAGCACTAACACTATCAGTTGATTCCTTAGACAGCTCTTCACCAGGAGTTACAGGTGGAGTATAAAGTAACAATTCCATAGATATGTTTTCTTCAGAGATACCAATTGGAGGAGGTGCCTCTTCATCCCAATCGCAGCCAAAAGCATCTCTTGCAAAGTACGTCAATTCTTCAAAACCAATTGGCCAAGGACACTGAAATACAGAATAAATTATGAACATAAGTGTGAAGAGAATACATCGGAATAGAGGAAAATTGATGTTTACAGTTTCAGCCTCGCAAGACCACACTGCTTCCTTGAAGTTGACCTGAAACGCTTTGATCTTTCTTTTTAGGCCGTTCCTTATACATAGCGGACAAAACTTCATCATTCTGCAATAGAATCATCAAATTATTAATTATTTTATTGATGATGCATGTAAACATATAGGTTATAATAACAAGATAAACTTTGACAGTATAAAACAAATATAAATATCTATTCTTATATTAATTAAACGCGATTAATGTTTCGAGCGTTTCGCGAATTCAATTAAGTACCATATTATTGTTCTGTGTAACTTACTTGCAAATTAAAACGTGCTTTCATTAATAGGCTAACCTACAAAATTGCCGGTAACTTGTATCGCAAGTGGTCACTTAAACGAAAATCAAAATTGGAAAAGACTTGGAGTGATCAATAGTGCATTTCACTGCATTCACAAACGTTATTCGTCTTAATATGACAAAGATGAAAAATATTTCCACGTGTTTGACGAACAATAGCGAATTATGTATTTTCTCGAGTGGAATCCTCTAACCCGCCATTTTTTTTCCGCACGTCAGCGCCACACGTTGACGATCATTGGAACTACGTTCTGAACTGAAACCTCTTTGCAATATCTAAGCTCCTGATACATACCTCTTCGCAAAATATGTTCTCCGCGTCATCGGATGACCGAGTAATAGCAGAACACGTCGCAAAGAAGTGCGCGTTGGGAGAACATATTATGCGAAGAGGTTTCAAGAAACACGATAATTGAGCTTTTAGCGAGTATGATTTTCCGTCCAATTTTTTTCTTTTTTACGCAAGATTGCGATAATCGGTATCGGAAAATTATTTAATACGATAAAATGATTAATGAGTTGTTAATAATATTAGTTTCTACAATTAATATATATGAAAAATGTAGATTCTGTTGTCATTTAATATCAAAATTTAATATTTTATCCGATATGTTTTTCATAATGATCTAAATTTATTATTAAATATATTGAAAAATTGAACACAACGATAAATTTATTACAAAAGGACACGGAATATTTAGTACACATATTACAGCATATGATTGTAGCTAACATATGACTTGAGATCTAGATGTAAAATCATGTTTATTGTTTTGAATCGCATGTGTTTATCAAGCTATGTTTGGTTAAAATAAAATATTTAAAATAAAATATTTTATATTTTTTTATGAAATTTTAATTTTTGTGAAATATCGTACAATATGAAATAAATCATTAATACAAAAAATATATGTAAGAGATTAGAAAGAATTGGTTATGAATATAGATATAAGAAAATGAGAATCGAATAGCTTTTTAATTATTATATTAATGTGAAAAAACAGAGTATTTTCTTCTGATTAAAAATATAATGGATATTTATTAATTTTCTCATCTTGTAAATCGAGGACATATATTATAAAGTATTCTTGTCAAGGAATTGCAGTTAAAAAATATAGAAGTCTTTTAGAAACCAAGAAAAAAGGCGTATTTAATCGGGAGAGATTTTAAGTTTGTATTTGCACATTTTTATTTCGACGCACTCGCGCACTTTACATCATAACAAACTCGTATATGTATGTCTTAAGATTTCTGTCACTTGTATAATGAAAGTGACTTTCCTTACTTTCTCGCTTCTAGCAGCTTGTGTTTCGTACAAGAGATCAGTTTTCTACACTCCGTCGCACGTTTCGGAGTCCATCGTGTGTCTCTCGAACTAATTAATTGCCAGAAAGATAGTAATTACAATTTACTAATTGTTCAAAGAAAAGAAGAAATAAATAAAAAAATAAAACGTTTTAAAAAAAATGGGAATTTTTGCGCGGTCGATTCTGGAAATATCGGATTCCCCGAAAGAGGTGAGACTCAATAAAAAAGTAAAATTATTTTTTACATTTATTTATTAAAATTATTTTATTAAATTATTAAATTTTTTATCATATAGAATTTAATTTATTATATTATATTATTATATATTATATAAAATTATATAATTATATAAAATAATAATATTGTATATAATAAACTTTATAATAAAATTAATAAATATTAATGAAAAAGAAAAGTATAAAATATGTCTCGACGATATATTAATCTTTGAGTAAAAGAAAAATAAAAATTAATACAAATAAAAAATATATTCGCAGGCGCAGGCAACAGCAACTAACGTATCATCACAGGTGCATCATGTGTCTAGAGCTAAACGAGGACAAGCAATCGGTTCTGTTCGAGGATTTCGTGGCTGTACTATTTGGATGACGGGTCTTTCCGGTGCCGGAAAGACTTCCGTTTCTTTCCAGCTTGAAGAATATCTCGTTTCTCAAGTACGTTATTTTACATATACGCTTTACCATAAAACAACTGATAAATTATTAAAAAATTCCAAAGTAGATTGATCCTAGATTCTATATCCCTTGCATATATTAAATTCAATAATTATTTCTCTGGAACCAAAGGGAATTCCCGCGTACAGCTTGGACGGGGACAACATGCGCACCGGTTTGAATCGTAATCTCAGCTTCAGCAAAGATGATCGCGAAGAGAACGTGCGTCGCGTAGCCGAGGTCGCGAGGCTCTTCGCGGACGCCGGTATCATCACCCTCTGCAGCTTCGTGTCACCGTTCGCGGCTGATCGGAAAATGGCACGAGAGATTCACAGGAACGCCGATCTGCCCTTCTTCGAGGTGTTCGTCCAGGCGTCCCTCCAAGTGTGCGAGTCCCGCGACGTCAAGGGACTTTACAAAAAGGCTCGCCAGGGCATCATCAAGGGTTTCACCGGTATCGATCAGAATTACGAGGTACCAGTCACGCCTGATCTCGTCGTCAACACGCAGAACGCCACCGTTCGACAGTCCACCGATCTCGTCATCGACTTCCTTCAGCGCAAACACATTGTACCAAAGTCGGGCGATCCCTTTAAACAACCTCCACGGGAACTGTTCGTGAAGGAGGATAGATTAGAAGACGTCCGGGAGGAGATGCGAGCTCTTCCAGCTTTGGAGATCCAAGAGATAGATGTGCAATGGGTGCAAGTTCTCGCCGAAGGATGGGCGGCACCTTTAAAAGGATTTATGAGGGAGAACGAGTACCTTCAAGTAGGTTTAAGCCTATTCTATTCGAAATAAATAGCTCTCTGTCTTTGAAAAAATTATAGCATTATGAAAAATGCATACCTTTTTCCTTCTAGACGCAGCATTTCAACTGCTTGTACGAAAACGGGGTTCAAATCAATCAGTCGATTCCTATTGTTCTTGCTGTAAGCACCGCCGACAAGGAACGCTACTTCGACGCGAGTGCGCTCGTTCTCAGATACCTAGGTAAGGATGTTGCGATCTTACGTAATCCGGAATTTTATCACCACCGCAAGGAGGAACGTTGCTGTCGGCAATTCGGCACAAATGATCCCAGGCATCCGTACGTCAGAATAATTCGAGAATCTGGCGACTGGTTGGTCGGCGGCGACTTGGAAGTGCTCGAGAGAATCCGGTGGAACGACGGTCTGGATCATTACAGATTAACGCCTAATGAGATCAGGATCAAATGCCAGGAGATTGGTGCCGACGCGGTTTTTGCCTTTCAACTGCGAAATCCGATACACAATGGACATGTGTTGCTGATGCAGGTTGGTTTGGTAGATGCAATGTGTCTTCTGTGCGAATGGAAATGTTCCTCTCTTGTCACTTTTGCATAGATATAATTTTGTCACATCTTATCAGGACACTAGAAGACATCTCGTCGAAGAACGAGGCTTCAAGAAACCAGTTCTTCTTCTGCATCCTTTAGGTGGGTGGACTAAGGACGACGATGTTCCTTTGCCGATCAGAATACAACAGCATCAGGCTGTTCTCGAGGAAGGTATCTTGCACAAGGACACTATTCTCGCTATTTTCCCGAGTCCTATGTGTTACGCCGGTCCTACAGAGGTCAGTATGTACTTCTTTGATTAAACAATACTCTGCCATGTCGAATACCCTTAAAATATACAAGATTTGTTAATATGCATTTAAAAAATGCTAAATTGTGTATGTCTATTTTGGATCTTTTCAGGTGCAATGGCATGCCAAAGCTCGCATGATCGCAGGAGCAAATTTCTACATCGTCGGCAGGGATCCTGCCGGCATTCCGCATCCTGATAAGTCCACCACCTTGGATGGCAATCTTTACGACGCAACTCATGGTGCGCGTGTCCTTTCAATGGCACCGGGCTTGCAGAATCTTGAAATTATCCCTTTCAGGGTAGCCGCTTACGACACCAAAATGAAGAAAATGTCTTTCTTCGACGCTGAACGGCAGGAAGACTTTACTTTTATTTCCGGCACCAAAATGCGCGGTATATAGATAATATATATATATATATCTCTTTCTCTCGTTTAATTATCTGTAATAGGTCAAATAATATTTTTATATTATTTTCATTCGCATGTTCTTTTATATATATGAATTCCGCAAGGTTTTTACAAAAAATATTTATTGTTTCTTTTTTACGTTAGCTTTGGCCAAAAATGGTGAGGATCCTCCGGAAGGCTTCATGGCGCCGAAAGCATGGAAAATTGTCGCGAAATATTACCAAACTGCGTACACATGCAGGCGAGAATCGAATTAAAATGAATAATTGACATTTTTATATATATATGTACAAATAATACTTATAATATAACTGATACTTTTGAACATTGAAAATTTTATTATTTGAAGTAATAAAATATAATAGAACAAAATATTGATTAAGTATCAGGTATATTGATAAATTATATTATATACTGGAATTGCAAATTACGATAATATATATGAAACAAGTCTTGTATTTTTTTTGCTAGTCTATTATCTCTGGGGATATATTTATTTATTGCATCGAATGACACGGAAGGACATTTCTTTTGTAGCTTAAATATATTCGACAATCAATCGCGAAAGTTGTCGATAGAGAAAGTAGTTCTGCCATTTAATCGGATATATCTGCAACACAATATTCTATCATTCTTAACTTGATCTTTGTACATCTTCATATATAAAAACTAATAGTTTTTCGTTTAAGAGTAAATTGAAAAATGTTATATTCGTGCTCACCTTCCTCTTCGGAATCGGATATTCGGGTAGCCTGGAGCGAACTTTGCTTCGTTAATGTCCGAGCTAGGCCACGTGGTCTCGGCGGCGGCGATTGTTTGTTCCAAAGTGCTTCCAATTGATCAAAATGTTGAGATTGCGCTAAAGCGGCCTGTTCGGGACCTAGACCGGATTGGGAACCGGCTAAGCCTGCCTTGCTGATCTCTTCCATGGATGCGCTCACGCTAAAGCGACGTCTCTCAATGTTGACTATATCTAAAAAATCAATGCAAAAAGTGTGACAAACCAGAGTCGTACACGGCGTTTAAATATTTTATTAAAAATTATATAAAAATGATTGATAACCTGACGTGAGATGGCCATATTTTCGTTGCCAGGTGTAAGTATCTAAGGACACCTCTTTCTTTAACAATCTCCTAGCAGGTCGCTTTGGTCCAGGGGGTCTCAGATCTCGCGGCGCTACATATGGCGGCAGTTTGACATATTGTGCGGGAGTGTTGTGCAGACATAGAATAGGCATGCACTTGTGCTCCAATAAATGCACCGCCATCCTGGAACAATCGGTGGACATCTCGACCCCTAAGACCGGTACATGCAGCATGATGGAACTGAGCGGAGTGCCCTTCTTGGTATCCCAGACGAAGAGGCTCTTGTCTTCGCTGCCGGAAGCAGCTAGAGTGCCGTCGCCGGAGAGGCGCACGCAGATCACGTAACCCAGATGGCCCTTTAGAGTATGTAAGTCGGCTCCGGTATTGATGTCCCAGACGATCAGATTGGCATCTCTAGAACCGGACACCACTACGGACTTGTCGAGCACGGCGACTGCCACGCAGGTCACGTGGTCGGTATGGCCGACCAATACTTGAGAAAGTTTCCCGCCGCTCAATTGCCACACCTTTAGGCTCATGTCGCGGGAGCCGGTGATCAGGTACTGAGAATCAGGCGTTGCCACCAAACATGTGATATCTTGCGAATGCGTCACCTGATATTTCTCTTCAGGACCGGCACCCAGACTGATTATGCGCACCTGATTATCCCCGGATCCACACACCGCATATCTGAAGTAACGAATTAATTGAATTTAACAAATCTAGATAGAAAAGCAAAATAAATAATATATTTTAGTCTAGAGTGACTCATACGACTTTATATAAATCTGCGTTAGTCTTACCTCATATCAGACGCGACAGCAAAACATCGTCCAGGACCGCAAACAGATTGGATCAGTGTACCACTATCTGCAGCCCAGACCCTGATAGCGCCAGCTCGATCCGAACTGACCACTCTCCTTCCATCTAGCATAGCGGTAACAGCAGTCACGGGCGCCTGGTGCCTGAACGTAGCTACGACAAGCCCCAATGTCAAACCCCACACGCGCACTGTCTTGTCCTCGGATCCTGAAGAATGGCATATTTTATTTGATACAGTTATATACATTAACAGCAAAATTTTAGCCATAAAAGAGATATTATCGTTTTATAAAAATACATACCAGATGCAACAAAGAGTCCTGATGCGGAAAATGCGATGCAAGTGACGCTGGCAATATGCCCTTCCAGTGTGGACAACAATTCATGAGTGTTTAGCTGCCATAAATTAACCAGAGAATCGACACCGCCGGTCACCGCCATTGCGCCATCCCTGGAGATATCCAAGCAGGATATCGGCGCGGTATGAGGTTGTAGAGAATCTTGCTTTCCGGGTTTCTGCGGTTTCGGCGGTGGTTCTTCACCGCGGAAGCTCCAATAAGTTACGCGTCCTCCTCCGCCAGTTATCAGAAAATCATCCTTCTCAGTTACCTGTAAAAATAGAAGTGTTATAGAGGTTAAACAAAATAGAACATATATCAAAATTAGCATAAATAAAAAAAAAACGTAATGTATCGTGATATATTTCGCGTTTAATCACCTTAACCGAGGTAACGCTTGCTGATGGATTAGCAGGTAAGGTTCTGATCAACTTTCCACTATGCATGTCGAACACGGACACTCTGCCCTCGGTGCCGCCAGCGATAGCTCTTCTACAATCCTTCGCCAAGCAGAGACTTTTAACTGGTCCTTGATGTCCTCTGAGCGTATGAATCTCTGTGCCCGTTGCCAAAGATCTCAGATAGAGTTTCTGATCTTCGCAAGCGGCTAGAAGGAAAACTGAATCTGCGGATACGTCTAACATGGCCACCGGGGAAGGAAGAATAATGCTATTGAGAAGACTGAAGCTTTCCAAAGACCAAAGGCACACAGTTCCGTCGACTGATCCTGAGACCAAGACTTCCCCCGCCGAATCAACCCGAATAGTGGTGACAGGACCACGATGATGATCAACTTTCATTAGGACCTCGCCAGTGAGGAGACTGGTGGCGATAATTCTGGAATCTTCACCACCACTCACAATAACTGAGTTGTTGAGAGCTGTGGTTAAAGTGAGAACTGGCGCGATGTGCTCGCAAATTCGGCGTTTCATGATAAGATCCTTCATATCCCAGACGATAATGGAAGTGTCCTCGGAGCCAGTTAGCAGATATTGCGATTGATGGGTAACGGCTAAACATGAGATTGGGCTGGAATGTCCTGGAAAAAAAAGAGAATTATATTAATTAATATTCTTTTACGAAAGATTCTGATGGAGAGACATCCTTAAAACTCGCAAGAAAATAGAGAACAATATTGCAAATAATCCGTCCATTTATATATCAAACGTTTCTTTACCTTTGAATGTATGAACGAGTTGATTCGACATAACGTGCCATAATTGAGCATCTCCTTGCGGTGGCACAACGACGACGTGTTGGCCGGATGGTGCCGCTTCGATCAACTTGGCCCCTTGAGGACACGTAATCGCTCGAATCTGCAGTGGCAGAGGTGGTTGCAGCCATCCGTTCAAGGGCACGAGCAAGGGAGCGGTATAACCATCACACCAAGCCATGGCCGCCATAACCATTCTACTAACCTTGAGCGGTAGAATAAGTTCTTTCCCATTTTTTGAATTGAGCATTCTTTATTATTGAAAGATAGGCGATAAAAAAAGACTTACGAGATCACCGCCGTCTTCGGCGACCGGTCTCAACCAGCAGATGAGCTGAGCGGCCAGCTGAAGCGGATCCCTGGTAAGAATATCGCTGGACTTCCTTATGGCGTAATACACAAGTTCTAAATCACGTTCGAGGAGATACCGCCTGGCGTGTTCGAGGACGCATCGAAGATAGCTTACGGAAACCATTTGGACAGCCGCGAGAAGAAAATCGAACGCGCATACGGCGAGCTTCTTCAGCTTGTCGACATCGGAAGCGCGTAGAAGATGCAGCCACGCTTCTTCAACGTGTCGAAGCGTATACGTGACATCCTGGATTTGCGGTGCGCTTTGAAATGGGGTTTCCTTGGCGACCGGCGAGGAGACTGCTGGATTCTTCGGCGATTTATCGGAGTTATTTTCGGCTTCTTCGGAGAAGAAGAGACTGGCCAGCTCCGCGTGGTAACCGCGAGAGACATCTTGATTCGAAAGATATCTTCTGAGGGCGACTTCGCGAAATTGACCGCGCCAGGAGAACATCAATCGGCCGTTCATCACTCGTACCTAGAATAACAATATATGACAATGTACTCTACTCGTTGCAGACTCGATCGCTTACTTTGAGCCACGGAGCGAATGTTCTTCTGACCAGGCACCAAGTCGCAAAGTTGAATTGGCCCTCCTGCAGGAGCAAGGGTCCCTCTCCTCCAGTAGGCATGATCAATTCGAGTATCTCCGTCTCCGACAAACCGTACTCGGTGCAAGCGAGGATCGAGGCGATCCGATTAGCCGCGTCGAGTCCGACGAGCTCCTCCAGATGGTCCAGAGCCGCGTCGACGCGTGGCGTCGCGCATACGCGTCCAGATAGATCGACGAGAAGATCAGCGCTGCGTAGACGATCCTTCTGAAGCGGTGTGAGACGCATCCCCTCGGGCGGAAGGGCGGAAGTGGCGACGAAGTGGACGCCCGCGGGAAGAGCGAGTGGTAACCAGGACAGAGCGGCGACGATGTCGCACTCGAGCGGATGGAAGCGATGAAGGTCATCGAGGAGGATGATCAGTTGGTCCGGGAGCGGATGCTCCTCTATACGGCGCATGATGAGCCCGAACCAATTGTTGAGGTAGAGTGGATCGAAGGAGGCGTCACGCGGTAGATTACCATCGTTGTCGCCGGATAGAAAACCAACGTGTTGGCAAAGGATGCGGAGGAGTTCCAAGCTGTAGGCTGACCTGGGTGTTGCGGTGCACAGTCGGACGATGCGAAGCGTCGGTGCCGAGAGCCAGTTAGGCGAGTCCTGGTAGACACGCGCCAGAATCGAGGACTTGCCGGAAGATTTCGGTCCGTAGATCAGGATAGGCCCGTGCTTCTGCTCCTTGCCTAGAGGTAGAACGACAATAATTATTATGACATCATTTTGACGTCAAAATGACTACTTTGCTGTAAGATATAAATTTATACAGGCTGTCCGACATAAGGTGTCACACTGAAAATATACTTGTTATTTGGAAACAATTTTTCCTTTGCAAAAATATTGATCAATAATTTTTTCGAGTTATAAGCAATTGAAAATAAAGGGTTTTTTGCAAATTAAGCCTTGTGGAAATAAAACATTCTTCAATAAATTTCAAGTAGAGTTTACTTTAATAAAATTCTAATTTAAGGTTTAGTTATAAAGATACATAATGGCAAAAATTGGGAACGTGCAAAAAATGATGGCCTCCCTCGACATTATTTTTGCTGAGGAAAAATTGTCTTCAAATAACAAAATCTACTTGTATATTTTCGGTGTGACACCCTGTATACAATAATAATGTAATCTTGCAAAAGCACCCTGTACCTGCAAGGATAAGCTTCTTCACTCTCTCCACAGCTTCGTCGCTCTCGTCGGCCAAGGGTAACTCTCGAAGAAGAGCGAAATGAGCCATACTCTCGGCGTAGACCTCCTGGACCATCTTTTTGCGACTTTTGATTTCTGGATCAGCCTCGACGGACGCGTTCACCAACTGCTGCAGCCTGTCCAAGATCAGTTCCCGAAGCTTTCCAAGGTATTCGTCGTGGTTGTCGTAATCGGCATCGATACCGCCATTACGGTACTCTACGTGTAAATTCAGGACGTTGTCAGGAGGCAGGATGGTCTGAACGCGATCTTTGAGCTTCTCGGCAGCTGGCGAACATTTCGGTGCATCATTATCCGTCCATCCGCGAATGACAGCCATTATTCCCAGACCCTGCTGGTCCAGACCTGATAGAAATGTTCCAACAATTATACCATCGATGAATTATTAATATTCCTATATATGTATGCGTCTTTTGTGACGTACATATCTATAGCAATATGCGATCTTTGAAATTTTAACGATCGTATCGTATTCAGGTACACGTGAAACATTTTAAAATAAAAGATTTTCATACGGCCAATTTTTTTTAAATCGCTAACTATCAATTAATCGCAATACGAGATTGAAATATTCAGATAATAAATCTCCCTTTTAGCCAACGAAATGGCTAAAAATAGCTCGTTTCGAGCAGCAATTAAATTTCCTGACTGAAAAACGAATTAACGCGACGTTTAAACGAAGCACAAAGTGGCTCAATTTTCAGCTTTCGCGTATAAAAGCCTCTCTTGTTATTATGACGTACAATGCGGAATAGTCGCGCGCGTTTGACGAAGAGAAAGAGAGAGAGAGAGAGTAATTTAAGCGGCGGACTTTATGCTTGACCCAAAAGATCAACATCTCCTATTTTTAGAGAAGAAAGCCTCGAACGTACAGAATTCTAGGAGATCCATTATAGCAGATCGAAGCAATCCTGAAAATATGTCATGCCGTACACCGGTGTCGCGTGTCACGGTATGAAAGTCTATCAAATATTGACAGCGCTGCAGTGATGATATCCCGATTCGTGTGTGTTGCCGTTATTTATTTATCGATCTTGCCAGGATGTGACGTAAATGTGACACACATATCGGGACGTACCAATCGCTCTTATCGTGGATTCTCCGACGAGGGTGTCTATTCTTACATTTCCAAGATTGTTGATAGAATGAAACCGTCCCAAACCTGTCCTAACAGCACCCATATCCCGAAGACGTTCAGAGAATATCCTGAGGATGTTCGGATGTCCTCTGGATATCCTTTGAATGTCTTTCGGATATATTGTGCTACTAGGATGGAGTCTACTCACTTAGGCCATATTCCAGCTGCCGTTCCATCGTGCTCTTCAAGATGTACCTCAACTCTTGATTGTCCGGTTGTTCCAGGATCGCGGATTCCGCGGCGGTCCTTAGGGCTTGTCTTAAGCTCGGCTCTTGATCCTTTTGCCATTCTCGTTGTGCGGTTCGCACGCTGTTCACACGCAACTTGTAATGGCTGAAAAGCAGGTGGGAGGACAAAAGGGGGAGGACAGGACGACATCTAAAACATCAAGCTTTACCTATTAGCATTCAAAACATAAGAGTGCCCGTTCTGCTCGTAATGATCTTTTAGAAGGGCGGAGTGCGCGAGAAGCGTATGGAAGGTAGTCTCTTTCAATTCCGCCGGTGTCCAACCCGCGGTGTAATTTGTTCCCGTCAACAGCTGAAAGGATAACAAATGGACTTGGGTTACTCCTCTGCATGTCGAGCATGTATAACAGTATATGTAAGACGTGGATGTAAAAAAAGAAAAAATTGCAAGGAGAAAATAGGATGATGGAAGAAATGGAATTCCCAGATAGCACCATGTTCAAAATTGGTGCATAAGACATCTTTAAGATGTTTTTAAGATGTCTTTGGGATATTAAATCATAATATTTCTTAATGATGTCTTATGCATCAATTTTTGACATGGTGCTCTCTGGGTTGGGATAGAGTTAGGGGCTGATGTTGGAAACGGAAGGATCTGTGCGTACAATTTTTAATTCTAAGGATAACAAATGGACCTGAGTTACTTCTCTGCATGTCGAGCATGTATGTATATACCATATATGTAAGATGTAGGCGTAAAAAAGAAAAAATTGCAAAGAGAGCTAGAGTTCCCAGATAGAACCATGTTCAAAATAGGCGCATAAGACATCATTAAGAAATCTTTAAGCTATCTTTAAGAAATCTTATGATATGATACCCTAAAGACATCTTATAAAAACATCTTAAAGATGTCTTGTGCGCTAATTTCGGACATAGTACTGTTTGGGTTGGAACAGAGATAGAGGCTGATGCTGGAAATGGAAGGATCTGCGCATACAATTTCTAATTCTACGCGGTAATGAAAAATAAATGTGTCCGACCCGTGTCCCGGCGATCGATAACGACCTGGCCAAATGTCTCTCACCAGGAGGAAGCATCCCCGGGAATGTCGGTGGGACGCGTTTATCTCCTCCAGGAAGTATTCCGCCAGGTGAGGATCGGCATCCGGGTTGTCGTCGGTCCCGAATTGCATGTCCACCAGAAGCACCTGCGCAGATCAAAGGTACACACTTTCGAAATAAGACAGGCGGTCAACGGACACACACATGGATCGTTAAAATAAATGAATTCGCTTACTGACCTCGATACCCATATCATCGTAAATTGATTGCAGTTCCGGGCCGACCACCTCCAGCAACTGTTTGCGCTCTTCCGTAAAGTCTACAGTCACCGAACGAATTTAATTCCACGTTATTAGAGGGAGGCTCTTCTCTACCCGGGTACGTAACTTTTTTTGCGATTTCGTGTCGCGATTTTATGCGATGACATCCCAGGTAGCAGATTGACGTCATTAAACGTCAAAATGACGTCATTAAACGTCAAAATAACGTCATTAAACGTCAAAATGACGTCATTAAACGTCAAAATGACGTCAGTCTGCTACGTGGGATGTTGATTGCAATAAAAGATGAGACCCAAGTATTAAATTCGATATACAGTACTTAAAAATCCGAGTCTAAATAATATCAAGTTGCAGCTTCTGGATTCTAATAATAAACCTCTCAAGAAATATTATTTCATATATCATACACTTGCGAAGTGATCGAATCTAGAACGATTTTATAATCGAATTTTAGATTGAGTAGTTCGAAATAGTACTTGTAAGTAATAGTACTTCCTATCGTGAAGAAGTGAATCTTTTCAAGTAGTACTCAAACTTTTAAATAAAGAAATTTATGATATTTGTGTTATATCCATTTTCTCATAAAAGATCATAAAAAGTACTTTAAAGTATACTGATTTATACATACGTTCAAATCTTTTACAAGAATATAATAATAATATAATAAAAGAAAATTATAAAAGTACTGATTTTTTTCCGAAATAATCATAGAGTACATTTAAATCTAGGTCAAGTACGTTCAAATCTTTTATGAAAAATTTGTGAATATATAGCAAGTATTATATATTTTTTAATTTAAGTTCGAGTACTTTCAAGTACTAATTCCTTTCCAAATAATCATGGTTCGAAACCATGCAAACAAATTTGAAAAACCTACTTAATCCCATCGTTAATTACAATATTATCATATGCAAGCCACAGATAGAATCTTATTCAATATATGTTGAAGAATGCTAGTATTTATCTAATATTGAATTCGTGCTTTTTTTTTTAAATACGTCAGCGAAATTCCTTGAAATTGGGAAATTTTTGGACTCACCATCTCTTTCACTGGCGATGAATATCTTGACGAGTCTGGGTGCTGGAAGATGCGCAGGAGGAGATCCACCTTTGATAACCCCCGCGATCAACTCCACCTCGAGATTCATGATTTGTGTGTGAAAGTTTCGCGATTCGATATATATATATTATTTTAGACCATTTAGACCATTATTTATTCCATTTCCCGTAGAATTTGATATATATCCTTATATCTTCTTTATTCGTGCTACTAACTAACTTGTGTCGCTAAATCTCTGCCGATCGTTTTTTTATGATCTTTCGGGACTTTGATTTCTCTTAAAGATGTGTGTATTTTCTGTATGCATGTATTATGTGTGCTCTGTGTGTCTTTTCTTTTAAATATACTTTTATATTCTTAATATTCTTAAATATCCACATAAATTCGTATATCTCTTCGTACGGACGTTTGAATTTTAATTAAGCTTCTCCGATCCTTTTATCGTCTCGGACATTTGGACGTGGGGTGTTTTATAGCTCGAGAGAGTACTTAGATCTATGTACGTATTCTTGGAATTCTTATCACACAACGTTAGATTCTTAAATTCTTCACAACATTGAATCTTTCAGTGCGAAGAGAGAGCGTTTATATATAATATATCTCGAGCATAAATCTTTTAGATTTCTGCGTTATCTCTCTGATTTTTTCCCCTAACAGCTGATTAGTTACCGTATGTGTGCAAGGTACTCGTGTATATCGATATACTTGTGTGATCGATCCGGCGATCAAGAATTAAACAACATACAATAGTCGATGCTCAACAAATAATAGAGATTATGACTTTCCGGTCTATTATAGTTCGTTTATAATATATTTGTATGTTTTTTCTTTTACATATATATATATTTTATATATAATTTATATATTAATTCGGTAATTAGAGCTAATCAGCTACGATTGTCTTCGCTTGCGAATGCAATGAGTGTTACATTAATCCGTTAATTGTGTACGATTAGGCGACACCCTCGATTGCCCTCGCGATAACCATCATCCCATCGATCGATTGAGTAATAATATAAGATCGATGACTTGCGAAAGCGATCTGATCGCCTTCCGTAGTGTTAGTTTGTACTTATCCCAAGCGTGCTCATTGGTCATTGCCCAAAAGTTAGTAGTCGAACAGGGGCCAAAGATGTGTGACTGGGCTTTTATTAAGGAGGAATATCGAGGCCCTGTGACGGTCGCATCCTCTTTTCCCTTTTATGTTCCCATTTTCAGGGGTGAAGACCTTCTGCAACACGAAAGCAGGGTGAAAGAGAGAGAGAGAGAGAGAGTGTGTGTGTGACGTGAAAATTTCCCTTTGTACGAAGAGATGATGTTCCCTCTCGACCTCATCTCGCCTCATCCCCCCCTAAAAGTCGAATCGATCGAGCTTTCTTTCGACGAATTCGCGGACCTGCGTGTCGCACCTTCACGCACAAAGGATGCGAATGTATTTTAAGAGGGTGTTCGTGTATCGATCCTTTTCGACCGACAACAACGGCATGGCACGAAATACCCGGAACGGAAGAGAGAGAAAGCGATACAGAAACGTGACAGTATTCGACAGCGCACACATATATATATGCATATACACGTCAATAATTTGAAATTTACATTTTCGACATCACCTGTCAAATGCACGCGTTAAACGTATACATATATATATATATATATATAATAAATAAATATATATATATATATATATATATATATATATATATATATATATATATATAAAAGTGTGTGTGTGTTCGGAGTTCTGGGGGTGAACTTTTGACCCGCTCACATAGCACGTGGCTCAAACGTCATGACCTGTCAGATTGTGCCTCTCCGCGAGAAATGGAAATTTCAAGCTGGCGGCTTAATTTCTCATCGCGAATTAAAGAGTTCAGCTGCGACGTAATTTTTTGGGGTTGACGAAATTGGCAATAAGTTCCTTCGAAGATAATCATTTTGAAGTTGCGATCAAGAATTAAAAATAATTACCAATTAGTAATAATAATAATAATTAATTGGTGCACCATTATACTGATTACATCATTAGCGCGAAGTGCTAAAAACTGCACGTACGCAGACCTATATTTAATAGAGAAAAAATGTGCGCGTACATTTAGGGAGCAAACACACGATACGTGCAAATTTACATAAGAATTTCGGGTATTCGAGTGTTTTCTCCTTAAGTATGATTTCCTCAGGATACGTGTTGCATCGAGAAGACGAGGAACGCGCGCGACGTGTGCAAATATTTGCTATCCCGCGCACACACACATATATAATATATACCCACACAAACACCCTCGGTTATGGACGGACATGGCAAAAAAAAAAAAAATACACATTTTACATCGTACGTTTCACAATTATCGCGTCGTTAGATTAACGGTGCGAATCAGCGGCGAGAAATTCGCGTCGCGGATGCTGCGTCTTCTCGCCGGAGACGAGATGAGAAGCAGAGGAGCCGCGGAGGAATTTTGAAAAAGAATTCCAGGCTCTTAAAGTGGGAGTATATATATCGCATTCTAAAATAAACTCGGAGAAAGCCGCGCGTAAATTGACATCATTGTTTTACTAGAAAGAAAGAAAAAAAAATAAAAGATGAAATACACCCGCGAGCGACGACGATAAGATAAAAATAGAGGATTTATACACCCATCTCGGAAAGGATTGTTGCTAAACATAGGTTCCACCACCGGATCTGACTAATTAACCTTCCACCAACGTACAAACCCTCATCACGGATTTGTTTACAAAGTTTATATACCTATCTGATACTTGAACCGTGCTATAGAATTTTTTACTTTATTTTATTTTATCTTTTTTTAGCAAATGCCACCGAGTTTTATAATTAATTTTTTAAAAAGTTAATCGTCACACATTTCGCACTCGATAAATCGTATAATGCAAATATATATATATATGTATATAAAAAGAATTCAACCCTTTCGGTAAATTCGTCCTTTATTATTTTATCAGACAATTCACGCGCGCATATATATATATATATATATATATATATCCAATAATTATATCGAATTAATTCGCATAATTTTGTCGCGAGATCATAAACGAAAAAGAGAGGGAAAGAGAAAATACTCCAAAGAAATTAAAAAAAAATTCGTCATCTCGCGAGATGATTATTAGCGAAACGTAAGTGAAATCGAGAGGAAGTTCGCATTCCCGAAATACAGATTTGTTAAACATAAGACGTCACACGTCTCTCCCTCACGAATCCATCCTCCTTCCCTCTCTCCCTCATCCCACCCTTATTCAATGGCGTTTCATTTGAATTTCGCCGAAATGTGCATTCTGCGTTTTATCGGAACCCTACGCAGGATCGTTCCTCGAACGTCGTCGCGAGGGAAGCTGTGCGGAGGAAAAAAGCGGACGCGGAAAAATCGCGGTCCTCGCGCGGTCGATGAGGGACTCGAAAAAAAAGGGGGTGGGCGAGGGGGAGGGAGAGGGTTGGGGTAGGGATCCAGTCAAAACAAGGCTTACCCAGGGGTCGTCGGGAGCGGCTGTCAGCGACGGAGGCCCTCACCTGCTCACGCGGACGACGGCGGACCACTACTGATAACGCAGTCAAACGGCCGACGCCTCGCGGAGCGCTGAACGCCAGGCGCCGACGCCGTCCTCGTCCCCGACGTCGGCGCCGACGCCGACCTCGACGCCGATATCGGCGCGGGCTCGAATAAGAGGGGGCAATTGCATACGATATACATACATATATGTATTTTTAAATATCCATATTTATATATATCTTGTATTTATATATAGATGTATAAATAATATATATATATATATATATATATATATATATATATATATATATATATATAAATATAATAAAAGTATAATGCAATATCAAATTTATCGCTTAAGGGATGATATAGATAATGTCAGTGTATATATAAAAGATATATATACATCGATGTGTTATCTATATATCCTGTAAGCGATATAAATTTGCATATATATTGTGATAGCGAATAGCTTTTTGTAGCCATACACATGCTGTATTTTTCTACAACGAAACGAAAATAATGTGTCAGAATAAGCGCTATATATAATATATATTTATTATATAATATAATATAAATATATATAAATATATATATATATATATATATAATCTATATATATTATATAATATAATATAAAATATAATATCTATTATATTATATGCATAAATAATTAGATATATATATAATAATATAATAAAAATATAATATCAAATGTATCACTTACAATTAGACTTAGGGGATATAAATAACACCGATATATATATATTTATATATATGTATATATATATTTATATATGTATATATATATATATATATATACATATATAAAAGATATAATATGTATATCAATGTATTATTTATATCCTGTAAGCGATGCAAATTTGTATCTATATTGTGATAGCAAATAGCTTTTTATATCCATATGCATGCTATATTTTTCTACAACTAGACGAAAATAATAATAATAATATATGTGCCAGGATAAACTAGGAGGCTTCAATATTTTGATTAAAAAAATAGAGATAGCTGACTAAAAATTGAAGCATTTTTTGTAATATACAGTTTGTGATTTATAAAAAATTGGGTACACGCGGATGAGGGTTCGTTAAAAGATGTACAATTATTTTTCATATATGTGTAATGTATATATGTATATGAATGTTTGTGTATGTATATATGTATATATATATTATTAAATAATAGACTAAATCATCATGCTAATTTTGCTTTGAGCGAATCATAAAATAACGACAAAATAATCAATGCCAGGAAACTCTGCTTTGATAGCACGATACAATACGAACAGCATGATTATTTTACAATATTCATTCTTTTATTTGCTATAACATTCGTCAGCGCTCTATATATTCGTTTCACCATTATTTATTTCTTATAAAGTCTTTTTATAGGCGAGTTTATATCCGCTTCGACAATCGATTAGTATTTTACAGTCGTGCGAATTAAATTATTCTCTCTCTCAGCGCCTTTCTTTCTATTCTTGATCAGTTACACATAATTCAATTGCAATAATCTTTTTTAATCGTAGTGTTTATCGACTGTTTGGAATTGCCGTCGTGACACTATATGCTCGTTACAAAGTCTCTCTAATCTTACAGTATGGATTAACAACCTGTCATTGTCCAGAGGAATGACATACAGCAACCAATATAATATTTTATGAGTCGTTACTATCCTCTCTCTTGTTCATTTTTATTGCCTATAGGTGATTAAATTGCAAAAAGTGCATTGCTTATCACCATTAAATATATTTTCATTTGGCGACACATGTCCTGCAAGTACACACACTTTCGTTTTATATTACTTATATATATTAAAAAATGCAAAATTGCACTCATTTAATACCGTTTCTATTGTTTTGCATATAATTATTTATGAATCATATATATGTATAATCACTTGTAAATAATATTTTTCTTTTTTACGATTTTGCAGGTGTGTGTACATGTCTGTGTGTGTGTATGTGTGTACATGTATATGATATTTAAGGTAAGAACACTTGCGTATTAATTCGCGACAATAATGATACTTCGATGAATGGGAAAGAGAAAAAATTCAGAAATATTTATATATATTAATATTTAAAAAATTATTCTGTACAAACACATATATATCATCAAACAAAATACTCATATGCCATTCACGAATTACCATTATTGCAGAAAAGAAAATCTTCTTACTGAATAAATGACAATTTCGTACAAATAAAATTGCTGTAGGTGGCTAACACAAAATCATATATAAAAAACCAGATATTACCATTTACTGGGTAAGTTAAAGCATAGAGAAATTGTTTAAATCCAAGTGGATATGCGCAACTAGAACGCAAATCTGTATATTAGTTACTGATGATAAAGAATCATATATGTAATAGTAATAATAATAACAATCTATCATATTTAAATGCGTCAGTGTCTTTCAATAAGGCTCTCACTGCTGCATAAGTAGATGGCATAAGTAGGTCTTGAATTATATGTGATATGTCCCAATATATCCCGAAGACCCATAAATCGATGAATTGTGATGAATCGCGCAACTATTTCGCTGCACATTTTTTTATAATAGTTCCATAATTCATAGTTTCGATAATTAACACTTCCAATATTTAATCTCACCCAAGAATTTCCTTAGCTTGGTCACTCCTTCACTTGCGTTTTGAGATGTTGCAAGAACTCGTAATAACTAAGAGCGGATTCGAATCGATCTTCTATCAATCGTTCAATGAATAATGTCCTAAAATGACTATCGTCCCTGAAAAACAATTAATCGTATTATAAAATATGTAAATCACGATATAGACAACTTAAGAGATGCACATGTTGAAGATGATTGTACGAGTATAAATAACTTGTAATTTGTAATAACTTCTTTTTTGCTATCAATCAGAAACTTACCTGATAATTTGTACAGGTACATAGTACGGTTTTTCTTCTTGCAAGCTAAATACAAAATTTCGCAATCGTTCGCTTTCTACCGTATCCAATTCCGGTAGTTCGTACTGTAAATTTTAAAAATGAATTGTATCTCAATATAGATCAGAATTTTTTTTCAATCCGTGAGTTACAATCCTTTTAAGAATTGTCAAGGGAAAATAATAGTTTTGCCAGGTATTTTAAATGTGTGCTAAAGCCATCTGAAATATCTTTTCATTTAAAAGTGGCATCTAAGAATTTTCAGCGCGTGCTTTCTCGCCTCTGACGTCACAATCTAACATGACCGCGGAGAGGATCCAGGAGCCTATGTAAGGCTATAATGCTGCATTTAGCAGCTGATGAAAATTGCAAAATACTCACCATTTCTTCCGGGATACATGGAAATGCCGAAACTCCGAGTACATTGGTGCAAAAAATTGGATTAACGTTTTTCCCAACGTAAATCATAATTCTGTCATCAGAGTCTATAAGAAAGACGCCCCGGCTGTCGAGTTTTTCCGCGGACAGATGAAGTCGCGGCGGTTGCGGGCACACTTTGCCATCAATGTCCTTTGAATTGCGATCGTCGAGCGCGTGAACAGGATATAAATCGGGAAATATCATCTGTATCAGCTGTGCCAATGGTGACGTCTTTAATTGAAACATGGCGTACACACGATCATCCAAACGTGTACTCGTGCCGGATCTGAACGCTACCTGTAAAAAACAAAGATAAGAGCGATAACAAGCTTGTCTAAATGTAAACTATACGTGCGAGATCATTAATAATGTATGTGCTAGATCATTAATAACTTACGCTCTTCAATAATGCGATAATATACAGCGGTAACAGCTTTAAGCTTCCTGGAGCGATAAGTCCTCCTCCGCCACCGGAAGATTGCGACAGTCGATATGCGGACAAGACGTCAATAGCAACGTTTATCAATGCATCTCTGGCATCCGACAGAGATGATTGAAGCGATCGATCGACAGCTATAAATATTAATTTATACTTTCTTTAATTTTATTCATAAGAACAGGGACTGAAGATAAAGATTTCATTTTTAAATATTATTCAAACTTTCCAGTTTTACCTAAACATTCATAATGCAAAGCAGCGCATGCAATTATGCAAAAGACTGACTCACCCATCTTTGATAGCAGACCCACTATGCATTGCTGATCCGCAGAATGTAGGATATCCGATAGACTGGACACGACTGGTAAACATAGAGTGTGCACTCGAATCCTTCGCTCACCTTTAAATAGAAATATATATAAAATGTAAAATAAGAGAGAAAATTGCTCCGAAAGAAAAGGGAACAAATATTATTACCCTTGCTCGAAGTATAGAGGAGAGACGCTTGGAAGCACACATTCTGCACGTCGGAGAGGTTCTCGTCGATAGAGATTTGCATGCCGAAACCGGCGTCCGGATTAATGTTTGGTAAACAGAGAAGATCGGTCGATCGAACGAAGAAGCTGCCATGGAAGGCGTGGATGCTGAGGCCGCGTGTACAACGAAGCCGCATCACCGCCTCGAAGCCGATCTTCCTGGTCAAGTAACGGCGAAGCAATCTCTCCAATGTCTCAGTATTTTGCAGCTTTGATGCTCGAAACAATGGCAGATGGTAAATGCAGCCACCCGTAAACTTTGACATGCATGCTGCAAAATATAATAAAAAATCAAATATTTATTTATATAAATTAATTGACAAAAAAGTTTCTAATTTAATTATTGCGTCATTTACTAATTTATGCAATAAAATAAATTTTTTCGAAAAGTAAAGAATTATTCAAATATGTGTATGTAATAAGATTTAATAAAGAATACAATTTTTCTTTTTCAAATCGTGCAATTAAATATATAAATATATATATATATATATATATATATATATATAATTATAAATATATATATATATATATATATATTTTTTTTTAATATGTAGAGAAAATAACTTAAAAACGTCACAAGAGTTAATTATTTACAAAATGAGTTTACTAGAGATTTATCCTTTCATTAGAACAGTATTCAATAGAGATGGCTTTACTTACATAAAGTTGCTAGATCGCTGTACTGACTATTCAACAAGAACAAATCAATTGCGATTTGTTGTCCACTGCAATCCAGAGCGAACCTTTTATAGAAGTCCGTTGCTGGATTAAGATGCGGCACATCCTTATTCGTTCTGGTGTTGGGATCTTCCCGCGGCTGCAAGGCTCCTGGGCCAACGTTAGGCAGGCACGTCTGGAAAACAGTGACGCGTCCTCCAGTAGAGGAGAGAAGTTTCAGGGCAGCTTGAAGACCGGCGCCGAGTGCGCTGTTAGTATCGTGAGTGCCGCAAAATTTGATGGGCAGCTGGGTGAGAAGATAGCGAATGAGCTCCTCACGTTCCTTCAGATTTACAATCAGGTTCTCCGGACACGGCAGGAACACATCGTCGATATCTAGCATGATCATCTCGTGCGGCTGCGACACGTTATCAGGCATACTGAAGAAATGAAGGGCAGAGTCAACAGCGAGAAAACCAACTTGGGTACGACTGTCGCCGGGGAGACGCGACAGTTCGTCGGTGATGATGTTGCAGACGATTTGCAAATAACCGCTTTCTACCGCAAGACGAGAAACGTCCATGACGAAGAGGTAGACAGCAGGCTGGGGTGGACGGACCTGGAAAATATACGTCAAAATTGAATTAATTGAAGAAATAATATGTAATTATAAATATAATATATAATATAATAAATAATATATAATAATATATAACATATATATTATCTAAGTCGTAAAAAAGCTGATTACTTATTTATTATATTTTAGTTAGCACATATATGTAATTGCAGTTGAGTGAAAAAAAAATAATCACTGACCATATACTCGCTTGGAGCGATAAACTCTATCGTGCCAGTTCTGACTTCTGGCCGTCGTGATGGATCGCCGTAAGATTTCGTCACAGGATCAAATTGAAATTCCTCAGGAACTGAAGAGACAACAAGATATGAGTGTACTTAATCGTCATATAATATTAAGCAATAAATATAAGCAATTCAATGTTCATTACGTTCGTTTAGTCTGAAACAAAGATTGCACTTCCATCTTCTCGAATCGACGAAATATACAAATGGATTGATATATGTTCTGCAAGCTCGACAACGTACGATTGTGTTACATTGAATCACTGCCAATTGCTGCTGCGACAAACAACAAGTTTCATATTACTGAAATTTATTTCCACAAAAAGTATATTTTAAAGAGTTATACAAAATAAAATTTTACATAATCTAAACCTATATAAGTTATAAAAATTTATTTACATGCATTACTTACGTTTAGGTCCCTAAAAGGATGTATTAGCACGCCAAATGGTAATCTTGATTTTTGAAGAAGCGAATTTGATTCCGGAACCTTTGTCAGTGTACACCTGAATATTCTGTAATTATTGAATATATTATGTAAGAATAATATTTATATCTTAAAACAATTTCGGTGACAATACACAAAAGTTCAAAAGTTCTAAATTGTACATTTTATTTATAAGTATATCAAATACTTTCATTCTATTACAACTAATGTAATCTCTATCAACAATACAATATCTCTTAGATAAGAACGTAATTTCTTAGATAATAACTTAGATAATTTTTTTGATAAAATAACAAAAAAAAAGGGAAACTTACTCAGGATTACAATTTACATTATCTGGAAATTCTTGATGTAATCTGATCTGTGGTGGCTCGACTTTTTCAGGTGGCAGTATATTTCTGCATTGTAGAAGATCTATTGATTCCATTCCCTAAAATATATATTAAAGTAATACATTCATATGCTAAATTTTACATATGCAACTAAAAGATTAAAATATTTTGATAAAAAATAAATACCCATATTTTGTTGTAGCCACTTTGTGCAACGTTTAAATTGCCCATCTGATTATTTAATTGGTTTAATTGGTCAGGATACATATTAGGATATCTTTTATTTAACGAGTCTAATGGGACGTTCGTCATCGGACCAGGTTGTGAACGAGGATCGTACTGAAAATATAAATAAAACTATTAATATTAAAATTACATAGAAAAATGTTAATTAAATCTAATTTAATTTTTATATTATATTTCAAAGTGTTATCTTCGCAAGTTCCATTACCATCTGTTGTCCCGGAAGAGGTGGCATTCCTGATAGCGGCGGTCTCGCATTATGTAACTGATTAACTCCCAAAGGTGGTGCGGTAGTCTTTGGAGGTAGCATCATGGTATTGGCAGTGTCTTGTTGCGGATATCTTCTTTGGCCAGTTAAATTTTGATGTATATTCTGACCTTGAGGAATACTTCCCAATCCCGTGGGATCCATGTAACCCGTAAGTAAATTTTGCTGTGGTTTCAGAAACTGAGGAGAAAAATCCTGGGGATTCCGTGAATCTACATTATGACCTTGGGAACTGGAGAATAAGTTTCGCGTATTAGAGTTCGACGGTGTTGACGTTGGACTGAATATATTCTGTTGACTGCTGTATTTGAGTTGAGGATTATTTAAGTTTTCAGAAAGACCAACTGGCGATTGTGCTTGGATATTCTGAATTCTTGGAGGCTGTATACTGGAAATTGCTGGATCTTGTTGCACCTGCCTGGTTTGATTCAAATGTTGAGTATTTGTAGGAGGTAGATTAATGTTGGCTGAAGATGGAAAAGTAGGATCACTTTGACCATGCACCGAGGTTCTATTTATTCCAGCAAAGGATGTCTGACCTCCCACAATTTGATTCGTAGAGACTTGACTAGGCTTCTCGATGCTACTAGATGTTTCAGAAATGCCTACAGTTCCCTGCGCAGCATTAGTAGGCAGGGTATTCGCTGTCCATTGATAACTTTGGTTTACTTTAGCATGCTCCAATTCGACAGTATTCGTAAACGTCGAAGGCGCAGATCCTGGTGACAGGTTTTTGGCTAGTGAAGGCATCTGATTCGTAGAAAGCGCGGATCTATGCTGAACTTCCTGATTAGGTTGAGATACAAAAGCAGTCGTAGATGTACTAACTGCAACATTTGAATGAGAACTAGAACTGGCATATTGGCTAGAAATCCCATAAGGATTTGTAGGATTATACAGTTGTGTAGTTCTAGGTAGCGAAGGTAATGCATTGGAGCTTTGAGGTCCATTTATTGGTGGCATTGGCGGTCGAGGCAATTGAGGCCGATATTGATTATGAAGATACTGAGTTGGCGATGGATCTCTGGAAGTTTCCCTGGACGGGTCGCGCGACGATTGCGACGATGGTGTGCCTGGAAATACATTTAATGATCTCAATTTTAATTAATGACAAATTTTCTATAAACAAAACTTGAGTAACATGTTTAAAATTTCATTTCAATCTTACTGTTTAAAATAGATGCTTTTAAATGAAAAATATATATGATAATATAATATTGCTTCATAGAATTTTCGTATAAATTTATTAGCAATTTTCTTGAAATAAAATTTTATTTTTAATTATATGTTGCAGCAAACTCTTGTAGAAATCTACTAACAAACTCTTGTAAAAATATCTTGCAGAAAAAAGTTAGTTTGACAAAAATTATGGTCGCTAGTAAAGAAGTAGTACATATATAAGGAACTGTAACATTTTTCTTTACTATATAAGTGTTTTTGGCACAAACTTACCAGTCAAATTATACTGCGGAGACTGCATGCCATTTTGTTGAGATGCAGTACTTTGGCCATTCACTATTGGTGACGGATCATTTTTCAAGGAATTATTGGGCTCTGGATACACCGAATACTGGTAACTTGACTGTGACATTTTGTTGCTTTAACACAGTCGCACTGCGAAATAAAATATATCATTTAATTAATTATTAATAATATACTCTTAAAGACAAAGATAGAAAATAATTATAAACTATTTGACTTAAGATTTATAATTGTTAATTATTATTCAAGACAAGTTTAAAAGGGTACATAATAACATGATAAAAATCTAGTGCTTAGATTCTATTTGAATTCTCTTTGTAAATCGACAAATAACATAAAAAGGATCCAGTTAAGCACGATTACCTCTAATAGCAGCAAGAATCTGACTTTACTATCAAACTATAGTTCTACATAGAAAAACTCACAAACTACCTAAAGTAAGAAGTTACAAATTGAAAACTGGACAGAGTGAAACAGAGGATCGGAGCTCTATCGAGCCCACTCTGAGGCAATTCGTATTTTTTAATTACTCCAGAAAATAGTGTAGATATTACAGCAGTTTGACGTTTGAGCAAAACGCATTGTCAGCGTGCCAAAAGGTTAAAATGCAGAAGGCGGGGGCTGGACCCATCCGAGTGCTCCGCTCACCTTAATTACGCAGGTCGCCCGAAATTAGAAAGGGATGAATGCAGATTCGCGCATATCACCCCCGTGATATTTATCTCCACCAGGGTCCTACGGGACGATATAATTGCTGCAACTCGAGAGAGAACGGACAGACAGCACACACAACATTTACGTGGCAGCTCGCGCGACTACCGCGCCACGGCATGAATAGACAGGTGGCACGTGACGGTACCAGAGGGCAGGTGGATCGGCGGAGACATCGCCCGGGATGCGTTCAAAAAAAAAATATATATATATAAATAAATATAATACGTAAAATATAATTATATTTACACCATAACCAAAATGCTCCGAATCATGGGAATGTGGCTTTAATGATACGCTTCAAACAATTCTAATCATCGATTGAATTCGTTTCATTTATTAATTTACTGCTTTAAATATGCATGCAATCTTAATTGGAAGAATTCGCCTAATACTCACGAAATTTGCGAGAAAACAAACAATGCATTGATAAATATGGCCAGTAATAGAATTAAAGTGCAATAATACGCGGTTTTTAATACTCTCGAAAATTTATTTCTGAATTATTAGGGAAATATATTTTGCGAAGAAGTCGATAATTCAATTTGCGAGCAATATATCTCGGAAAATATATACTTTTGAATGACTAGGAGAATACGTTTTGCGAAGAGGTATGCGAAAATCCGGAGGGAGCATTTTTAAATAATCCATCCTGATTGGTTGGATCGCGGACCAATCACAAGCATAATCGTTTTCTATTGGTCCGTGCTTCAACCAATCAGGATGGATTATTTAAAAATGCTCCCGCCGGATTTTCGCATACCTCTTTGCGAAACATATTCTCCTAGTCACTCAGAAATAAATTTCAACACATTTTCCAGGCATTATCGTTCGCGAACTATATCGACTTCTTCGCAAAATATATTCTCCTAATAATTCAAAAATAAATTTTCTAGAGTATTAGAAGATGCGTATCATTTTACTTTAATTTTATTACTGACCATACTAATAATTAGCATATTAATGAATAGATTTTTCTTGCAAATTTCGCCAGTTTATAATCAAAGAAACTCTGGCGATTGAGATTGCAACTTCAAAGCAATAAATTAATAAATAAAACGAACTGAATCGATGAATAGAAATTGTTCCAGACAACAAAATGGTTGCGTCCCGAAATTTGCCGCCGCAATAATAATCTATAATTATAATATAATATATTTTATAATTGTAATATTTAATTTAATTTTTAAATATATTTCATTATTTATATCATGGTTGAATCTCTGTCAATGAACGCGGGCCCTCGGGTGCCCTGAAGCAACTCTTTAACCTTCCTGTCAATGCATAATTCTTCGCCCAAGAACTCTTTCATTGATGGAAAAATTATGCGTTGCCAGAAGGGTCAATTGACTAACCAGAATAAAGAAAAAAATACAGATTTTATCTTGATCTTGATTAAATGTTATTCCAATTTTAAATTTCTTCTGTCAATGCATATAATCATATGTCAGTTGTAGCTCTTAAGAAAGCATCTACGCAAGTTTTATGACAAAGGAATTAATTTGAATAGCACATGTACATCAATAGAATATGTATTTCTCAATAAATAAAGTACATCTTACAATGTACATCAATCTGTGGATCAAGTTTGAATGATGATTTGGTCATTGGAGAAGTTTGCGTAATTGCTGGAATGAATGGAAGATACAATCAATGGCAAGCATATTAATGCATTATGTGGTTTGATTTGGTCACCCAGTTTTTTTTTTTTAGAACACTTTTAGCAAGTTCGAGTTCCTAGCTCGTACCCAGAACAGTGCACAGTGCAGTGACACGTGTCCAGATTTCCGTACTATCATTATTTTCATTTTTGTGCAACCGCAAAGCTTTACATGCATCGGCTAGTCCACAGTTTTTCAGATGTGTTTTTAACTGATCTGAAAATAAAATTGTTCAGCAATTAGATATCGGACAATTTTAACGTAGAGCTATAGAAACTAATATTTTTTCTTTAAGATAAATACCTGATTGAACAACGCCATCCAACAGGGATAGCGCGTTTAACACAATATGTATGTCGAGATTATCGGCGCGCGTTTGGAAAAATTCGCGCATGTTGCTTCCAAAGTCCGCTTCGATCAGCAACTCCTCAGATTCCATCAAACAGATCCTCGTCAATATCGTCAGACCTAGTATCGCTTCATTTTGCATTAATGCATGCTGTGCCAGAAGCATATTAACCAAGTGTCTCACCGCTCCGTACTTAATGATTGACAAGGCGATCTGCTTGTCCCTGAAAAAATAATATATAAAGTTTGGGAAGTGTAAAAGAACGTGACAAGTCATTGAAAACGCACCTGCTGTTGTTCATTATCCAAGCGATCAATCTATTCGCTTCACCCTGAACGCCAGGGTGGTCCGCAATACTGCACCATTCAACTGCTCGCTTGATTAGATCCTCCCTTTGTCCTAAGGAGATTGCTGCTTCTCCTACAGCAAGTAACTCGGCCATAGTTATTACATTATTCTCTTATTGAATTATAATAAATATTGTGTTACTGTTTAGTTCTTAAGAGAGGTTTTTTATGAGTGCTCACTTTGACCGTCTATGACTATCCTAAGGGTTCCCAGCAATTTGAAAACAACGGGAAAAGTAGGGATGTCCAGCATCGGATAGAGTGTATCGATCAAACCGTCGGCGAGTATCAGTGATTTGTTGTCCGTAGGTATGACGAGATTGCGTAATGCGCTAAGCAAGGCGTGCTGGCATCTAATGTCGCCGGACTTGCTGTCGTTCCTTTGAAGAAGCTTCAGCAGCTTCCGATGAATACCTTGTTCGACCATATGTTTGCAATGTATATCGGTGCGTGCAAAGTTGCCCATAGCTAAAACTGCGGTGATCTGTAAGTCTTCATCGATGCTCTCCAGCCATTCCACCAACTTTCTGTAGACATCGCCTTTGCTATCGTTGTAAAGAAAGTTCATACTGTCATCTAGATAAGAAACAAGTTTGTTAAGCTAAATAAAATTAGATTTAAGAGTTTTTCTCCTTAGAACTCACCTCCAGTTAAGATTAAAACTATTAAGTTGCAAGCAACTTTTAGGACTAATCGTGTTTCTTCGTCATTGCAGTGCGGACCATGTTTTTCTAATAATTTTAGGAGCAAGTCGCACACTCCTGTTTTGGCTAGCAACAGCTTTGTTTTTTCTAGGAGTTGGAATTAAGTTACTACAACATTATTATATATTTCAACTTAATACATTCAAGTGTTTAACTATTATGATTTGTAAGTCCAGTTAAATATAATTATATTAAGATACCTTCCCTTTATTTAATTATTTAATTTATTCAAAAAAATTAATTTAAATTAATTTTAATTTAAATTAAATGAATTTAATTTAAAAAATAAATTAATTTAAATTTAAATTAATTAATAAACAATCTAGATTTTTGTTAATCAATGAAAACTTGTCATTAACGTACCATCTTCCGCCTGACCATGTAATAATTCCAAGCACATTTCACATAATTCAGAGGAAGTGTCACTGACTAATACATCCATCAAAATTCTCGTTAATCTCTCGTCGAGAAATATGATGTTTGCGTCATTCAATAAACTAAGAGTGAGTAATGCGTGCACAGCCGCTTCGCCACCATTGGTCCCATCTTCCTCCAAGATGCTGCTAATTATGGGTACTATGTCTTCTTTGAGTGCCTGATAAAGTATATTTAATGATTACAATTGTTTCCTATCTGTCGTATTTTTGTAATATTCATCATTGCATAACACACTCTTGAAAAAATAATAATAATTTCTTACCTCTTGATGCAATGCTTCCTGATCCACCAAAAAATTTAATAAAGAACCAGCAGCTACGTTTCGCAGAAAGCTTGCACCCTCGACATTTTTTAATGCAATACTTTTCTTCAGCATTGTTAAAATTATTTTTAATCCATCCTGTTCCCGCACCAGTTTCTTACCATTCTCTGTAAAATATTTTTCACTTAAGCTTATAATTTTAATTTTCTTATATTTTTTACTTTTATGATTATTATGCAATATATTTTTACTTTTACAATTATCACATAAATTGTATAAATTAACATTTTAAATCGAATATATTTATATCTTTTCTTGATAACTAATGAGAATTTATTATACAAATATATATGCATCAAAATTGATTGATTGAATGCATCAAAAGGTCTTGAAATTTTCTAATTTTTATCTTGGATAATTATATAAGATAAATTCTTGTGTAAATATGACTGTTGCAACAACCATTTTCGTAACAGATATTTCCTAGAGCTCTTGAAGCCTGAGTCAGTATGTCTATATCTTTTTTCTTCAGTAAATCGATCAATGCTTGTATCAACGCTATATTGGTACATTTCTCTCTTCCCTTTTCAGTCTTTGCAATCTCTGCAATGGCTTTTGCCGTTTTTGCTACAATCTGTTTAGACTTGTGTCCAAGCAATGTCAGAAAAACTTCATTAATGACCAGCTCCAACGCCTCTAAAATCATATATACCAATTAACAACACAATTTTACGTAATACAATACTGAAGCATCAGCGACAGTAATAGTATGATTATAATAAATTGATAAAATCATTTGAAAAAAAATCCAGGAAGCATAAAATGTTGATCGCATACACATCCAAACTTGGCAAAGTTCAATGTTTCTACCTCCAGTTAAAGTTTTGCTGGTATTTGCTATAGAATCCAACATTTCAACGATGTTGGAGCATTCATTTTCCTGCGTAGCATCAAGTCTCACAGCGCGTTTCAAGTCGTCGACGAGTTCATCGATATTATGCTTCGTCTCGCCTGCAATTTTCATTGAAATAAATCAGTACAAAATATTTTTTCGAAAAAATAAGGAGCAAAAAAAAAATAAGAAAAAAATATAAAAAACCATCGATATTATGCTTCGCCTCGTCTGCAATTTTACATCGAAAGAAATCAGTATAAAATATTCTTTCAAAAAAATAAAAATAGAAAAAAATAAAAAAATAGAAAAAAAATAAAAAATAATAAAAAAATATGAGAGACAACAGGATGACGAACACCTTCCATTTCCGGATCAGCTGATCGAGAATCCGCAGAACTTGCGGAGCCGATTTGCACGATTTGTCAAATGTCACGAAACGTCAAAGGAAAATCCCGACAGTCTCTCCGATCACTTTTGACATATGGAATTGTATCGCGCAGTTATCCCGCATGTGTAGTAAACGAAGTGGACGAGACGACGTTCCGTGGACGCTTCATTTAAAAATGGCGGAATAACCGGCCAATGATTTTTTTTTTCCCTCAAATGCGATGGCGGAACCGATGGATGCCGCAAGAACGTCCGTTGTGAAGTCCGCGAAAGACAGGGAGAAGATATACGGTGAGTTTAATACGAGATATCACGCGGGGAAATTATGCAATTTCTATCCTCGCACAAATATCTTTGAGATGTAACCTCTAAATCTGCATTTATTTTTTTCGCCGATACACGTGTTTCATGATTATGTAATTAGCTGTACCCAGTATTTGTACAGTTATTATGATTATTAAAAAATTAGAAATTTAGAAAATGTATGAACACGTTCGATTTTATTTTAGTCTCTGCTCAGGAGAATTTTATTGGTTATTTTATAAGACGTTTTATATTTTGACGTTTATAGAAATTTTGAAAAGAAATTAAAGATATTTTGTTAAATTTTGATCACAAATGACGACTATGAATTTAATATTTTAACTTCTTTTATCTGATATAGCCTTATCATTATTGCATAACATGCGTAGTTGCAACTTTGTGATTGTATATATTCATTTTTGATAACTATTTTTAACTATTGTTCAGTTTCAGTTAGCCTCTGTCTTTTTCTCTTTTCACTTTTTTTCATCGCTTTATCTTAATATTCAATTCATCACATATTTTTTTCAATAAACTCAATGATATTTCTACAGCTGCAGTGTTTTTAAGCGCTGTCACAAGTATTTCCGCTCTTGCTGGCTTTGCTAGAGCAGTGGGGATTGCTAAGAAGCAGGATCCGAAACACTTTGGAGAAGGAATTTCTGGTATCAAAGGAGTCCATGAAACAGGAGCATCTTTAGCGATACGAGCCCTGGGCTGGGGCTCACTTTGGGCTATCACAGGATGCGGTTTGTTTTTCTACGGAATCTGGAAAATTTCTGGAGCCACTAATGCGGAAGAATTTAGATTGAAAATGGGTTCTTTGTTACCAAAGATACCAAAGAATAATCCACCTCAAAGCAGAACAGAATTCGAGGGCTTGACAGATCTATTAATGTACATCTCTGAAGATTGGGGACAAAATAAAGAGGTGAGATTTGTCTAATCTTAATACTAGGGATATCTACTTTTTTTAATAATTTGCATTTTTTAATAATTATCTAAAATTTATAAATATTTATATTTGATATATGATAAAATGGTCAAAAGGGAATAGAAAAAAAATGAGTTTTGATTAATTCTCCAATTAAGCTTCTTCTTAATTCCTTACAATTGATAAGATAAAACTATTAATAATTATTAATCACTACTTTGCAAGTAGTGATTAATAAAAACATTATTTACATTTTTTTATCTAAGAGATTTATTAATATTCTTAAAATGCTTTTTTGTGATTGTATTCATATTTTATAAGAGTATGATTTATTTGTAAGGAGTGACTAATGATAATTTTAATGATTCGTTTTGTGTGTTGTAGGAATAAAGATTTGAATTACATACGGAATATCTTGTTTGTGACCACCAGGTCACTGCTGACATCTAATAATTTTGTAAATTACGTATCAGTCGAGAATCGTATGATCGTACACGTGAATCACGCACGAGTTCATTGCATGTTAAAAAAGAAACTCATTGTACATATGTTACAAAGGTTGAATGAATGTTGAGCGTAACTCGTAAATTAATTTAGCGAATGTTAACTTGTGAATAAATATATATATTTTATATGTTCATTGCATATTTAATTACATACAATATATTATATTTCAATAAAAATTATAAAATTATAATATTTGAGAAATACGTCATTATCACACAACATCAAATTAAGAAAAGTAGTTAATTTAATAAACATAACTCTCTCTCACTCACTCTCTCTCTCTAAAAAAATCGTGATTATGTTATATTAATTATTCGCAAGCAAATTTTGATAATATAGTATTATTGAAATAATATATTACTATATTAAAGAGCCTTATACTTAGCAAAATATTTAATCTGCATTATTATATTTACGTTTGTGCGCTATTGCTTTACATTGCTTTTTCATTGGTTTTTTTTATTTAAGCTCTATAATATTTACTAGATTATCTATAATCGATGAATTTTTAAAAAAGATCAAGAACACTATTGTAGTATCTAAAAAGTTTTAAGACTAATGTTTGCACTTTGCAAGATTCGCAATATTTCGGAAAGATATTTTTAAATATTGATTTTTTAATATTTTTCGAAAGATTATTTAATTAAAATAAATTTATAATATTAAAAAATGTTAAGTAAAAATAATGGAAAGCTTGTTCTTGTTTATAAATCTTCTTAAGAGATTTCAAATTATTATAAATAGATAAAATTAAAATTTATCATATGTATAAGATTAATATTTATTATTCATTTCATAAATAATTTATATATAAATATGTCCTTTTTGACTTATGAATTTTGATCATTCTGAAACTAAGTTGAGGTATATCTTGAATTTTCCTCTTTTGATGTTAAAATAAAATTGAAATCCAATAAATCTTTTTTTCTATTAAATGATTGCTGAATATAAATTTTTAAAAACTATAATTTTGAAAAAAACACTGAAAAGTCAATATTTAATAGCGTATGCGTGTATCTCCGAAAATCTAGCGAATTTTATAAAGTGCTTGGCACAAATCACATTTAAAAATTTTTTCGACCGTATTTCAAAGTGATGAAAATCACGGGAAGTCATTTTAAATAATTGTTTTGAAAAACAATCGTACTCGCATGAAGAATATCTCTTGATCAGTAATTAATTTTTGATTACTCCCTGTAAAATTAATCTGTTGCAAAGATCTTATTTTATTCGATTAAAGTCTCACGTATAATCCAAAGTATCACACATATCTTATTATTAAAAAAAGATCAAATAAATGTTTCAGTATATCAATATTGAACAACAGAAAAGTTACTCCATTCGTTATCGATACAAGATACATCACGTTAAAAGAACGTGAGACTCGGCTGTATATTTGTTAACTAAAGAAGACTGGTACAAAGGTGATCTTTAAATGATTGCATAAGAAACAACGTAAGAATAAATAATCAACTATGCGTGGAAAAGTGCAGAGTATTATCAAGTAATGCTTTATATATTCACAAAACACAACCAGTTACGTATTTTTACTTGGAAATCGTGACTTTTTGCCCGATATTTCCATAATAATTTCAAGTATTCGCATAATATAATATAATATTACTAAGCGATTATTAAACATACATATTTTTCCGTAATAATAATAAATTGATAATTTAAATTGACGATTACAATTAAATGTGCACCAAATTAAAAACTTGGCGAGTAAAAAAATATTTTACAATATCTTCAATAAGAACTTTTAATTTATAAAAATGCAAAATACTTGTATTCTTACGAAGATGCATTTTCAATCAAATTATATGAATAAAAATATAAATTAATATTGTTATGTAATATTATTGTGGAATTTTTTCCTCCCGCGAGAATGTATTAGAGTCAATAATATTCATAATTATCTATTTGAGGCCTCTTTTTAAATTTCTCGACGCAATTTACAGATTTTAATCTATATATTTGATCTAATATAATGTGAATTTGATATGAATTTGATGTCACTAAATTTGATAAAACGCCTTTTACAAATTTATTCCATCAATATATGCAAGCTATTCTCTAAAACTCTAGACACTATATTAACATAAAATGTATATAGAAAAGAAACCTAATAAAAATTCTGAAATTCTTTAAGAATTCGTAATGATTCGCAAATAAAAATTGTGGTTATTTAATTATACGACCGTTCGTCAGATGGGTCCTTCTTTCCTTTTGGCTACTTTTGCTACAAACAATATACACTTCTCAGCACATTCCTCGCATTATTTAGGTCGAGACTTTTACTTTGACGTGAGCAGCTAAATCTTTATATAACGAAGAAATGCGCCTAAAATATTTTCTTTTTAACATTTGTACGATAATTGATCATCATGATTCAAAGTTAATTCCGCTAAATAAATAGTAAAAAAAGTTTAAGGTCGATTTCTTTTTTTCGTTTTGAAATTGAAATGTGTGATCGCGAAAAAAAATTTCACGAATTTTTCGTTCATCAAGCTTATGATATAATTAGGATTAAAAGCATTGTAGGATATTGTAGGATAACGAGTGAGTATATAGTATCCGGTATATCGTGCAGGACTTATGATAAGAAATTATTATTTACACCATGTATATATATCTGGTCTTACAAGTTATTATTAAATAATATCAATATTCAATTGCACAAAAGAGAAATGTAGATAATAACAAAATCATAATAACAATGTTGTGCAACAGCCGGTCAGACCTAAGAAATGCATGTGTACGCTTACACGCGCTTCCACAATATATTGTATATGCGAAAAAGTAGATCTTTTTATTACATATAAAAAAATGAAAAGGAGAATCGCTGTGTGAATCCTTCTCCCAAGCGAACCTCCTCCTCAGGATGCTCTTCGCGCATAACCGGACGTTAATTAGTTATATACCCTATGATCCAAAGATCTTGAAAAATTTAGACTTTAGAAGATCAACGTGGATCGTAGGATACAATGATTACATGAAATATATGAATCCTAGGTGTGTTTTGTAAATTCGAAATTTTATGAATTCATTGTTTTACGAGACCTATATTTAAATCTTTAGGACAAAAAGAATCCTGAAAAATACATATCCTATAAATTATGTATATTTTTTTAGGATCTGCCGATTTTCGCGAGGATTTTTTACAGATTGTGTAATCCACGAGTCCTACATTTTATGAATCCTAGGATATAAAGATCCTGAGAAATCGCACCCAAAATCTATAACATCTAGGATATACGGCTTCTAGAATTTAAAACGTTTAAGAGTTTAATGTAATTTCTAGGCTCTATGGACTTAAAATTCGATGATTCCTAAAATGTATAATGTTCTATATATATATATATATATATATATTTATATAAACTTGATAATTTATTTAGATTCCTATAGAATGTAAATCCTACAAATCTTAAAGATTTAGAGTTGCCCTGTGCGCTTTAGGCTTTCTATAATTTTAAGTTTCGGCGTTCTAACGAACGTAAGAATTTTAATAGTTAGAATTAAAGCTCTAATATATAATAGATATAATTGGAAATAGATTAGGCAGAGAAGAATTTCATGCCTAAAAGTAATAATTTTGATAAGCTTTTCCTAATTTGATTTACGAATACATATAATGAACATATATTTATGCCTTTATTATTATTAAAATTAATATAAGACACAAATTGTATCAAAAATTATAATACTAATCAAAAAATAATCATTAAATAATGATTAAATTTATACTCAATTTTATTTTACATGTAATTATTACTCAATAAAGTAATTTTTAAGTAGAGAACTAAGTATTATACTTAATAATTTAAAATTCACATCACAGTTCAAAAATCATTGGTTTAAATGGTAATAGCAACTAAATGCGTGAATCCTAGAAGCCGTTAACCCCTATTATCTCCTAGTATAAATAGATCCTGGATGTATGGCTACGTCGACCAGCGGCGTGAAAAAAACAAAAGATAGAAAAAAAGAAAGTCAGATGAAAGTAAAAAGAAAGAAAAACCAGCAGAAAGATTAGAGAAATGAAACGCCCGGGCGTTTTGGTGTGCTGATTACAGCCTTAATTGGCTTTGAGCTTATCGTTATAGCCGATGTGACCAGGTGCGCTGTTAGCAAAGTGCTTCTTGTCGGCCTTCTTTCCGGCCAGGTACGTCTTGTGGAAGAATCGCGCGAATAAGACAAAATAGCTGAAGTACATCGCGAAGCTAAAATTGATATTCATGCGAGTGATGTGGCAGTCCACTTTGCCGCTCTCCAGATATTGGTAGGCGGATATATTGATGGCGCAGCCGATCACCATCTGGGCGAGCTGTAACCCGGTGATTACCATGGAGATCGCTTTAGGTGGCTTGTACCGCATCGACTTGAGAGCGTAGTAGGTGTACATGATCGAGTGAACGCAGTAGTTCATCACGACGTACCATCGCGCGGACGCGGTATGCTCCGAATATGAGAACCAGGAGTACAGTAGGACGGTGATGTGATGATACCAGTGCAGGAAGATCAACGGCTGTTTACGCAACACGATAAAGATAGTGTCGCCTAATTCAGGGAGCTTCGACAACACGAACATCCATGTCCAGAAGCCCGACACGCAATCCTGTTCGATGAAGCTGTAATCAAAATTCATGTTCACGATCAATTTTATCTAACAAGACGGAAGCAATTTTCTAATACCTCAGTTTTTAATTAATTTCTGTTCTAAAAAAAAGAAAATTAAATATAATAAAATATAATTAAATAATTCGATATAAAGATGTAATAAATAAATTAAACAGCAGTATGGATAAATGAATTTCGGTATCTGATAACAAAAAGCAATATGATACTTTTTATCTATTAATCAATAATGCTTTTAGATTAACAAAAAAATTTTAATTATTGCTAGCATATACTCTATCGTGTCAAAAGATGTGTAATATATATATGAATATATAATGGCTAAATAGATTAGTAAAAATATGAATAAAATATTGTATACTTTACGATCTTTGAAATTTAGCTCGCAAAAAGTAAGAAAAATATTATTTTTGCACACACGTAATATAAATACAATAATTATGCAAATTAAAGATAAAGTTAATTACTTCCTTTTATTTAAATGCATTTTATTTTTAATCCTTTGTTTCTTTTTACAAGTCAATTGTGAAATAAATGTTTATTTATTTACGCGAATAGTTTGAAACATTATATATCTCGTATAAACTATATAAATCCGAGAATAGTAATTAATTATATCTCGTATGAATTATGAAGAGAATATACATTAATTTAAAAAAAACTTGTTTCAACAAGATTTAATCTCAAAATTATAAATGTCATAAATTTTTATTTGTTCCAATAGCGAATATATTTTAATTAAACATATAAATTATGCGCATTCATTGTGCAGTTACTCGTATACCATTGCATATTATAACACTGAATATGCAATTAACTCATAAATATATAGACGTTTGTGTACAATGATAAACATTTTCAATTTTCATGATTATTAATTATATACGAGTATTAAATGTTTGGTGTCGGAAAATTTGCTTGAAAAAGAAGAAAGAATATTCTTGTTGAAAGGATTTGCAAATGAGAAAACCAAATGAATGATCGCGAGCAAAATAAACTGACCTTGGTATACAAATGCTATGGTGTAATCCGTGATGCCTGAGTACGTGAATTAATTCGGGCGCCGTTCTGGTGAAACCGATGATAGAAAAGGTAGCCAATAACGTATTCCAAAGACACAGTATTCCCCTGAGTTCGAATCTGGGCCTGCTGGCCATATAAAGTTGTCCGCCGAATATTAAGATCATGTACAATCCGCAGTAATAGAAACCATTCGTCCAATTCTTCATCATCCATTGCTTGGTCTCGTAGTGGCTGAATGTCTCTTCGAAATTAAAGATGTAGGAATAATTCGGGAGGGTCACCTCCATATAATCCACCTTATTCATCTTCGATGCTCTTGTCTTTTATTCGTCTTTCTGTAAACAAATTTGAATAAATGATTTCGCCTCTTTGAATTTATTATCGCGCCGAGTTTTTTGTTGTGCAAATCCAGAATGTAAAAATATCGAGTTCAACGAGTTCAGGAGGGAAAAAGAACTTAGATATCCACGAATGTTTAATTATCATATATATATATATATATATATATATATATATATATATATATATATAATATTCCATTTTAATCCTTCTAGCAATGCATAATTTTTCACCTTTTGATCAAAGTATACGTAAATTATAATTAATATATATACATATATATATACATATATATACATATATATATATATATATATATATATATATATATTATAACCAGTTTAAACGAGTATAACGTGTTTGTTTTTTTTTAATTCTAAAATAAAAAAATTATATAAATATTTACGTTCGCATTTTTTTAACTCGAAATGTCATTTGTCTTTGCATCAATCATTTATAATATGTAATATCATTCATTCTTCCAATTATTTAATCCTTTTGTCCATAAATGGATATTCGAAGCAAAACTTATCCTCGTCCAAAACTATGCAAAACTATTCTTTTCTATATTCAAAAACACGAAAAAATTTTTTTTTCGATGTTGGACTTTGAATAATTATCTGTTATAAAAAAAGTATGGTATTGAAAACTACGCAGTTGTTACCAGATTATGTATACGTATATACTTTGATCAAAAGATAAAAAATTATGCATTGCTAGAAGGATTAAAGTGAAATATTGCATGTAATATACGCCAATTATAATAAATGACCCAATAGTAGAAATTTTTTTAGTTAGATAATAAGAATAAAAAAAATATAGTAATTTAAATTTTTAAAAATCGCAAAAAAAATTAAAAATTAATGGAGAAAATTATGTAGAAAATAAAAATAAAAAAGAAAATAATAAAGATTCTAAATTCGAAAGCTACGAAGAACACAAAAACAAATTACCAATCCAAATTAAGACCTAGCACATATTTTCATCAACATCTTCGCTTTTCATTTTGTATAAATATCATCTCGTATAAATAATTAATTTAAAAGTATTTTTTATTATTAATATATATTTATTCATATTATTAGAAAAAATGATATATATGTATGTCACGTGGTACACGTTGTCTCTACAATTACAATTATTTTTACATTAAATTTTCCATAAATTTTTAAGTGATTCAGTCAACACCTGACTCTTATTATAATCAACTTTTGATTGTATTACGATCAAAATGATATATACACATATGTCTATAGACTATAATTAGTTTAAAAGTATTTCTTACAGGTATACATCCTTTTTCTAGACGTTTTCTCATATTGTAGTTTGCAAGATACTTTTAAATTACTTTTAAATTAATTATAGTGTATATACCCAGATAGCCACAGTAATTATTATGACATCATTTTGATGGCAAATGGCATTTTGACATCAAAATGATGTCATAATAATTACTGTGGTTATCTGGGTACATCTGTGTATATGTCATTTTGATCGTAATACAGTCAAAAGTTGATCATAAGAGCCAGAAGTTGGCTAAATCGCTTAAAAATTCATGGAGAATTTAATATAAAAAATAATAATATAAAGATGCAGAAAATGTACAGTGACGTGTACCACGTGACATATGTCAATTTCTAATATATGTGTGTATGAGTGTATTTTTTATATATATATATATAATTCATAAAACAAATAGGGAGTGTCGCGGTCTCCTCGTGGCGTGTCGGTTTGAAACGAACAGCTGCGCGCAACCACATTCACGCGTATGGAGCGGCGCACGCGTGAGCCACGAGCGCGCCAATCCGAGTTCGACGCTCGATCTCACGCGATGCGTCCCTCGATCGATGCGTGAAAGATTAAAATCTGAAAAGTCAAAGTGCGAGATTTTTTTTTACGTGTCCTTTGATCGCCGCGCTTTATTTGTCCCCACAGATGTCACGTGTTCGTATTTCGTGAAGGACATCGTTTGAAACGACTCCGCAATTGATCGGAAAATAATGAATAAGTAGAGGAAAACGAATTAGTTTACGTGCGCTGGCAAATTGCTCCTAAATTATATTACTCGCACGCAAGTAAGAAAGGAGTCATGCAAAAAAAAATTTTTTTTAACATTGAAATATTATATATGCTTTGAATAAAATCGATCAAAATTATACAGAAGAATTTTATTACGTCATATCTTGTTATGTCATACTTCCATGATATTCGCAAGAGTTTTCTAATAGTATACATGTGTCGATCACATATTTTTATTAATCGTTTTTCTGCAGGTTAACTAATATTAGTTTGCCGTTCAACTGGTTTAGTTTCTTTTCTTTCTTTTTGCGTATTGAATAATCGCCGTGTAAATGAGGATTTGAATATCAATGTATTTAAATTACAATATTCATATGCGCAAACTTTGTTTTGCGGAAAGTGGCTTCTTCGCAAAAAATGCTAATAAACGTACAATAACTAATACATATTATAGAAGAAAAAGAAGCGAGACATTTGAAGAAGAGAGATCAAGGTTTCAATAGACGCTAAAAAAGTGAAAAAAATATGTACCCACATTATTAACGGAATTCGTATTTCGGTCGTCGAGAACGGTTTTCGAAGCTCTATATGCCTCCTGAAGTGAGCTCCGATTCGTATCCGCGCGCGCGTACAAACGCACGAATAGAAGAAGCCCGATTCGCTTCATTCACACACACACACATGCGTGCACACAGGCGTATCCTCCCTTTCCGTGTATACGTGCGGAGAAAACGTACACGCACACATCCATACACACATACATATATACATACCTAGATAACTGATGCTACTCCTCGTAGATTTTCAGACTCGTCGAGCGCGAACGTTCGCTGGGTCTTCAGGCACGCACTGGTTCAAGCGTGGAGCTGTCAAACGTCGAAAGGGAGAGAGAGAGAACTCGCGGCCGCGAGAGACCGGCGAGTTACGAACGACGTTCCCGACGTTGTGTATATATATATATATATATATGTATATTGTGTGTGGGCAAGGCCACTTCCTTTACAGGAGTCTCACCGGCGCCTCCTGAGATACTCGAGAGAGTAGACGGATAAACAAAAATCCGTCCTGGAGAAGGAAGAGAGCGCGAGCACTCTCTCTCAAGATCCTCTCTCAATATCCTCGTCGTCTCGCGCGGCGCTTTAATATATACCGACTCTCTCTCTCTCTCTCTCTCTCTCTCCCTGTGTATAAGTGTGTGTGTGTGAGGAGTGTGCAAAACGTCCCGGCCTCGTTCTGAGTCAACTCGCCATACTCGCACTTTTTACTACAGGACGAGCCGCGCGAGACTGCCGCCTCGTCCGTTGCTCGTCGTCTTGTACTTTCTTGCCTTGTGCGTGGCTTCGCACACACTTACCCCCTTTCTTTCTCCACACCCGCCGAAGGCAGTGACATCTATTTCCCTCTCTTCTCTTCCCGTGAAATTTTCCCAGTCGGCAAGAGAGAGAAAGAGAGAGAGAGTCCGCGAGGACCGATTTTTGACGGATGCGTCGTCCGTTCGGGTCGTGCTCAGATTTTTTCATGTTATCGAAGATTCGTGGCGGAGAAGAGATCTAGCAACATGATCGGCAAGCAAAGCCAGCCCGATATCAACGAGGACAATCAGGCACGAATTAAACTGATAGCGAACAAACGGAGATTCCTGGAGGAGAAGTCAGCTCAGGTATATTTTTACACCTTTGGCTTTTTTTTTATTATTGTTGTGTGTATTGTTGTTTAATTACACTCTGTCTTTTCATTTCTTTGAGATTTCTTAGAATGAAAGATGCGTACGGTGGAAATATGTGTCATTCAACTATCGTTTCATGAATGTACACAAGTATTTAAGATCGTAACACAATATACAAATTTTATATGAAATTTTATATATAATCTCAAATTAAAATTGATCAACAATGTGAGAGTATTTATAATCGTATGTTAAATTTAAAAATAAATATTAAGCATTTAAAATAAATATATTGGTTTTATGAAACAACGACAAGATTAAGGTGCGTTCTTTCTTTACAATACATATTCAAAATTGTATGAAAAGATTGATGTTCATTAATATGAAAAACATATAACAGAGAAATCTTTGAAATTCTTTACAACAAAAGGTGTGTGCGATGTAAATATGTAATTGTATTTCCAAATTAAAGTTTATATATATATATATATATATATATAAGAAATGTGAGAGCATTTCATCATATTTATGTAAATTAAAAAGTTTAATTGAAAATAAATATTAAGCATGCTATTTTTATATAAAAAAATAAGATGCTTTTTTTCTTTACATATATTCAAAATTAATTATTAGATTTCAGACTATGTTGCATATTTGTTATTTTGTTGCTTACTCTAAGAGAGTATTAATGTGAACAAATTATAATGGTTTCAATTAATTACAGTAATTAGTGCTTTTGTAAAACATGCAAATAGTATCAAATAAGTAATTTGCATATGATTCAAAGTCTGTTGAGTATAAGAATAGTGTAAAAAGCATAATGGCAGCAAAATCTTTTATGATGATCAATAATTCATAATATACAGATACACTATAGAGTAAAACATCAATATGTAACTATAAAATAACTGTTATCCTTTTTTCAGAATCATAATAAGAATTTAATTTGCAGATTGAAGCGGAGATCAAAAGTTGTTTCGACGAACTAGCAAAAGCTCTTCAATCTAGAGAGAAGCAATTACTACGTCAGGCTGAAGCCATTCATAGACAACAACTTTCACTGGTAGAGACTTCATTGGAATTTCTGCCATCATCGATAGTAGTCCTTAATGATAGAAACGAGCTAGAGGAACGAATACGCCGATTCGGTAACATCGAAACACATGGTTTAAATGGAATTACTATGAAAGATGCAGAGCCATATAAGGTTGTGGATTATCAAGACGCTAACAAAGATCATGTTAGCTTCGATAAAGCAATCACATGTCAAAAATCAAAGATCTGAGCCTTCCACGTTGTAAAGATTTTATATCCGACTACAGAGCTCTGCGTATTACAAGTTTGCCTACCACTTTCAAAAATCACTTGCAAGATTCACAGAATGTAAAAGGCAATGCATTAAAGATCTTCAAAAATACATTATCCTTGTCGGGATGCTCACCACTTTTAATTATAAAACGTAAACTTGGTCTAACACATGTATCCTTGGATGGATTGCATGCCTTCGACAAAGCATATTCACAGACTATACAGTCTCTTGAGATGTCTTGTAAAAACACAGAGTCCTGTAGGCTCTTGACAAACGAAGAGATTGAAACTAATTTACGAGAATTAGATAAAGAAGTGTCCAGTCAGGATGATTGCGAATTAATTAGATACTCAAAGCAACGAAAAAAAAACCATGAGCATCCGATACAGGTGCAGCAATGGTTACAACAAATTCTTGCAGAGACTGAGATAGAACCTGCGATTCACGAGATCGGGCAATTCTCCGAAATATCCAAGGTGAAACTTTGTAATAAGCTGTAATCCCAATTCATCAAATCGGTATTTCTATTTGGGGCCAAAGTTTCCAGAGCTATGGAAAAACAAACTGAAAAGGCTGATCTACCTTAGAATTACACACCAGATGCTTTTAATTTATACGATCTTTCGTAAATTGAAAAGATATCGTTACATTTTGGAATAAAACAGGAACACACGAGCAAGGACACCAAACTTGAACGATAAAGAAAGGGAGAAAGAGTAAAAGATTTATTGTGTACATTGATAAACTTTAGTACCTCTGCAACAGATACTCATTGCATTATTCCTTGTTTATATAACAAACGCTTTGTAAAAAGGAGAAAGAGTAAAAGATTTATTGTGTACATCGATAAACTTTAGTACCTCTGCAATGGATACTTATTATGTTATTCCTTGTTCAATATAACAAATACTTTGTCGTTCTCGAAATATTGAACAAAATTGATTAGTGCCCTTTTAAAAATTATTGCTTAAAATCGATGATTACCTAATTTATGAAACAATTTATATAAGACTGTGTTTATTCTATTAAAAATATATCGCGTATTTATTTATCGTGTATAGTCTTCAATTTATATGCGGTTTGCTGTGTTATGTTATTAATGAACAATATATTGGTCGATAAATCTTGACAGCGAATAAATGAATAATCTTGATGCAATTTCTTCAAGTAATATCTTTTTTATGAACGTCACATGATTGTATGTTGTAAATAATCAATTCAATTCATTGTCATATTATAATTCAAACTCTTTCTCTTCACTTACTGACTAATTACATGACTAAATTGTGCGTATGCATGTAATTGTCGATTCCGCAACTAATTAATCCAATTAATTAAATGCTCAATTTTAAGAATATAATTAAAATCTGTTGGTAATTAATATATATATTACATTGAACAAAAGTAATTTAGGATTACGCTTCACGCATTTATGTTTCACTGCTTAACTTACCAGTGTTAAACGGATATTATTATGTGGTTTTATATCATATTTAATATTGTGAGATGAAAAGGTCTTTAATAAATTAATATTATTTGTAAAGTTGCACATGGAGTTAGGATATAACTGGAGAGAAATACCCATCTTCATTTCAATTAATTCACACTTGTATATCCATATGGGATTTAATTTTTGTTGGTTTCACATTTCTTTAACCCTAAACTGTATAAGAATCTGTGGCATATTCTTTTTAATATTAAATTTTTAACATTAATAAGATAACAAAATAATTTTACAAACATTCAAATTCTGTTTTTGAAAATTAATTTCAAATCGAGTTCTAATTTTTTATATAAAAATTTATTAGATTTTATATGAAAATATAAATGAATGTGAAAATTTTATTCCCATGATATAAATGTATTATATCGATATGTATATATATTAAATCGTATTGTTTTATACTGTTTAGGGTTAATCGTGTATACGTATATTTTATACATTCAGTAATATTTTATCAATTATTCAAATCAGAAAAACGTTTGTTAGAAAAATAATTTATCCCGACACAATTTCATCGTTTTTATACATTGTGCCTTACAATAGAGAATATATATTTATATATGCGATATATGTATACATATTATATATGCTGTATATATATATCGACATATATATGTTTTAATACACGAGTTATATCGTCAGTGCAGGCAATAACATGAGCCTGCTGCTGCTGTTAATCCTTTCATTGATAAAAGAGAAATACAAAGGTATTTAAATTTTAAATATATTCTGTTTTATATATATATATAATATATATATATATATAAAAATAAAATCTCGACGGCAATCGGAGCCTGTGTGGATGACATGCACAAAATTAATGAATTAAAATGAGATCTCAAACAAACTCATTTATTAAATTCTAAACGTTTCTGATAATTTTCTGATTGTACCGATTATCTTTTATTTTTGTTTCTTTGTATTTTGCAGCTACTGAAGAAGACCCGAAGTGGGTCGAAACGTTTAGAATTTAATAAATGAGTTTGATTTGAGATCTCATTTTAATTCATTAATTTTGTGCATGTCATCCGCACAGGCTCCGATTGCCGTCGAGATTTTATTTTTATTGTAACACAATAATTCGAGCCGAGATTAACAGTTTTTTATATTATATATATATAGTTAAGAAAAGTAAAAATAAAGGATTAACAACAAAAGTTGATTTTCCTGCCCTTAACGACTAAAAAGAAGAAGAAACAAACAAAAAATAGAAATATGTAATACTAATTCTGTCATTATATAGATGTAATACATTATTATTTTATAAAAGTGTCAGCACCTTTGAATATTTCGCTTCATTCGCGATTTTGAACTAAAGCAACTTACAATATCATTGAGGCAGCAATGGAAGAGAGAAGAAAACTTGTATTTACAGAAAAAATTAAAAATTATTATAATTAAAAAAGTTTATAAATGTTCAAACTGCTATTAGCTTTTTATTAAATATGTTTATTAAACATGTTTCGAATTCATTTTCCAATGCTGCCGTTTTACTTTAATGTTATAAAAATTCTCCCACTTGACCCTCAATCTGACGAGAGAGAATATAGCGTAATTAATGTGTAACAAGATTAATTAATCGATAATAGTTTGATTTATCTCTCGCTCAGGAACTAATTTCATTAATTAATAAGGCTAGAACTAAGAAGTAAAGCTTGGGTCATAAAAGTGATAATCGATTGTGAGGAGGCCAACTTATTACCCTCCAAGTTCTGCCCAAATATCCTTTGCTCCATCATTTTAGTGAGACTTGATAGAAGATCCAGTCCTCGAAAAAGGACGGAACAAAGGCGCGATCCTTTGTGAATGTAACCGGCACGCAGAGTTGCAAAAGAACCTCTTCATACATTTTCAAGGATTCTGGACAAGATGCACCATTTCCCTATGTTTGAAAAATATATTAAGCAATGGTAAAAAAATGTACATAGTTTTCTTTTAACAAAATATATAAATATTACTAATGCTTATCACTTAAAGTTAATTTCTTTTTATGCAATAAATAAAACTTCAGATTTGAATCAAGTAAAAATACTTACATGCGTCATGTACTTTCCGGAAGGTTTCAACACCTTCATTGAAGAGTTTAAAATTAATCTAATAAAATCCCAGGCATCACCGTGTGGCGTTGTGCTAATAGGAATATCCGTCAAATCGCCAAAGACATAATCAAATTGTCGTCCTTCTTCAATCATATGCGCTAATGCTTTCACGCAATCGCCGACAATAATCTATATAGACAAAAAGTGTTATTATATATTCGTATAAATTTCAACATGTACAATAATCTACAAAAATTCATGGATTAAACCTTACTTCATAATTATCGCCCTTTCTCTTGTCTAGGCAATCGCCACATATGCTACGCATATGCTGACTACAAGCTTTCATAACAATGTCATCTATCTGTAAGGCAAACATAAACGCAAAATGTAAGAAATTTGTTACAAATTGTACAATTACGCGAAATTCAGCTTACATACTTCCAACATTGTTATGAACTTTGGCTTTTCCTTCAACAATTCCCATAATAGGCCGCCATCGCCACCGCCAAGTATCACTATTTCCTTCCCAGCATAGTTCTCTTTGCCACGCTGCATCAATGTTTCTGTATATATAAGATCTGCCTCGGACATATCTATGGAAGAATTTCTAGTAAGTTGTATAAATAGTGAAGACAAAATTAGAACACAATGTCAACTTACTTTGCAGCTCGTCGAGTACTAGCAGATTGCCCAGCGACTTGGAGTGCACAATTTGTACCTTCTGATACGGTGATCTGGCCTCGAACACGAGCTTATCGATGTCGTATTCCAGTAGTCGTTCATCTTGAATAAGAACAATATCTTTATTGGCAATACTTGTACGTCGTTTCATATAATAAAATGCTAATTTTTAAAGCATGCTTCCAAATACATATAAAAAACATCGCAAAAAATAAAAAACGAGGTCTCGCAAGGCAAAGCTAATAACACGCATGGGGGGGGAACGTTAGCATCATAACCAGAAATGGAAAAGTGATGTGAGAAGAGGACGATTGTAAAAGATACTATTAAAAACTGCGGTCGCTTCGTCATGCAAATATAATGTCCTCGATATTAACGCGAAGAGATGGGAAGGATGTTCCTGAATGGAACCGAGTAGAGATTTTCTTTTTATGTACATATTATCAATGAATATGAAAAGGTGTCTAGAATCAGAAATCTCGCCAAGCCTGTCTAGCCATCTTATATATAAAATCAAAAACATTTAATTAAATCAATTTTACAAGTTTGTGGCTTGATGAGTTTCGATCTTAAACGCCTGAGAAAATAAATACTTTAGAGAGATGGATGTTCTTTATTCATTATTCTTTGTTCATATTTTATTATTCGTATTTTTTTTTGTTAAATAAATTAAAAGCATGAGGACATTTTATAATACAAACATTTACAAATCGATGGATAATACTAGATTTATTTTTTCCAATTTCGATCGAGCTCCTTAAGTACAAGCAGTTCCTTCGTAAGAGCGGCCGTTAGCTGGTCCGTAAACATAATTATAAATAAAAACTCACCGGCGGTAGGAAAGTATCTCTCAAAAGGTCCACCGCGTTTAATTGGGATAAGCGTGTGCGACCGTGTAGCAGTTGCTGCTGTCTGCAATGCCGCTCCCAATTCTTTGGCCAACTATCACGATCGGCCATCATCATCATTGTCATGACCGTCATCATCATTATCATCATCATCATCATCATTATTATCATCATCATGATCATCATCATCATCATCATCATCATCATTATATCATCATCATCACCATCACCATCATCATTATATCATCATCATCATCATCATCATTATCATCATCATCAAGCCGAACCAATGAATGAACAGAACAAAGACACTATCTTGTAAAACGGAATCGCTACACTCCTTGTTGTTAAGGAAGCTAAAAAAAGGTGTCAAAATCTGGCAAGCCATGATATATGGCAAAACTTATTTTTGTCCAAACAAATGATACGTAACAAGCGGTAAAACGCGAATCATGATAAAGACAGCTGTATCTGCATGTATGTGTAAGTATGTGTGTAATGTGTATTATCGAGAATCGTACGACTAAAAGTGTGACAAAAATTTGTAAATATAAAAATTTAATAATTTCAGAATTTAAAAGGCTCTTAAAAATCTCCAAACACTGAAAAGAATAACGAAACAAATTATTACAAAACTTAATATATCTTAAGCTATTTTATAATTTTATATTGCAAAAATATTATTATACACATCTCTTGTACATATATAATTAGAATTTCTTGATTCAAAATAAAGATAACAAAATCTTACAAAAACATTTCAGTTAGGTATACATAAAAACTATTTTAACAGAGAAGATTATATTTTAATTTGTTAAAACAATGGATAATTTAAATTTATTAAAGTAGCACATAAAGGGGAAACATTACAAAACTAATGATAATAATTTATAATACAAGCCATACATTTATATCAGATTTCTTTTACTTGTCTTTCACACATAATGCTATGAAGCTATTCTTAAAGTTAGCCTGATAATGAAATATATTCTACGTATTGAGCCAGATGCCTAAGAGCTTTTATTCGTACGATCAAGAAGGGATAAGAGATAATTGTAGATGTAAATATACATATGTTCAAATATTACAGATTTAATAAATAGTTAAAATCTTTTTATGAACAAATTGAGGGTGCTGGATAGAAAAAACTTGGGCTGAACGTTACAGTGCTGGGAAAAAAATTAAGTTAGCATTCCTGGAAAGCGGCCTATATCCTAAATATCTATTAATGACAGTCAAATAGCGATTGTGACTCTCTCTATGCCAAAAAATATTCCATGATAAAAATCTACATATATGTAAAGTAGATGTGTTAGGAAAAGTAAACGAGGAACAAAATTTAATTGAGGGAAAACATTTTCTACCTGATAGCGTCAGATAGAGGTCATATATGGTTCCTCGTCTTATTGGTGGTAAGTGCTTGCTGCGCTGGCTGTTCAAAGCCATGGCAACATCAGCTTCCAAGTATCGCAACTGCTACAATGTTCTGTCAGTTATATCATATTTCCTACTTTCGTTATAAAAAATGTCTATGATGTTAAAAAGAAGGGACTAACAAGACATATAGTACTTAGACATTGAATACAAAAAATGTTTAATTAATAAGATCAAAGAAAAATAGATCTTCATGATTTTGTGTGTGTTCTCATATTAAAACTTTTATTGCTAATATAACAACTATCTTATCGCCATATACATTTAGATAAGATAATGCAATCCTACGTTTGTACACATCACAATCTAATGTGCTTACTCATTCTTGTACATTTCAAAGCAGCTTTGTAAATACAAATATGTAAAAATTTATTTGTATAACTAATTTTGAGAGTTTAATAAAATTTAATTAAATATTGTTCCTATTTATAATTAATAAACTATTAATAATAATTATAATTAATAAATCTAATTATATCTGTCACTTTTTTATTTTAGAATAGAGAGAAAGAAAGAAAAGAGAAATAAAAATCAAAGAAGTAATGATTTTAATTGTATGATTTTAATAAGAAATTGAGCAGTTCTGAACAATAAATTTAATTAAAATAATTTGTATTATCAAAATCGAAAATCTCTTTTGCTCTGAATGAGGTAAATTTTTTGAAATATATTAGTTAACTATTTTTAATATTTAGTCTAATGTGAAAGAAAGTATTATATGCTTCTTAGATTTTTAAACCCTTTTCTTTAACAACCAATATTTTACTGTTTTATTTCTTAATTTGATTTTAAATTTTACCATTAAAAAGCACTAAGTCATATAAATATGTATCAATGCGTTAGAAACTTGTGTTTAGTGTTTTCTCTTTCTAACAGCCTGTACTTTATTAGCGTTTCAATTAAGCCAAGTGTTATCACGTTATGTCGCATTGTTCATTCATTGTTTGTCAAAAATTGTTTACAATTTTCTAATGAAAACCTACATATTCGCTATTCATTCCTCTTTACATTTTCAGAAAAATTTGAATAAATAATTACAAAATTCCTATATACATACATAGAAGGGTGATGTGTTTTTCAAAACTATTAGCGTTCTCGTTTTTGAAATTTCATTCGTAAAAGAGATACATATATCTGCCATCACTTGTCAAAAATTATTCAACTTTTGGTGCATACATACCTCAAATGTCAACAGTGCTTCCTGGTCATCCTGCTTGTAATATTCGATGTTTAACGTAATCAGACCTTCCGTGTATCCTCTGACAGTGATCAGACTGCCCCTAGGTCCGGTATACAAAACGAGCAAACTGCCATCGATATTAGACTCTGTCAGTGGCTTGAGACCGATGAAATGTTCCGCCAGTACGTTCCCGATCGCCGACTTCAAGCTGGAACGCTTTTCCATATCAGCAATCACGCTACTGGACACCGTGAAGTCCAGGAGAACTGTATGTGCCACCATCGTGTTTCTGTTACAGATAAAAGAATTACTTAATCGAGTCATTTCAAATTCAACATCTTTATAAGGTAAACGGCCCACTTGTTGACCTCTTAAATGCAAAAAGAACAGTTATTTTTTTATTTATGAAAGTAATATAAGATAAAATTGATGACAAATAATGCATAAATCAGAGTTTTCTGTATAATATACATTTATTTTGCAAGTAAATAGAACTAGAAATTATAATAAATTTATTTCTAATTATTCATTTTAAAATGTCAGTTTCTTTGCAATTTCAGGTAATCCATAGCGTTATTTATCTCATTGATATGATAATTAACGTCAAAGTATATTAATAAAATTAAAATATATCGATAGAGGGTCAGCAAATGGGCCGTTTACCTTAGTTCGTTCGATCCTTATCAATCCGCAGGGGAAAGCGTCTTATCGCACGCAGATGTAAATATCGTATCGTATCAACTCGAGACGGAGCCGTAGAAAAAATGCACCGTAATGATTGTAGGTTATGTGCTCCTCTCACAATTTCGATTGCACATTTGCGCATCTGCAGATAAAGATTACGATGGAATTTCGAGGAAAAAACCATGAAAAATTTGATCGTCATGCCGACGCAGCATCGAGGAGAAAAAACATTATTACATAATTTAATTGTCTCTCCCGGGGGGGAAAAAATATTACGTAATTATCGCGCCGATTAAAATGGATTATAAAATTAATCCGTCCGTAATCCGAATATATTCGGACTTTCGATAATCGACAGGTAATTGATTGATAAGCCGCGCCGGTTGTTTATACTCACATAATTATCGCAACAACGTTTATCGCTCGGTCTGTTCGGACGAACACCAGTTATTGCTCCGACCGGGGGAGGACGCAAGCCGCGCATGCGCGCCAGCGCGATGCGCGCGCAGCTTGTCAGACGCGCGCGAAAATTCCGGCAATTTAAACAACCTACGATTAAGCTTCAAGAACGCTCACTCTAAAAATTTTAAATAAAGCAAAATGGCAATTAAAAAAGGCACACATTTCGTTAATTTATCACTCGCATATGTGTATAAGTGTTGCTGTAACTTAACATTACAAGATAACATTATATAATAAACATAATTATTTTATGTTTATTATATTATACCACTGACGAGGTAACAGTACCTCGTCAGTGATTATACATATTTATTATATATTAATTTTTTTATTACATTTATTATATATATATAATCATATTAACATGATAATTTATAAGAATAAAAATAAAAATGGAAAGGATCAGTAATTCAGATAATCTTTTGTTTTAATATTCAGTGAACGTATATTGAAAATAATACAATATGCGAAAAAAGATACAATTAAAAGATATAAAATACAAAAAATGCAAATATGTGTAAATTAAAGATTTAACCGCCATAATTATTTAAAAATTTATAGTAAAACTTACCCCACTAAGAATTAATATTTATTTTTATCAATCTTCCACTAATCCCAAAGGAATCGAATATTTGTACATGTGTGCCATGTGAAACTTATATATAAACAACATGTGTGTACATATATATATATATATATATATATATATATATATATATATATATATATATATATAATTAGAAAGATTATACAAAAATTTTTTTACATTATCCATTAAATTGTAAGATTAATTGTAAAAGGTGTGATTAGTATAAAACTCGAAAAATGCACTTTGAGTACATTTTATTTTTTGAGGCTGCATGGAAATGTCATATTTTAACTAGTCGTCCGAGTCCTGCAACAATATTTGCATGCAATATTGTCTTTTCCTTTCTCGTCCAATAATGTTTTGGAAAATAATTTGACAGATTTAAGAATAATTTTGTGTTTTACTATGAGATTTAATTTTTGAGTGATATTGTTATATGATATAAATTTTCTTAAATTAAGTTAATCTTATATCTCTAATAGTAAGAAATATGCAGTAATATAATGTACATACATATTATTATTGTCTCAAACATCACTTAACACACATTCATTTAATGCATGTAAATTCGAAGCATTATCCACATTCACTACAAGATTCTAAGAAAGCTACATATACATAATAAATCTATAAAATACACAATACAATTTTGTTTTGCAAAGCAATCAAACTTAAAAAACAAAAAAAATGTTAGCTTTTATTTGTACATTATTCTCTCTATCACACACTTTCTCTCTCCCTTTCTATCCTGAAAGCCATATTTTTTCGGAAATTATTTTTTCCCTCTACCCTTCCATGCCATTCTCTATCCATATTAATACCATTGATTAAGCAAATGTTTTATTCAATACATAATTGTATAATATATATAGACTGCTTATTTTGAGTATTAGTGTTTACATGTGACATAATATGAATTATGTGATCAAAGGTGAACCTTGTTTTCGTTTACAATAGTATTTGTGCGGAATTTAATTAGATATTCGTTTTTGTACCTTCATTATGGCCTTGAGCCCGATCGTGGCGAGTACTCCGAGGCCAAACATTAATACGTATGACAAATATTTTGCGCCAGGTATTCCAGGTCTTCTTTCAAGTAAATGCCTAAGCAACATCAATTTTTTATCGGAATACGGCGAAAAGCGGTTCCTGTAAAACACATTATTTAAAATTGGTTTAAAAAGTGTTTTATTAATATTAAAATATTTTATAAGTGATAAACTACTGCAGAATATGTGTTAATCTATAATTTATGATTTTACAATCGTTTTTTTAATGCGAGATACGTATTTAAATATATATAATAAAAGAGAAAGTTTACTTACTTTCCCAACACCTCTGCGATTTTATTGTAATTCCGAATCAAACAACCCTTTTTGTGCGTGAATGTATCATATGTAAATTTTCCATGATAGGCTCCCATGCCAGAATTTCCTACCCCTCCGAAGGGTAGAGACTCAACTAAGAAAATAATATACAATGATAATTTATGAAACACAATATATGAAAATAATTTAATATTTATTTTTAATATATAATTATAATTTCTTTTTTTATTATTTACCTTGATCTAACTTTAAAGATTTTATGTATATAATAAATATAAAATATAAAAATAATACAAAACGTTTACATTGGAAGAAGAAGAATAGAAATGCCTTTCAATACATGAATTTATACATATTTCTAAGCGTACATGCACATATGTGCTTTAATATGTACATTTAAATTCATATGTTAATTTTGTTTTTGTGTATCATAGAGTGTTTATGTCCACATATTTACTATAATTGTGCAATATTATCTTAAAAAGTACAATTAATGCAAAGCAGTGCTAGTGTCATAAAAAATAAGTCAGAATTTAAGCAGAATATAAAACTTTTTACAACACGGCCAAGCGTAAAAATACCTGTTGCATGTAATATTACGTCATTGACAAGAATATTGCCACTAGAGGTATTATTTATGATTGTAGAGAGAATTCCTCGATCTTGGCTAAATATATACAATACTAATGGCTTCTCCCTGTGTATTAAACAATTAATGTAAGAATATTGCTTTGCAGTTGTAAATTTTTCTTGTAGTGTATGACAATGGTGATAATGCAAATGTATGCATTTATGCATAATAATAATAAACATTTTGAAACTGTATAATTCCATAATTTATACCAATAACTATTTGTGAAATATTAATGTTTTGAAATCTTTAATTTTTAATTTTTGTATGCGTTTTGATGCTGATGACCATTTGAATTTATTCCCAGCTAATCATTTCTATGGAGAGAAATGTAGGCAACAACTTTTGTTTGTTAAATGGTTGCAGATGAGAAACATATTTTGTCATTGCAAATACTGTGAGCATAAATTCAGTAAATATTTCCTAACATCAGTTCGCAGACTGTATTGACAAAGTGGTAATGAGTAATAAGCACATCTGTCGAAATCGTTACATCCAACTTTTGATGTTAAGGATATGCTTTCAACTACTGATTGCAATTGGGACGCACTCGAGGACACAGTAGGGCCTAGATTTGCAGCTGTATTTGGCAGAAAATCGTTTCCCAATTGTTAACAATTCTCAAGCAAATGGTTAGCTGGGTTATTAGCAGCAAATTATTTTGCAATTATCTTTCATTAATGCAGTTTGTATGAAAATAGAGTTTTATATACATGCATGTGTTTATGTACATGTGTTTATATACATGCATGTAAGTTTTATGTTATTATGTAAGTACATATGTATATGTATATACAGGGTGTTGAAACAAAAGTAAAATATTTTAAAAGAAATTAGAATGTCTCAAAATAAGTTAAAGTCTTCATATACTTAACTTACCTCATTTCATATACTTAACTTACCTATAATTTAACTTAATTTATCTATATTCACATGAAATAAATAATAAACAATGAAAATAAAAATAAAAATTTAAAACAAAAAATAAAAATTATAAAAATAAAAAAAAATATCTCAAAAATAGATCTAGTATTTATTAAGACTTTTTGACTTGGTTTTGGACATACTAAATCTCCTTAAAATATTTTACTTTTTTTCAATATCCTGTATACAGTGTGACTTATTAATAGAATAAAAATAATTCTTCTTATCGCATATAAATCATTAAACCAGAAGAAAGAAATGAGTATGCAGTTGTTCTTACAATCAAAATAACCTAATACATATATCTTTCATACATTTCTAATTAAATAAAAAAGTATTTCTTTTGTCTTCTCTAATTCAAAAGATTCGCGCAAAAGAATGTGTCCCTAATTATATAAACGCATTAAAAATATTCTTTGCATATTTCTCAAAGATGGAAATAGATCATTAATCTTGATGAAATATATACAATGTCACCATTGATAGTCAGGCATTAGAAAGGCACGAGAAAAAAGGAATTGTAAAACAATTAAGTATGATGGAAGCAGATTCCTATTTCTATTCCAATATCTCACAAGATTTCTTTTCCGAAATTTTTAATAAATAATATTAATAAAATATTAAAATATTATATATTAATATAATATTAATAAAATTTAATAAAATATCGAATAAACCGTCACTTAAAATCCGGACTCACCGGCATATTGCAATATCGTGTCGTTGACACACACGGCTCCGCTGCAGATCTGGTCTATAATTAGATCTTGTACCCTCTTGTTCGTGGTAAATATGTACAGTACGAGTGGTCTTTCACTAGATGTGACAAACTAATTACTTCGTGCCATTCTCTCGCGCAACAATGAACTCATTGAAAATACGAGCGCATTGCCAAGTTCGCGTTAACAGTAACGACTTAATTCAAAGTGGTGGAAATAAGAATTTCTATTTTATTTCATCGACAAACGATGTACAATAATGAACAAAAATAATATAAATTAATAAATAATACGACTTTGTTAATTAATAATAAGCATAAATGACTAAGCATAAATGATCATTTTAGCAAGTTAAATTATTCAATATGCAATGAGTATACAGGAGCCTTAAAGATTGAACTAAAATCCTATTTATTCGAGAATGATGAATTTATATGAAAGAGAATAAAAATGTATTCGGATAATTAAAATATTTGTATAAAATATTACAAAATCGCGAATTTAAAAAAATATGCGTTATTTGAAAAAAAAAGGAATTCTACTTCAATAACCTCTTCTGGCTTATACTTACTTAAAATATTATAATTAAATAACTTACCGATTATTAATAAATTCAATCGCTTCATATGCGTTATTAACATTTATTATAGGCAATATCGGACCAAATATTTCATCCTGCATAACAGGATCCGTTGGTTTGACATTGACGAGTATTGTAGGCGAGATGTATCTCTCTATAGGATTTGTCTCACCACCAACGGCAATTTTGCCGTTACCGGTTAAGTAACTGACAAGTCTCCTAGAGAGTAAAAAAAAAAAAAAACAAAAAAAAAACAATTGTCTGATTTGTGTCAAATTGTTTGAGAAAAATAGAGAAATATCAAATATCGATTTAAAAATGACCAGAGCTTAATTATATATGTATATGAGCAAGATGGAGCATCTGCTCTCCTTTTGAATAAACACTGAAATTTATTTACTTATTTAATATAAAAAATAAAAATAATCAAATAAAAAAATTAAATTTAAAAAAGTTAAGAAAGAACAAAAAATAATACAAAAAAAATTTATCATGTCCCCTTCCTGGACAAAATTTTATGGATGCCCACGTGTATAAGCGATATTTGCATAGAAAACTTACTGATAATGTTTATCTGTAATTATGCGTGCCAAGTCGGGACTCTCTTGTACATTATCGCCATACCATTCCTTCATAATCTTTTTAACTTCCTCGATGAATTTATTTTGTACCTCGGTTGTACATAGAATATAATCAGGCGCTATGCAAGTTTGACCAACGTTTATACATTTGCCCCACAAAATACGTTTCGCTGCCAGCGGCATATCCACTGTATTATCTAGGTATACGGGACTGGAAATTGTTGTTACTTAATCAAAATGCCATATGAAAAAGAGAACGTAGTTAAATTTGCATTTAAATATTTCGTTTACCTTTTGCCACCCAATTCTAATGTAACAGGTGTAAGATGCTTATTGGCAGCGCTTCGCACGATTTTTCCAACTGCAGAGGATCCCGTATAAAAAATATAATCAAAACGTTGATTGAGTAGTTCTGTTGTTTCTTTGACTCCTCCTAATATTATATGGCAACATTCCTGTTCACAATAAAAAATTACATAAGTGTAAAGAATTTTTGTCTTTTTATTCAAAAGCAACTATTTTAGAAATAAAAGTATTTAAAATTGACAAAGCAAGTTAAATAGTTAAACAGCTTTGAATCGCATATATGATAACGTAATCATGTATTTTAAACGTCTGATGCTGGATAAAAAATTATCATTTGTTTATCATTATCTTATTACTATCTGTGATATATGATTTACGATCAATTAAAAAAATATAACGATCGTAAATGGTAGCAACTGATCTTTGCTCTAGCATTGCTATGCATCAATAGAATGTATAATCATTAACATACTATCATATATAGTTTGTTTATATGGCCTTTTTATATCGACAAAAATCTCTGTTTCTTACTGTTTAAAATAAAAATTGCAAATATTCTTATCAATCTTGCAAATATTTTTTTAATATTTCGATCTCGAATTTGTAAGTATTCTATATAAAGTAGCATATTTACGTACCGTGTCTAAATATTTCGGAATAGTGTCGTACAAATATTTTGCCGTAGCCGATGCTACCTCGGAGGGCTTCAAAATCACACAATTTCCAGCTGCTAGGGCGCCTATCATAGGCAGTAAATTCAGCTGAAGAGGGTAATTCCATGCACCCATGACTAGTACAACCCCATAGGGATCTTTTCGAATCTCCACGGAATCGAAAAGATTTATCATTCCTTTGGATGGCTGCAAGAATATTATTTCAGATTCTTGTTTTTCATCTTATCAGAGATTGGACATTGAACTTATTTTTTATAAATAGACATCGGAAGATTGAGAAACTGAAATGATGATGTAAATAATAATCACCTTCTCTGTTGCAGACCATTCTTTAATATGCATTAGCATATACTTGATCTCTTGAATTATATAATCGACCTCCAATGCATATGTTTCGAACTTGCTCTAGAAACATATTGAATTATAATATTTAAAGAAGAGGAAAATGATTGAAAATAAAATTAAAGTAATATGTCGCATATATTTTTTTTATACCCTATGCAAATCCGATGCTAATGCTACTACAATATCTGATGTGGTTTCCGTCAGCATCCGTAAAACTTGCTTCAGTTGCTTGATCCTCCATTCCAACGGTTTTGATTTTCCTCTTTTATATGTCTCCCGCAATCGCTGAACTATCTAATATACACAAATAATAATTTATCATATATGGTGATTTAAAAAAATAACTTATTAAAAAAGTGATTTAAAATAAAATATTTTCGAAAAAAATCTTTAATCAATCTCAAAAAGATTTAATTATCAATTTTATGATGATTTGTTATCAATTATAAATATCTAAGAATGTAAATAATGACTTTTACAAATATAATCAGTGAATTATACTTACATCCGTATAATTTTCTTGTTTACCATTCGCTGAAACAGATAAATATTCGAGCTGCTTATTTTGCCTCAGGACAGTGTAGTTAAAAATATATTCATTCTATATTTAAATATTAAGAAGATAATATGTAAATTAAACTAATTTACACATTTAAAAGAGTTAACCTTCCGCATACTAGCTAACCGAGTTCGCATTTGTGTGTGAATATAAGAATTGAATAAAGCGTAAATATATATATATATATATATTTCCGTCTTATTTTATCATGTAGAATCACTCCTTACATTTTGGCCCACCTGTTACCGAACACCCTGTGTGTGTGTGTGTGTGTGTATATATATATGTATACATATATATATATTTAAATTATATAAAAGTAAGAAATATATGAATCATTACTAAATCTATATTATATACAAACTCATTTTTATGGATTTATTTTCCATACGTTATACATGTGAAAAAACAAACACGACAATAGAAATGTTTATCAATCTTGAATGTTGCTTTTTTAGAGAAAAAATAAATTAAAATTTATAACCAACTAAATTATTTAATACATTAATTTTATATTAGTTAACAACTTATTTAAAAAGCTTGTGTGTGTGAAATATTAAGAACTTTTTCAGTAAGTTAGAAGATTAATATCTAGGGACATTAATAGATCATAAAATCTCTTTCTTTAAGTAATTTGGATAAATCTTTAATTTAATAAATAATTGATAAAAAGGTTAAGATATATTTAATATCACAAAAAGCTACACAAAATAACGATTTTTATCATTAAAAAGTTAAAATATATATCGCTTTAATTTTCATCTTTAAAAATTTGCAAAAACTTTGAACAATAGCATAGTATCTAATTCAAATTAATTATTTGATAGCTGTATAATGATTTATTTAGATTGATGTTGAAATTATTAAGAAATGCAAATATTAAAATTATTAATATATAATTGCCTTAAAGATATTCGATGTAAAAGAATATAAAAAAGTATAAAAGAGTATAAAAAATACAAATGTAAAACAATATAAATAAACATAAAAGAGTAAATAAAGGTAAAAAAAGGAAATAACAAATTATTTCAATTGAAAAATAAGTGAACGAGTCGAACATGTCTCATTTAAACATAGAATGCATTAGTAAAACTATGTGCTAGTATTGATAGTAAAACTACTATCTTGAATTTATAAAAGTAAAACTCTTCTCTCGACCGTACTGGCAAATATTATTTATTAAATCACAACGTTTCGACCCTTCTTTGAATACTAATCAAGTGATCTAGATATACATAGAGAAGAAATACAGTACAGAGATTAATACAATAAAAAAAAAAAATTACTTCACTTAACAATATTACAAAATAATAAAAGCATTGAATTTATAATTATATGGTAATTACTTTTTTAGTTCCAATTACCATATAATTATAATTATAATTATATGGTAATTGGAATCTTGAAAAATGGATATGGAATATGTATATTTACATAAAATATTTTGAAAAAATTTTTGAGGAAATATTTAACTAGAAAAGATAAATTCAAAATTTTAAAATCGACAAATTCGGTACAAATTTATCATTATCATCATCGCGTGCAATTTCTTACAGAATGACATCATCTCTCTATTATAATCATCATAACAACCAACTTTTACACATGTATATCTTTATAGGTTTATTTATATCACGTACAGTGATATAAGACTTGGTTGGTTTAGCAGAGCTATATTTTTTAAGTAAGAACGTGATTCCATACAGAAACAATTGAGTCATTTCCGGATTTAATACCGAATTCTCTTATTCCCATATGTATTTTAAGTCTAAGGGTCATCCTGATTAATTTAATTGACTTACACAGGACCATTATCAACATTTTTAGAGTACAATGTAATTATTATATACAATTTAATAATAGAATTTTAATTTGTTCTACTAGTTATTTCTGAAGAATTATTAAGTTAATCGATTAAGTTAATTGGACTTTGATCAAAATAGCTCTAAAAGATTGAAAGATTAAGCACAAGAAGACATAAATATGTATAGAGATTTCTTGAAGATAGGATATCTGTGGAAATTAAAAATGATGAAACTTGAAAAGATTATAAAGAAAAAGAATTACAATTGTAAAATATAAATTGTCATTATAATGATAATAATTATTCATTTTTTCTTAAATTTTTTTAAAATATTGAATTGCTAATTCTTTTTTTATTTATGTGACAAGTGTCATTATAATAATTAGACTTAGGATTATACATGTGAATTGCGCATTGGTTATTTTTTGCATATTTTATATTCTACAAGAGAATATTAATAATGTGAACAATTTATGTTTTCAATTAATAAATTTTAATTAGTTGAAAATATCATAATTTTTTCACATTATGAATGTCCTCGCAGAATGTACAAAAAGTAGCAAATCTGCAATTTGCATATAATCCGAAGTCTAGTGATTATTATTTACATCATCATTTCAGCTTTTTGAGCCAATCTTTCGATTTCTATACTTATAAAAAATAAGTTCAATGTTCAATCTCCGATGAAAAATAAGAATCTGAAATGTATAATATTAAAATAGTTATTTTAATAACTATTTTAAAAATGATGAAATTTGAAGACTTTCAAGATAATAAATAAAAAAAAGAATTACAATTGACAAAAATACAAATTGTCATTATAATGACAATTCATTCTTTCTTAATTTATTTTTAAATATTGTCTTGTAATTCTCTTTATTTTTGACAATTGTCATTATAATGACAATTCATTTTTCAATTTGTTATTCATCGATATTCATTAACAATGACAAAATAGCAGGAAAGAAAAGAATAAAAACATCATTATAATATTATACTCTGTCAGAGAATTCGCTCTTCATATTGAATTTAGAAGAAAAACAAATGAGAACCGTTTCACAGATTCAGAGGAATGGATAAGATGTACTTCATATGCAAAATAACTTAGCATAATTTGTACGCAGACAAGATTTATATTTTTCTTGATATTGAGCAACATAACAAGGTGAAGAGGTCTCAATTCTTAAGGATTACGTTACGTAAAAAATCGTAAAGTGGAAATAATGAAGCGTCAAACGTAACGCGGAATGTCGTGCCGTGATTTCACGGTCATCCAGGTCATTAATTAAAGATAATAATGCGATCGTAGAAACAAACGTACAAGAATGTGGGGAAAAAGTATTGCGCAGTCATCCAAATACATTCCTTTCCAACTGCATTATTGGACCAAATAACGATAAAATATGTCAAATATATCTGACGCGAGAACAAAGAAAATCTATGGCAGTTATGCGTCTTACCCATCTCGCTTTTGACACTTCGCCCTTTTTCCTGATTAAGTTGACAGAGGACAGTTGATCGTGTGATGTACACAGAATTGCACGTTACATACTAAGCTCCAAGATATAATGTAAAGGAACAAAGTGTATCCGCATCTCTCGTTATCTCTCCTCGAGTGACGGGGACAAAAATAAAAAGAGGGGAGAGAGAGGCGAAAAGAGCGCCAAGAGTGAGAAACCACGGAACTACTAACAAGATGACAGAGACAGATTAATAGACAGATCGCCAAAGGCCTGTCTAAAGAGGAGACCGTCATTTTTGCCCGTTACCGACACACTTTGCCCCTGGTTCGAGTCCAGGCTAATAAAATCCTTTGATTTTACCAAAAAACTTTGCCTTTGGTGCGAGTTCAGGCTAAAATATTTTTATTTTACACGTATAATCAAAGGATTTTAGCCTGAACTCGCACTAGCTAGAGACAAAGTTTTTTGGTTCTCTTTAGACAGGCCTTTGGCGATCTGTCTATTAATCTGTGGTTTAATCAGTGATGAAATTGACCCGTAGTATACATATTATACATCGATAAAATCAATAAATACATATAGATACTGGAGAAACAGGTTGCGGTAGTTGGTTGATAGCGATTGTCGTAAGAAGGCGCCACCTGTCAAAATCAGCTGACGCGCCACCGCTCATGTCAAAACTCAAATCCGCGGACGTAGCGAGTGATAAAACGAGTCGAGGAAAAGTGAAGGGTGGAATTCTGGTTTTGTGGGGTGGATACAGCCGCATATCTCAAACCAGTTTCACACGTGCATTTCCTTATAGAAATATATAATACGCATTCTACGGATTTACGTACTTTCTCCCGGATAGAAGTGAGTATTATTATTTGTTTCGCTTTTGTAAATTGTAAGACAATTTTTCTTGGCGCGAAATCTGCTCGCGTCGAATCTCGTCTTCATATATCCTTTCAGCGAGAAAGTTTTATCATTTGAGACTTTCAATAATTTAACGTTTTTAATTTGTCCCTTTTCTAGGGTTAATTTCACCAACGTCGGCTTTAATAACTTTAACCTCTGGTTAACTATATCGTTGTCTCTTTTTAAAGAACGTATCTGAAAAGAGACAAAGAATTCTAAGAGGTTAAAGTTAAGCGACGTGAAATTGGCCCTTAGTTAGAGAAAGTTTATTATGTAACAAACTTGTTGACAAGAGCGTTCTATTTGCTTTATGTTTACAAGGAATGTTAAATATAATAGATATTATGTATTCGAAGGAACACACATTTGAGATTTAAATAATTAAAAACGTCAAATAATCGAGTTAAAAAAAGCATTTTAATTAAGCGAATAAAAATTCTTTTTTTGATTTAATTACTCTTTTGAAATTTTTGGAAATCTCTCTTAATTTTTGAACAATTTTTTATATTCTCATTAAAATTTTGCAAGGGAGCAAAGTGTGTATATATATATATATATATATATATATATATATATATTTGAAAGAGATATATATATATTTTATATATTTTGATTTACAATAATTCTCTTCATTCTCTTATTCATTTTTTTAATAATAGATATATATAAATATTTATCAAATAAACATAAAATTATGTAAAAAATATATATATATAAAAATATAAAATTTTACATATATAACACAAAATAAATATGAAAATAAATATAAAAAAATAATTTTGCAACTATTCTGCAATCATATTACGTTCTTGCAAATTTTATATAATCTTTTTTTCATTTTATCGAATTTATCTTTGTGCACTTTTTAACACAGCTTCTATAATCAAAAATTCAAGAAGCAATATTCAAATTTGAAGATAAAAATATAAAAAATACTAAAAATAAAAATATATATATTTTTTAATGCAGTCTGAGAATATAATATTTTGCTAGAGATAATAGCTAAAATTAGAATTAAAAAAATAATTATTTTCAAATACTGGCAAATATAAAAAAGTATGTGTCAACTGTAAAATGTATTCTACAACAATTACGTTCTTGCAAATTTTGTATAATCTTTCTCTATTTTATCAAATTTATTCTTGTGCATTTTATTGCTATAATAAAAAATGCAAGAAGCAATATTCAAATCTGAAGATAAAAATATAAAAATTTAAAAATACTAAAAATAAAAATATATTTTTAATATATTACATTTTGCTGAAGATAATAAGCTAAATAAAAAACTAATTATTTTCAAATACTGAGAAGAAAGCATACCGTGATGATTATCGTGAGCATTATCGTGATGGTTATTCTGCGTTGGTTGCACATGTATTTTTATATAGTCTTCTTTCGCATTCATAGTATCACTCGACATTTCACAGAAGAATGTTCCCCCTAATTAGAATATTTCGTTATAACGAGTGCGCACGTACAACTTTTCGTGATCGTGTTTGTGCATTAATTTTTAAGTAATATAATAGCCGTATTAAAATACCATCTTTTCTCTTTAATCGACCAAAAAAAAATAAGAAAAAAGAGATAAGAATTTTTTATGAAGAGATGTTTCGAGTTTTCCAATCACTATAGATAATTATTTTGTCTCGCGCTTTGTCTCGTGGATACTCGGTGTCGAAATCACGAATGTTCTTTCGAGGTTGTCAGATTCGAGACTGGCTCTTTAATATCTAGACTATGGTGAGTCGACGATGCGAAAGGTCTGAGGACGATATATGTGGTGGGGACCAGTTCGAATCGTAAAACAGTATACATCTCTCAAAATTGTTTTCTTTGACTGCTATGTGTGAACTTTAAAAAGTTTCAGAATATACATAGAATCGCGCATAATTAGGATGCACGTCTAACCATCTATAATTTTTCGTAATCATATTCGATTCCAAATTCAAGATTCGCATAAATATTAAATGTCAAATTGTAAATTCTTCCTTTCTCACTTTAAACTTCAGGTTTTTAATTTTTTTGAAAATTTTACTTTTATTGTAGATTAGTTTTGGGGCCATCTTTTAAGAGTCAATTAATATTCTTACTTTTATTTGATAAAAATTTGATCAAATTGTGCAAATTGATTGAGCTTAATATTCCTCGTTAACCTACTTCCATAGAATAAAATATGTCGTGTCAATAATATAAGTGTGATATACTTTAGCTAACTGGCAAATTATAGGTTCGTCTTGCATTTATCGCTAAATATGTAATTTTCTATTGATCTATTATATAGTTACGACTTTATCATTATTGCAGCTCGCCTTGTCTATTTTTAGATCATTGATCCTCTCAAGGCAGGTAAAGAACAAGAGAAATTCTTATAAGTCCCAGTTGGCCTTTGGCCATGGAGTAAACTTGTGTGAAAATTTAATTATCGCTTCATGCAAATGTTAAGAATTTCGACGGCGTTTTCGCGCCCAGTTAAAAGGCGAAAAAATGATGATCCTCATATTTTTTTTCCACGAATGTTAATATATCTGATTTTTTTATCCCTATAATTTAAGATTATAATTTTAATGGAATAGATTAAAGTTCCGTAAAGCATAAGTTTGGAGAGGAAATGACTTACTTTCTTCGGGAATGGTTAAAACAACTTCTTGTATCCCGACTTCTTCGATCTCGATGCGACAAATATTGGAGTCCTCCTCAGCATCCGAAATATTCACTGCCATTTCATTCGAGTCTTCCTCAGCATCCGAAATATTCACTGCCACTTCTTTCGAGTCTTCCTCAGCATTTGAAATATTCACTGCCACTTCATCCTATAGAGAGAAAAAAATTATTGTGAAATTGATAACGCATTAATTGTGTTGTTAGGAATTTTTTTTGTATTGAGGAATCACTCTTTAATTTACATTAAATGTACATTAAATGTACATTGAACATTAGATAATAATAGATTCTGAGAATCATATATATGATGATATTAATGGTTAGTTTGAGTCGAAAAACTATTTAATCGTTTTATAATTATCTGAATTTATATATAGAATTCATATAGTACAATTGCTGCTTTATACATATTTTTGTAGACTTACTGTTTCTTGCATACACTTAAAAAAATTACTTAATCTTTATTTCTATTTAATAAGTAAATATTTATTTTAATACTTTTTTTTGTATCATCATTTATTTGAAACTAATAATATTGATTTTCAATGAAAAATTATTGATTTGATATAAGAAATCTTTTTTCAAACCAGATAAATATTTATTTATTTCAAAAAATGTGTAAATGGAATTATGTTTAAATAAATTAAAAATAAATTAAAAATAAATTAAAAAGAAATTAAAAAGAAATTAAAAATAAATTAAAAAGAAATTAAAAATAAATTAAAAATAAATTAAAAATAAATTAAAAATTATTTTCAAATAAATTAAAGATAATTTATTTTGAATTCACACAATAGTTTTTTTTTAGTATATATATTCGCGTATGTTTGTACTTTGTCATTTTCGCGGTTAACGATCTGGAAAGTGGAAAATCGGGAAACTGAGATAGAGATAGAGATAGAGAGAGAGAGTAGCTGGTTATCGCATGCCATTTCACTTCCTTGTCGAAAGTGCGAGTTACGCGTATGTGACTTTTAATATTTTCATGCTATAATCCGTGCTCATACGGATAATAATAGTTTATGACAGCCTTAATATTACGGGACACGGTTTTTTTTTATTACGCAAAACGTTGTTTATAAGAGCTCAAATGTTACTAGCTTTTCTATTTTAAGTATACCACATGCTAATGTATGTAATAAGGAAGTGATTATTAGTGTCTGTTTATGTCTCATGTCGTATTATGAAATACGTAAAAAAACTTGCTTATTCTTTGTTACAAGCCGATAATTTTCTGAAAATTACCAACGTTTCACATAATCATGTATGACATTACTATTACGTTCACGTTATTTAATTAATTGAAATAATCATGTTCGAAATTTGAATTTGACATTTACATACATGTATATATTATTCATTTAAGCGTGCATTTATGCATATTAAAGGGAGAAACAATCGAAATTAATTATCGTTCGAGTGTGATTATTTTATTATTTAAAAATTCCCTCCCGCATTTCCGTTCTTACATTAATTATTTCAATGTATGATTTATGATGTGCAACTTTATCGCAATATTTTAACAGTTTTATTTCAAAGAATTTGGCGTATCTTTATTGGATAGAAAATTTGGAAGAATTTTTACGGTGTCATATTCAGCTGACTGGTCATTAATTAACTCACGCAATCGGAAATTGCGTGTTTTTCAGGCCAATCCAAATTTAATCGTTCTTTAATAAATATAGTATAATATTATCGAATAATAGCACAAACATTGCATTGTGCCATTTTTACGGCTTACGCAATACGAATCTTTTACAAACTTGTGGAGAATAAATTAAAATATTATTACACGCTTACTTAAATAAGCAAGCTATCTCATAAAAAATATCATAAACGTTATTATATCTCAGTTTTGCAGAATATAAAGGTTCCATAAAGTTTGAGTCACTCGAATCGGTCGTCAACACGTAGAAACATTTGATTAGCATCAAATTTCGAAACATAGTACATTTGAGAGAACATTACGTAAACGATCTATTAATAAACAAATATATAATTGGTTTGAAGTAAATAGCGAATAATTTACATCGCTGTGTAATTCGTGTACTTTTATCGCAATGACGCTATAGTTTTGTCATTATTTTATTTTTAAAATTTGGCAAGTCTCGAATACATTTGATATACGCCAATGAAAAATGTATTCACGTGCGATCACGTGACCGAGGATGTATGGTTGTCATATCATTACATGTATAAGAACTTACCATGTTTAGAGATTCAGTAGAAGGTGTCGTCGTTCCTTCCATAGCCATTTATTCTCCTGGACACTGATATATGTAATAAAACGGTCCTTCGTCTTGTACAGGTGTAACTCTAAAATTATACACAGTGCAATCTCTGTGGATGAAGCTCCGTAGTCCTAAGGTCAAAGATCAAAGTCAAAATAATAAAAGTTCACAATGTTTTATATATGTATATAAATTCCTTTTACGCGATATATGCACATATATATTTTTTATGCATATAATATTGTTATAAAGTACTTCACAATACTTCACAATAATTAATTACTCTTCGAATGTCTAACATGAGTATTCTAGCTGTAGAGGCTTTTGTTAATTATTATACATGTATCTCTAAAAGTACGAGGATAAAAATATTAAAAGTCGATAATTAATAAAATATATACGTCGAAATATAAAAGTTTACGTGGAAAATTGGAAAAATTAATAAAATACCAACCGAAAAGTCAGGAGTAAATACAACAGCGCACTATTACTAAGTGTCTTAGAAGAAGACAAGTTCGACTTCGCTCTAAAGCCTACTTCATGAATAATTAATAATGACCTCGAGTGATCTCGTAGGTCGATTCGCATATTTTGTTGAAACAAATATTTTTATACGAATCATTAACGCTGTTTTGCGAAATTAGGCGCGTAGAAGAAAAAGAAACGTAAAATTCATCGAGTCATTCTCGATATATATCTCATTTGACGATTTTGACGAAATTTCTCGAACGGGTTTTGAAAGATCGATTAATTAAACGTAGGTCTTGCAAATCATTCTCTCGTCAGCAATAACATTAAGCCTGTATCAGACATATATATATACATATATATTTTTTTTTTGAAAATTGAAGATTGAAATTTGATTGATCTAAATGAAGAAGCTGATTAATCAAAAATTCTAATCTAAAATCTTCAATATTTATTGCGCATAATCTTATATAAACTATATTTATTGCGAACACGTGACAGGCCTAATAAAAATATTGCTTCGCGCAACAGTCAATCAGCTTTACAAATTTTGTCAAAGCAATATAGCAGAACGTGTCGATTGGTTTTTGCAAAGCATTGTCGCGTTTTATGTACGAGAACCATTATATTTCTCTCTATTGCTGTTTATCATCTCTTCTCTCACTCCCGCGCGCGCTCCTCTTTCATTCATATTCGCGCGACCATGTGACAGATGACAGCTTTCGTGCGCGCGCACGTGTTCTCGCTTCTTTAGCATGGAATGTCAGTGGATGGAAAAGGAGACGAGAAACGGCGCTGAACAGAGAGATCACAGGAAAGGATAGAGCGAGAAGAGAATAAATGTACGTGACTCAACTTGTGATTAATGCATATATATTTATGCAAATCCGATTTTTCGAATTGTCACGTTCGTCGAACGTGATCTTTGTATGTGTTCACATCGATCGTTTTATCGTGTAAATACAGCAGCTGTGGAAATGCGCGCACGTGGAGCGCCTTGTAATCGATCGAATATGATTTCTATACGCATACATTTTATTAATAAGATTGAAAAATAATGTATTGCCTAAGTATAATATAAATATGCTTAGCTGGAGAAAGACGTAACTTAAATTTTAATAGCGAGGAATCTGTCAATGAATATATTATTTATTATACGAGTCTCTGAATCTTATATTCTCTGCAATTTTAATTTTAATTTAAATTTTAAATTAATTGATGTCGCATGTCAAACCTAACCTAACCTAACCTAACCTAAAAATGAAGCAAAACAGTGATACAGCGTCCAGACAGAAATAAACAACCCCAAGAAGTAAACAGACTTAAAATAGCGAGGAATCTGTCAAGGAACGTATTATTTCGTGATATATATCATGAAACACTGATCTTTGTATTTAATTTTGTTGTTAAATTAATCCATCTCGCATTTGTCAGCTGTCAGACCTAACCTAGAAAATGGAGCAAAACTCTTCTTCGTCCAATGACACAGTGTCCAGCCAAAAGTCACTGCCAAGCACCCACGATTCTGGTTGGAACGATCCACCAGAATGGGCTCTGTCTACGCAAAATGTTTCCTCCGGAAGCAAGAGACTCTTGAACAAGCGAGTGGCATTTCCATTGTCTTCGCAGAACTCTCCCACAGAAAAAAGTTCACCCTCTCCGTCGAATACTCCTCCTGCTTTACAGTCTTCCGCAGCCCCTGCAATAACTACAGCTCCCCATAAGCCTCTAGTGGCACCTAACAGCGATAAAGATCTTGCGACAAGAACATTGGAATCTGATTTTGACAAAGATCAAGCTTTGACTGAAGTTTTGGCCAATCTAGAATCAGTTATGTCGAAACAGAAGATGGACACAAACAAGACAGAAGATGTACAAAGGAGATTAGATAGCATGAAAGCTGACTGGTGCGATAACAAATTGAATAATATGATACAGAGAAGTGTTTTGGATATATCGAAAGGTATCGATAAGATTCTTGCATCAATATTTTTATATATTAAATGTATTATATATTATATATATTAAATGTATATCTTTGTGACAAGTACCATATATTTTCAGCACTGTTGAGGAAAGATGTTAAACAAGCTGACAAGATCCACATTTCTCTTATGATGCAGCATGCAAGTGCCTGTCGTACCTGGATGCCAGCTATTAGACACATCATTTTTGAATTAAAAAAAGAATGTGAAGATTTCAATTTTTCACAGTTAGAACAGTCGCCTCTACTATCTCTTAAATCAAAGGAAAAGTGAGTTTATTGCCAACACACAATAAATATACTGTACGGAACAATGGAAAAACAAGAGGATAGTTATTTGTTATTTCTTACATTCGATTGTTAATATTTTTGTAGGAAATGCATTACATGGTATCTAAATAATTAATATAAAAATTATTATAAGTTAATATAAAAATAATTAATATAAATTAATCTAATATTAATATAAAAGTTCATAAATTATCAATATATATATATATATATAAATCAATATAGTATTATACGTTGCCATGAATTGTTGAGATTTCTTACAAGAATATATAACACGAATAAAAAAATGAAAGCGATTGTACTCATAAAAGTTTTTTGTATTTTTCATTTCTCTCTTATGTATATTCACAAAGGACAATTACATCTGTCTTACCACATATCTTTGTCTAAATGTATTCTTATGTTGATAATAGTCATCGATAGCTAAAATCATTTATTTTATTACTTATACGTATCATATACTCACTATATCGTACTTTTAAGCATACTTCAATCTTAAGTGGACGCGCATCTCTCTCTCTTTCTCTCTCTATGCATCCCCTGAATGAAATTTATTTATTATTAAACCTGAAACGTCCTCTCATTTATATTTTTCGCCCAAAGTGAGTCTTTTTATTCCATTGCTTTCGCTGTCTCTCCCATCTTCATTCTTGCTTCGATTTGCTTTTGCGCGTGACTTTAATCGCGCGCAAAAAATGCTTTACAATTTACGGCTCTTAGAAAACTTACGCTTATAACTTACAATTCACTTCTTTAAATCGTCAATATATTAAATTTCTTTTCCACTCTTCGCGTAAATAAATATTCATAAATACATTAGGGAGCGACGTGCGTGAAAGCTCTCTCGACTATTATCTTTCACTCTTTCATTCTGTCACTCTTTTTCTCTCTATTTATCTCGCTTTCAGGAAGAATATCTCACTAATTTCGTGTGAAACTGCGATTTCGCCGAGAGATAATCACGTTCTCGCGCGTCCCCGCCCGAATTTCGATTTAAATTTTTTTCTTCATGGTTTTATCCAAAAATATATATACACATATATGTGGTCGGTGTATATGTAACGCTGCATCCTTACAACATACATTACATTTGTCAATTCTCGGGTCTGAGTTACATCAACAAATCGGCTTGTAACAAACCCAGCTGGTATGTGTGTGCACGTTTAAAACGGTATATACTTATACAAAGAGAGTAAAATAAAGTTTGGACAATTAAGGATTTCGCGTTAACTAGTGTAAGCGCTCTTTAGATTCTTTTTGTAATTTGATGGAAGGCGTGCAAAATTGATTTCGCGAAACATATACATCGACTTGTTTCGTTTTGCTTTGTTTGTTGTTTTTATTGTTACATACATCCATACGTTTGCTACAAACTATTTAAAAACTTTGTTTTCTCATTTCTTTCTCTCATTCATATATTCATTCATTTATTCATTCATTCATTCACTCTCTTTCTTCTTCACTCGCCCGTCAATTTTTTTCTGAGTTTTCTCGTAGAATTTTTTGTATAAAACAAAATGGCATCTTTTTGGCATTGGAAGAAAAAATACACTCTTCAACGTTTATTTCTTTCTTTCTTAATTCACCGTCCTTCTATCTTCAATCGTAACCCCCCTTTTTCGCTAATTTAATTAATCAGATTTCAGATTTTTTCCTCCTTATTACATGGATTTATGCAACGACTCGCTCGCTCGAAAAATTGCGCAAAAATCATCCGTCGATTTATTAAATATAATTTTTTGTCTAAAAATTTTATCTATGAAATATGTTTGCAATTTCTGCGTATTTGCTTGATTTAATAAACTTGTGCCTGTAACAAAGAGACTCTCGAAGAGAAAGTATAATTACGAGGATAAACGCTAATCGTTGCATATCAATCTATATCTTTCGGACACGCGATGGTTTTTATTATTTATTTCTCATTCTTGTATATATCAATTGTTATATATTTTACAAACACTTCCTCATTATTTAATACTATTTTGGCATCGTCGAGAACGGTATTGTGTATTTTGAGAGTTTACTCCTTTATAAAAAACTTTTTAGCAAGAACAACGATCTTCAATATACTTATAGACAGTTGGAAGTAGTAGTAGTTATATAATGGCATTTTTATTAAGGTGCGCGTTAATAAGGCTAAGTTTATTCCGGAAGTTGATATGGAATTTTGATTTCCCTTGGAATGCAACAGGTATCGCGAAAGTTCATGCTTCATCATCATCATGCTTTCAAAATGCAAAATCATTTCAACCATAATTTCATCTTAATTACAAGACAGACGGGGGAGAGAGATTTAAAAATATTCCCGAGCTATATAATAAACATGAAATAAATTTGGACAAAAAAGATGATGCTGCGCATAGAGTGTGTTATCACAACACCTGTTAGATCCGAAATCTATGGGAGAAACGCGCTTAATCAAAACTCGATACAAAGATATCGTGTTTGTCATTGTATTGTCACTTTTCTTTTCTTGCGGAACGCGATATACGAGGAGGATAATCTTGTCATATATATGTTTAAAAAAAAGCCATCGGGCCCCGATGATATATTCTACAGTTGTACTCTCATTGTCATCCGAAATAAAAAAGCTGCCTTATCTAGAAAATGTATCAGTGTGATCTCTCGCATATGCGCACTCGGATATTACGCATTTATTATCATATTATTTATACGGATCGAGACGTACATATATATGCGTATGTGAAGCGAAAGAAACGAGTGTTGCGTTTGAAATAGTCCCATATTGCCGTACTTGTACGCATTTCTATCACGTGAAGAAGAAGTAGTGGCGAACTTATTAGCTTACATATATTTTATATATATACATATATATATATATATATATATATATATATATATATATATATTATATATAGAACGGAGATACTTTTTTGGAATAGATCGGAGAATTAATATATATGTGTGTATGAATTTTCGATGTGAAATATATCGCGACGCTTCCATGCGCGTTTTTGTCGAGATTTATCTAATTTTTTTTTAAATAAATATCTAAAATAAATATCTATACTTGAGACATCCTCTTCAGTCTTTTCTAGGACGCTCGATTAATATTTATTTATATTTTTCTTAATTAACATTTTTGCACGTGTATATCCGAGGCTGTTTATTTAAGAGCAAAAAAAGTCTATGTGGGACATGGACATTTTTTCTTGCGTTAAGGAGAGACATTGATCGACCGGTTCGCGCATAGGAAGGTCAGATAATCTCAATCGAAATTCGAGCCGCCAACCTGCTGTTAAAAAAGTAGAATAACGGTACAACGCCACGTTATCAAACTTAATTAATATAAATAATACATTAAATTAGATTATATTACTAGTTATTACTGCCGATATTAGTATTATTACTATTACTATTTACTATTACATGCGATAACTAATGAATGATAATATATTAATGATTCCTATAATACTCCAATAGGCGAGGGTTGGTCGCGTCTCGCTTCTTTCTTTTTTCATTCCACCGATTTTTTTATTTACGGACACAAATGCAAAAAGGAAAGATAGGACTCGACTGGTACGCGAGTCAAAGAATCAAAAACTCGTCACAATTCACTCCTCATTATCAGCTAAAATACAAATTTTTCCGCCGTAAAGCGCTACGTTGAAAGAGTTGAAGATAGACGTTCGTCGTGAAAATAAATAAATAAGTGGATTATCAATTTTGCGTTCTCTTGCCTTATCACACCTCGGATACCTTCCTCTGGTCGGTTTTCCGCAATAGAGTATACTTGGATTACGTATTTATCACTCTTCTACTCGCGAGAAGTTTTATCTTTTTTTCTACTCTTTAATTCTTCGAGAATCAACTCTCTTTACGCCCAGTGTCATCGAAGAGAACACTTGAAATTGATTCTATCGCGGCATTTTCGGCTCTCGATAAAGGAACTCTTTCTCTGGATTGCTCCCTTGAAAGAAAGTCCACGATATCATAGTTCTTTATGGAGAACATGGTGAACCCTTCTACCCATCACTCCTCCCAAATTAGCATGAGTTAAACTTCGAAAGACAACGTGAGTTTATGAATATGGAAGGCGCAAACTATAATACCGTCAAGACATTACTGGGGTTTGTTAACACAAATATGGAATGTGCTCGATAATTTGACAGGAGTGTAATGGAATGAAGAGGAACATGGCACTTTTGGCCAGTTTAGATATGTCGAATGAATCAACGTTATATTTCTTATTGACGGATCCACTGTTTTAAGATCTAAGATCTGTTTTTTCCTTACGCAATCAGGTATTAGCACAAGGTTAGTTGCCATTCGGTGTCATCAGGGACACCGAACTACCGCACTTTTTCAAAATCCTTCCTAAGGCTCTCCACGATGACAGATGGGCGTCTACAATTTCTCAGGAAGCCAATCGACACCGCCAGAGGTCGGTCCTTGATATCAAAGGTCATCAGCAGAATTCTAATGTCTGGCCTCACTTGCAACAGGCTCAGATTAAAAGAACGATTAATATGTACAAATAAAGTCGACGAATAATAAAAAAGACAATGATTTATGGATAAAGTCATAGATCGAATCTCTTTCCCCTCCATTTCTACCATTCTAAATTCAATAATAATTGAACCATTTCTACCATTTTCTAATTCAATAATATTATGACCACGCGTCGAATCTCAGAGAGAATTGATCAAATCCCTTTTGTTTTGTCGCACCAATTAGCTTTCGACCATTTCTTTTTATCTATCCCTTTTCCTTTCGACGAGAGAAACTCAAATGCAAATATGCCTCTCATCGTCCATATTGAAAGTGTATGATTGATTAACCCTTTGAACTCTACCCCTAAAAAACCTTCGTACATAATTATCTTGATATATATTTTGCCTTATCGAATTTTAACAAATTATGCCGAATATTTTTCCTTGTTTAGATTCGAGTAAAAGGGCTAAGCAAGTGAAATGAAACAAGCACACGTAAAGGGAAGAACGTCAAATCGATGATGGAGAACAACACTCGGCATGTGTTCAATGTATATCATCGCAGACCAAATACAGATACACCAGCCCTACTCTACGCGTCACGTGATTGTTAGATAAATGCTTTGTACTCAGCCGACCCGAAGGGCGCGTGGTTAGTATTTTATATCGCTTGCCACTTGAATTATAATCGTACTTAGTGCTTAGCGCTACGAGTACAAACACGTAAATAAATACGAGAATAAGAAGCGAAATGTACAAAGGCTAGAAATCAGATATACAATTACATATCGTTTAATTAATTTAAAGACTTGAGATCATCATTGTCGTCGTGTCCTCGTTTGGGATATTTAGGATTGTGCTTGGACCTTTTCGCGAGAAGAATCGTTCAACTAACGAATATAAAAAAGAGCTGTTCCCGGAATTATCGCCCTTCCACCATTTATTCTATTTCCAGAAAAGAAATATAAAATTTATTAGATACGACAATTCGACAGCATTTTTCGATACGTTATTTAAATGATATATAACAGTATTATGAATATTATATTATAATTATGTATCTCATTGTTATTGCAATATATTATAATATTTACTCAATCTTCGAGTAAAAACCCAGTGCTTTCTATTGTATATTTAATTAAATAATTGATATTTCTTTACACGATGCTTTCAGATGTGAATGCAATGTTTTCTCTGTTTTCTTTCGGTTTTCTACAAAATTTCTCGGTGGAATACGATAATTCTGAGATCATATCGTGCAAGATTTTCTTTTCTTGAGTGTTCGGGGTGTGCAGTACGTTTAATGTGTGCTCTGTGTACGTGTGATATCGCGTGATTCATCATCTAGACTTCGACTAGCTAATAAGATTACAATTCTACCAACACGAAATCGTTATATGTAAGCGATATTACTTAAAGTGTACAGGATCAGAATACGAAAATCTATAATCGTATCAAAGTCTTCGCAAGGCGTAGCCTTTCATCGGAGCTTTTTCCTGATACGTCATTAGCCTCGGTCGTTATACATCATTCATTGTCATTTCAATTTTGTGAGCCTCCGGTTCGATTACAGGAGCCTCGTTTTTTTTTTCGAGTTCAGCTCTTGTCAGTAAAAAGTCAATATAAAATGCGAGCCCCGATAAAGGGTGATATCAACACCCGGCGAGGCTTTCTTCGAGCACGCTTTTTTTGTCGCTATGTTAAAATCCTGCGTAAAACCCGAAATAGAAAAATGGCAGTGCAAATTGTGTTTCTCGTTTCTTCTTTTTTTTCTCTCGGAATAACTAACTATAACGATAATAACAATATAAAGCCTCTCGTGGTAAAAGTCGCCATCCTCGTCGCTCATCCTCGATCGGAGACGTCGCGATTCTCGTCGTGTCAGGATCTTCGTTATCCTTAAGATCCCCTCCTTGGATTCTGGTAATCTCTCGGTACAAGGCTTCGGTCATCAACGATCGAAGTTGCACCGTCCGACCTCGACTCATCCAATCGCACCGCCTTCCTGGTACGGGCCAGTTATCATGCAAGGATGCATCGGGAAGAGCGTCGTCCAGGTCATCGTTGTATACGTGGGCGATCTCATCATGAACTGCGAGCTGGGAACACTTGGAATGTGCGTCAGCGGCGGAAGCGGCGTCGACTTGCCGGAACTGCCTCCGGGACTCGTCGCGGTGGTTGAAGTCGACGAGCTGGTCGTCGACGAGGACATACTACTGATACTATTGGCAGACGTCGTGACGCCCAATTTACGCAGCCGCATCTTCTCCTCCCACTCGTCCCAACCGTGCCTGGGTCTGTTCAGATTGCGATGTTGATAAAATACCAAGCTAATCCTGGTTGGATTGAGGCGATTAGGCACTTTCAGGGCGGTGGTGGCATGCATTTCGTGCTTCGCGCACTCGAAGAGTACGCTGCCATGGCCCAAGGCAATCGCGACGCCGCCCATTTGCGGATCTTTGAAACACTCCTCGTTTTCAGAGTAATCCGCCACTTCGCCGAGCGGCTCCGCTTTTGGCGGCGGCTCCGGTAACACCGGGAAGTAGGGCGGCGGTCCGTAGATGTCCCATCGCGGTGCGTCCCACCTCGTCCAACCGGAATTCAAACCTTGGTACGTCGGATTCAGGCCCTGGTACGGATACTGAGACGAGTGGAAGCAGCCTTCGCGCTTCGGTTGCTGATAAAACTGTTGAGAATATTCCGGAGTCTGATACGACTGATGATGATTGTAGTTGTAACCTTCCCACGAGTTTGCGTAGGGTTTCTCGAATACCGGATAAGTCGGGTATCCGTATTGCGGAAACGCATGGTGACTTAAACCGGACATGGCATGAAAGTCCTGTACTTGTTTCATCTCCTCGGCCCATGCCAGAGAATTCGAGTTAGAATTGGACACTTCCTGCCTGCCGTCGTAGAATCCCTCTCGCATTTTATCTCCTGGGTAATTATTCTTCGCTTGATTGGATATGCATCCGTTTTGAATCGGGCTGCTACTTAGGGCATTTGCAAAGATAGGCTTTGTCGAGTCTGGTGGTTTCAAAAACGTTTTGTTCAAAGGATTCGGATACATATTGGGCTCTGCGGATGGGTTCTGATTCGATATCGTGCGTGAGGGCGGTCTTCCTTTTGGCACTCGGAATGGCGACGGCTCGGATGGTGTTTCCCAGGAAGCAATCTTGGTTTGATCTGGTCTTGCTAGTTTACCGGCCCAGATTCTTCTATCACCTATCATCTGCTGATCATTGGACTGCTGCGGATTCTTAACTTGATTGGGACTCCACGAGTTCGCGGTATTCCAATTACGCGGACAAGCAACTTGATCGGAAGACGGGGATACAGGATGATTGACGAAGGGCTTCGAGTCCGATTGTCTTTGCGCATGATAAATGGGTTTTCGTTGATCATTCTGCATCAATGAGCATTGTGCGTCATTTCGCTGTTCAAATCCTGGCAAGTGCAATGAACCGTGCATCAAAATGTCCGTGTTTGGAGTTTCCATCGACTTATGATTACTATTGTCTACGCAGGAGAATAAATTTGCCGCGTTACCGTTGCCATATTGATTCTGATAGCCGGAATTTATGGGCGATTGCATCTGCTGTTGCGATGGATAAGGATGTTGCGTTCTATTTGCGAATGTTTGCTCAGTCTGCGGCCTCAGCAGTTTCGCCGAATTTTCAGCATCTATATAATTTTGCGTCATGGCGTTTGGGTATTTCTGCTGACTAGAATCTTCCGGGTATCTGGGAGATGATAATCTCAACTGATTGGCGACGTAATCTTGTCCCGTGTTGCGAACGTGATGAATAGTTGGCGATGGATTCATCTTGGATGGAGTGTTTCGCGCGGGTTCCACGCCGAATGACGAATTGAGGGAACCGATTCTCGCAGAACAGTCATTTTGTCTATTATCAGAAGCGATATAATTCCCAGGTACCATATGATGATTATAATTATTTTCCATATTCATATGTTCCAGTCCTTTCGACGAAATCATCTTTGGATCGTGAAGCATCGGGCCGCAGCCTCTCGGCGACATGCCGTAAGAAGTTTCTCCAGGTACATTCGCGTGGGAACGAGGTGAAACGAGGTGAGTTCTAGTTGAATTTCCATAACATCCTCTGGCTGAATCCATCGTAGAGTTGGCTAGATTCCTCGAGTTCGGTCTGTGCTCTTCTTGGGAAACGGTACTTTTAGGTCTGATATCTGGATCCAAGCTGGTACTGTCTGGATCCACCTTGATGTCCCTTTCTAAACCGCTAAACGAGGGATACTCTCCCCATGGATTCAACCAGTTGTTCTTTCGCTGTTCGAGCCAGCCATTGCGATTCCACCCTTGTTGCTCATTCTGATACGATCCCCAACCTTGATACATGGATACCGGACTATCTAAGACTGTGGACGATACCTGAGAACTTTGCAATTGCGCGTCCATTCCTTCAAACATCGGTGTCATCTCCAATGACAATTGCGAGTCTCTCAATTGTGGCTTGGAAGAGTCTGCGGAACGTCCAGCATCCACCATCTTCTCCGCGAAAGTCTTGACTGTATCCTTCTTGCCGCTCGAAATATCAGATTCGTCGTCTTTCCTTTTTTTACCGTGACGTCTGCAGGGCTGCAGCGGAACTGATCTAACTCGAACCTCGCATGGATATCTAAACAAAAAGTACAAGAATATTTTATATATGTATTGAATGTTTTTTTTATAAATTACATAATTATTTATTTCGTTTTTCAAAGAAATACTTACTTGGATAAAATTTCAAGAGCGCCGGAGCGAACCTTCTTTTCTTGTCCTTCTTTTGAACCAAATTCATCTGTGTCGTCCATTATATAAAGAGGTAGTACGTGTAACTGTTCGTCTTCGGGTTTTGATAGTGTTCGATGTTTCGTCAGGCTAACTACCTGAAAAATATAACGATGTGCGTGCTACAAATTAAAAATATTTCAACATTTATAAAATTAGTTTCACGTATTTTTTTTATTGAATCAATATTGTGCATCGTGAGTCAATATCCATCGGATTAAGTCAGACTCGACATATCCAATTCACGTACCACGGTACATCCGTTATTCATGTTGTGTAGGTCCCGATGAGAGTGCGCGCAGAAATCAATGCAAGCTGTAACCCCGGAGAAGGGCCGACCTGGCTTAAATCCCAAACGACACTCGCTCGCCTCTCGTTCGAATTGAGTTTGATTATTGAAGGCTTCCGGGGCGAGGCTGAGATATAAAGGTGACAGAAGCGTCGCCAAGACGTGCATTCTCTCTTCGACCTCTTGTTCCTGAACGAAACCAGAATGTTTTCATGACAATTTAAAATCGACTCCCGATATACTCTCCTCGTACAAATCGCTTTTTTAGCTGTATATATACCTCTGACCGTACGGACAGACGAAACTTGCGGACCGTTTTGCTCCTGGCGTACTTGCAGCCGTTGTAATACATCGACCAGGAACAGCCGAAGGAGAAGCTGGCGCCGCAACTGTCAGGATCGAGTCCCTGGCACGCGCAAGTCCGTGGTTCATTAGTGCCGCACCGTCTAGTCGTTGGAAGACCGAATCGATTGAGCTTGTGACTTAAGAGAGAGTAGATCCGATCCGCTTCGTGAGTCGGCACTCCCTCCCAAGCAACCATGGCTACGACGATCCAGGCGGTTGGACACTTGTGACCTTGACGATGCTTCACGATGGTTAAGATCTTCTCGTCAATGCCAGACCGTCGGATGATCTAACGAATGATTAATATTACAATTTTGTATAAGGAGAAAAAGAAGCAGACGCTGCTAAAATACAATTTGTTTATTTTGACAATTTCTTTGATGTAGTTTGGAAATCGCTATGCGAATGTTTGAAGAGAACGACTCACCCACTTGGCCATCGGACATCCCTGCGTGGTTTTACCCTCCTTGCCAGTATAGATGACCTTTTCGAATCTTATCGCGTCGCCCTTAAGGCCGGTTCTTCTCTCGAGATCGTTCCTTAGATCAGGCAGGCTTGCAGCCGCCCCGAGATGAGTGTAGTATGAGCCGGGCTCTGGCGGACCTTGTGGTTGAACCTCATTTTACTTACGAGCGACCGACGCGTCAACGAAAGGAAGCAACAGAAGCGGAAACATTTATGCCGCGCATGTGGTGGTAGGTATGCCCTTGCGAAAAGGGGGTAGGTTAGGTACGCACACACTCTCCTCCGGGTTTCGGGACGCATAATCGGTCGGTGTAGTTATTGGCCATAAAATGTATATTAGTATTACGTTTACAACTTTTCTCTCGTGTGGTTTCGTGGTTAGTGTGTTCTCTCAATGTTAGTGTAGTGGAGAATACGCAATTGTGCAACTCACATTTGTCGGCGGGGAAGCAGTTGCAGTCCGGCACTTCGGTCCTCACATTATTCTTCAGTTTGTCCAAGTGGTCTTGCAATTTTGTCGCCGTGCTCGTCGCCGCAGACGCAGGAGTACGCGGACTGTGCGGCCCTTCGTTTTTTAACTCGGCCGCTTGCGGGGAATCGGCCAGCATTTCGTCCTTGGTTTGAAGACCCTGGCAACAGCCGTCCCTCAGGTGTTCCGGGGTTGGTTGCTCGGTCCCACCTCTGCGACAGCACCACGAACCGGTTTCCGGCGATACCTTCGCGGGACCGCCGTCGCCGCGGAATTTATAATCCGGTACCATTTTTTCATTCTCTTCGACGTTCTCGGCGACGTTGGACGTGTCGCCGTCACAGTTGTAATCCCCGAGGTTCTCCTGCTTGATCGCATGCTCGGAGTCGCATTTTTCGATGTCTTGGGAAGACGCGTGGACGTTAATGCTCGCCGTCTTCAGAAAATCCAGGCTGTCGCTTTTCACCTCGTCACTGTCAGATGTCTTCTGGGCTTCCTCGAAGGACGTGTCCCCGATTTGATCCATGCATAGTCTTTGCTGAAACGATTTGTCGTCTATGACTTCGTTGTCTTTCCTCTGCGCCTCCCAGGATGGTTGATTCTTCTCTTTGTCGCACGATCGATCGACGATATCGCTTTTGTTCTCCGTAGCGAGCTTCATGAAACTTTCGAGGGCTGTCATTCCATTTTCTGACGGTAATGCAGGATCACCGCTATCTTTGTTGTTATCGTTATTATCGTGATTATGTGCTCCTTCCGTCCATTCCCATAAGCCACCACCGTCGGGCAAATTATCTACCCGAGGGTGGTGGCTATGCGATAAAAAATTACCGGTCAAATTTTCATTAGGTTGCGTCATCGAAATAATGTTTGATTGATTGATAAAATGATCCGTGCGTTTTTCCTGCATCTTCTCGCTGTTTTCGTGCGCGTCGCGTATCTGATCATCCGTTGGATATTCTCCGGAGGATCCGTTGTTGCTGTTAATGTGTTGCGATTGCATCTGATGATGAGTCTGCAATTGCTGTTGCATTTGTTGTTGTTGTTGTTGTTGCTGCTGCTGCTGCTGCTGCTGTTGTTGTTGTTGTTGTTGGTGCTGCTGCTGCTGCTGCTGCTTGTTCAGAATCATCGATTTTAGCCGACTATTGAGATTGACTCGATTGGATTGAGCATAGACGTTGTTCTCCGGATTATCCTGATTTTCTGGAAATCCATTCGGCTTATTAGTGTCTATCATTGTTTGTTGTTGTTGCCACGCGATTCTTTCTCCAGAATTTTGCATGTCCTGCTTCGTCGTTTGTTGCCCCCAACTCGGTTGATTCTCCGATACCGAGTTTGGCGACCAGGACATTTGATTGTCTAATTTATTCTCCTGCGTCAGTTGATTTTGCCACTGATGACTTGGAGTTCGTCTAGGACTGGGCTGCGAGTCCTGCCACTGTTGCTGTGGCTGTTGACTATTATCACTCTTTATGCTATTTGGTGACCAATTTGGTTGACTAGTCGGCGTATCCGGCCACGACATTTGATTGGACGGTGTGAGTCTGGGATTCTGCTCCACCTTGGTTTGCTGCGTCCACTGTTGTTGTTGTTGTGATTGTTGCGGCTGCTGCTGCTGTTGTTGCGACTGTTGTTGCTGTTGCATCTGTTGTGAAGGCGTGAGTCTCGGATTTTGCTGAGGTCCTTGCATCTCCGGACTATTTTGCTGCCAATTACGCTGGACGGAAGGCGTCATCCTCGCGCTTTGTTGAGCATTATTGTGGTCCGACAGTTTTGGAGAGTGTTGCAGCCACGTCTGATGTTGAGGCTGTTGCTGCTGATTGGATGGCGTCAACCGTGGGTTTTGTGGATCCCTCAGCTTCGGACTCTGTCGCGACCAGTTTCCCTGAGTTTGTTGCTGCTGATTGTCAGCGTTCTCGGACCACGATTGTGGTGTTTGGGGTTCCTTTACGCTTCCAGTTTCCCAGCTCATGTGACTCGCCGGTCTCGGCAGTTCCTGCATTTGAGTAGCTTGTTGCTGTTCCACTTGCTTTAGATTGCCCTGCATACTTTGTTGCGGATGATGCGATTGTTGTTGCATCGCTCCTTCTTGCCAATTCATGTTACTGTTGACGGCGCTGTTCATTTTTCCACTCGTGTCTGACCACATGTGTTGTTGATTATTGTCAACCGTCGATTGTTGTCGTTGAATTTGAGTTTGCTGATGGTGTTGCTGCTGCTGCTGCTGAACCATTTGCCATTGGTTCTGCGATGATTGCTGACCCATTTCCACGTAGCCTGGATATCCGTTAGAGCTGTGTAAACTCTGTGGGTCCGGTTGAAGTGGATACCCAGGCATCTCGTTTCCCGACACGTTAGTGGCGGCAATCGTGGCGAATCCTTTTACTTGCGTATCCGCGGTGGGTTGCTGCTGCTGCTGCTGTTGCTGCTGCTGCTGCTGCGGTGGCTGTTGTTGACCTCCCTGTTGTTGCTGTTGTTGACTATCCATGTGCACCGAGCTGCTGCGACTCGTCGGCGTCGTTGACGGGGGCGGTGCCATTGTCACTTCCTGCAAGAAGCCCACGTTTTGCGACGTGTAGCGTTCGTTGCGAATGCTTCATACGATTCTTTAGTATAGCTATCAAAATGACAAATACGAGAAGGTCGTAAGACATTCTTGTAGTCAAATGTATAAGCTGGAATCGTTAATATATTTAAATATCATTGACTCTTACTTGTTGTTGATAGCCATTTACGTAATCCTGTCTTTCGTAGGTGACTGACTGATTAGCGGTGGCCGCAGGATCTACAAATTGTCCATTCAACTGCCTCTGGGATGTCGAAACCACCGTCTGTCCTCCAACAGGAGCCAACGGTGAAGGCTGTCCCGTGATGGTGTACTGTCCCGTCGTCCCGGCTCGTTGAAACGCAGACTGATCCGCCGGTATAAAGGTTTGTTGTTGATATGGGACTGTAATATTTCGAATATGAATAGGATTCATTCAGATATAACGCAAAGACAAAAAAAATTCGTCTTTTTAACGAGCTTGTCACTCACCTGCTTGAGGATGATAGGGTGTCGCGGCGCCATACTGAGTATGGTACCTCAACTCGTCGAGTTGATTTGGCGCGGAAATTTGTTGAATAAATTGTTGAGGCGGCCATGGAGCCGGTGACGTCTCGACTGCGACGGGTCCGACTCCCTGATGCCAGACCGCGTTTCCAAAACCAGCCGCGGGTCGGAAGCCGGTGCCGGAATCTCCGTAAAATGGCATCACTCCGGGTGACTGCGCATATAAGAAGGAAGAAATTTAACAATTTTTTCGGTCTCTTCAGTTTTTCAACTAAGTCGTGAAATTACAAAAGTTTACATTTCAGACTCGATATTTTGCTTCTCCTCGAGCTTCCTCGTTTCTCCAACATCTCTCTTTAGATATATAAATCCTATTTTTTTCCATTTCTTCAGCCCATTTTTTACTCTTTTTCATCAAAGGCAAAAACATGACGGAATATTTTACCATGTAATAAATAATAATAACAATAACGGCGATCAAGCCGGGGAATAAAATGACGCGGCGCGCGTATAAAAATGGAGCTGTACGAATTCACTTTCGTTTATTTTCGTTCGCTCGTTCGTTCTCTCTTCGGCATTGCCTCCCCGCGTCTCTCGCGTTCTCTGTCAACGAGATAGAGCGAGAAAGAGAGGAGGAGAGCCCGGCGCGTAACGGGGGGCTGGAATCGACGGAGATGGAGTCTCGAAGGGGGAAAAAAGGACGGTATCGAGGCTGCCGAGGCAGAGAGGAACCAACCGTCCGCAGCGATGCGAGGCGAAGAAGAAGAGGCAAACCGGCAACCTCGCAACCAGACTGTAAAACTTTGTACAACACAAAACGAGAAGAAAGAGAGAGAGAGAGAAAGAGAGAGAGGACGATTGGTTCATTTACCGCGGCCGATCTTTTGTCATTCGCTCTCGCGACGCGAGTCGCCATCCTCCGGAGACGCAAATAGCGTTCGCGAGCTTAATTTGAAGCGAGATTTGCAGAAGTTTGCAAAAGCAACGAAGATTCTAGACTTCGAATTATGAAATTGGTCCCTTTTTATCAATGTCGAATATCCTTTTCATTAAATTGACGCATAACTAGATTTAATTGACTAATTACACCTGATTGCTAAATCCAAAAGTGCTGAATGCATCCTATCAACCAGATAAGGACTTGATTTTTGCATTTATAAAAGTATAATAAAATTTGTAATACATATTTCTGCCAATCAATGGGTACCCAAAGTAACTTTTAGATATTAAAAATCTCCATGAAGAATCTTTTTCTTTAGCCAAAACAAAATACAAAGAACCTTTATATTTGGAAAAATGTAGTGGGAAATGTTGAATTGCTTAGCAGCTGTTGAAAAAAATTGTCACGGTGCAACGTGTCAAAAACACACGGTTGACAACACCCGTACATCGATGAAAAGGTGAAAAATTATGACTTGACAGAAGGGTTAATGGTTTGACATTTGACGCGTTGTCGCGACAAGCTGTTGAAACTGCTCATGCTGAATGTTCGATCGTCCGAGTTGCTCCGTCTCTCCCTCTCTCTCTCTCTCTCTCTCTCTCAGAAGGCAGAGAAACTCCGAGAACCCTCAATAGTGACCGTGAATCGGTGTTTGTGGTCGAGGTTGATAGAGCCGAAGAACCTGGGCGTCTCGCCAAGCGAGGCAAGGGATTCCTCTCCACGGTATCATCCTCCTCTTTCACTTCACGCACACATTCGCGCGCGCGACTCCTCCCTCGGGGAGAAAATCCTTCCGTTCTCGTGGCATCGTGACCTAGGGCAACCTAAGACCCTGGCGTGATAAAACGGAACGTTCTGTGACAGCACCCAAACATAACCCTCGGGAGTCAAGTCTGCCCTTCCGGCGAATATCCCCCAGGGGAGAGAAAGAGGAGTTTGTCGACCTCGATCACACTCTTCACCTACTCCACTTCGTGTCAGCCCCTCTGTTAAGCGGCTGCAAACGCATCATCACGTAACCATAATCGCCGCTCCGTATAAATCGATGTAAATCCTTGATGACACTCTGATCATAGAGAGAAATGAGAGAAAAAATTTTGATGGGGGATGAGAGAGAGAGAGAGAGAGAGAGAGAGAGAGAGAGAGAGAGGGAGACCCACATGGGGGACGATGACGTGTTGTGCGTTTCTCGCTTTCTGGCGAACGGTTAAAACCGCATCGCACGTAGCGGTGGGACGGTAATTCGCAATTTGCGTACCGGCAACAATCGGACAACGGCATTTCGCGGTTTCGGTTTATTGCATAATTGGGCGTTCCAATGAATACGCTGGCCGCTGTAACGTTGATTCCTTTATCACCGCGGCATTAGCAATTATCGTATCGCTGCCCCGACACCGAACGTGTTTTGCGTGCGTCGGATATAGCCGCGTTTAACGCGCGAAATGCACAATTAACGTCCGTGGCGTATAATCGTCAATGAAAATGTCTCGTGAACGCAATAACGGCGGAAAGAAGCATAGCGATACGAACGATTGCGCTTCATGCCTTATTAGATTTATTCTGCTTCTGGATTTATATAAATGTACGACTATCGCGCACGAGCCTTCTGTCAAATGTCACATTTTTCACCCCTTCCGTCAATGTGCGGGTACCAAACACGTGTTTCTGACAGATCCATATATCGAAATATTTTTGCATGTCATATATCTTAAATAAATATATATTAATATATACAATGGAAATGATCAGTTACATCAGTATATAGATTAATATTGTAAATAAAAATTGAATATCTTCCTATATTTTCGAATATAAAAATTCTTTATATTTTGTTCACGGATGGCTAAAAATCCGGACACACTTTTAATATTTAAAATCACTGTGAATACCCGGGTATTCGTTCATTGATAGAAGGATTGACATTATTTAATCGCGATAACGTTAAACAGTACGCACATAGTGTGAAATAGAATACGTGCGTATTTTATAAATCTGGTGCACGTAGTATTTAAATCTTTCGGAGAAAAATGTATAAATTAATTAATACAGATTATATACCACAAATAAAGAAGTACTGCCAGATAGAAATGTATTGTTAAAACGATTACAACTGCAACGTATACATCAATCATTGCAATTTTAATTCCGATCCAGTTTAGAATTATTTCATTCGTTTTAATAGCAAAAGAGCTTTCGCGTTTTTATATGACGAGTCAAATTGCACCAAATGCATCGATATAAAATAAAAAAAAAAAAAAAAGAGGGATTTCCGTCGAACACAGACGATGAAGTGGGTGTTAAAAAACACACATTGCGCTTGCAGTCACAAGGTTACGAATTTATCGCCGACGTGATATCGCTCTGCCACATCGATTCGTTCGATTTCATTAAAGAATACACATGCATGTGGGGGATTTTACACGTTCGGCGCGAAAAATTTCATTTATACGGAGGCTCTACATTTTTTTTTTTAAGTATCCGCAAATATTCGCAAGAGAAGGCGAGAGAACAAAAGGATCAGATCGAAGTATATTATCGTGACATCTCGATAATCGAGACCCCCGGCGAATTATTACGTATATTAAAAGGAGATCTCCGTCTACGAATATGACGAGGGAGATTCATCCCTCAGCTCTTGTACCCCGCCGGTGCTTGAACGGGGCTACCCTATCCCCGTCGGGATTCTCTCCTCTATCGTTACTCCTGCGCTCCACCTCTTGATACCGCTCGCTTTTCATCGCTTCTCTCACTCTACCTCTGTCTCTCACCCTCTTTCTCTCTCCTTTCGTCCCCGGGACACGTCGTTCTCTTCTCTCTCTCTTGCACGCTCTCTCTCTCTCTTTCCCGCTATCTTCGTCTCTCTCGGCAGGTCGGTGGTTCCTGTTCCTGCGGGTATTGATTCGCGTTGGCGGCCGGTCACCGCCCCCGCACTCACTGTCTGCCGGTAGTCTACCCTTGCCCTCCATGTTACGCCGCTATTTCGGCAGTCGATTCCTTTGCAGCCATGGACCGTCGCGTGAGCAACGCTCGCTCCGCGAATGTTAAAGCCGCCCTTTACACGTCCTAATCGGTTCTACTGACCTCTCGTAAAAAAAAGGAAACCTCTTCCTGGTAGAGCTTCAATTCCGCATCCTTTCCAATATCTATAGCCTCGGGTCTTATACTTCCGAATTCTATTTTTTTAAATATAAAATAATGAATGTTATCTCTGTATATTTTTTTTTTAAATAAAAGAGCTAGTCTAATGGAGAGAAAAATTGTTTTTCGCGCGAATTTGAAGGAATTTGAACAGGATGCTGAAACATTCACCATAGAAACGACGGGTGGTGGTGGGTTGCCGTTCCTCAAGGCGCCCGTTTGTTGGTTCGCCGCGGGGTTGAGATTGTCCTTCGTCTGCTGCATGGGATCTGCCTGGTGCAAAGATTGCTGCGTTTGTTGCTGGTGCTGTTGCTGCAAACCACCGATACCAGCCTGCGGGCTACCAAGACCAGCTGGCGCACTGTCAGGCGTATTGACTTGCCGCGCAATCTTTCGATAACTCTGCAACAAGCGTAATCCTTATTAATTTCTCATGTTCAGTTTAGGAAAAAAAAATTTTTTTTTCAGGTTTTCTGAATTGGAATTTTTTAATTTTTGTATTGGATCCTAAACGAATTTTGCGATACAAAATCCCAACTTGGCGCGCAATCTTGCGATAGTTCTGCAACAAGCGTAAGCCTTATTAATTTCCTATGTCAAATATGTAGAAAAAAATTTTTTTTCAGATAAATTTTTAAGTTGGAATTAAAAAAATTTTTATATTGGATCCTAAACGAATTTCGTGGGATACAAAGTCCCGATTTGACGCGCAATCTTTCGATAAGTCTGCGACAAAAGTAATTCTTATTTATTACCCATGTCAATTTTATCGGAAAATCTATTTTCGTTATATAAATTTTAAATTGAATCCTGGGGCAAATTACAGGATCCCATATGGGAATATAATATATTTTTATTGAAGTTTCGGGTCTCGTTAATTTTACGGAAGAAATACTTTGACCCAGACATAGGCGACTCGAGTTTACGATCGAAGGACAAAAGCATTAGAAGGATACGAAGGGTTGAGAAAGTTGGTCGACTCGAATTGTAGGAAGAAAAGATGGTACTATTAGAGCCAGAGCTGTACGACGGTGTGACCCTAATGCTAAAAATAACGACGCGGCTTAAGTAGGCCGAGGCGGCTGAAATGGTTTCCATAGTTGAACAAGCATCGTCGATGGAGCTGTAAACCGCTGATCGTTGTTTTCTCCCTCCCCTAAGGAATGTTCCTCCTCAAACGAATTTCATCTATTATATGACGTAGTCAATTTCTCATGGCACGATGCCATCGAGCGCGAGAATCGCACTTTATACTTTGATGCACGTGTTGCCTATATGTATACGTGAGGATATACACATGCATACGTTATATTATGCATCGGTTTATAAATAGACAGGACGTCGCGTCTCGGACCCACGCTGAGCTTGCAAGGAGAGTTCCTTTCCTCACGGAACATTTGTCACACACCGAGATATTTGCTGTTCAACGTTTCGAGAAATTCTCGTACTTACGTGTATCAAAGAGTACCGTATACGGTAAGAAATTGTTAGAAAAAATTCGAGAAAAATTTATACCCCTGTTCTACTTGAATCATCAAACATCAGAAACAGCTATAATCATCTGTTGTCGAGCGTCTTTTCATCCCAAAAATTTCCAGCATTATGCATCCGCCAAATTCATTTCTCGAAAAGAAGAAGAAAGGGAGAAAAAAACGGAGGAAGCTTCTATGAAGAGACTACCATTTTTATTCTTTGTGCACGCACGTCGGATCGATCTCGATCTATCGAATGATGAATCCCTCATTGAATACGTCCGGAAAAGAATGATGGATTCTCTTTTCGAACGTCAATCATCGATCAGGAAGTGTAATACAAGACGGCTGACCTTTCTGAGAAGCGGTTCAGATAGGCCGGGCCACTTATTTTAGATCTTGTTGCGATTTACCTTCTCGTGCGCGGGCGAATAGCCAATTATCTAGGACTATTCGTGCGTGCGGCTTTTCGAAATTTTATAAAAAAAAAAAAAAAAAAAAAAAAAAACCAGCACACACTCGCTATTCAGTTTTCTTCACTACCCTCATTGATGTGATTAAATATTAAAATATATAGCGAACGTCATAATCAGCTGATTTTGACAGTCTAAAATATACAGACTGTCAAAATCAGCTGATTATGATATTTTCATTATTATTATGACAATGATCGAATCGGCTTTAATCTTTCTGTCAATGAACAGATACTTGGCTACCCAAAGCAGCTTTTAATGTTAAAAATGTGTCGGAAACCTCTTAAAATATTGGGAAAAAAGTTCGAGGTCCAGCTACTTTTAATAAATTATTATAGTAGGTGCAATGTGTCAAAAACATACGGTTGGTATCTTGGGTATCCAAAGCATTGGTGAAAAGATGAAACATTAGGTATATTGACAGAAGAGGTGACGCAATAAACGTCGATAGATTCGGATTGAAATATTTAGCGAATGATATAAACTGTCAAAATCAGCTGATTACGCTATTTTCATTATTATTACAATGATGATCAATATCAATTCTTCTGTCAATGAACAGATACTTGACCATCCAAAGCAGTTTTAAATGTATTAAATGCATTCGAAAACCTCTTAAAATATTGAGAAAAATATTCGAGGTCCAGCTACTTTAAATAAATTATTACAGTAGGTGCAATATGTCAAAAACATGTGATTGGTTTTTTTGGGTATCCAAAGCATTGATGAAAAGGTGAAAAATTAAGCGCCGACGGAAGAGTTGACGCAACAAACGTCGATAGATTCGGATTGTGAATTATTCTCGCATTCGGAGCGACAGTTTCTCTGGGAAATAATTGAGCACCGAGTGCTCTGTCAAACCACGTGGCTAGCGCGTGGCCATTGACCGACCGCCAGTACCCGATTTCAACGTCAGCGTCGGCCATTCCACTCGCGGTGATTCACATTTTGTTGACTTAAGCTAAATGAAAGTATAAGTGGCTGCGTGCAATACTCGCTTCATCGACACGAATGCACCGCTGCATCGATACACCATATAATATATTGTATATAATAAGCTTTGATACACGAGCTCGCGCTTTGAAGGCGATTCTAGGAGCTCGTACAAAAACACTGTATGCAAAAAAAAAGGAGTAATGATATTATGAGCTGATGCATCAGTTAACTCTTCTGCTAATGAACGGGTGGTACTCGAAGCAATTTCAAGTGTTAAAATGTGTGTCGGAATTTGTTCCTCCGTTTGAAATAAAATACAGGGGGTTTCCCTTTGTATTCCGAAACCTTCTAAAATGTAAAACAGGAGGAAATGTTTGGTAAACAAAGTGTCAACATAATTTGTCAATTTTTATCTATAGCATTTTTCACTTTATAATTTATACATGTTTTTTAAACATATATCAAAAATTCAAGGGATGATTCCTTGGGTCATTTTATGAATATTTATACCTCCGATGATTTTTCGAAAATCGCTTCGTTTTCAAGATGCAGAACGATAAAAACTTCTTATATTTTTATTTATATTAATACAATATTTTTATGCTGACATCGCTGATAACATCAAAGAAGTTTCTTGAATACTACATTGATAACTTTTACAAGATATTCATTATTTTCTTATAAAGCGGTTTTCGAAAAATCATCAGAAGTATAAATTTTCATAAAATGACCCAAAGAATCACTTCTTAAAATTTTTTTATATTTGTTTAAGAAACATATCCTATATAATAATTAGTATATATTGATATATAAAAGATATTTTGATATAAAAATGTTGCAAATAATAATGGTAAAATCTAATAAGAAAGAATGTTCGATTTCGAGAATTTTTTCTTAGAATTTACCCTGAAAATTATGATAGAATCATTGCAAGAATTTTATAAGAGTTTCTCTCTGATTAAATATTTACCGCAATAAAAATATTAACATCTACCACGTAAGATATAAAATACGTGCAATTAATTTTACTATGTACACATTATTATCATGATTTTCAGGATGAATTCTAAGAGGGAAAATTCTCTCCGTGTATAAAAAAAAAATTGCCGCAGTTAGTACCCGGGTATCCATACATTGATAAAAAAAATTCCGCATTGATAGAAAGGTTAAAAAAAGCCATCGGGACAAGAATGTTATCTTGAAAGTGAATTTGAAAAATTTCTTTGACAAATTCTCCTTTCATCCCGACTCTTAATTAAATTTTCCTATAAATAAGTCATTTTAAATCACGGTGGATATACGTCGTTCTCCTCTCGGCGTTCGCTTCGAACACACGATCGATCGCATTACTCGCAGGTCAACGCGTTTATTTTCTTCATTATAGATTACCTTGATCGTTGCTTAGAGTTAGTTTGCGCGCGCGCGCGCGCGCTCGCTGATAAAACGGTAAAAAGTTAATAAACGAGCGGGGAATTTCTGACGTTTCGCGGACCACCGATAGTAACGGAGGACACGTCGTTTGACCTAAATTCCGCGATCACGATAGACGAATGCCTCCGCTTGCGTAACCCGGCGCGGTTTGCGAAGTCGGTTTCGCGCTCGACGAGAGAGCTCGGGTCCTTGACGCGCCAAGGGCCTCCTTGTTTTGTCGAGATGTAATGCCAGTCGAGCGTTGACTTATATAATCCAAACGCATCGTGCTGCTTTATTCAATTACGCGACGATTCGTTACGATATATTAAGTTTTCATTTACAACGGACATTGCGCAAAAATTCATTTTATCGCTCTTGATAAAACTCGACTCGTCTCATTACGTGGCTTGGCTGCAAATCAATTTAAACCAACATTTTATGTATATACGTACATATATATTTGAGATTATTGCCTTTATAATAAGCCACATTAAGATATAGAGATATAAATTATATAATCATTAATTTCCTTATTATTTTTAAATTCTCTCTGGCGAAGAATACAAATCTATTATTTTATTTTATTCTTTTCGTTAATTTGCGTTTGAATTATTAAGCGACCAAGAGATTTTATTCTGTGCAAAATTGAAGGAGGTTCTAATACGAAATATTCTCAAAACGAGGACGAGCCAATTACTTTTATTATTTAATTATAATAATTATTAATTATATAATTTTGTTATATAATTGTTGTATAATTATAGTTGGATTTAAATAATAGGGAGGCACTCTTTCTGCCTGTAGCTATAATTAATTTATAGGTATGCACGCTATCAAAGTATGATCGAGACATCGCATATACACGAATGCCTGAGTTTTTTTTTTATGAATCATCCGACTTTTTTTTCTTCCTCCAGCTACACCGAGTCGTATTGCGTTGATCGTAATCCAATAACACAATCGTACAAGTCGACGAGAATTTCCCGAAAAGATAGCTAAGCGATTGACAAAGCACGAATTCCTCAGTTCTTTTCCTGAATTTTTTAAATCAAAATTTCCACGTCTCAAGATTCCTAAGCAGAGTCTAGAGTCGTCGTCGGAGATTTTA